AATTATGGCAAGTGAACGACGGGACGAACCGATGTGAGATTGGGTTATGCTCTGCCGACATAACGTTGGCCCCTGTTTAGGATTATTAAAAGGTCGTTGACTGTACTCTTGGGATAGATTTCAATTCCAAATTGTTCTTCATTTGATTATAGTCTGGTTGCAAGTCTTCAATCACATGGAGATATGTCAGTCTGAAGTGCGAGAAAAAAAAAAGAAATCAAATCCATCTATTGACCATGATTGAAGTATATACCCAGGGAATATAAAAAGACATCGCAGATCGAAGAGGGCCGTAGAAGTGGCTATGAGACTCAAACAAGAAAGCACCCGTGCATGTATTGGCCGACCTAGATCTGTTATGGTAGGCTGCATGGTCGCCAGTACCATCTTCGTCAGCCAGATGTGATTAACCAACCATCCGAGCCGCGCCCTGATCAGCGCATTGTCGCGTTTAGTTCGTATTTCGGAATCTTTCGCGTTGATAACTTGCTGCATTATCATCGCCAACAACTCGAAATCAATTGATAGATTTGTCTGCCGCGACTTTAGGGATACTTCTTCCAATTTCAAAGCGCTTGACAGCTTCGTTGACCATCCTGGCGATATTTTCTTCAACCTGTCGGTAGACGGGATCGGATTGGCTTTCAAATTTGCAGATGTCGTAATGATCAGCGTCGAGGCCAATGGACCTTTCACGAGTGTCTGGTAGACCCAAGACGGCGGCTTTCTGGTCTACAACCTGCAAGCATTGTTAGCTGGTGGTGAGCCCGGGAATGTTGTCAACAAATCTTACAATTCCAAAGTATTTCAATGGCCGCGTCTCATAGTAGCTCTGGAATTGGAAGACCTCGAGAAATTGGCGGAAATCATTCGCAATCGTGTTTGCAAGCGATGAATCTTTCCTGAGTGCACTCATGAAGCTATTCTTTGGCCGCCCGCTTATTCTGCGGACAATACGGGCAACAAGGTCTCCAGTCTCGGCTATTTTGCCGCCTCCGTGTGGAGTGCCAAAGAAGACAATGCCGAATGTGTGGTCCGCAATACTCCTGTAGACATCGCTTTGTTTTGCACTGATCAAGGCCTATAAAGTGGTGAGCGCCATCATGAATAGTCTAAACAAAGTTATACATACCCGCTTTACTAGGATACCGCCAAGGCTGTGACAAATGAAAATCAATGGACGGTTTGGTTTGCCCTAGTCAAAATTAAGCGCATGTATATATCGTTTTCATTTTATTTATACATACAGCACGAGCGAGTTCCAATTGATTGAGAAGACTCTGCGATTGTTCCAGGACGCCCGCAGTCGAGCTTTGGAAAGTAACGTTTGAGTTATAGTCAAACATCACTATTCTGGCTCGAGGAAGCCGAGCTGGGAGGAAATCCCGGAGCCATAGACTTCCTGCAGTCGCGGTCCAGGTGGCTGCTGCATGCAGCTTCCTACCCCAAGGATTCAGGCCGTGAACGGCAACAATGCTATTGCGGCTGCTTAGCACTAGACACCATAGGCTACTTTGTGTAGCTAGGATGATCAGCCAAACCTACTCAATATCAGGCTCTACTGGATCTGCGAGGATATGGAGGAAGTTTCTCGCTGCCGAGATTCGCTGACGCGATTGGCCCACTGAAGTCGTCTGACGTGCGGATGGGGTTGCTAGCCAAGGGTGCATAGCGATCAGTCGTTTGTGGTTAGAAATATGGCAACAGCTGAAATTCGGTTACCCTGACAGCCGCGATGCCAGCTCGATTGACTGGATGGAGTAGAGCACAAGAAATATAATCACGGTCGTGCAAAACTTTTGGTTTGGATGCAAGAACGCCTGAAGAGATCTAGGAGACTAGGAGAAGGACATGATGAGGAAGAACAGTACGAAGTCCACAACATGTAGGGACCCGGGGTGATATATAAGTATTGGAAAGTAAAGTATTCGATACAAGATGGATGTACCAAATCCAGGCACGAACAACCAGTTTCTACAATGCTGCGAGGTTGATATGTGGGGAACGTGGCTGATAATGCGCTTTTCTTTTGTGTACATGTCCATTGACCGAACGCAAAAACAAAGATGATGTGGTCGTCTTGGGGGGCGTTTCTGGGGGGCGTTTCCCGGCACCCAAGATCTCAGACAACACTTTCTATGTGATGTCAATCTGCGCGGTCCAATAAGAATAGATCTGTAGGTACCTAGTCTCTTGCGATTGAGTGCAACGGTTAATACTAGCAGAGCCAGCCCCGCGGCGTGGGCTGAGGTCTAGCACCTGGCACCTGCAGCAGAGTGAATACTAGTGCATATACGTATTTTGTATACTGCTGTAAAATTTGGAGGGGTTACGTGGGATAAGGACCCACCTTTTGAGCCGCACTGCACGGGCAATAGAGGATCTAATCTGGCACCTGGGCGGGCACCTGGATCGCTGCCTTCGTTTCGACTTACACAGGAAAAGGTTGTCATGTGTCCAAGTGCCAAGACGAGTTTACATGCATCCGATGGAATCAATTGGCGAATAAATGATCGACCTACCTGGAAGCAGGTGAAGTACCTACCTACCACTGGCTACAGTATATCGGCCACCCCGCTTTTGATGCATATCGTTAGAACTGCTGGTAGGCGTTATTGCTCCTCGATGGGGTGTGTTCGGCAGGCCGGATGCGACCAGACTTGTGGTCCAGTGCAAGGCAGTTCTCTTCCTGTCTTGGACGCTGGAAATTCTGCCATGCTTTGAGGGCACCCCACTGGCCAGGGATGGTTTTTTTTTTTTTTTTTTTACGGGCTGCAGCAAGTCTACAACCACAACCCGAGCATGACATCTGATTCATATGCGAAAGAGGCTTAAGTTTTCAGCATACCAAGTTACAACTCAAAACCTCGACGGTGCCTGCATTGAATAATGAAATAGCTTCTACAACTTCTGGCATCAAAATTCTAAATTATTAATGGGCTAAGCATTGCCCTAGACGACTTCCATTGACGAAGAAGCAGAAGAAAAAGTTGACAGATGATATCTCACGACTCGGGGCATGGAGGATCTGGAGATAAGCAATGCTCATATTGACCTTTACTAGAACCAACACCCAGGAGTAGGCGCACAATTTGATCTAAATCGCAGCGTTATCAAAGCGCTTTCATGCAGTTTTTTTTTTTGGGGGGGGGGATTTACTATAAAGAGGTTCTAATGCCCAAATGAACACTCTTCTTGAGTCACGAACTAGATGCCTCCTGTCAAATACTGTAGAAAATATCTTCTTGCCGCGTTTGGGTTACAAGCACACTAAAGTCAAACATTTGAATCCGAATAAAGACATGCAATTTGTATCGGGCAGTAAGTCCAGTTATGGCATTGGTCTACATTTGCGTCCCCCTTTTCAGGTAGCGAACGTAGTCATCCAACAATGTTGCTGTTCGATACAGCACAAGAGCACACGCAACACATTGTAGATTGTGTTTTGCGAGAACATTTGATTTGCGAACAACACTAGTCCTCGTGCCACAACAGATGAGCTGTTCTGTAGGCATCGCAGGAAATATGTGTAGGTATATATATCTTGACTAAATGAGTTTTCACCAATCACCCATCATACCTCCAGTCATCAATACCAGACATCTCACAAACTACTATACCAGCAAACAGGTTATGGAAAGGCAGAATATGTGCTCATACTTTGAGAGAATCGTCATCTGCCCCCAGTGCCGCCATGTCGTTCGATCTTGGAAGGAAAGCTGGAACTATTGCACCAAAGGTTTGATCTGTGCTTTCCCAAGAAAGTATGGTAGTCACACGACTACCACAAGTCCATACTTGTGCAGCTCATGTAGGAAGTAGGAGGGTTGACAATGGCGGCAGAGGGAAACGATGATGGATGGGTGGTGCTCTGCCTTCAATTTGTAGTGCGGTCGGTAGAATTTGGGAAAGATTGTGGCAGATTGGACAAAGTTGAAAGTGATTAGAACAATAGACTAAATTCATTCGTAATTGATTTCGAAAATAATGCCACTCTTTGTCACGCTTTATGAATGTGATTAAATTGTTAACCATTAACAAAGCAAATATGTGCCCATTGTATTTGTTGGTACAATGTATCCATCATCTTTGAAGTCCAAACTAAATTTCAAATCGCTAAAAACTTGTCTCTAAATGAAATGAAATGAATCGTGGCACGTCTTCTAGTGACGATGAGGATCATAAGGAGCAGAAGCAGGTGCTCCCGACGGCTCAAACTGCGAGACGGGATTATAAGACACCGAGGCTGCCGGCTTGTGAGGTCCTCCGGCCACCAGACCCATTTCCGACGCCGACGCGGCCATGGACTTGTAACTCTTGAGCGGTCTGTCCCTCCTGAGGAAGCGCGCCGCCAGCATGCCGATTATGGTCATGACGAGAAGACCGCCAAACGCCGCACCGACGGCGATGCCGACCTTGATCCCCTTTGACTTTGGGTCATCGTCTAGCGGCTCGGACGACGGTGTGGCAGACGGCTGGCTGCTTGTTGTCACTTGTGCATTGGCGGCGTCGGCCGTGGTGGGAGTTGCAGTCGATGTTGCCGTAGATGATGCTGATGTCGTTGTTGATGACGACGTGGAAGGTTTTGTGGAAGGCTTTGTAGTGTCGTCGTCGGCTTTGACTGTGGTCTGCAAGCTCTTTGTCAGTTGCGAATGATACAGTCAAAAACAAGCTTGACTAACAGTATTGGCCTTTCCCACTTCATAAGACCACGAATTAGGACTGTTGAAGCCCGTCTTTTTCGAGTCGGCTGGCATGAGGTTGAACCAGCATTCGCTAGCTTCATCGTCCCAATTAAGGGTGACCGATACGGTGGCATTATACTTTGGCGCAGTAACCTTGTTCTCTTCTATAGTCGGTGTCAGCACCGAATACATGCTGCCAAGCAAAACTTGAACATTCTCGTCGATCGAAAAACTCACCTTTTGACTTTCCGTTCACTTTACAATAGGTATATAATGTGGGGCTGGCAAAGTTGGACTGGTATTGGACCTCGATCGTATTCTTGTAGTGAAAGGTCAAGTCCTTGTCTGTTGGAAACAAAAACTTGTTCTCAAACCCCCAAACCCCGGCACTCCAAGAGGCCAGTGCAATAATTCTTGATGAGCGCATGATTTCCGAATGATCGTATGTTTCTTCAATTTTGCTTTAGTAGAGATTGTAGCTCGAGTTCGAGATGGACTGGTGCTTGAACAGGAGCCTTTCGCTATTTCACTGCGTTGCATGTGCACTGCAGAGCTCTTATACATTCCACGGCCAAAATGTTGGACGTGGCCGTGAAATCCTTCGCAACTTCGCTTACCCAAATAGACACTCCACGCGCCTAGACAGTATGCAGGGTCGCGGCCTCAGCCTCAACAAATCATCCTTCCAGGGGGGTTTCCAAGCTGCAGCTGTGGTCATTCCAACCAATAGCCATTCATGTCCCTGCCAGGTTGGGGGGAGCTCAGAAGAAGAAAACGAGCTATCCGTTTTAGTGTTGGTGTTACTATTTTCATTTCAAACTGCTGTCGGTGCCGGCTATTGCGCCCAGTGTCCATACGATCATATAAGATGGACCCTAGTAAACACTTGTAAACCACCCCACGTCAACAAGCTTATTTTTAAGGCTGTGTACTAGCAATCACTTTGGGAACATTTGCAGGGCCACCACCGAAAGAAGATAATGTTATCAACATGTCATTTTACTGGTATCAGTAGCGAGACTTGCAGTATTCAAAAGACTGAGGAAGAGTTCAATCTACTACCTGGTGCCGTCGCATTTCACTTGTCGTCGGGACTTTGACTAGTAGATGGCCAAGAGGGGAACACATTGGCATCATGTTGACTTCAAAGCGTCATGTGCAGTTGCAAGCCAGATTGGTAAAGTGCCAGCAACTCGTCTCACATGGCGCAACAGTCCAACGCCATAAGTACAGCAGTCACAGACGCACTACATTTGTAGAACCGGACCCACACGGTCGGCCGCTGATTCCATCCACTATTTCCCACCTAATAAGCCATATGCCAACTGGGTGGCTGTTGGCTACCTACATTATCGCTCCAAGCCGTGGAACATGTCTAAATTTACCCTGCATGCCCGCATGGGTCCTCGATCGAATCTACGTCCAGCAGTGTATAGGACCAGAAATGCCTTTTTGGATAAGTGCAGTTCTTTACGTTCCCGCAACAGTGCAAGCTGAAACACGACCCGCCAACGACAAAATACTGCATATGTGTGTAACCAACTGGCGCCAAGACTGCATGAGGTGCTGCTCGATTGGGTGTCGAGGTCACGCCGCCTTGGGTGATTTTCTTGAAATGCATGGAACACACAGTGAGCCATGAATCAGAACAGTAGTTTAGAGCCAAGTATAAGGGTCTCGGTCGTCATGATGGTCCATTCCATGCGCATATTGCACATGTACAGTGCCCACATCGTGTTTTGGGTAGGTACACGGCGTACGGGGTGCTTATGGTCAACAAAGTGGCTGCCTATAAATGGCCTATTTCCGCGCACCAAACCAAATTTTATAGGACTTTGATTCCTAAAAAAAAGACTTAATCTGTTGTCCTTTTCACGGCGTCAGCCAGCCAGTCCAGCAGATGCATCAATCGCAAGAAGAGGACCGCGGCCGCATTCCTCATAAGCATGACTTGATCCTTGATCATGACTTGGATGTCGGGTTATTTATTCTTAATCTGCTAATTTGACAATGATTGTCCAACGAATAAACAGGTCTTTACAAGCCGCCTGGGTATACACGAGTTTGCGATTCATAATCTTGAAGTTCAGAATTCAATTTCGAATCATCAACTTGGTCTTGAAGTATGAATTTCGCCGTACCCTGCAAATATTATGGAAATAATTTTCCATAAAGGCACGGCGTACAATTGCGCTGCGCCATGAATTAAAACCGGCCCTTTGCAGACGATTTAAAACCCCCATGCTGAATGGCAGGACCAAATTTGAAGTTCATCAATTTCCTCTGCTCTATTGCTTGCCATAGTGCTTGCCCCAGAGCTCATCCCAAGACTCCGTGTTCACAGCAAACTCCCTGGCATAATCCCGCTCAAGCTCGTGCGCCCTTCTACCGAGCAACACCAGACTGTGCAGGGGCGGGCCAAGGGCATCGTCGCTGTCGCACAGCTCCTTGAGCGTACCGGCGACAAACTTTTCAGTCTTGGCACCGACGCGCGCCGCGCCAATGGCCAGGCTGTCGGGTCCGTAGACACCTTCCTGGCGCTCCTCTTCGATCTCGAGCATCTGCTGGGCGCACTGCGCCACGGTCATGAAGCGCGGGGGCTCGTAGATGAGGCGGCCGCGCGCCATGTTCTCGAGGCTCTGCTCCTTGACTTTGATGTCGAGCAGGACGAGCGTGTGCAGGCCGACGTCGCGGTTCTCCTTGATGCGGTCGTAAAAGCTGCTGGGCCGCCAGTTGTCGGTGAAGAATACCATGCTGACCGTTTGGCCAAAGTTGTAGAGCTGCAGACCCGTCGCGCCAATGCCCGACATGATGGAGGCGTTGGGCACCGTCCGCACCGGGATGTTGAGCTCGCGCGCGCGCAGAATCAGGTCCGTGTGGGTGGTGGCACCAAAGGGATCGCCCACGACACAGAATGCGACATCAACGTTGGCGGCGTCGCGCAGGATCTCGTCGCTGTTGGACTCGACCATCTCACGGTCGGCAATGACAATCGATCGGCCATAGTATGATTCCTACTGTGAGTATTAGCGTTAGCCTCCGGCGCGATGAGTGTCCAGCGTGATGGAGAGGAATGAGAAGGAGGAATCAAACGTACCAGGACTGTGTGATCCACGAGGAGGATGCTGGTGTAGGCCTCAAGGTAGACTCGTTCGGCCTTCTTGACAACCTCGAGTCCCTTGACTGTGATATCAGTCTCATCACCGAGACCTAGACCGACAAGGTAGAGCATGGTGGCGGCGAAAACGACTGAGCCAAATTCTGTACAGAAAACAAGTTGTTGGACGTGAATGAACGCACAATCGTCCTGTCTGTCTGCTTTGGGCTCAAGAAATTTTGGAGGGGTAATTTTTTCTTAGGCCATGGCCAGGGTCTTTTTGGAGGGGTAGTTTCGCGCAGGACGCAGCAGAGATGGGTGTAACGTACGGTACTTCGTGCTAGAGCTGAACAACTAGACGATGCAATGTACCCTTTTAGAATGGCCTGGTCCATGTCCACTGTTGCATTCATCGTTCAACACATTAATGCATTCAAGGCTGGCATTGCGTCACTAATAAACTACCTAGTTACCTGCTGGACGCATCTACTCAAGAAGTGTGCACGTTCAACCATTTAGGTACCTGTTGAAATTGGACTCGAAGGGAATATATATCATCTACATAATTTCTACCTTCAGAGTACCCTCGTTCAGCAGTACTTTGCTGTAACTTTCTTAAAAGAAATATACTCAAATACTTACATGTGATAATGTGCGCTGGGCAGCTTGACAATAAATACTGGATAAGTTTTGGGACAGCGCTAGCAGGAAAGAGGCAATTGAACTGCCGATTTCAGGTGCATGTTGCTTTGCTTAGGTGGACGCGCACAGTCAAAGTACCCTGGGTCGCAACGCACTACAACTCGCGACTACAGCAGTGATCAATCTGGTCGCCCATTGAACTTTGCGCGGACGTTGTCTGAGCATTTGCAGTCCTGCCGCCCGCTTTTCTCACCGGTCGGACTATCGCCAATTTTATCCACCCTTCTTCTACAACGAAAAATCCAGTAGCCACCGCACAGCGCCCACACACATGGCTTCCAAAAAAGGCTCCGCGTACGGCGAGGGCCGCGCCTCCGACACCTCGTTCCGCCGAGACTGGGACCTCGAGGAGTACGCCGCCAAGGCGGCCACTCGCGAGGCAGCAGAAAAAGAGGAGCGCAAGGCTCGGTGGGAGGCCAAGCAGGAAGGCAAGAAATACTACAAACCGCTGACGGGGGACGAGACGCTCACATCGGCGCGCACGCGGCATACCGACTTTTCTGCACAAGTCGGTAAGACGTCGCTGGTGGCAGGCGGCGCCGCCGTGGGTAAGAGGGGACGCGGTCCGGGTATCTACTGCGAGGCCTGCGACCTCAACTTCAAGGACAACCTCCAATGGGTCGAGCACATCAATTCCAAACAGCACTTGGCGGCCATCGGCCAGACAGACGAGGTCAGGAAGGCAACGGCCCAGGATGTCCACGATCGTATCGAGCAGCTATGGCTCAAGAAGCAGGAGGAGAAGCTGGCGGCGACCACGAGTCTGCACGAGCGATTGGCGATACAGGCAGTCGAGGACGAGAAGGAGAGGGAAGCCAAGAGATTGAAGCGTCACGAGGCGGCTGAGAAGAAAAGACAGGAGCTGGAGGCAGCCAAGGAGGTCAAGATGGAATACGGCGAAGACGTGCGAATCGAGGGCGAGCACGACGAAGACGATATGATGGCAATGATGGGATTCTCTGGCGGCTTTGGCTCGTCAAAGAAGTGAAGGACGCCCGCTTGGAGACATTGGATCATACACTTGATCCTGCCCTCGGTACCGAGCTGTCGTGTGTGCGCAGCTCTAGCCGACCGCTTGATGGGACCAGAAGCCCTGCGGTCGACCATGGTAATCGCTTGCACCAAACACCACACTATTGAACGTGGTCGCCACAGCCGTCACGTATACCGCACTATCTACCACGATATTTGCATTCTGGGGCCGACACCAACTGCCAAGTCCAATTTCACATGGTATTGGTAGAATTTTGCGATTTTCTCGCATGTCAGGCCCGCTGATTCGCCACTGGAATCGACGAAGACAGGGAAACGGTGCTCTGTAAAGGTGATACACGGCCCTAAATGACTTGAAATATAGCATTTACGGGTCATCATAAGCTCTAGACCACAACACCACCACACGCCAACTCAAAGGTTTGATAGGCATCTATGAGACTTCTCAAGTAGCCATCTGAATACAAGGCAACATGATCTTGCAGGAAGTGTTGTAGCTCCTACAGATCAAGCCCGATACTAGCTCATGGCACATGTGTTGTCAAAAGGCAGAACATTGACCAGCCATAACGTTGCCCAAGAAATCATTTTCATTAAAATTCGTACTAGCGCTCGTGAATGTATTCTGCAACAGCGCTTCAACATGGTGCTATCTGTTTTGCTGCAACGCTCCCGGGAGTATCAGAATAAAGGGATGCTCGTCCACCTCTAAGGGGCACACGGGACGAGCCACAGACGCCAGCCATTGTAAATGCTCAAACCTAACTTTCCCAAACGCCCATAGCCATGCAAGGTCATATCATGCTGAGCTTGCTCAGTAGCGGTCAAGGAAAATCAAAAATCGTCGTACAAGTCGTCCATCATCTCGGCACGGATCGGTCCAGGGTGTGCCTCGCCACAATTCTCGCACAGCATAAGAGCATCCATTTGGTCCTCAGTCATGTCCTCCTCGTCCATCAAAAGATAGTCATCATCCATGAGGATCTCGGCCTCGACTTCCTCCCACGGCAAGCCGCTAACTCTATCAAAGAGTTGCCAAGCCGTCTCTTCGGGTTTGCTGATCTGTACAGGTACCTTTCTCCAGATTGTTCTGCATGATACATAGTCGGAGGGCGGCGGCTTGCCTACATCAAGGGGAGCAGGCGGGAAGTTGTCGAAGAAGGACGGGTGGTCATCGTGATGATGGTGTTTGACGCCCGCTTCAGGTCGCATAGCGCGTACAACGCGCATGTGCATGTGCTCACCGGGCAATGGGCGAAGGTTGCCGCGAGGGCCAAGGACATATGTTGGGTCATGGTCGATGAACAAGCCGTCATCCTTCAGAAGACCCTGCAAATCATGAGTTGCGCGGATGCCAACATCATCGCGCGGCAAACCAGTCACAATTACCTGATTCAGCGAACAGCCAAGATGGTGAGATGCGATGTCGTGCAGCTGTGCAGTTGGAAACTGCCAGGTGTCCTCGGCAAAATTGATGAGATCAAGTCGTAGTTTCTCCAGGCTGGGGAGAAGTCGCTTGCGGGGAAGCGAGTTGTCATGATTGGGATCATGGGGAGGGAGAAGGGCCTCCAAGAAGTCAACCAGCTGAAGCCAAGCATACGATCTGAAACCGCGACGGGCAAGCGTGGGCTCCTTTGCTCGCTTGTTGATCCTGAGCTTGACCTGTCGAGATTGCGCTGGTCGATGAGTGTCGCGCGAGATCTTATGGATGCGAGAAGGATCGTCGTCGTAAAATCGCGCAATGACGCGGAAGTTGACCTCACGAACCATCTCTCGGTAGCGAAATTCAATGTCTGCAAATGTCTTGACTGCCTGAACAGTGGTGAAGACAAAGCGATTGCTGGACCACAGATATCTGCTGCCCTCAGTGTGCCAGGCTTTGCAGGTGGCCAGGAAGTGGATGGCAATCTGGTTGGTTCGCTTGGCCTCATCTGCCGTGATGTGTTCCTTCTTGGTCTTACAGAGGGGGTCAATAATGGGGTACTTGCTGGTCAGAGAATGCTCAAGAATCTTCAAGACGATCTCAGTGGGCAAGTGCGGCAAGCTGGAGGACATGGAGGAGCGGGTGCTGCGTGATGCAGCCTTGTGCTGCTGCAGAAACGGGTATGGACTAGGCCATGTAATGCCATTCTCGCGCAGCAGGCGCTTCAGCGACAGATTCTCTGCCTCGAGTTCCTGGTTCTTGGTGCGAAGAGGATGGTTGTAGTAGTCCTCGGCCTGATCGGCCTGATCGCGATACTCAAAAGCGCTCTGCGCGGGGGTTTCAGCAAAATGCACCAGACAAAGGGAATTAAGCGATGTCCAATTTGATACTAACCATGATGAAAAGTAGTGCTTCTTGGCCTAGCTCATGCTGCTGCTGCGAGGGCTATTCGGTAGCCGCGGATCTGCGGGAGGGCGTGTGAAAATGGTCGTCAAGTTGGATCAATCCGTGATAATTTCATTGAGGTTCCTGACTGGCTGATGGTCAGGAGGGCGTACAGTGAGTGAGTGAGTTGCTCGACTGTCTGCGGGTGGATGAGTGAGTGCGTTGTTGCTTGTTGGGTCTTAAGTAAGAGGGAGAGTGGGATTAAATGGGTGCAGGTTCCAGGTGGCCAAGTAGCTGCCCGCACCACTTTCTTTTTTGGCGCGTCTGAATTGATGCAGCAAGAGTCGAGGCACTGGATCAGGCAGAAGCCTGAGAGTTCAACTGACAGGTTGACGTCTAAGTTTGGGGGAGAAATGACGAGGAATCAAACAAAATCCAAATGTGATGGGATGAATGCTTGGGAAGCGGTTGCCAAATGGAGACGGAAGATTCAATCAATGTTCTTCTGTATGCCCGTCCGGTAGGTACATGTAGGCAGGCAAAATGCAGGTAGACAGTTACGTGACTAGCCGGTGTTTGTACTGTGCAGCTATTTTGTGGTTTGCGTGGTGGCAGGCGCCACATCACAAAGGCGCAGACAGTGCCAAAATGTGATCCGTGACTTGGCCCACGGAGTGCCTGGCAAGCCTGGCACCCTGGCACGCCTGGATGGAAGTTAGGCAAGTCCTCCCCAGGTCCAAGCTCTAGAAATCACCCCACCTTCCACTCAGTCAATGGATACCTCGATGGACACTGATTGGCCAGCAACACCTAGGACCCTTTGAACTTTACCTAAGTCCACCACGTCACCTAATGGCTCTCTAGTGAGCTCTCAGTACTTGACTTCTCGGCGCGCGCAACGGTATGTACATGTATTCAGTCAATGGTTTCTGATCAGGACATTTCAATGTTGAGTATCTGCTTCAATGTATGCCGCCAAGTGTTCTCGCAGTCGTTGGACTTCGAAGAACTGCGGAAACAACGTAGCTCATTGCTTCAGGGTCTTCTGGGAGAATTGTTGCTCAACATTGCATCGCATTAGTCACAAGCTTTTGCAGGCGGCACAATTGTCACTGACCGACGGCCACCACCACAGCAACATCCGTCAGTACAAGGCTGCCGAGATGGGACGCCGAAACTCAGTAATTGCTGTTTTCATTTTGTGACTGCAGTTGTTTCCCTCAGGACGATTTCACCATCATGACAAACACAATTGCGGCAGCGTTGGCAGGGGCAATGACAAGCATCAGTTTCCGAGCAGAGTCCTTTCCAACATGACTGTCCAAGTGCAGGCACAAATCTGCCACTGCCTTTTCTAGCACGTCAAAGGCTCAAAGTCACAGCAAGTGGAAGTCGCCAGCAAAACACGGAATCAAGAGGAATCCCGTTGAAAATACCATCAATTGAATTCGACATGTCCCCCGAATCATGTCTAGGTAAGTTTTGTATTTTCATGAGTAGTGCATATGGCCAACATGCCCATTGCATGGTGCCGATTGGAAAGGTTACTGTCGGATATGGTCAAGTCCAGCTCAGATTGACGCCGATCTATGGCTAGATTAGGACCGAACAGTTCTGTCTTATTGGTCTACATTGATGCAAAGGGAAATCCATCATGTACTCTGTATAACTCTCTTTTGCAGTAAAAGACAATACGCTGCCGAATGCCCTGATATTTCGGCACATCTAGGATACCACCACCACACACATGCGAGCACCCAATGCTGAGGACGGCAGAAGTGAGCATCAATGCAAAGGTACATGTAGCCTAGCACATACGGCCACAGCTCAAAGTACCTACCGATCTTACTTTTTGCATTCACAGCCTTCCGAAATAGAACCCCAAGTTATCAAGTACCCCGAAAAGTTCACAACAGCCAATGCCATTCTAGTGGGCATGGTTATGACATTTGTAGTGGTCAATTGGCAATGTGGGGTAGGTCGGTCGGCGTTACATACCTAGTAGCTTCAGGACTGGAGCACTTGCAAACAACATCACGACAACGTAATGGCACGCCTTGGCGATGACCAGCTACCACGAAACGAATGAGACGCTGCGGCACGAAATCTGGGTAGAGGTGGTTCCTTGCATTGGCCCAAACTCTCCATACTTTCCCTTCGCACGTCCCGACTTTGATTTCTTTTTCTTTTCATTCCCAAAGCGGCGGAGATCGGGGTAGCGCAGTACATGTAGCTCGACCCGTGCTTATTTGACGTCATGGATATTCACAACGTCGATGATGAAATTCCCATGAAGACTGGAGCCATGATCGCGGGGGTGCTTCAACCGCCTGTACAATTCCGATCTGATCGTATATAAAATGCTTCGATCCAAGTTGTTGTTCTTCAAGCCCAATTCTACACTATCCGTCCATAGAAAACAAACTCCACGAATCCTCGCAAAGTCCACACTCTACCTTACAAGACCTACAACAATTTCCAATACACAGACTCTCCGCATACCACGAACCAGAAACATGTCGTCCTTTTCCAACACGAACACTGGCTCCAAGCCCGCCGACCCTTACACGGCCACCAACAAGGATGAGCCCAGCCTCCAGGAGAAGTTTACTGCCCTTGACAAGTTCATCGATGCTCGCAAGTTTGGCATGATGACCACCCATGAGCCTAGCAGCGGAAAGCTAGTCTCCCGGTGTATGGCTGTCGCTGCCAAGGTACATATCTCCCAATATCTGCCCGAGTCGCTACGGTGAATTGCTAACATTTGTCTAGGAGGCTAATGGCACCGACCTCCTCTTCTTCACCAACACCGAGTCCAACAAGACGGACGAACTCAAGAGTGACCCTCAAGTCAACATCAGCTTCATCGACGGCTCGGGACAATGGGCTTCGGTCTCTGGAAAGACTTCCATTGAAACGGACCGCAGCGTAGTGAAGAAGCATTACAGCTCAAGCTTGAAGGCGTGGCTAGGCGACCTCGGAGACGGAAAGCACGACGGCTCTGAAAACGACCCTCGCATTGGAGTTATTCGGGTCAAGATTGATACTGCTACATACTCTCTCTCGGACAAGACGATCGTTGGTTTTGCTATCGAGGTGGCCAAGGGCGCCGTGACTGGAGACACGGCATCCGTCAACAAGTTGCGGGAGATTACTTCTTCGGAAGTCCAGCAATGGCGCACAAAGGCATAAATATCTCTGAATGACCTTTAATTTTTCGAGCGAGCGAAATTGAGGAGGCGAGCCTCCCACACTTAAATAATATAAATTCAATCTGCTGCAACATTCAAGAACGCTGCAATCCTGTCCAAATTGATTGTGTTACTATACTATAGTGCCAGTGCTTGATGGGGCACGGTTCAAGAAATGACTACCGGTTTCTTTCGAAAATTTCGGTTCTGCGCTACTATGAGGAGCACCCCAAAGCCCCCACTAATTACTGCAAAAGCTCCTGATTGATTAGCTAAGCATACGGGGGCCCATCCTCCAGTCAACAGCCTACTGGTTAACCAATCGTGAAAGCTCGAAATATGGGACAAAAAGAGGGGCGGCCTTACTGTAGCGCAGAACCGAAATTTTCGAAAGAAACCGGTAACAAATATCATGTCACCCATGTTGCATGAGCTCAGGCTTAGTCGTTGTCGTGTTAAGGCATTTTTCGGTGCCACGGTACTTGCGGGTCGGTCCGAAACCAGTTCTATACTCTTTTCGTTTAATACAAGTGGGTGTGCCCGACCTCTCGGGGGGAGCATCATGAGTGGTACAAGTCAGCACTCACACTAATGTGTTGGTAGTAGTTAAACTGCTGGAATCAAGAGTACATATTCCCGTGCGGTCCGCTAGACATCATTCCAATTCATGAAATCCACTCCAGGTGTGGATTTCTGCTTTGGGATAAAGACCAAAAAATAAGCGCAAAAACATACAACACCGGGGATTCCCCAGCCGTCACCGATCTGAGTACTAATCCGGCGCTTCTCAGTTTATCTAGGGCAGAGCGGACGGGATGCCGAGTTTTCTAAGAGCTATGGTCGTATGTGATGAAAGAGTGAATTACTGAAGAATATGGCAGAGCGTTCCCAGTGTGCACGAAAGGGAGCATAGTGAATCAGACGTCAAGATCACCAAATGCTAGATTCTCGAGACTTCAACGACATTTCTTCAGTTATATACAGGGATGGCTTAAATAGTACATTGAACTAGTATGTATTTACAAGCGGCCGATACTACTAAAAATTCATAGCCAGATTGCCATGTGTCAACTGTCGCACGCTACGACATCATCCAATCAGAAAAAGCATTCAAGTTGTAGTGAGGATGGACATATATCCCCTTAGTTGGCCTCAGAGCCGTGGGCACCACACTTTTCTTCGCAGTAGTAGGTAAACTATCATCTCATAGTTAGTATTGTATCATTGAAGTACAGACGAATACTTACCTCATCACCGCCAATGTGCCAATCCGCCGAGTTGCAACCAAGACCATCCTGAGTTTTTCAAAGTCAGTATCCACATGTATACAAAATGTGAGCCACTCAATCATGCAAAACTTACGAATGTGCAGTCAGGGCACTGGTCCCATTGGTTGTCGCCAGTGTTGCGGTTTCTGTAGTAGTCACAGGCACACTTTGTGGCATCGGGAAGAATCTCATAGTTCTTGACCCAGCTGTAGCTGACGCTGAAGGCAGTTCCACCAGAGGGGAACTCGACTCGGTTGTCGACGCATACTGCAGTGGAGTGCAGATCGGCAAAGACACTTGGCAGGGGGTTAGTACTGAGATGGGGAAGAACAAGACGTGTATCTGGAGAGATGGCTCACCCCGTAGCAGCGAACACTGCGAGGAACAGGCTCTTGACCGAAGTTGACTGGAAGTGCATGATGGCTGAGGTGGAATAGGACGGCTAAGATGCTCAATGATGTGTAAGAACGAGTGGAGTGTGGATCGGAGTGATTCTTGTGATGGATGAGATAAACGTGATTCTGTTCCGAGTCAAGATGGGCTCGCGGATGACTTATAACCTCTGATCCCTTTCAATGAAAGGATCTGCCAAGCGGAGCTCTTCTCGTGTTTGATTTCTTGGTATCTCTCGCATGTCGCCAAGCTCATGTTGGGATCGTCACGGAGGGAACCTTTTTTTATGCGTAAATAATTGTCTCTTGGATGATATCGGGTCCACAAAACCCACAAGATGCAGTGATTCAGCGAGCGATTATATCGTATCGCAAGGATCCGAGTTGAGGTCGTCAAGGTTGCAGACAAGTGACTGACTCAAGCATAATAACAAGCCACCTTTGCGGCTATGCAGACTATATCGACACCCGTTGATAAGTGGGGCAGTATGCGGATGTCGCAGTATGGTTATAGCACGTGTAGTATATCTTTGGCCGTAAAAGAGTAGGCGTCGGTGTCCGAAACCGTACAGACCCATAAAACAGCTTAAGCTTAATATATGAGCCAAGATGATGATGATCATAGCCAAGACTCTAGGATCTGCTTCCTTTGCAATGCCGACATCCAGCCCCCAAGACTGCAACGGTTATCACGGCCGTCGTGATGGAAGCGCAAAATATGATTCGCGTAGCCTGAAGATTGAGCAACAATGGCCGATCGCAAAAAGATCTCTTCAGATATGTATTTAATCATGAATAGATTCCTTGAGAATCATCATGTCTCACCACGCTCTTAATCATCACATCCACACATTCTTTGTTGCCCATTTCACAAGATGAAGACTTTCACCCTTTTCGCTCTTTCCCTCGTCGGCCCTCTCGCTGAGGCCGCTGCCATTATTCAAGGCGATCGTAATGGTCATGCAGAATGGAATTCGACATTGCCGCGCCCTGGTTTCCCTGGCATCTTGGGCAAGAAGTCTCTTGCCGGTCCCCTGAATGACACCTTGCCAGCCGGCTACTTTCTCCTGGCCAATGGCGGAAAGAGTAAACGTTTTCTGAATTATCTGCAAGATTGACAGATTGGCTGACACTTGTATCATAGCTGAGGTGGTCAATGAGGATCAGCTCAAGGCATTCCTCAAGGCCGAGGGAATCGCTCTGGCACCGTCCATCGACGAGTCTTGGCTGGACTTTACACCTCCTGCCGACGTCCTCGAGTCCCTCAAGGCCAACTCTTCAGCACTGTCGGCCCGCCAGTCCAGCTGCGAGAGGACCACGTCCTACGTGACTGACAAGGAGGAGCGCTTTGTCAACTGGGACGTGCAAATGTCCCCTGTGGTTCTGGGCACCGCTGAGGGCATCACCGTCTCTGTGGCTTCGGGCTACAGCGTCGCCAACTCGATTTCGGCCTCGGCCGGTATTGATGTTACGCTCATCAAGGACTACCTCTCGGGCTCGGCCGGCGTCGACTACACCACCACCTGGACCACCACTACTTCCAACACGTACACCACCACCGTCAAGGATGGTGATGCGGGTGTCTGGGTAAGCCCCCGCAATCTATGTCATAGATATCTTGATAAGAGAACAGGCTAACATATTTCGATTTCCAAGATCACGCGCCCCTGGACCAACCGCAAATCCGGACGTACCATGCAAGGGTGCCCCGGATCGTTGACCCAGACCGGCACTTGGCAGGCGGATTCCTACGAGGATGGGTCATATGACAATGCCAAGTGGGTGAGCGGCTTCATCACGACTTGCGTCAAGACAGCTCCTACCAGCGGGCAGCTGACCCGGTGCAACGGTGGAGGAGTCTTCGTCTAGACTACAAAAATGGGATTTTGGTAAAAGCACTCCAGCCGACGCCAGAAGCTCTACATAGAATTTTCTGTACATAGTGACACCGTCCTTTCAATATTTGGACGGTAGACTGTAAGTAGGGCATTGGGATGACCAGCTTGATGTGTACAAGCATGGGTGCTGCGTCACTCAAATTTTCAATTAGCATAACCTTTTGAATAGGAGGTGTTGTACACCCGATCTATAATATGTGCATTATATTAGGACCCTCGCAAAACAGGGCGATCTCTTAAATTAAAAGATGCCCCTGCATTCAAGTTGGTGCAAGAAGCCATTCTGAAACATACGAGGAGGATCAGATGCCAAGCGGCTAGTTGCGAAATCTATAGAAACCTGGGGGTGGCTTCCCTATAGCGAGAACCGACAGCCAACCATAATAGGCAGATACATGCGATGCGAGCCGTGTGCCGGCCAAGTCCAGCGGGACGACCCGCAATGCATGAAAGAGTCCCTGTTCGGATCCTGGCCGAATTTTGAGGCTGACTTGCCGATCTTGCATTGGCATCGGCCAAATAGAGTTCAACTGTACAGATTCGCTTTGCTTGGGATCATGGGTTACATCATGCTATTGACCAGGGATTGTTAATTCAGTCTCCCAACGAATGCACTAATCACGCCAAGGGTGGGCAGCTATAATAAGGCGATTACCGAAGATTCGGAACGTAGAAGTGACTCCCATGGATCAGGACTTACCCACGCACGTCATGGATAAGATCCCAATAGGGTGAAGAAAGCTATGCCAACATGACTCGAGTCAAATTATTGCGAGTAATTTATGATGTGCGGAATGCTTGGCTTGCCTTTTCCGGTATTACCCTTAATTCGGTTCTCGAAAGAAGTTTCGCCCACCTAGTTCAAAGGTCAGCCACACAAGTCTCGTCGGTAGCACCTTGTTCTTAAAGCCCCATGTACCCGCCATCGACATACTTTTTAGCTCTGACTAGTCAAACCCACGGAACAGAAGGAGCGGTATATCCCCAGCTCACAAACGCTATGAAGGGCGACATACCAGCCCTTTTTGTGGCTGGTCAGATAAGTCTCATTCATACCGTCGCACAAACCATGGCCTACAGGGGTGCCGTGTGTGCCCTGATGGAAGCCGCAAGCAACATAGGATCGCCATTCGCAGGTAATCACCATGCAAACAGTCTCGTAAGCGCAACGTTTGTTAATAATAAGGTCCCGGGAAAAGTCCGACGCAGATCACGCGCGACAAATAGCCAATTTTGTGTCTCTGGAGCTGTAAAGCACTGGTCATTTACGTGTTGGTGCTTTCACCTTCAAACATCATAGGTTGGTTGCATCTTTTGAGTAAGCTTTTGCAGAGTGTCCGCGGTCGATACGACATCTAAATTCATAACCATTTCTGTGATGCATTCTGGGCAGTAACCTCGTATGCAAAAAAGCTTAGCAAGCAGGTAAGTCTGCGATCAAGTTTCTATCCGGCTCTGGCGAAGAGCCGCCACCCACTTGACGCCCTCTTGGGTACTTAGGTATAGTTACTGTATAAACTATCTAGGTAAGTATGGGTAGAGTATCCATTGATTGGTTGCGAGAGCCTAGAGATGCATGATATAAGCAGAACCGTTGCGTCTTTATTTTGGCCAGCCAGCCGTCTCAGCCCCCAACCACTGCGTTTCGACACGACCTATTGCGGGATTATTTTTGATTAGGTTTGGAGTATAATCATTACTGCCCGGTGAAAGCATATCATCCGCGGACCTCCGAGGGCCCAAGTCAAAGAGATACCGTACGGTCAATTATACCCTGGACTACATACAGTCACCTGGCTGATATTCTATACATAGTGTTGTAATCCCCACAAATTTCTACACTTGAATCTATCATACATCAAAGCGGCCTTCTAGTCGTTTTTGTTGTACATGTGCATTTTGCTGCTGTTGACAAACTAGACACACTTCATTCTTCCCCATTTCTTCTTAAGCACAGTTTGCTCTTGACGCAGTTATTCACGATGAGACTAGGACCTGGCACTGCAGCACTCAGTCTGCTTTTACCAAGCGTAGCAGCTTGGGGCAGTAAGTAGAGCAGCGGGCGTACGGAGAATATGGCGTCTCACTCGAGGATGCCCCTAAAGGCTAGCAGTCGTGTACTGATCTCAAGAAGGACTGGGCCATATCACCGTCGCCTACATTGCCACCAACTTTGTCAAGGAGGAAACGGCCTCTTATTTTAAGGACCTTCTGGGCAACGATACGGAGCACTATCTCGCCGGCGTGGCAACGTGGGCAGATAATATTCGCTCCGAGGATTGGGCCCGCTTTACTGAGACCTTCCATTTCATCGACGCAAAGGACTCACCTCCCAAGTATTGCGGCGTTGATTTTACGAGAGATTGCAAAGCGCATGGATGCGTTGTCAGCGCTATCCAAAACTATACATCCCAGCTTCTGGATAACGACCTAGACGCCTCGCAACGCAATGAGGCCGCCAAGTTCATTATCCATTTTATTGGCGATATTCACCAACCGCTGCATACGGAAGACGTTGCCCAAGGTGGAAATAAAATTCACGTGAAATGGGGGCATTCACAGCCAAATCTGCACCACGTCTGGGATACGAGCATTGCCGAGCAGATACTAGGTGATAACCACGAAGGCGACGGGGCTTACACCTGGGCCTCGGATCTCACCTCTGAGATTATAAAAGGAAAGTATGCAGCAAAAAGCAAATCATGGCTAGGTGGCTTACAACTCGATGATCCTATCACTACCTCGATGAATTGGGCAAATGAGACGAACTCTTACGTGTGCACCCATGGTAAGTCCCGTCCCCTTTTCATTCATCTGAGGGAAACAGGCGACTAAAAAAGAAAATCATAGTGCTCCCGGAAGGCCCAAGTGCTATTGTTGGTCAACAGCTGGCTGGCGGATACGCCAAAAAGGCTGAGCCAGTTATTGAAATCCTCATCGCTCAGGCTGGGTACCGACTGGCTGCATGGCTGGATCTTATTGCTAGTCGTCTGAATGCAAGTGGTATCAGGGAGGATGGGCAAGCCGTCAGTATACTAGGCGACGAACTCTAAAGCGGAGCGACGTGGGATTCAAAAGAACTTCCAGACCATTCGGGCGAGGTATGTGTAATGTATGTCGTGTAGCTTTGGGAATTCTTTTTTGTTGTTGTTGTTGTTGTTGTTGTTGGGTGGGGTGGGGGGGGGGGGGGCTCTATTCTATACAGCCGCCTTGAGCTCATGCAAGATTTCTGATCCCAAGCATGTGTATTTATTAGTACGAAAAGAAATAATGATGATCTGAACCACCAGAATAGCATTTCTCCGTCGGCATCTTTTCGCAACGAGTTGGCGACAAAATTGAAAATACCATTGGCTTGACCTTGATCACCTGCAAGTCTCGCGGTAGGCCATTGCTAGTTCACAATCTCAGCTCTTCACGATTAACATATTTGTACCTGCATTGTGAATAATTCTGTTGAAACACTACAGCCCAATCAAAACATTCGTTTTCCTTGCAGAGACTAAAGCAGTATGGGATACGCGCCTCGCCGCTCTGCGCCAGAGCATCAGACGGCCACCGAGCACAGTGCCGGATCCTATCTCGAGGCCTTCCGCGGCTCGAACCTAAAGCGCACGTTGGCTGTCATCTGGCTCTTTGTTGGAGCCGGTCTTGCCTACGCTCCGGGCCAGGGTCCTCTCTGGGCTATTGCCATTCTCATGTGAGTAGTCACACTCTGTTCTCGTCCGAACACGCAGGGAATCATTTTTGCTGACCCGCCAATTTTTGAAGGAATATACTCATCTCCTGGCAGATTGTCACCATGACTTCGGTCGGATGGGTCATCACTGCCGAAGTGTCATCCTATCGCCTTCGTGGCAAGACGCAGTCAATAGCCGTAATCTCATCCGCTTTCGCCACGGGGTTCTTTACATTCACCGTGCCCTAAATATACAATACTGACGCTGGTGATCTCGGTGCGAATGCAGGCTTCGTGTTCATGGAATCCTCGGTTGTTCTCCTTCTTGTATCCATTTTTATCGTGCCTGATGTTTACGGATTCACCACGGAAGAGGTTGATTGGCTTTACAGCTCCAAGATTTCCGTTCGTCACTTCCGAAAGTACGCCGATGGCCGTGCCAAAGAGGGGGCCGCTGCTATGGCCAGGGAGAGCCAGTAGTTGGCGCTGGGTATTAGCCTAGACCAGGGCTCGTAACGCGATCTCTTTTGGACGACCCTGTCAAATACTAAATGATCAAGACAATATACCAATAAAGCATCATGCGTTCTTCAATTCCTTTGATCGTCTAGATTCAATCATTGTTTGGATCCAGGTGACAGAATTCAGAGGGCTAGTTTTGACATTAGGATAATCTATCAATTGCCAGCTGCTTGTGTGTATAGGCAGAGATTTATTGATCATAAATTCAATGGAAGTCTGCTCACTTCCTGAGTATAACCTCAGTATGAGACGAGTAAGCTATGGGCGCCTTCCATGTATTCCTATCAATAACATATCTCATCTTCCTGCTGTTTCATTCTATCTCTTGCCTAGAACGGGAACGATACCGTATCGGTGGGTGCAAAGGGCAACGGCTTCCACAGTGCCTGATGACCAAAGTTCCACAAGCAGTCGGCCCAGGTGTTCCAGTAATGAAACCCAAAGGGCACGACGCGGCCGACATAGGGCACTCGGGCAGTATCGAACGCCGCCTGGAGGTTGCGCACGTCCTCGAAGGCAATGTCAAAGAGCCCGACCCCCGTGTAGATTCCCCTTTCAAGGTATGACGGCTTGGCCTCCACCATGGATGCGTTGATATACTGGTCCGCCGGGGTGCCGGGGCCTAGCACGCCCGAGAACATGCCAAAGTACGAGAAGTAGTCTGTCGCGTTGATGTACATTTCGTAGGTCAGCAGCGATCCGAGCGAGAGGCCGGCAAAGGCGCGGTGAGCGGGATCTGTGGTCACGTTGTAGTGCTCCTCTACCCACGGGAACAGGTACTCCATGTAGTTCTCACGGATGTAGGCCGAGGTTGGGGTCTGCCCGTTGGTGCTGTACCCATACTGGAAAGCATACTCGGGGGCCAGATTGTAAAACGACGGCATTACGACCACGGTGGGTTCGATATGACCTATGACAGGTATAGGAGGGGATACTCTTTTTCTGCATCTGCGCCATAGCCGTATGGCAGGTAAAGTGTGAAGTCGTGTACATCTACCGCTGGGTGAATAGACCCTGGCGACGTGTAGTTGAGCGTCTTGATCGTTCCCCGGTAAGACGCTTCCACTGGCAGCGCATAGTCAAGACTCAGCCCAATGTTGGGGTATTCTTGGAACTCCGAGTCAAACGGCACCTGGAAACGCGAGGCGATTTGGTCTCCAAGCACGTTGACAAAGGGCGGGTTTTACGGATCGATCACGTACCGGCCAGTGCTCAGGGTGCACTCGGTCACGTTGTAGCAGTCAACCTCGAAGGCATACTGGTAAGTGCCCGACGGCAGAGGCGTTGTATACTGCCAGTTCCCCTGACCGTCCGAAGTCATGTTATAGGGTGTGTCCGTTGCGAGACCCAGGGACCGGAACCACCCGGATTTGTAATTCTTGGGGTCATAGTTGGCGCTGGCCTGGGCGCTGACGTGAAACTCGTCGGTAAAGGTCTGGAGGCCGCCAGCAATGGTAACTTGAGTGGCCGTGTCGTTAAAGTAGGTGAACTGCACCTCATAACCGGTTGGAGCCTGCCCAGTTTTCGTCACGACTACACCGGCGCTAGCAAGTGTAGCCCATAAGGGTGCACGAAAAAGAGCGGAGGAATACATTCTGGAGACACCTTGGTATACTAGACCATTCACAGGTGCGAGGTTTGACGATCAATAATGTTGGGCCTGATCATGTCTCGAGAACAGAAAGTAGAGAGCTTAGCCCCGGCGCTATATGGTCTTTGGTTTGGCATTGAGTTGTTTGGGGTATCGACCAACTCTCCAACAATACTAATCTCGCTTTTAGGTGGACTTGTGAAGACCTCGAGCTGCAGTACTCCATTTCCCCACCTTACCAAGGATATTATTATCCAAGATCATATTGATAATACAGCTTCTTTGACGGGAACAAACATCAACGTGTCCCTCGAAGTTGGGGAATGTAGCATTGCATCCGGACTGCAAGCAAGGTTTGGTACCCATGCCGATCGACCCCGAGCACCCAGAAAAGTAAGTCTGCGTGGCTTCAGGTTTACTCGTGCCCCAGTATACGCATCGTGGTGGTCCTTGCTGACTGCGCATTCTCAACGGACACAAAGTATGTGTAGCTTTGCTGCTACAGTACGCAAACCAACCGGAAACGAGTGTCGGAACGCTTTCAGAGACTAAGAGCCACTGGAACATAACCGACGAGCATAGAGACGACTGAGGCAGAATCTCAGGAGCTGGATACCCAAAATGATAATGCCAAGAAATAGACTGTATACCCTGTTTCGCTTTACTACATTAGGGGCATGTGGGGAAATGGGGAAACTGGGAGCAGAGCTCCCTTAGAGGTGGACGGCATTGGGGGCTTTGAGGGTGGACGCATGCGTAGACGCTGCACGTGACAAAACATCATTGACAGGTGGACGCAATTATACTGACAGTATTCGCTTAAAAGTAATGCCAGTGAGTCATGATTACTTGCGGAACGCATTTAGATTCAAGATCTGTATAGGAGGGAAATTCAAATAGTGAGATACAAATTTACAACTCTACCTTGCTGCTTCTACCCATCGCCTACATGCCGGTCAAGCCTGAAAAGACGGTGTTCTGAAATTCACTGTTTTAACGAGTTGATTATTGCAATAATAAGGGTAAGCATAAATATTAATAACTCATTCCTAACAAGTCTGATATAACACTTCGACTTCTGGGAGTATCACAATTTTGCCGCCGGAAATTGCGTTCAACGGTCGAATTTAGCAGAAGTAAAAGATGACTAAAACTTTAAAATCAGAACAAGCCAACGAGATTCGATAAATACCAAGGGAATTAAAGGCTTAATCAATCCTTTTATTCACACGTAAAAGATACGCTATTCCCCCGGTTCTTTGGATGTATTGCGCCGTACCATATAACCACTATTAGGCTAGTTCCTAGTGTGGAGCTTCACATTTTGTTCAGCTAGTGCAGTGGTTTGGTGCGTCAGGATGATAAGGCAACAGTATCGGGCTATAATATACAGGATACGTCATTTAAAGGAAGGTTCTCTAGTAGTAACTCGAAGGGGAGAATATAGACAAAGCCAACTAACGCATAATTAATTTACCAGAGCTTTGGTTTCTTTGTGAACTCCATCTGCGAACTTTCAAACTAAAGTAATTAGAACGCCTTCTCCGTCTTGATTATCGTGTAAGGTCGATCTAGTGAATCGAAGTCATGACGTCCTGGCTCTGATCTAGGGACCACTCTTAATAATGCCTAATGATATCCTGCTATTAGGAGATAGCCTAGCCCACTCTCTCGCGTTCGATGCTTCTGGCTCGGGCTATGCAAGCATTTCGAATCTCTGAAATCTCCACGCGTAGCTTGGTCAGATTCTTCATCTTCTGATCGACTCGTTTCAGCGTTTCGTGGGGTAGGGTGCCTTTGCGATACAACTCAATGATAGTGTCAGTCTCTGAAAACCATTCCAAGGGTAGCCTTATTCGGGCCCATTCTGCCATTGCATTGCCATGACTCAAGACTCGTGGCATTTCACACTTCTCAATTCTGGAAAACACCGGGCAAGGTACCGCTCGAAGAATCTCCTCTACCAGCTCAACATCACCTCGCTGGAACGCGAGCTCAAAAGCAGACCTCTGTCCATAGGGACATATATTGCAAGTGAATGTCCCGGTAGAGGAGCTACCGTTATGGCAGCAATGTATCTTTCTGTCTCGTGGCCAGAATACACAATACTTGATTAACAGGCGTGCGAGATCCCTGTGACCTGCTGAAATGGCTCGCATAAGAGGTGTCGGTCCTTCGTCGTCTCCCAAATAAGTATTTCTGGCAGGCCTGAGTGACGGAAAGCTGCGACTAAGGAGCAACGTGATAGCCTCAATATCACCCCTTTCGGCATTAATATGCAACCACGGGATTGTCATCCATCTCTGTTGTGATGGAACACTTCTGTGGCGCCGATAGAATGCTAAGCCTTGATCCCATAAGTCGTCTAACTGTCGCCGGTTCAAGAACCAGGGAAAGAACTTGGCTGCTTTCTCGTCCGACTTCGTTTTCGACGGACTGTAAGCAGAACCATCTTTGTTGACTGATCGGCTTGGGAGATAAGAAATCATCCAGTCAAAGACAAGTGATCGAGCTTTCTCTGAAATCCAACCGTGCTGCATGATTTTAATGCAGCCATTAAGGTGCTCTTTCATTCTTACAATTCGCGAGTCCAGGACGTCGTATACATGGCTGCTCACCAAATTGCTTGGAGAGCCTTGCGTCAATAGATAGCGCAAGCACTCGCTGTCAGGATTGGCAGCATCGTCGCACATGTCCACGGCTGTCTCAAAGATGGTCTTCCCAGTGACAGGTTCAATGACGTCTGTTCGGGCACAGGCATCGAGGAGAGCATTGAACGACTTGTTGATTCGTTGCATTTTTATCAATGGATTGGCTCCAAATCGGACAAGCGTTTTGAAAATGAATGGATCAAATTCACTGGCGGATATGGACAGAAGTGGTACATCTACAAACAAAAATTAGCATGGTTCGCCAAAACATCCCGAATTTACGCATCATGCTCTAAGAAATCTATAGATCGCAATCACGCACTTGTAGTTTGATGCAGACGAAGGCTCAAATAAAATACGGATTCGGTGAAGGTCATTCACTTACCATGCTCATCAAAGAATGGTGGCGGGGGGTTATTGAAGTCGGCGCCAAGATCGATGAGTTTGGAGATGATCCTTGGAACATCCTCATCTAGTGAATCGCCCGGAAAAGTTTTGGTTCGCTCCAAAAGCCGGTAATTCAAGTCATACAGATAATTGTACAGAGTCTGGTGGCAAAAGTCTGTTTGCTTACACAGCAGCAGAATGACATTCTCGACATGACCATCTCGAAGAGCTCGTTCTAGTATGCAAGTGTCGCTAGAGCGATTCGCTCCATGCTCGAGGAGCATCTGCAAAATCGCAGTAGTATCCTCATGACGTATGGCAGCGTGATAAAAGGGCGTACGCCCAAATTTATCTGGCATGTCGACTTCAATGTCCCCTTCTGCGAGCAAATGCTGGACGACCTTGACATGGCCACATGCTGCAGCTTGATGTAGTGCGGTGGTTGAGACGATTGGCTTAAGAGTGTAGGGCATCCTGAAGTATTTTCGGGCCCCATGCTTTAGAAGAATCAAGGCTACTTCTTCGTCTTCTCGATGCTGGCTTTGTGAAAAGTATAGTGCCGAAGATGAATCGCTGATGCGATAAGGGTGATCGCTGACGTGTGCACCATCTGGATTTGCTCCATACTCTAGAAGCAATTTCAGGCAATCCAATGATCGAGACTCCAATGCCATTGAGATTGGCCGGGCTGTCATCCCGGACGAATAGTCGTGGACCTCTCTGTCGACATCTACACCGACAGCCAGTATTTTCTGAAGGGTCCGAGGCTTGTGACGATTAATGGCCCAAGACATGGCGTAAAGTCCGTGGCCTCGATCCCAGTGATAGAGCAGCGGATTGAAGACCCCATGAAAGTGTCGACTGGTCATTGTCAACGATACGAGGTCGTTGACAGCCCCATGTCTAGATTGAGGAGCGGCATAGTTGGTAGCGGCATCTGCGTAGACATAATCACCAATGATTCTCAGGAGCTCGACAGGTAAGGCTCCTAAGCTGGCCATTATGATTTCCAGGTTCTTGCGAATTTAGGCGTCGTTGCCGAGGTCGAAGAGTGGTTGCATTTGTCCTGTTGAGAATAATAGACTTCGCGTTCTCGTGGGCTGGTGGACAAGTTGTGAAGGGCAGCTGTGGGTTGAAGTCGTAGATGGCAAGAGCGTTTTGCGTTTGCTTCCGTCTAATGGAAAATGAATGTGTAGGTACCTAGGTATCTGAAGGAATCAAATGTCACTACTGGGTGTTGCTAGGAATAAAATAGCTCGATTTTGTGGTGTCGAGCGCGTTTGTTTCGCATTGAATTATTCCATTGTTACTTACAAGACAATGGCATAATCACAACGGCAAGGACATGATTATTTCATTCTGAGATCCGTCTATTAAGTCTTGTCTCACTCCCTGGCACATTATGCAGTGTGCACACATTGTCTATTCCTATGTAAGGTTCTTTCCATTAAATCGTCGGCACGTTTGATGCATCTGGATCATTATGTCGTCGGCCAGTATCCATTGTGTCGTCCATGAACCAGAGTGGCTGTTTTCGTAAGGCACGTCGCTCTCCATCCATTGATGGGTATTTCCACAGAGCGAACAAACGTAGAAAGCACTTGAAGGATTGTCCAAGAAGCCTACATTATAGAAACATATATAAATTCTTTGCCTTACTTTAGCTGAGTCGTCGGAATGGGGGGAAAATAAAAACTTGCTAGCTACATGTAGTCTGGGTGCAACATTGAAAGCGCGGAGCTTATCGCGAACCCCTGGCCCAAGTTGCCAAGTGCGTAAGCTGGTGTGGGCGAGCCCCGTTATAACAACGCGGAGAGGCCCGTCTCGGCATCTAGAATTCCCTTTTAGTGGCAGAGCCTCCAGCCAATTGGGCGGCCAAGACAAATCAAGCTTTTGAGGCTTTGCTCGTTTTGTCGTGTCCATCCGGTCACCAAAGTCCCCCAGCTCCCAGGTTTTGCTAGGGCCCAGGAGACTCCCCAATCATGCCAGAAACCTTTTCTCATTATGTACAGTTTTCTCTGCCCCATGCAGCAGGTCACTCGTTCCAATGGCGTCCACTTTTGCACTGATAAGGGAATGACTGACACCTCGGCTGGACCCTGTCTGCATCTGTCCGGGGTGGCGATAACCGGCGGCGAAGATAGAGAGGATTGAAACTTTTTTTTTGCCCGCTCTTCTCGATTCAAAAACCCACTGTGGGCGCGCATCCTGTTACACACGCGGTCGCGTGCTTTACTCTTCTTTCTTTTCCTCACCTGTGTCTGGCCGAATCACCTCGAGGTCCCCGCGCCACCAGCCTGCCAGTAGTCGTTGGTTAGTTGATTGATCAATCGATTAATCACGAATTGTGTGGTCGTGCCCCTCCTCACACGCCTGCCCCCCTTTGCTTGAAGCCTGGAAAACTAGGCTCAGTCAGATACGTGCATACGTTGGCTGGCGCAACAAGACCCGCATTTCACAATGGCCGACATGCAGCATGCAGACGAGGAGAAGCAAATCGGCCACGACGTCTCTGGTGTCGCCGCAGACAGCTCCAGCGATGAGATACCCGGTTATCTCCGCAATGCGTCGCAAAAGGGATTCTTTGGCAAGCTGCGCTACTACGAGGAAGCGCTCGACAGAAAGCTCGGCGTAGAGTCTCACGGCATTGCGAGAAAACTTCCCGAGGACCGCGATCCTAGCTATGCGAAATGGTCAAACCAGTTGGTCATGTTTGCTCTCTGGGCAAGTGGAACCATGAACCGTAAGTACTGCTGTGTATTTCAGCAAGTCCATACTCAATAGGCTCTAACCCGCAAATGTATAGTGAGTTGTTTCGCCACCGGTTTCCTTGGTTGGGAACTTGGTCTTGACCTTCGTCAGAGCATTCTGATTGTCGTCTTCTCGACACTCATTGGCAGCTCCGTCACTGGCTGGTGCGCCACAATGGGTGCCCCGACTGGTCTTCGTCAGATCTCCATTAGCCGATACTCCCTTGGTTGGTGGCCATCAAAGGCCATGGCTCTGCTCAATGTGGTCGAGCAAATTGGCTGGAGTTCCGTGGGATCAATCACTGGCGGTGTCGCTCTGAGCGCCGTCAGCGATGGCAAGATTGGCAGTGCCCTTGGCGTTGTCATTTGCGCTGTTGCCGGCCTCATCATCTCATTCTTTGGGCTCAAGGTGGTTTTCCACTACGAAAAATTTGCATGGCTAGTATTTTTGGTCATCTTCATGGTCATGTACGGAGAGACTGCCAGCTTTGGCGACATCCACACACCGACAACGCTTGAAGGCTCTACTTACAGCGGAATGCTGCTTACCCTCTTCGGCGTTGTCTACGGTTCGTCGTCTTCATGGGCTAGTGTTGTAAGCGACTACTATGTCGAGTACCCCGTCAACACTTCGAGAGTCAAGGTGTTCCTCCTGACCACTCTTGGTATCTGTATCCCGACTTGTATCGGTATGGTGCTTGGCTGCGTTGTAGCAAGCGCACTTAACAGCAAGGAAGACTGGGCTAGTGAATACGAGGAAGGCATTGGCTTCCTCATCCAGACCATGGTTCACCCCTATGGATTTGCCAAGTTCATTCTGTTCCTGCTGGTCTTGTCTGGAATTGGCATGAACTGCATTGCCATCTACTCGGCCGGTCTGAGTATCCAGGTTCGTTCCGACTTCGAGCCATGTGCTTTGAGTCACCTGCTGACTATGAAATTTAGCAATTCGCCAGACCATTGGCCATCGTTCCTCGATTCTTCTGGGCGCTTCTGTGCTTTGTCGCCGTCATTCTTCTTGGACTTGCGGGCAAGGATCAGCTTTTGACATATCTTGAGAACTTTCTCTCTCTGCTTGGATATTTCACGACTTCCTTCTTCGTCATTATTTTCGTCGAGCACTACTGGTTCCGCAAGGGCAGTTACGCAAACTACAACTTGGATTCTTGGAACAACCCCAAGGAGATGCCTGTTGGTTTTGCTGGAGGATTAGCGTTTGCTCTCGGTATCATTGGTGGTAAGTGTCCTACGTATACCTCGGGATCTCTTCTTGCTCAACGCTGACTCTTTTGTGCTAGCTGTTCTTGGAATGTCGACAACTTGGTACGTTGGTGTCATTGCAATAAAGATTGGCGACTATGGTGGTGATGTCGGAAATCAGCTGGCCTTTGTTTTCAGTCTTTTCGTCTACGTCCCAGCTCGTTACCTGGAACTGAAGTTTGTTGGACGATAGATGGTTGTATACATGTGATGGTCGGAAAGCCTGCCAATTAGATCATATCACCCAAGGCTCACTCCTTGGAATAATAGTGACGACTTCACCCTCCCACATGAACTCGCGCGCCTAGATCTTGTGATATTTGTGCCCAATCGGAGCAGTTTCGGACTGTTCTTGTCGTTTATTTGTTTGCCATTGATGAGGCACCAATAGGAATGAAGTGCCGACGGTCAGCTTCCCGACTATTTGGTGACATGCTGACACCCTCAGCACTAAGCTGTGACGATGCCTGGTATATGGTATATAATAGATCCGAGAATAGAACCCGAGAGACCGAAATGCGCCGAAATGAGAGGCAGAAGAGACAGGAAGCAGCAAGAAATGGGCCCAAATCAATAACAAGGCAACATTCACGTGTGCCCAGAGGTGACAATGTCTTGGCTGGTCTTGGAAAAGCTTGATTTGACCTTGACTGGGACACCTGCAAAGTAACCATGGGTAGGTGACTATTCCGCTCCACCCCTGGCTAATAAACCCTGTTACATTACGCGGAGTAGTATACACTAATGCTGACCTTGAGATCCACCTTGCCAACCTCAGCATGGCTGCCGCCGAATGTGCCCTTTATGCTTTGGATTTCCATACCTCGACCACGTTGACTGATTGACCACTATACACGGGTCGTGCCGCCAGAAACCTGCTAACTTTGATCTTTTTGAGATCTGAGATGCTAGATTGGGACTTTGAAAGTTTTATCCCCCTTCGTGGACTGCCCGAACAGCGCCGCGAACACGCCGTGGCTTCAGTCACCAGATGCGGAAATATAAGCGCTTACAGAAATATTGCATCCGAGGCTTCCCTGAAGGTGACTAGCACAGGGAATAAACCACAACAAGTAATAGCATGGACATTCAGATATTTATCGCCGAAGTCCTTGGCTACATTCTCCCGAGCCCGAACTGCGCGCGATGCTACCGGAATGCATTACATCCATGTGGGCGCTGGGTGTGGCACCTTGCCTGTGCCGAACGCCGGTTACATCATGACCAAGCACAACAACAACAACAACAGACGAAAATGCGGCCGACTGTATTGGCTGCCGCCGCGCTGCCACCGCCCTTTTTCCGTTCCTAGGCCTGCAGGGAAGAATAAAGTGTTCTAGTGAGTAGAAGTTGACGACAGACACTGATTTACACAAGTGCTGATGCGTCTTCGAATTAGACAAACCCGCAACTACTGCCGATTACCCGTAGTCTAAGCAATTCGCGGTCCTTCTTAATTCTCGACTGCTATGGAATTGAGTCGAGCTACTTACTTATGCATTCTATCCTGCACAGGCTAGTGGCACATTGGAAACTCCCGTCAATGTTACTCGAGTCGCGGACTTGGTGTACGACTTATATCCGAGCCATGCCGATCAAATCGGAATGCACACGCATTGCACATGCATATGCATATACCATGCACAAAAGAATGACTGTCTGATGACTTCAACAAAAAGAAGCAAAACACTGACAACGGTTTTTTCTTGGCCTCCCTTGAAGCTTGGCAACACTTTGGTATCCACGAGTTGCGCGTTCAGGCTGACCAATGTCTGTGTTGCTGATGTAAAATTAAGCTTTCACTGTGCCCATCTGCAACATGGTCGCGCTCAGAGTGGGAATCTGGTGGGATCAGTGGGAATTCTTCAACCCCACGGATATCCCGCAGCGCCCAGTGATCGACACTGCTCAGTGCAAAACTAAACCAGCCTCGCATGCACAGGCATCTGTGCGAAGTGGATTCCATCTCAATTCTTCCGTGTCCTAGTCCCGATTGTCTTGACTATGTATGGACACTTGAAAGGCCCGTCGGCAGTGAGCAAGCAGCATGTCAGTATACGTAGAAGTGTTTACCATCCGTACTTTCGCATCTTCCCTGATCCTGCCACCAGGAAATTCCGCTACCTCTTTGGCCTGTCTATACGTCTTTTGCAAGGTCCGGGTCGCACGGCAGATCGCCTTTTCCCCCTCTCTCCCTCTCTTTTCACTACCGTGGACATTACGTCGAGACGGAGAAAATCCAGGGCTAGCTTCCAATATCCCTTGAGCAAAGACATGGCTCCTTGGGCAGGGTGTCGGACGGAGCTATGTCGGTATCGCTGATGCCACTATGATGCCCCTGCAACGATGCCCTTGACGAGACCACTGCTTAGTGGTAGCCCTGGCTCTCATGATTATGGATGTGTGACTGGCCGATCATCATCAGGCGGGAACAAGTATAAAGATGTAGATTATGTCTGCAGAAGAAACGAGTTTGTTTCCTTGTAGACACACGGCTAGATCTTGTCTCTGCTTGAGCTCGCGATACTCTCTTGTCCTCTAGTTGATTGTCCCAAGTCTTTGGTCAAAACACTTTGCAAGAAAGATGCAGCTGAAAAAGTCGACCGTGGCCTTCGGCCTTCTGCCAATGGCTCTGGCTCGTCCAGCTCCTCAGTCAGTCAATCCCTATCCCCCATCCTTGATAGTCTTGAGACTTCTTGTTTAAAAGACATTCAGTTCGCCTGTATCCCGAGATGTATAGCTGACTTCTCTGCAGAATGGATTACGGAGAGAACTCTGGTGACGTCGCTGGTGTCTCCCCTCAGATTCCACAGGCAACCGCAGCCTCTGGCTCCCTCTACGGAGATGAGAGCCTACTCACCGGCTACGCATCTCGTCCGGCCATCTCGGGAGGTGACTCTGCCGTGGTCGAGGATCCAGAGCTTGTGAATGGCCAAGAGGCCTCGGAGAAGCTGGGTCTATACCTCGACTTCAACAGTGTCGAGAAGCCTCAACCCATTCGTGGATCCAAGGGCGCCACAGACCCTGGCCCGAGTAAGTCAAGTTCGTAGTCGCCGGTTTGAGAATGCTTAACTGATTGTTGCCCCAGGAACATTCGAGTATGAGAAGTTGAACCCGGACCTCTATGCTCCACCCTCAACAGATCAGGGAGATGTGCCAAACGCCATGTGGCCTCTTGGGTAGGGTACAGAAATACCTTTTTGAAAAGTTCGCGTTTCTAACTTGTGTATAGACTTTCCCACAACAAGCTAGGGCAGGACAATGCTGGTTGGGCTCGTCAACAGAACACGGCTGTACTGCCTATTGCAACCAAGATGGCTGCTGTAGACATGCGTCTTGAGCCTCACGCCTACCGTGAGCTTCACGTAAGTGACCTATGATAGTCTAATCATCCGGATGACGAAAGGCTGACAATTGCAATGACATAGTGGCACACGGCCGGTGAATGGGCTCTCATGCTCAAGGGTTCCGTACGGCTGGCAGCCATTGACGACAATGGCAAGAGCTTCATCGATGATATCACAGCTGGAGATGTGTGGTTCTTCCCGCCTGGTGTGCCGCACAGCATCCAAGCTCTGGAGGAGGGCTGTGAGTTCATGCTCGTCTTTGACGACGGCGATTTCTCCGAGGACGGAACCTTCCTCGCCACCGAAATGTTCATGCGCACACCCACGTCCGTCATGTCCAAGAACCTGCAGGCCAACGTCCAAGAGTTTGAGAATGTTCCGGACAAGGAGCTCTTCATCTTCAATGGAACTCCTGCGCCTGCCGATATCAAGGAGCAGAACATTACTTCTTCTTCCGGCTCCTCCGTCGGCACCGCGGGTTACACCTATCACTGGTCGCAGCAGGCGCCATACGTAACGCCGGGCGGTTCCGTCAAGATTATCGACCCGACCACGTTCCCCGTGGCCGACATGTTCTCGGCTGCCCTGGTCGTGGTCGAGCCGGGTGCCATGCGCGAGATCCACTGGCACACGACCTCGGACGAGTGGAACTACTTCCTGCAAGGCAGCGGCCGCATCACCGTGTTTGCCGCCCCCAGCGCCGCCCGTACGTTTGACTTTACCGCCGGCGACGTTGGCTACATTGAGGCGGCCAACTCGCACTACATTGAGAACACGGGCACCGAGGATGTCATTTTCCTCGAGGTTTTGCAGGCGCCCAAGTTTACCGACGTCAGCTTATCTCAGTGGCTGGCGTTGACGCCGCGCCAAGTCGTCAAGGACACTCTCAACCTGACCGACGAGCTGCTCGACAGCCTGCCCAAGGACAAGACGCTCATCAAGCCAGGCAACACGAACATGACTGCGCTGGCTGGTGGCGGCAGCAACTTTTTAAGAGGATATAGTCTAAATCGATCCTTTCGTGTCGCTAATGATGATTATAATTTGAGGATAGACATGTCGGCCTTCTTGTACATAGTTCACATAAATTTTGTCCCTCTCATCTGGAACCATTGGCGCAAGTGACATTGTGTGAGAATCCCAGCCAAAAGGCCTCCAAATGATTGGTACACAACGAATGACAAGCATTGGGGGCTGCATGCAGAAAGAAGCCCAAGAAAGCTTAATTTCACCCGGGATACGTCGCCAGATTTAGTATCACACTCATGGGCACTCTAAATCTCCAATGTTGCCATTCTCATCCTTCCCTCGACCTTCTATAAACGGCAAGTATGGTGTTGACCAGTGCGGGGCCCGCGCTGCCTACCAGGTTTCCGAATCGAGTCGCCTTTGGAATTTGAACTACTCTGTCCATGATTTTGTCCCGTTCATTCCAATTACCTAGTGCGAAAGTTGGCGGTCTGGTGCAATGGGATCCTCTAGTTACCATTCTTCTCCTCCTCCCGCAAGTCATTCTAGTGTCGCTTCTCGGAATGGCCAGCCCACCGCCTTAGCAGAGGCCCGAAGCTAGTCCTCCGAGTCGGGAAGTCAGTTGAGGCAGTCAGATGAACGATTGTCACCTTCCTTACTATGCGAATGTTTTATGTCACTCATTGTCCATCAAGGTAGTAGAAGTCAGAAAGGGTCTGAAGGCCTACAGAACTGATGTTATAAGACGTGCACTATCCCGTTGTTCATTGCCAAGCTAGCCAAGGGAAACCCAAAGGCACGGAACGGCTGCAGCCAAGTTCTATCAACGGAAGAGAAACCACCCCTGTCAGAACGTTTGAAGGGTATCTGCGTCAATACCTATACAGGGTCAAGATGATGCAGCAGACCGGTCTCCTTGGCTTGCTCGCCGCGGCCACTTCCGTCTCGGCGGGCGTGATCAAGGTCCCCTTGAAGACTCGCGCTGCGGGAACAAATGTGCCCGTCACAGACTGGTTCAATCGAACCGACAACCAGGTATGTATACTCATAGAGATCAAACATATTTGTAAAGCGATTCATTGACTAACTCGTGCTCAGTGGTACAGCACCATCTCTGTAAGAAGCCCAAACCATCTTTTTGTTGATAATCCTTGGAGATCCCATCATGATTTCCAGTCTGAATTTCCCGAGACACACCTAGTAGTAGATGATACAATGATTCAAATCAGGTTACTGACATTGCCATAGATCGGCACGCCCGCTCAAGAATTGTACGTGGGGGGAAGTAATGAGAATATGGCGGTTTATAGCTAATTGAGTTGGTACAGGTCGGTCCTTTGGGATACTGGCTCCGGTGCCCTGCTCATCCCAAGAAGCACTTGTACGACATGTGGTGACAAGACCCTGTTCGACTCTTCAAAGTCCTCGTCGTTTTCCAATACGCCCGGCACACGGCAACAGGCTCTCTTCTCTACTGGCGCCGACTCGATCCCATTCACCGTACCAGAGGGTGCCGTGGGCAACCTGGTTCACGAGAAAGTAGCAATCGGTGATCTGATTGTCGACAGCCAGGAGATGCTGCTATGCAGCAAATATGCCGCGGCTCTGGATGTCATGCCCATTGATGGCATCATGGGTATGGGCCCGTACCAGGCCAACAGCGCCGAAAAGTCGTGGTACTGGAACCTCTACGAGAACGGCCTCCTCGACTCGCCCGTCTTCTCCTTCTACACGCCGGCGGGCGACATTGACGGCGGTGAGATCACGCTCGGAGGTATCGACGACACCAAGTACGAGGGCGCTCTCAACTACACGGCATTCACATCGGGCGGTTTCAACCTTGCGCAGTCCTCCGTCTTGATTAACGGTAAAGCCTTTACCGGAACATCCGCCAAGGGCACTGCAATCCTGGATACTGGTACTGCGTTCATGCAGACCCCTAGCTATGCTGTTGCCAAGCAGTTGTATGCTCAGATCTCGTCCAAGATTACACAGATCGATTCGGCTGGAGCCTGGGGAGCTGTATGTTGTGATCCGATCCTTCACTAAATGAGTATCGTATGCTGACATTGTCATCATTAGGAATGCGATGTTCTCGACTCTGTCGCACCTGACCTGACCTTTGTGCTCGGACCGACCGGCTCAGCACTAAAGCTCACCATTCCCAAGAGCTCGTTCAACCTCGGCGAGTACCCCGGACAGCCGGGCATTTGCCAGGCCGTATTCAACAACCCGCTGAGCCCCTTTGGTGCGTGGCTGGTCGGATCACCGCTCCTCAAGCAGTACTACACGGCATGGGATGGTGTAAACAAGAAGATTGGCTGGGGACAGCTGAAGGGCAACGGAACTGCTAAACTTGAGTTTGCATAGTTCTAATGTTGCTTGCAGAAGCCATGGAAGGTCCACTATTAGTATATTAGTATCTCTGAATGTACGAAGTACACGCTGTATGCTCATAAGGTGTGGCTAAGACGAGTCTCTTGTGATGCAGCTTCCCGTATTCCCAGGGATCCGGAAAGTTTGTCGCAGACTGTACAAGAGGTGATAATGATTCCTCACCATAATGTCAAGGAAGTCCAGTCCAGGCCCAAGAGACCTTTCATGACATATCAATGTCCGTCTCTAGTTCAACTTACTTTAGCCTAGTTCAAGTGCCAGGATGATGATGTAGGTGGGAAGGGAAAATGGTCGCCAATGGACATGGCAGCAGCGGGCGGCCCTGGCCTGGACCTTGGTAGAGAACCCCGCAATAATGGCCCCGCCATCACAACGCCTACGATAACAGTCGTCGCCCTTCTTGTGATCCCATCTACCAAACTCATCTCATACTACTCTCAACAAAGCTGCTCTACTCTTGGTGGGCACCGACTTCAGATGCGGTGACATCCGTTTGCTCTCGATCTCTAGGAGGGAAACAACGTGGCCAAGGAACAAGAACCAGAACCCATCGACTACCTACAACCTCGCAAAACCTAATTCTCCGACATTCATCGAGGCACGAGCGCGGACAGCACGCGTGTGCAGCTATTATATACACATTTCCCATTCAATTTCACAACCATGTCGTCATCTTCACAGACTACGGGCGCGGCGCGTCTACTTCAGCGACAGTTTAATGAGATGCGCAAGTCCAAAGACCTCTCTGGCGTCTCTGTCGGTCTGGTCAATGACAACAATGTCTTTGTGTGGCAAGTCGGCATCATGATCAATGATGATTGCAAGTACTACGGCGGTACGTTCTCCAGCTCTTCTGACCTCTTACACCATAGCCAGTCTTCCCGAGATGGGAGAGGGAGAGAGAGGGAAAGTCTCAGCTCTGAACGCCACGAGAAACTCTCTTTTAGCTTTCGGGCCTTTCCTTTACTTGCCTTCCGTCTGGTTTCTACTCGTGCATCTGCTTGGTCTAGTACCTTTGCATGTCTTTATGCTAACAATCTCTCCTCTTCCGTGTAGGCGGCTGTTTCAACGCGACCCTAAGCTTCCCGCCCGAATACCCGCACATGCCGCCCAAGCTCGTCTTTCAGACGCCGGTCCCGTTCCACCCCAACATTTACGCCAACGGGGAGCTGTGCATCTCGATCCTGCACCCGCCCGAGGAGGACAAGTACGGGTACGAGAGTGCCGCAGAGCGCTGGAGCCCCGTCCAGACCCCCGAGACCATCCTCGTCAGCGTCTTGTCCCTGTTCAACGAACCCAACGACGAGAGCCCCGCCAACCTCGACGCCGCCAAGCTCCTGCGCGAGGAGCGCGAGGGCAAAAATAAGGATTTCCGCCGTCGGGTGCGCAAGTGTGTTCGCGAGAGTCTGGGCGAGGACTGAGCGGGAGCTAGTGCCGATACGACTGCCATACTTGATGCGGGAGAGTTGTACTGGTGGTTGAGAGGCAGCATATACAAGATGGATTTGAATTTGGATTATACTACATCACCACATATCGATTTCAGCGATTCGATTTTCAAGGGCTGGGCGCATTACACGCGAGCGTTGATGAGAAGCTCGTCGTAGTGGAGAAATATTTTGTTTTCATGGTTGATTGGTACTCAGGAATCAGGCAGCCCAGGGTTCTGCAGGAGGATTGAACCTTGGACCACACCAAGAGTATCTTCACTTCATAGCTAGTCTACCATGACTGGAGGAAAGTGGTTGGTCGGGCGTTCAGGTCTGCATTATATTAGGGCGTCCAGGCAGGGCGTCCAGGCAGCGCATTTCAAAAATATCAAAGCCTATCTTTCCAGTACATTTCGCAGATTCACATGATTACAAGGTGAGTGATGAGTCACTTGTGAACGAGAAAAGAGTCGTCTGCAGACGGTATACAAGAGAACCTAGGTAACGGAGTCTGTCTACTCTATGACGCCAAATACGCGCCCAAGTGTACGATCCCATTCCTCGTCCCACCTCAGGCTGCCCTCTTTTTGGGCGCCTCCACGAAGTGTTCGGAGCTCATCCATGCCACTATCACTGAATAGTCGGGCTAGAATGACGGCCAGCTCGGATGCCGTCTCAAAGCCGCAGCCGTTTTGTCCTTCCTTGACCAATTCGCCAAAGCTCTCGTACTTGGAGTAGGCTGCGACCGGAAGACCAGAGCCAAACATATCCACAACCTTCATGGGCAAGTCGACTCCCGAGCTGGACATGTGTAAACAAATGCCGAGATCTGCACAGCTAAGCAGCATGGCGTAGTCCTCCATGCTCAGCCAGGCAGTCAAGATTCGAATGTTGGGCAGCTTGCCATCCTTTTGTAGTAATGCAATCTTTTCCTGGTAGTAGGATTTCTGCGGGCCCTTGCCCGTGATGATGGCAATAATGGGGCGCGGTGCGTCCTGGGCGTACTCGACCAGAGCGTCCAGCAGGAGTGAAAAGTCTTCGTCGGGCGTCCAGCTCGTGCTGCTGACAATCAGCTTGGTTTCTCCGGCCAGGATATTCTGGGCCAAGTCCTTGGTCTCGGGCAGCCGCTCCAGGAAACCCTTGCGGTCAGGAATCGAACTGAGGGGTTGGAAGATGGCGGCTGGCCGGTCGTGCAGGGTCAAGATTGGCGTCTTGATATTGTAAGGAGCCTCTTTGAGTTGTCGCTCCATGGCATGGGTGACGGTAATGTTTGCAGTGGGTGCTACTTGTCCCAACACGCATTCGTATATCTTGGAAATCTTGACAAATGGGTGATTGGATCCCTTGGTGCCAGCCAGAATAGTCCAGCCATAGTTGTGCCAGTCAATCATCAAATGGGTATTCCTCAGGACCGAGATGAGAAGGGCAATGAATAATGTTGGTATAGATGGAGGGTTCTGTACCAGCAGCCATCGTGCTGGCTGGGTCTCATAGCCCAGCACCCAAAAGAGACTCCAGATTTGCCATAAAACTTTCAAAGGCCCAGTGATTATGAATGGGAGTGACTTTGACTTCAAGATGACTGGAGGTAAGGCCAGCGAGTGAACAGCCACCTTGGCGTTGCTGGCTAATTCGGGATGAAGTGGCGATTCTGCAGTGGCTTTAGTATAGGAAATCAATTGGTGCTGAAATCATGAGAGAATACCATTGTAACCAATCAGGTCGACGCTACCGCCGTGTTGGGCAATACTAAGAGCATGATATTGCATCCGGGGCGAGCGTCCAATATCGCCCAGAACCAAGACCTGGACCCGAACGGACTCGGGTGAGGCGGGTGAGTGCTTCACATGTCGGGAGGGCAAGAGGATGACCAGGATGACTGCCGTTGCGATCCAGCCTAGAATGGTGGTGACAAGCAGCAGTGTGAGAAGTGTCATTGTCACGAGACTCCCACAGAAAAGAGAGAGACAGTTGGTTGTGTGAGCGGGTGAAGGAGCGGCGCGGCAGATTGCCGAGATCGAACCCGCTCAGGTGCTCCTATCTCTCTAGATCTGTCCGCCGCGATCTGTCCTTGCTTACAGACAGGGCCAGGGATATGAGTCCTGTTTGCTGACTGATGAGAAACCTCTGTGGGTAATCTGTAGTTTTTTTTTTTTACGTGGGTCTCAGAATGGAAGGCCGTTGTAAAGGTTGATGAACGTGGCACCCACGTTTAGCTCAAACATGGCTTTTTTCGAATATCGTTGACACTTGGCGCTAAGAGGAAGGTCAGACGAAAACCCCAAGCACATACAAAGTGTGTCTGTTGCCTTGTACTTTTGAGACGTGTGGGCCTGGCTAAAAAGATGATTTGGATATCATGGTCAAAATGTCTCGGACAATTAAGGTATCAACATACAGTAGGGGTCCTTCAACGTCTGGGGCAATTTTTGGCGCTTGAATTTCCCATTCAAAGTTGAGAACCCTGAGGCCGTGGTTTTGGTGATGACGTGGTAGTATTGAATGACTGGATAGCTGCCGCGCGTGTGCTATGTTGTGCGCACTGACAATGGGGTCACTAAAATGTTCCTAGCTGGCAATAGATTCACGTCTTGCTAGTTCGTCCTATGAGAGGGCATTGATCAATACCTTGCATCTCATATGTAGCTTGCTTGCTTACAAGTCAACTGCCCAGGTGCTGGGACCTGCAGAAGCGCATTCTAGGTATATCGCTTGATACATGCTATAGCATAAAGTAGATGCCTTGATCCCCTTGCTCATGCAACTGGAAATATCGAATCAAATCTCTCCCTTCTTGGCCATAGATACCAGTAGTGCAATTGTCTCCCTCATCGTATTGGCATTATGTACTAGAATTTAGCAGACCGCTTGCAGGGGCCCAATGAGATGGGATGGGGTCAATCTCTAGCGCCTCCGGAGTGATAGATCGACAAGACGGAGCGGAGAGAGACATTGATGGCCCAAAATGGACAATTACTACAATAAAGAAAGAGCTGCATCATTCGGTTCTCCCTCGTGAAATGATCAGGTTCATTAGTCTTCACTCTGTTGACTACTGCTATACTTTCATCTGGTCTAGAGTTTACTACACACTTCATTAAAGCTCCTGGACAATTGTCTCGTGGTTTCTGAGTCGTAACGGTGGTACCTAGAAACCGTCTTGTCTTGTCCGTCCACTACCCGCTTCGATAGGTCCAGTACCTTGCTTGACCTTCCTCTCTACGTTGGGCTAGCGCTGGGGTCCCCCTTTGCACCTCCCACCCACCCGTCGCTGGTTGCACACCCGGCTTCGGGACGAGTCAAGACAAGGTAAAAGCACACAGCTTCCAATCTTGTCGCTACTGTACAGGCTCTTGTGCTTGGCCAACTCTCGTCTTGCTAGATCCCTGAGGCTCAATCTCAACTCAAGCGACATCTTCTTCTTTGGGCACATGTTCCAATGAGGAATTGATTGAGACCCACGTCGAGTCGCATTGGCTCTACCTTCCCCTCCGGCGAAGCTACCACCAGCCAGCATCACCCGCCCCCCGACGCGATGGCCTCCTACGCCCTACCGAGTCCGCCGCTCTCCCACGGCCATAGCCATGGCCACAGTCACAGTCACGGACATTCACACTCTTTTGGGCATTCGCGGCGGACCGGCTCACAGAGCCAGAGTGGCTCAGGACATCACCGCTACAGCCAGAGCCTCGATCAAGATGGACAAGACCACCTACAACAGAACATGTCCCACTACAGAGCAAACTCCTACCTGCCGCTACAAAAGCGCGAGAACCGTCCCTCACCATTGTCGAAGCAAAACACCAGCTTGACTCCCGTGGAAGACATGTCGCCAATGACGCCGGCGCGCGCGAATACGGATACCTACTTCGATTCCAAAGCCGCCGCGTCGCACTCCCACGAGCATCATGACCACGACCACGACCACCACGACCACGATCATCATGACCACGACCGTGAACATGACCATGATCACGGCCACGATCACAAGCACGATCACAGCCATAGTCACAGCCATAGCCATAGCCATAAAGAGAGCTGCGGACATGACCACCACAGCCACAGCCATGACCATGGTCACGACCACGACCATCATGGGCACGATCATGCACATGGCCATGTTCATGCACATTCGGCCCAGTTTTCCAAGCTGACGAGTCTCTTGCTGCCGTACACCTCTCGATGGCCACTTATACATGCCATAATGACAGAGAAGGACTCGCGTCGCATTTTCTATTTCATGGGGTGAGTAGCACCGCAACACTCTACTGACGGGAGGACATGCAACTGACCCAATGCACAGCCTCAACTTCTCGTTCATGGCCGTTCAGGCTTTCTATGGCTACGTCACAGATTCTCTAGGTCTGCTGAGCGATAGTATACACATGTTCTTTGACTGTGTAGCATTGGCAGTTGGACTTTTTGCGGCTGTCATGGGCAAGTGGCCCCCAAGCCAGAGATTCCCATATGGATTTGGAAAGATTGAAACGCTTAGCGGCTTCGCCAATGGCATTTTCCTAATGTAAGTACTGCTCGAGATGCTTCAGGTTCAATCATTAACATGCGGTAATGCACAGTCTGATCAGTGTTGAGATCATGTTTGAGGGTTTCGAGAGGCTATTGGAGGGCCGGGAGACAAAGCGACTCCTGGATCTCTTCGTTGTCAGTACTTTGGGACTGGTTGTTAACTTGCTGGGCATATTCGCATTTGGCTCCCACGGACACCACGGCCATGATCACGGGCACGGGCACGACCATTCACACGGACACAGCCATGGTCATTCTCATGGTCATTCCCACGGCCACTCTCACGGGAACGACAACATGCATGGCATTTACCTGCACATTCTCGCCGACACCTTGGGAAGCGCGTCGGTCATTTTCTCCACAATCTTGACATATTTTATCCCATGGTCTGGATGGGATCCCCTGGCATCTTTCTTGATTGCCTACTTGATTGCCATCACTGCAATTCCTCTGGTCAAGTCTTCTGCTCATCGACTGCTTCTGGTCAACCCGGACGACACCGAGTACATGCTTCGCAATACCCTGACCGGGATCAGCGAGGTTCGAGGTGTGGCTTCTTATGCTGTGCCCAAGTTTTGGACTGACGATCGAACCGGACACGCTGCTAATGGAAGTCTGTTGGGTGTCATCCACGTGGCAGCCATGCGCGGAACCGACTTGGAAGAAGTGCAAGAACGGGTGAACAACTATCTGTTGGACAAGGGCATAGATATGACCATTCAAATGGAGCGAGAAGGCGATTCGTCTTGCTGGTGCGGCATGGGCAGAACCAGCCCGATAACACCCAAAACACCAAGTTTCCACTAGTGTAGGAGGAATTGGTAGAGGCGCATGAAGCCATTCACCGTTTGCTGCTTTGCATTGGACAAGGGTATATATCCTTGGGACTCGACTGTAGACATGTGTATCTTTCTATAAATGGCCGGTGGTTCATCGATTATAGGTTGCAGAGGACTAGAGAGGGCAAGAATAGCTCTGCCATTATCGAGATACCCGGAGACAGATTCTTTGTATAACCTTGCCATAGAAGCAACAAGCAGCGTACATTATTAGCAAGCATTACATGTCCTCATTTAAAAAAGTCACTGCATGATCACCAGACCTGGCGTCTTCGACAACATGACCAATTGTCGGATTCAGACCCGAGGCACTGTCTATTCTCGAAACGCCTATTGGACAATGTATCTTTGCATGGATGCCAGCAGTGATCACGCATAATACCAGTCTTCGATGGGAACTCCGACATCATCTGCCGCAACGCCAAAACCGAGGTGGCCGACTGGATCTTCGAAACTCGCGTACTGGTCGAGAAAGCCGGGAGGCATGGGCACCACTCCCCACTTGATTTTGTTCTGGGAGATGAGCAGCCTGAGCTCGTCGTCGCTGCCTTTCATTTCTCTGAACACAGATTCGTCCGGTGCTGGATCAATATGTAGTGAGTCGCTGCTCGCATGTCTAATGCTGCGCATCTCAATATCATCATTGTGGGTCTGACTGTAGCCGCCAAGGATCAGAGCACGCTCAGCAAGGTCGGATCTATTTTCGCCTTGGATGACGTTTGCGTCACTGTACAGATGGGCATCTGTGTCGGGCGCATGTAGCAGTGAGGATACGGATTCCCTTTCAGACGGGCTGAGATTGTCGAGTGACTGCTCTCTAGCTTTCGACATGGCAGAGACGTGGCAGGCTGCCGATATGGCCCAGGAGTTACTCCCAACGGACCTCATGTATCCAGGCAGACGAAACACACCGAGGATGCACGGTGCTAATGTGATGACCAAGAAGATAATAATGAATGCCAGGATTGAGATCGGAGAGTACCCAAAGGAGACTTGTGTGTCTGCGCCGAGGCTATCGTCCAGAATGCCTGCATTCTCTTCTTGGAATTCTTCTCCTTTGAAGTAGTCTTGAGCCAGACTGTTAGCAACTCAGTTGAGCCTATATCATGGCAAGGATCCATACCTCCTTCAAAAACCACAACATAGAAGGTATTTGACATCATCCAGTGGAGAAGTACACTCCCAGTGATTAGCGGTATGCTATACTTGTACGGCAGCTGCAAACGATAAGTCGCGAATTGAGAGCCTCTGTGGCGATATTGATTAGAGGACAAATTGACGCGGTCACTGGTACCGCTAGCAGGGCACGTGGTACTCACGTAGGTTCCGTGACTCTGAGTCCTTTATACCGCATGCTATACATGGCCCATTCTCGAGCCATTTGCATTCTCGTGAAGAGAGTGTTGTAAGATAGATAGCAAAAAGAGAGGATCAGCTGAGGGCTGTTGACAAGCAGCGTGGCGGAGAGAAATCCACTGGTCAGCCTGGATCGGATGAGAAAGTTCGAGTCGCTCTGACCAACAGTACCGGTCCTAGAAGCGAAAAGGACAAGAAATCAGCCCCGGCGACGCCATTTCCAAAGATGAAGAGACTTACAGGATTCCTGCAAAACTTCCAGCTATCCACAGACAGAAGCATACAGGGAAAAGACATACAATGTAGATCACATATGTACAGATCCATGTCCGCTTAGATACCGCACTGCCCATACGCCTTGGCCGCTGATGCCATCTCCGGGGCCCGGGCGCAAGTGTCCGCTGACTTCTTCTCACGCCCGTCCGACTCAGCGTACATTGTCCGACAGTATGGGGATCCGGCTCGCGGATGAAAGCGGTCACAGCGTCCCCCAGCGTGACGAGACTCTGACGATAATCCAGCCCTTTCAGCACGACAAGGCACTGGACAAACTTGATGGTTGTGCATAATGTAATGGCAAGCAAGAGCATCACACTGAGTCCAATCTTGCATCCAGGTTGGATGCTTTCTGCAAGACAGTAGCTGACCGGTAGCGGCACGAATTGGCTTTGAACGAACTGGCTATCATCAAATTGGAAATCAATCTTCCAAGTCTCTTCGCTGCTGTCCGCGGTCGCCTGTAATCTATTTTGACATGCATTATCGCACTGCGGAGCCTCAGTAAAACCCACACTCTGGAAGGTTGCTTCCATTACGCATTGTGCACTATACCAGAGGCTATTGATGGACCCATTCGTCTCCTTGAAGAAGTCAGCGGAAATGTAGCTGGTTGAATAATTTGTCGGGTAGGTTGTCGTCCATCCATCAGGCTGATCGATTACAATCACAACATTTCGATACTTCTGCAAGCCATGACATTGCTCGTACTCGTTTCGGCATTTTGCTGCAGAGATTTGATTCCATGTACTCCCTTCTGCGGCCACAGACGATATATTGGCCGAGACTGGTGATTTGGGCTCGAGATAGGCATCCGAGCCCAGATAAGTATCCGAAGAATCGCTGTCTGGAATCACCAGGGACGTTCCTGGCACGCGATACGGGCCCCCATTTACAAATCCCTCGGTCGCAATGGTGAGCTGGTAGGAGCTCTCGCGCCGGTCAGTCTGAAAGATGACACTGTTGAAGAACAAATGCAGCGGGATGGAGCTCAAGAAGAAGACGGCCCACGAGAGCGTCTTGAACCTCGACACGCGCACGGCGTTGCGCAGCGAGGGGATGCCAATGTCGAGCCACGATCCCCGGCTATGCGCCTCAACTACTTCGTCCCTCGACGGCGCGTTGAGCACCTGCATGAAGAAATTCGACGATGCGAAGATGGCCGTCGAAAAGATGTTGAGGAGCAAGTGCAGCGCGAGATTCGCTCGGCTGGCACCACTCGATCCACAAGCTCCAGAGTAAAACATGACGGTCTTGTAAATTCCTCGAGCCTGTGCGAGAGCGGCGATAAGGAACGAGATCAATATGAGCGTCGACACGCCCATGATTGTCGTGTTTACCAGAGCCGCCCGCCGCCACCCAGTGGTCCCAAAGGCAGACCGAATCCGAGACCATATTGATAGTCTTGGTCTCGCCATTTTTTGCGCGATCCAAGTCAAACGTCAAGGGAACTTTGGTGCATATGCTTGCGTGACTGACATGATGAAATATGTCTCCCTATGATGAACGAAAGAGTAGACTAGAAAGGAAAGAAATGAAATTTGCCCCAGCGCAAAGCAGTGAGGCTCTGGGGGGATCAGGAACGGGGCTGATACATTCATTGCCAAGTAATACGGTGTAGTGCATCAGATTGCAGGCACAGCTGCAATCTTCGTATATCAATGCTAGGAAGGAAGAGTCAGTCGGACCAATCAAGAACTGCTATTGATACACACACAAGCGCGCAGCCACGGGCAAGCAGGGCCGATAACAAAACTCTCCGCGTCCGCTATCAAGCTAAAGGTGCAAGCAAACATTTGAAGAAGAAAATGTGGCTTTGACTCTTTCCATTCGCTCGAAACAATGGGTGTAGATTATCTTGACATTAGTTGCAAAGAGCAAAGGCCAAAAATTTGTTGTTACAAGCTGCAACGGATAATATAAAAAACAAATGACAAAACGGAGCTCAAGGGTTAGGACAGCTCAGTGTTCATTAACTTCATTGCTCGGTATAATTCCTAGCTCATGCCTTCGCCCAAACACATTCCACTTAGAAGCCTTGGCTATAAGTATAGCATGAAGAGTGAACTGGTGTAGAATCGGACTGATGTAGGCTCCTTGACAATATACTGTGCTCCGTGCTCGTTATTTTACACGATGTAAGATTAAAGTGGTCTCTCAAGAGAAAAGGAAAGGAAATGCAAATATGATATTTTTGTAATAATAATAAGGGCTGTTTCTTTAAGGCATGCTTTGCCCCTGTCCACATAGGACTTGATAAGAATTCAAAGGAAAACAATAAACTTTCAAGTTTTACTTAAGACGCTATATTGTATCGGCATTGCGGCGCTAATCTAAGCATACAGGCGGCGACCAAAAGTGAAAGAACTACATTGTAGACCCTCGGTAGTTCTGGAGTCGGACTTAACGAGGACCTTCAGAACACTTGCGGACAAATTCTTATTGCAACATTTCTGTAGAAGAAACAAGCGTCGTAAATTATCAGGTCAATAGTGCATATTCATATTTCAAAAGTCACTAATATATGGAGGCAATCGAGTTTGGGGTTTGAACAAACGGATCAAATGTCGGATAATGAATACAATGTAATATACAGATTACAGAGTTGTCATTCTCACCTATTCAGGCTTGAGATGTGCCGTCTGTCCGATGGATAGGTAAGCATTGGAGAACTGCTGTGCGCTAGCTTGCAGTGTACAGAGTACGGACTGTGTATTCCCAGTTAACTGTCCGTGGTGGGTCGCACTGCATTTTTCTTCTCATGCACCATATGCAGCCGAAAGTTCAAACTAGGCCACCTGCATATGAACAAAAAAAAAAGTGACAGTAGATTTTGATTGGAGACTCCATATAGCATCGACATCGCGGCGTTGATTTTGAACAGACAATGCAGCGGCCAAAGCGGATGAACCCCTGGGCAGTTCTGGCGTCAGACGTTTAGGACCCCCACGGGGAAGTCCAGAAGAGCCCCCCAGAGCCCCTCCAATGGCTCCTCCATTGAACCGAAATGGCCGACTCCCGAGGCAGAATATCGCGCGAAGCGGTACGTAGATGTGTAACATTGCCCGCTTGTCATCGGCTGTCCTTCTCCAATCCGCAGCCTTCAATTGTATATATTTATATCTTTCAAGCCGAGACGAGCGACTTTACGGACTTGCGTTGCATGTTTGTTTGATGGATTAGATTAGCATCTTGCGCCTCAAGTCGGATGAAGGATACTTTTCAATAAGCACCAGAAAGACTTTTAAAAAGTACCACCACAGGCGTTAGGTACTCTCTGTCTCCCCGCTAAGCTCCACTATACATACACGAAGCCGAGGCACTGACGTCGATTGACGCTGCCACCGACGCCCCGGGATAAGCACCGTCGCAAGTCGCATTACTCGACAAGTCGCCCGCCGTCAGACCTCAAGTCGAATTGCAACGTGGGAGGCCAAAATAAAATAAACTTTCGGGGTAGGCGATCGTTCCTTGTGTGACAGTGGCATATATCCAAGAACCTGGAACAGTTTATTAGCCTTCAGGGGAAGTGAGGGAGTGAAAAAAAAAATATTTGGGAAACGCCCTGAACAAGCAGAATACAATCTTAAAGTCGACTGTCGGAAAGCGGGTCGCCTCGATCACAAGCCAGTGGAAACAACCGATACATTTATCAGACAAAGAAAGACACCAACTAGACACACGACACCCTCTTCCTCCTTCAAACGGAGCTCCCCCTAATCTCACCCCGTCGAGGTCTCTCCTCTACCTTTTCTCTTCCTCTGCGCCCTCCTCGTCCTCGAATTTCTTCCTTCTCACCCCATCTCCTTCCTATACCCCAAACACAGAGACGCCTACAGGTCCGATACCATGTCGTCCACCGACTCGATAAAGGAATCCGTCGCCGCCAGGCTCCCGCACATTCCCGAGTCCAAGGAGGAGCTCAAGGCCGAAGTAAAGGCCGAGGCCAAGGCCGTCGCCAGCTCGGGACTGTCGCAACTGCGCTCGTTTGCCGCGGGCGGTTTCGGTGGCATTTGCGCCGTCGTCGTCGGCCACCCCTTTGATCTCGTCAAGGTCCGCCTCCAGACCGCCGAGTCGGGCGTCTACAAGAGCGCCGTCGACTGTCTCAAGCAGAGCATTGCCCGCGATGGCTTGCGGAGGGGTCTGTACGCTGGTGTCAGCGCGCCCTTGGTTGGTGTCACGCCCATGTGTATGTGATTGGTCCCGATTCTTTTCCTCTCCCATCATCCCCTTGCCAAATACGCGAGTTTTGATCAAATTGCAAGAATGCCCAGCTAATCAAGTCTCGATCCCAATACAGTCGCCGTATCGTTCTGGGGCTACGACCTCGGCAAGCAGCTCGTCACATCGTACTCGACGGTAGAAAAGAATGCCGCCACAGGTCAGCCACAGTTGTCCATTGGCCAGGTATCGGCGGCCGGCTTCTTCAGCGCGATCCCCATGACGGCCATCACGGCGCCGTTTGAGCGCGTCAAGGTCATTCTGCAGGTGCAAGGCTCGCGGCTGCAGCCGGGCGAGGAGCCGCGCTACAAGGGCGGCATGGACGTGGTGCGCAGCCTGTACCGCGAGGGCGGCGTGCGCAGCGTCTTCCGCGGCAGCGCCGCCACCCTGGCCCGCGACGGCCCCGGTTCCGCCGCCTACTTTGCCGCCTACGAGTACATCAAGCGCCGCCTCACCCCCAAGGACCCCGTCACCGGCGCCCCCCAGGGCGACCTCTCCCTGCTCGCCGTCACTGCCGCCGGTGGCGCTGCCGGTATCGCCATGTGGATCCCCGTCTTCCCCGTCGACACGGTCAAGAGCAGGCTGCAGACGGCTGAGGGCAACGTCTCCATTGGCGGCGTCATCCGCGAGCTCTACGGCCGCGGCGGTGTCAAGGCTTTCTTCCCTGGCTTCGGTCCTGCCCTTGCCCGTGCTGTCCCCGCCAACGCCGCCACCTTCCTTGGTGTTGAGCTGGCTCACCAGGCCATGAACAAGGCCTTTGGCTGAGCTAGGGGTAGACCTACTTTGACAAATTAGAAAAGAGATTTGGATTTATGCGCTTCACAACAATTTCTTTTTGAACTCGAGCCTGGAAAAAAAAAAGCAAACAGAGCCATCTCGGGTCATATCATGATAACGACGAACAAATTCGTATACACAGCGTTCATGCGATCAAAATATATTGTCGACAGCCTAGGGGTTTGTTCAGAAGTGGGAGGAATTAAGCAGACGACTGCTCGGACCGAAGCGGGGAGGAGGCCAGGTGACGAAGAATACCCCAAGAGGCGTCATTGTTCGTCCCTTTCGCAGTGGGCGGTTCAGTTGCCGAAGAGAAAAGAGCTCTGTGCATATGATTGGAGGGTGATATATAGTTCCTTATGACCATGCATAGTTTCGGCGTTCTTCAAGATCGGCTGAATAGATTATATTTACTCCTTAGACGAACGAATGGATTCATTTTGGCAGCTTTTACACACTTGATGTTCGGCCATGGAGGTGTTCAGTGAAGATATTTATATTACTACTGGTCTAAACACATTAGAAGGGAGATCCGACAATTCTCCAAGGTGTGATGATTTTCCGAAAACGCCATGCACTTGTGCCATCTATGTGCATTCCCTTTCCACGCCAAAGAAAATGCAGTGTTGGAGAGGTATCATGCCAAAGGATGGTATGCCTCGTATGCTCTACTTCGTTATTAAACCAAGAAAAAAAGAACACCAAACAAAAACAGCTGCTCTAATGATGCCCTTGCTTCGCTTTTTGTGTCTGTGTGGCTCTGAAAATCAGAAATGCAATGCATATCATAGCTGTCGCTCAGTTACAGTCCATCGTCGCTTTTGTGAGCTAAAGTCTCGAAGTGTCTCTGCATCATCGGGAGGTCGAGGTGATCCCCACATGCCAGAACTTGGTGGAATCGACGTCTTCGAGTCAAACTTGTCGTGCTCTTCCGTGTCTATCGAGGCTGGGAGTCCAGGTAAATGGCCATGCTCGTGCTCTGGCATCTCGATAATTGTCTCTGGCGGTGGAGACGACTTCTTGACCTCCTTTTCGTGACTAAAATCCAGTGTCATGGGCATGTCTAGTTCTTCCTCGGGATTGGTGGGCTCCTGCTTTGGTGTCCATAAACCCCACGAATTCTTTCGCGGAGCAGTGCCAAAACTGGTCACTCCACTTCCAACCGTGATGCCGCCCTTTGCAGCATTATTAGAAAGAAGAGGAGGAAGCCTGGTAACACCATTTGTTCCGCCAGACATGTTCCTGGGACCACTTATTGAGCTGCTCATGGAGTTGCTGCGGTGGTCCCGTGGCTGGCCGTAATGCGCACCAAAATTAATGTCTCTTAAGGCTGAGCTGAGACCCCTCGAGTGTCCTCTTGAAGCACCAGCCACGCTAGATGACCTGCTCACATTGCCTGACCTAACCAGGTGGTCAGTGTTGGCAAACATGGATAGCTCGTATAGGTCCTGCACCGTCACTGGCTTCCTCGACAATCCGTCGTCAAGAGATGTCACTGGGTGCTCGTTCATAGCACTCTGAGTCTCTGCGTATCCGGGCCTTCGTCTTGCCATGGACAGAGAAGTCATAGGAACGTCGGCGAGAACGGGCTGGTTTGTGATACCACCCACAAGAGCGTTACATCCAGCACCATGGGAAACTAGTATCACCACGTCCTCAATGTCCTCCTCGTCGTCAAGCGTGTGGCTCTTTGCGGTATTGTTATTTTCAAGCTTGGATGGATTAGGCGTGATAGGAGTTTTGGTAACCATATGGCCGGGGTGGTCCGTGGTCATGTACCAGTCTACCAGACGCTTCAATCCCTTACGGAATCGTTGATGCATAGCAGCCCATTCCTCTGGTAGCACGCCACCATCGCCCCAAGCAATCGGGTTGCGGGAAGAGTCCCACTGATAGTCAATATCGACACATGCGTCTCTCGCATGAGCAACATAACCCTGAGGAATTGGCTCGGAGGGAGATATGGCGTACGCAGGAACAGGAGCAATGTAGCCCGTGAAAATGGCGGATTCTGAGTAGGCGACCTTGTGAGAACCCCGATGTTCACCAACTCCGTTGTTCAAGCTACCAGCGGGGGCGTCTCCTGGCTTTACGAGACCGTCCAGACTGGCATTGCGCGACTGCGTTGGTGAATTCCACAATCGACTCGGCGTTGTTGGTGTGCTCGGACGCGGGTTCGGGTCGGTATACGTGATGTAGTTTTCTTTGCGCAGAAGCTCTGCTTTGGCTGTCATGAGCATGAGACTCGACCTTGGAGGTGGCGTTATGTGATCAAAGTAGTCTGGCGAGGCCCATTCTCCAAGGAAAGGATCTAGTCGCAATATGGTTTTCTCCAAATGATCCGAATTTTGCGTCGGCTGCATAGGCGGAATATCGGTCATAAGGGCCGGTCGAGTTCTTGGGGAGACGGGATCCGACGAGACTGGTGTCTGAGGTCTCGGCGAAGCTTGGAGCCGTGCAGGAGGGTAATCGCTGGCCTGCGTGAAAGGCGAGGGGCTCGAAGCAATTCCGGCGCTGATGGCAATGGACGTCTGAATACAGCGGAGGAAAGGAGAGCTGTGCAGGACGACTCGGTATCGCTTCTTCTTGGGCTTCTCAGTGTTTCCATTCTGGCCATTATTGTGGCTTGCGCGAGCAGCTTCGTCCTCGGCCTCTTTTTCTTGTAGTATGGATGCGATTCTTGCCCCAAGCTGCCTGCATTGGAGCCAGCCGCCGTAAGTGAGAGGCGGGTCGTAGGGTGTCGGTGAGGTCATATGCCACTGTTTGTCAGCAGCGTCTAGTCGGTTGCCATGTCTGTTTGGACGTTAGGTTAGCTACGGGTTAATGGAGGATATCTGATTTGGGTGCATTGCAACGGAGAATACGAACCTGACGACAAACAGGTACGCCGGCGGGCGACCCATATCCTGTGCTGTTGATCACGACTGAGTCTCTCGCTCTAGACCTAGGGAATTGCGACGGGGCTGGGATGGAATATGCAGGGTCGGGGTTTCACGCGGCAACCGTAATGTTTGCAGTATGTCTGAGCAGATGGTTCGCGGAGAAGAAGAAAAGCCAAAGAGAAAAAGTCCGGATAAGCTGGCAATCGGACTCTAGATGTTGATTCTGAGGCGTGCGAGTACCGCTTCGGTAGTTGGCTGGGAGGTGTGTATGGATGTATGTAAGCTTTGTTTGTCCTTGGTGAGCCGGCAGCTTTATTGGATTCCTGAACTGCTTGTGCAAGTGCCTTGTGTTGTCCCATGACCTGGTGGACGAGCAAACAAACGAGTATTATTGGATCTAATACTAATGACAGTCCGGAAAGAAATTACAGACTCGGGCGTCTATCGGACCGCAGCGTTGGAACAGGCTGTCATGGTGGATCAGCAGATCGACGTTGTACATTTTTCGGCGGTTTTGACGAGGTCATCGTGCGCATGGCAAACCAATAAGGCGGGGCAGAGGCGGCACTTGGCGACCTCCAACTGCCCGGGTTTGGGGGAGTCTTTAGGAATCACGCGTCGCTAAAAAGAAGATTGCAAAATTTATAGTAGACAAGAGCTAGTCCGCGATCTGACAAGTTCGGGCGCCGACAAACGGCGCCTCTAAATAGTCCAGGCACCTTAAAACACCAGACAGCCCAAGGACCCTGGAGGGCGCTAGAAACGAATGCCAGCACTGGATGGATACAACTACGGAGCCATTGACGTGGGATCCCAGGACCACACGAGACGATACCGAGCTGATGGCTTGTTAGCTTTGCCGTTGCTCCATCTTGTTGTGCAAGATACAAACATGTGATACGTCTTGACAAGTCAAACTTTTGATTCAGCTCTATTGTACGTGGGCGTGAAGTGGAAAGTGTCCGGTATCCGTGCTGCTTGTGGTGAGCTGAGAGCTGTAAGCATGGCGAAGCAAAAGATCTACATGGTGCACCTTTTCTCGGCCTTAAGTTTTATGGAAAACTCCAGCATTCGGATTTTAGGCAATCGCCACGAGTGCGCTGTGGGCAAGAGGGAACCACCTGCTAGGTAGCCTTGTAGGCAGCCATATTCTCACTAGAAGGCAGTTTAAGATTTGTCATTTGGCACCACAAAGGACAATGAAAGACTTCTGAATGTGATATCTTGGCGCCTTGGACGAGACAAGGAACGATCATCAACTATTAAAGTCCGACGAGGTCAGGTACGGAGTAATATTGAGAAAAGGGGTCCTCATTCATGTCCCCCAGAGTCCCCCCAACTTTGCAGAGGATAACTTGAGCTGCAGTTCCCCTGGAGACTAACTAGACACAGTTAGGAGAGATCTCGGTAAGCAGCAGACCTACACCGAGCACCCCTGGCTGGGCAGGGCCGGGGCTTTGTGTACCTGGGGTAGCTTCCAAGCTAGGGGCCCAAATTAGGCCTAGGTGCTTTATACAAAGTACGGAAAGGATTTCTGCCACTTTTATGTATTCAGGAACCAGGCTTGCGTGATGTAGAAGCCTATTGAATGTGTGAACTTGGCGTGTCTGTGTTTTGCTTTGTACTTGAGGTGAACGAAGTTCTGGATCATAACTGTGATATGTTGAAATTCGCAGCGGAACTGTTCCATCTGCGACATCACTTCGTCATGTCCCGCGCTGCTCACTCTATGGCGTCGTCTTATCTGTACAGTTCGAAATTGGAACTCTGACATCTGGCTCACCATCGCCTCAGAAACATGGGAATGGCAAGGCAGAAGAAATGTAAATACTTGTAGCTGACATTCTTAACCGTTTCTATCACGACCTGTTGCGTGAAGAAACGAACAGGATGCATGTATTCCGCCCTCCATATCTCAGCTTCATCAGATAAATATGTACTTATTGCCAAGACATCCTAACGATGCACCCCGCGATTTCGTCGTTCTAATGGCCGAAGGTAAGGTTTGGATGCCGATTTTCAAAATTCCAAGCCAGCTGCCATCCTGGGGTCCGTTTTATCACAATATCGAGTGTATAGCCATGCCACGTGAATTGTATAATTTCTGTTTCAAAGCCGGGCCCACCTTGGATAACTACGATCCTAAGTTTTTCCGTCAATACAAAGCAAATGACAATCTATTGCACAAAAGGCTTCGCAACATCTTTACTTCCATGTCCTTTCACTTTATGCAAGACGTACCGCCTATGTAGGTATTATGTTGGGCTCACAGTCCGTCCTCGGCATGAAATTCTATCTTCAAATTGCTTGGCACATCATTTGTCTATCATGCGAAACGCAGCCCTTTCTGTTCTTGGCATCACAGCCACACCATCCTCGACCGGTACTCCTTTGAGTTATGCAGCCGGATCAGAAAGAGCACTGACATTGTCAAATTTGGCAAATATCGTCTCCTTGTGAGTAAATCTTGAGGTGACAGGTAGGTATTCAAAGCTTGACAATTATTTAGTGGAGACTCCTGGACTGATATTCGGTTCGACGTCAATGGAACTCAACCATCGTTGGGAATTCCGTTTGGAAACACGGGCAAAACAAGTTCCAATGGAAAGATGTGGCCTCAATATCTTGCCATGAAGTACAATACATCTACCGTTCTCGGTTATGATCTCGCTCTCAGCGGCGCCGTTGTTGATGTTGATATCATTACCACCGCAACGCACGACATGGATGAGCAAGTGAACGAGAAATTCGAGCCGTACGCAGACCAAAGCGGGTTGCTGCCATCCAGAAAAACTCTATATACCCTATGGGTCGGTAATAATGATATGAACCGATCATACAATGGCACGGATCCTGCGATCAACTCAAAGGTGATCGCCAGATACAAGGAACTAGCGACCCATCTCCACAATGTTGGCGCACGTAACTTCCTTTTCCTCAGTGTACCTCCCATGTGGCTATTTCCGAGCAACATGGCCAACGGCGCTGACCTCGCCAAACTTCGTTCAGCCGTTGAGGATTTAAACGCCAGACTGCAGAAAATGGCGAGAGAGATTGATCACGATCTTGCTTACACTTCAGTATATTACTTTGACATTACCAGTCTCTTCGGCACTGTCGTTGAAGATCCTGGTCAATTCAATGAGACCGCGATCTACAAAGATACAACTTCATGGCGTGAAGCCTACGAGTCGTAGGTCATCTTTCCTAGACTTTCTTCACTGGTCATCTTGATGAATATGAACACATTCCATGATCTGAATTCGGATACTATACTCGGCTAACACATGTTTGTAGTGGGACGTCGAAGCCGGACTACAAGTCTAGCAAATGTACTTACTCAGCCCTGGAGTATCTCTTCATTGACGGTGCACATCCTACACAGCCTTGGCACGACTTGATGGCAAACAGGCTCTCCATCATGCTAGATAATGGAGAATCGCTCAGCTGAGTCTGGTTTCAAGCATGAAGGAAACGCGGGAATATTATCTAGGCAACCATGATGAGATTTGCACCATATGTTCCAGGGCTTCCCGTGAGAATATCCCCTTTGATAACACTTTCCAAAGGTCCACTGAGGGGGGAGTGGTAGAGAAGAAGGTGCTGATCAATACTGTCGACTCAAACTCTAATTACCAACGCAAAGAAGAAACCTTGAAAAAAGTTGATAGTTTGGACTGCGTAGGCGTGAGCGCAGCTGAGTGGTGGAGAATCATTATGATTGAAATCAATCCCGTGCCAAGACCCACCAAGCAATGTTGTGGCGCTGAGAGGGAGAAACAATCATTTCACGAATGTTGTCCGCTGCACCGAAAACCTCGGGGTATGAAAGCACGAGAGTACGGGCTGCCGCTGAAATGGATGCAATACTCTTCCCGGCTCTTTTTGCGCGGATAATTCCCGTACGCCCCTCTATTGAAATCTCGCGAGACGGGCATTTTCTGTTCGATACAACGTCAGAAGGCCTCCATTAACAGGTCCATGGCCAGAAGCAAATCTCAGAATCGCCGGACTCTATATATTTCAAAGGTCTGACAAGCACTGTCTGCCAAATATCATGGCAGGACAAAAATTGAAAGTGATCTCACAATAAACCCGCCATGCATGCAAAACATCCATCTTTTCTTTCCCTCTTCCTCGGCTCGACCATCCTGGCTGGCCTAAATCAAAATTTTGGCTCAGCGTCAGCAGTTCCGCGGGCTGATACCTCTGGTCGCAACAGAACTAGACTGCACGAAGGATGGAAATTTCAATTATGGCCCAAGGCGCCAGATGGAATCACTTATGACTTGCGCCCAGACAACACGGGACAAGATTTGGAAGTTCTGAAGCCTTGGATCCTGCCGTCAGCAAATGCTTTCATCCCGAACGAGACTGATCACTACTCTCAGCCGGTAGGCCAACCCGAGACTGTGATTCCATATGTCTCTCCATCATTCAACGACTCAAGCTGGAGCGACGTTGAGGTGCCCCATGACTGGGCAATAACTGAAGCCTTTGTTTCTCGCTCAATCACCTCTGGTGACATGGGCCGCCTTCAGGTCCAGGGAGTTGGCTGGTATCGTCGCCCGCTTGAAATCTCCACATCTGACCGGGGAAAACATATTTATCTCGAAGTTGATGGCGCAATGTCCTACGCTATGGTGTGGCTGAATGGCCAGCTGGTAGGAGGATGGCCGTACGGCTACAACTCGTTTCGAATGGACCTCACGCCTTACATCGATTTCAGTGGGGACACCAACAATTTGGCTATTCGTGTCGAGAACCCGCAAGATGATTCTTTTTCAAGATGGTATCCCGGGGCTGGTATCTACCGCAATGTATGGCTTGAGAAGGTCAACAGTGCTGTTCATGTAGCCCAGTACGGTACAACCTTTGTTTCTAGCGAGGTTTCTTCGAAGTCTGCGACATTAGACTTGTCAGTACGGATATCAAATAAGGCTTCAAACGAAACGTCCAACATAACAGTCATCACCGAAGTCCACAATTTCGACTCACCGAGTGGAAGTGTTGGGAGGATGGTCGCTACATTTCCAGCAAGGTCCCAAAGTATCTCGCCTGGTGCAACAGTCCAAGTGAACAGCACTATAACTATTTCAAAGCCCTATCTCTGGGGTCCACCACCCCTACAGCACCCGAATATGTATATGGCGTATACACGCCTGTATAATGACGGTGACTTGCTGGATACATACACTAGCACGTTTGGCATTCGCACCATTGATTTCGACCCTAACAACGGCTTGCATGTCAATGGTCAGAAGGTTTTTATCCAAGGTGTGAACCAACATCATGATCTTGGCGCTCTTGGCACTGCCTTCAATGTTAGAGCTGCCACTCGCCAGCTCCAAATTTTACAAGAGCTCGGCGTGAACACAATTCGTCTCTCTCATAATCCGCCAGCACCAGAACTCCTGAAGCTCACAGATGAGCTGGGATGTCTCGTTCTCGATGAGATATTTGACAATTGGGCCGAGGGAAAGCGTGACTCGGACTTTAGTCTGATATGGCAAGATTGGCACGAGGCTGACTTGCGAGCGTTTGTTCGACGTGATCGAAACCATCCTTCAATCTTCTTGTGGAGTTTTGGTAATGAAGTCCTTGAAGCAAGTGACGACAAAGAACTGGCCGGCCAGATCGCTGCGAATCTGACCAATATTGTGACCATGGAGGATCCAAGTCGTCCCTCGACTGCATCCATCTTTCGATCTGTGCCGGGTGAAGCGTTTCCCAATGCGTTGAAGGTTCTAGGAATCAATTACCTCGGGGAAGGAGCTCGCTATGGTGAAGCATACGTCAACCTCACAGGCTACAGAACCGATCCTCTATACGAACCATTCCACAATGAGTATCCAGAAAGAATGATATTTGGCTCTGAGGTCGCCGCCTCCGCAAGCAGCCGGGGTACTTTTACTTTTCCCGTCACCCAGTACGACAGCTGTCCGATAGATGATAGCCATGGTGGAAATTCCACTACGAGCACCATCAGTGGCTACGAAATCTACACTGCCGATTCTGGATCCTCTCCGGATCGAGTGTTCAAGACACAAGACGAATATCCATTCGTTGCTGGTGGCATCGTCTGGAGCGGTTTTGATTACCTTGGTGAGCCAGTACCATATCGTACTTCAGCCCGCAGCTCTTACTATGGTATCATTGATCTGGCTGGATTCAAGAAGGAAAGATTCTTCCTATATCAATCACGATGGCGCCCCGATCTACCAATGGCACATATTGTCCCACATTGGAATTGGCCAGAGCGTGACGGCCAGGTAACCCCGGTGCATGTGTTTACGTCAGGCGATGAAGCAGAACTATTCATAAATGGCAAATCGCAAGGCCGGAAAAAGAGGGGAGCTTTCGAGTATCGTTTCCGCTGGGATGATACGATCTACACCGCAGGCAATGTCAGTGTGATAACCTATAAAAATGGGACAAGGTGGGCAGAGGATATCAAGAAAACAACTGGAAAGCCTGCTGCTTTACAGCTTACGGCAGACCGAGCCACGATTATCGCTGATGGGGAAGACTTGTCTTTTGTCACAGTAACTGTCCTCGACAGTAACGGCGACACCGTACCAGAAGCTGCGAACAAGATTACATTTTCTGTAGAGGGACAGGGAAGGATTGTAGCAACAGACAACGGCTTGCCGACAGATATGACTCGTTTCACTTCCTTGTCTCGAAACACATTCAGCGGGTTGGCGCTTGCAGTCGTCGAGGGATTATCGGGGCTGCCTGGCAAGATCGTCCTTACGGCCAAGGCTGATGGGCTAACATCGGCGAATATCACGATTACAACTACATAGAGGAACGTATAGGTCGCCAGCGTATTCATAGAGCGATAGTCCTTTACGTAAAGCTGCTTTCTTATTACCAAATAAAAGCTTAATGGCACCAATAAGTCGTAGCATCAGCACATGTGGCTGAGTCAATCCATTATTGAGTATCTTAAGCTAAAGAGTAAAATTACAGATGGTTATCATTTACGAAATGAACGAGGAAAACTGTCACATTGACGTAGATACTACCCTCTGCAAATAATATGCTCTTATATACCAGATAGCTCTTTGCAGCTCTATTTTATAGCTTGATAGGATCAAATCGAACATTTCTTTTCAGGCACTCCTCCGATTACTTTTCCCTTCACGATGGCTCAGGTGATAGCTTGTTATGCTACCGGCTTTGGTAATTATTGAAAGTTTCGCAGTGTCGCAGAATCTAACTTATCATAGGGAAGATCATGAAGTCACTTTGCATTATCCAAGTTCCGATGGACATTGAAAGAAAATCCTTTTGTCCTAACGAGGGTGAGACAATCGCGATAACTCTACGCGAAGTGCGGGGTCATGTTGACAATCTAGTTGCATTAGGGTCTATTGCAGGCCATTTCTCGGAAAGGGGGCTAATTTGATGGACGGCTGAATTATCAAACAATGAAAATGTTTCCGATACACCAATGATGCTCTCTGAATATCTGGGCCGGTAAAATTTCTTTGGTTTGCTGAGAACCGCTCCAATGACAAAGCTTACAGCTCCAGTCAGGCGAAGGGGGCAGGGAAGAAGAGAAAGAAAAGGGCTCTCAAAGAGATGAAGAGAAAGAGGAGGAGCTTGGTGAACTACATAAAAGAGTGAATGAATACAAATCAGACGTACGTCTTAGAACGCAATAGTATCGTCTAGTCCAAGATGAAGTTCTGTGTTCGAGTTGCCATCGGCACTATACTAGCCTGGTGCCAAACTGTCCATGGCAAGGCCTTCCAATATGAGCAAAGAGACACGAATATCACTTTCACAAACCCAATCCTCCCAGGATTCCACCCTGATCCGAGTTGCATATTCGTCGAAGAACTTGACAAGACATTCTTTTGCGCATCGTCATCATTCTTGACTTTTCCTGGGATCCCCATATATGCCAGCAGAGACCTACAGAACTGGAAACTGGCCAGCCGCGTGTTTAGTCGCCCTACGCAGATTCCTGATCTCAAAACGACCTTGACCTATAGTTCTGAAGGGGGCATATGGGCGCCGACTTTGCGTCACCACAACGGGACATTCTATCTCATCTGCACCTTTGTCCACATCGGAGCAGCAGGCAGCCGAAATTTCAAGAACTTTGTCTTCACTACTGCGTCTCTGTTTGATGAAGAATCTTGGAGTGATCCCGTCGAGGTCGAAATGCACGGCAAGAGCGCGATAGATCCGGATCTATTCTGGCATGAAGACGGAACGGTCTATATGCACACGGGGTGGGGTCGCATCTACCAGCAGACCGTTGATTTGCAGACTGGCGAGTCTTCCGTTCCAGTCGTCGTCTGGAACGGCACCGGAGCATCAAACCCAGAGAGCCCTCATATCTTTCAGCGCGAAGATTATTATTATCTGCTTATTGCACAGGGAGGGACCGGCAAAGAGCATGCGGTTGCCGTGGCTCGGTCGAGGAATATCTCCGGGCCGTACGAGAGCTACACTGGAAATCCAATTCTTACGGCCGCAGGGACAGATCGATTCTTCCAAGCTACTGGTCACGCGGACTTATTTCAGGATAGCAATAGCAACTGGTGGGGTGTGGCACTGGGTAAACGTTCAGGTCCAGACTATCAGGTATATCCAATGGGGCGAGAGACTCTGCTCTATGCTGTGAGTTGGAATGAGGGTTGGCCAACGCTGGACCCGATTTTCGGAAAAATGCAAGGTTGGGCGTTCGATGTCACTAATACAACCATCCCTGGAATTGGTTCGTATATTGATGCACCCGATCACGTCAATTTTGGAGGTACAGAAATCCCCACTCACTGGGTAAACTGGCGCTTTCCAGACTCTGATGCCTATTCCGTATCGCCCACTACCCATCCGGGTACGTTGGAAATGGCGCCATCGTTTTCCAATTTGACCGGAAATCTAACCACAGCTGGGCCCATCAGCCTTGTGGGACGCCGCCAGACTGCAAGTCTTTTCAATTTCAGTGTATGCATTGAATATGAGCCATTGAGGGTGGGCGAGGAAGCCGGCATGACGGCTTTCGTCACTCAACTGCAGCACATCGATCTTGGAATTCTGCGCGGCGAAGATGACAATCAAGTTATAAAACTTCAAACGACATGTGACGGAGCAACGGATACAACACCACCAAGCACTGTGGTTCAAGACTTACCAGAAACATGGTATGGCCAAAAAATGTACTTGAACATCCAGATGTCTACACCTGATACCTACACTTTCAGCGTTTCACGGGCTGCAGACTCATCGGACTTGCTTGTCATGGGGGACGTCAATGCCATATATCTTTCAGGTGGGAGTGGTAGTTATACAGGTAAGTTCGAACTATGCAAGCATCGCTAACTCCAATGAAGGTTTGGCCGTCTTAATTTTTGGCAATACTGATGTGTAACAACCAGGCGTTTTACTTGGAGTATACAATACAATTAATGGTGGAAATGGTAGTTCCAAAGCATGGTTCAACGAATGGAACTACACGCCAATGGCTCAAGAAGTTGACGTTGGTGTTTTCGATTATATATGAGAAGTCGCAAGGGCAAAGAAATGTTTCAGACGATCATGTGAGCGACGACACATGTCGAAATCCATTCCAGGCGACTGGCATAACTATTTACAGCTTTCATTTTGGTAGCGACTTGTTGAAATGCAAATGTAATGAATGAGGAGAACAAATTATGTGCTGCCTGTAATTTCTTTCTTAGAATATCACGTTGAATGACGCTAATAGGATTTGGCAAAGAATTGATCTAATGGCATAATGATCTATAGAGTATGAAACCTTCCAAGTGACGTGTAAAGGGACTGCAGGATTTCATTGTCCATCAAAGCTTGCTGCTGCTCGTCGGACCAAGAAGGCCTGCACGAGTTCTGCTCGATTTGCAATGGCTCGCCTACTTTCAGCCTCCAGGAGCTGGTCACAAAGATCTCCGTGGTTTCGGTCGCGTTGCCGAGCGATTTCCGTTGTCAAGTGATCCATCCGTGCCAGCTGACCGCAGCCCCCAATCATTGCAAGCAACAAGAGGACAAGACCAAAGCTCCTGTTACAAATGATGACAGCTTGTCGTTGACTCGATTCATATCTCTTTCTTGGGTCCCGCCACTGTTCCCAGTCTTCCCAAGTTGCATTCCTTTTTGCATCATGTCCTTGCTGGTGGCGATACATGTGAGCTTTATGGTGGGACTCGTGTTCTCGGAATCCTGTCCTGTTTGAACCGTGGTCCGCAGGTGAGCCAAGCCCCCATCCAACGCCTCGCTCATCATATGCTTTCCTTTTGACGGGATTGGACAATATTTTGTCTGCTTCTATAATGAGACGATAGCGCTCTACCCTGGCCGCTTTCGAAACACCATGATAGGATGTGTATTGCCACCTGTCCGGATGGTATACCATGACAAGTTGATAGAATCGTCGCTTATTGTATAGTTGATCCTTTGGTTGCTCCAGGATATCGTAAGGGGTTATGTGGGACCCATTAGGCCATGATGTAAGTATATGGTCGTACTTTTCGCCCGTCCGGGAGCTATTCTGCTGATCGCGAACTGTGGCATATCTCCTCGAGGCGATGGACTTTAGGCCTGCGGGAAGCTTTGAATAAAACATTGTGACTCGGCCTACTGGCAGAATGGACTTCTATGAATAGCGGATTGAAACAGGTCAAATGATGGAGTTCAGCCTCAAGGATTCTCTTCAGTCTTTCAGCTTTACTTTTACATAGCCCGGCGTCAAAGAGTTGGCGCCCAATCGAATGAATATTTTAACAGAAATTGTTTCACATGAGCCAATTTGCGAACGATATGTTGAACACAGTGATACCGCATCTATTCTCTGCATTATAGATCCACCAAGGTAAACCGAAAGACATACCAGCAGCCGGGTGATATTCCAACGCGCATGTAGTAGTCGGGTTTGCTGGAGTCACAAAGTGCCAAGAGCGCCTGGTGTTTGCGGTTGCGGATGCAGGGCAAGCTAACATCAGTGAGCATCCAGTCTGCCATGCAAGGTCCAATACAGCAACAGGTCCTCTCACCATGTCATTCGTGTTCCGTCTGGAAGTAACATTGTGTGAATAGTGGCAGGTTGGCAACGGGTTCCCCAGACAAAAAGAGATCGTCTAGTCTATAAGAATCATGACCTTGAGGTTTTGGGTCGGCGTCATTGTCAATCCATGAGCAAGTATGCGCCACTTCTGAGATTTGGTAACAGCAAAAATGCAATACAAGACTTGTTTGGAAGCTCTAAATAAAAGGGAGAAGGAAGAAGCGGTGAGATGGGGGCGATAGCCGTAATGCATGCAACCGAAAATCTGCTCGAAAGAAGGCGTACAAAGAGACATACTTCACGGCCAAATGCTGAACTGCGTGAGACTCTTGAAAAGTAAGACATGACAAGGGGCACACCAATTCGGGCATACTTGAATTGGACTAATAGCTAGGCGCCTCTGCAACATGCATAGGCAGCAAGGTATTACTGCCAAGGAGAAAATACTTTCCAACAATCCGAAGCTTTTGGCTTCACTAAGACTGGGTGGCTGCAGAATTGAAAGGCAAGCATTCTATCACGATAACCCACCGTGTTGGGTAGGGGCACCTCGAATTGAAGTCTCTAGGAACAGTATAGTAAGTCTTTGTTAAATTCTCAATTTGAGAAGGTGACATTTGGTCTGATAAAAGCTTATTTATTTTTCTTTTCTTTCTAAATTTCCTTTTCATTGGTTCGGTCATATTTGATTATGCCCGATCCTGGTGAGAAGCCTATGCGGGTCTCCATGGGTAGTGACTGATTGTTGATAGACAATTTGCTCAAACTTTCTCTCCAACTCCTGCAGGCAGAGTCACCCATTCTTTGCTATGCTTGCCCAGGATCCATGCTCCAATTCGGCACTTGGTCAAAGGCGGGCCGTTCCTAACTTCCTATGTTGTGGAATGACTTCTGATTCCCCAGCTTCTCCACACCATAGGTGCGAACTCACTCGGGGGTTGGCGATACGAAAAATTCTGGTATTTACCAAAGAAACGGACAATCCTGATAATCTAAGTACTCCCCATCTCTTCTCCTTATCAACTTTAGACAAGGGACCTTGTTCCGAACCAATAGGGGCAGAAAAGACCGGGGAAGGCCCCTCAGATGTATGTGTTGGTAATGTATTTCTGTTCAATCCGTCATCCACAACAGCATACCAAACACAATAGAAGCTGTGGCCATAGTGTCGTTAAACGAAGAAAATAAGATGATGAATTTCGGTTGTGGGCTACCGGTGATACCGCCAATCCCAAAAGAGAGTTGACAGCCAACGTGAACATAGTAACAGCCTGAAGAGTTGATTTCATGTGCAGAGCTGCCTTGTTGTAGGCGTACTCAGACCCAGACACTGACCAGAGCACTTCGCCAACAGCGCCAATAACGTGAACTGGTACGCGCAACAAAGTCAAGATACCAGTTTCATTGGAGTACTGAATTCACTTGAGTATTGTTTTCCATAGTATCTTTTGTTGGGCATATATTGCTCTAGCCTGTTCGTCTTCTTTTTCTTTTTACTTCCTTGAAGGCTGGATTGCCTGTGTGTTGCTATTACCAAGCTAAAGCGTCAACTTCCAGCTCGAAGGTGCAAGCATTGGCTTTCTCTCTGCTCAATCTGGAGACGATTGTCCTGATGTCGTTACACATACCCGTTGGCCCGCACACCAACACGGCTATCTTGGACCACCCTGTCTCGGCCTCGTCTTGTAGCAGCGCATCCAGATTCAACCTGCGCCCAACCACGATCTCCTTCTCTTGCCCTACATCCAATAAGGGCCCGAGGACATCCAAAAAGGGTTGATCCGCCGCCTTTATGCTGTAGAGAAGCTTCACGTTTGGGTAACGCGTCACAAAGGGCAGGAGCCCGGTGATGCCTATACCACCTCCCACCAATAGTAGTCGGTCACTCTGTAGGACCGACTTAATATGGTTGGTGGGGTATGGCCCTTCGACCAAAGTCAAAAGTCCATGATGCGGCTTGATGGACTTTGTCATGCCTTCGGTCTTACGGACAAACAGTGTTACTCCTGCAGTGGTGTAGGGACTGCCATGAGCCACGGCGGCTGACCTGGTCTGTACTGTGTCGTCTTTGGAGTCGCGAAAGTCTGTTGCCGATTGACTAACATTGTGCTTTTGCCGAGCGAGCGCCGCGGTTTGGACCATGGAGAAAGGGTGGTTCTCCCAAGGCTTGAGAGGATTCAGCGTGGGAAAGTAGACATAGACGCAGTGCCCCGGTGCGGCCCACCGGATGCTCGGTATGTCGAGACGGACAATCGTGGGACTGATCTCGGTCACAATGGAGTGTCGGAAACCGCCTTTCAAGACGCGAGCCAGTCGAACCAATCGATCGAAAAACCAAACCCCAATAGTGGCGTAGAGCCAGGTTTCGTAGCCAAAGGTATTCTCGTACCCAATGTACACGTGATACCAGCAACCGACCACGCATATAACGGCCATGACAATGTGTGAGATGAGGAAGAGCTCATAGGCTCCTTGTCGTAGGATGTAAGTGCTGCCCAAGACCAAGATGACGGCCGCCACCGTGGCGACGCAGCCCCAGATCCACCACTTGGTCAGTAGTGACGGGGAATACGAGCCAGTGTCCTGGTATAGGACAAGAGCGAGGATAGAGTGTAGAAGAGTCTGAAAGATGAAGGATGTCATGCACAGCTTCAAGTGCATTGTGCTTCATCACGACTGTCAGAAGTCCGATTCATACTGAAAATATTCTCATACCTGCGCGCTTACTCCATGCTTTCTACCACGTGTTTATACATCCATCTGTCAAAAGCGTTGTGCGTCGAGAGACAGAGAGGGGGAGAGGAAGAGAAAGATGGGGATCCATTTCTTAAGATTCATGTGGCTCGGGGAACGGTAACTCTGTTTGTAGATGATAATGTTACACGAAACCAATGGTCCCCCAAAGAAAGTGCCGATGGAGCCATGCCTGGCCTCGGAATGCTTCATCTGCACCGAGAAAATGAAGAGCTGCATTCTAGGTTCATCGAAATGTAGCAACCGCGTCGATGCCGTGTCTTGCATTCATGAGCGGTGATCCAACGGACGTCCAAGCGAGAAAACAAACCAAACACAACCCAAATATCTATTACCTGCCATTACACGACTACTTAACAAGTATAATTGGTTCCCTGTGCGTGACCCGAAGAAAGGAAGATGTCAATTCATCCCTTTTTCCTCACTTGAGCTCCCTGCGCCCGAACAACTGAGCTTGAGCAACACTAGCCATTAGCTGTTTATAAATTATCAGCTAGAAATCGCCGCCTACGACAATTCTATACCCAAGCACAGAATGCAGCCTAGATGCCTTTCATACTCCAGCGTACTGGTGATTAGCTGGCGCATTTTGTCAACCGCAGCTCGTGGCGGTGTGGGCCGGCTTGTCGACCTGAGCAACGCAAACATCGTAACAGAGAGTTCAAGTCAACTGTTTGGCGACCTCTTGAACGATTCACGGACTCGCGGAGGCGACAAGATAGCACGCATCCTACAAGGGATCGACAGTGCGACGAGGCCATCATGCTCCGATTACCATGCTCCAGGCGCGCCCATGTCCCCTGCCTGCAATGCCGACAAGTGCTGCATCTGGAGCCACATCACTGGCGAAATACTACCTTCGTTCAAGGGATGCACCGACTTTGCTCGTGGTGCAATACGCCAAGGTTTCCACGACGCAGCCGCATGGGATGTGTTCTCCGAAACAGGAGGAGCCGACGGGTCCCTTTTGCTCTCAGACGAATTGGACAGGATCGAGAACGAAAACATCCATGACATCGGCAACCTGACCAAGTCTTGGTTTAAGAAATACGAGGATTGGGGGGTTTCAATGGCCGATCTGATACAAGTCAGTGCTATAACCGCCACAGTTGCTTGTCCAGGAGGACCACGGATACGGCTTTTTGTTGGACGACAGGACAGCGACGAGGCAAATCCTGCTGGCCTTTTGCCCAGCCCATTTGACAATGCAGATTACCTGATATCATTGTTCGAGAACAAGACCTTCTCCTCGACGGATCTGGTAGCCCTCGTTGGGGCACATTCTATCTCAAAGCAAATTTCCGTGGATCCGCGTCGCATCGGGGCGTCCCAAGGCATCACACCCAAGGTTCTTGACACTACCTTCTTTGAGAACACTTTACAAGGCGACAATAAAACGATTTTGATAATACCAAGCGATGCGAAGCTGGCTGCGTCCAAGAAAACCGCGAAACAATGGGAGATGTTTGCCAAATCAAAAGCTACTGTTGCATGGAATCTGGTGAGTTGGGTCGCTCATGATATGACCGTTCACTTGTTCTAATTCTCACCAGGCATACGCAAGAGCATATGTGCGCATGAGTCTACTGGGTGTCAACAACATGAATGATATGATGGAGTGCACGAAAGTATTGCCACCTCCAATTCCAACAGGATAGGTCTTGGTTCATCGTTGGAAGCATCCACATTTTGCCAGGAAAAGATGGTCACTCCGCTTTTGTCCACAGCCTACGTCAAACTTTCTGGTTTTTTTTTTTNTTTTTTCAAGAATTGTAGTAATATTAATAATAATATCGGTATCGAGAGCGCCACAGTTTGCAATACGAATTGAGATATTTGTTGTGTACATTGGGATGACACAAAAACGGCGAGTTTTGAACTTCCCATACAAAAATGCCTTAAACAGGCAGTTTTCAATTAAATCCTCTCAACGAAGGATTCGGAAAGAAAGATAATGTAAATATCTATGTATTCATAGGCGATAAAAATATGAATTGCTCTTTTAAAAAAAATTTGTGGAGATCCACGGGTTTAAAATATATAAGATTGAGGAGTTTTGGAAATTTAGTGGATTATCCGCTATAAAGTTAGTTGAAATATCCCTGGAAGCCGGATCTTTATCCGCGATAAATCACTATAATTATAGCGCATTATTCTTCTAGGGGCATGTTTCACGTTAGGCCGAGATAGGCACTTGTGCTCAAGCAAAAGATAATCTTCTAGGTTAGGTTAGTTGGCTCTGACGACTGCCTTAGTGACAGCTTTCGGGATATTAATAGCATGGTTATTACCGACCCTCAAGGTTGTTTTTGCTGCGACACTGGCCTCAATTAATCATAATTTAGTCCGATCTTTTTTTCCCTTTCTTTTCCCCAAAGGAGGCATATAGGAACATATGAAAGTCAGAGGAGCTTGTGATCTGGGATTTCGATATCACCTGATGGGAGCGGTGTATAGGCATGAATAAGTGATTGAAAGTAGTCTGATTCTGTACAAATGAAATGGAGGGTAGGTCGTATCTATATACCCATCCAGGAGCTCCTATGGAGCTTGTCTAGTCTAGTTTGAAGATCCCATTGAGAACTGTAAGTGTATGGAGTGAATGTCCCGTCACAGAACAAGGTGTATGGAGACTTTTGCTAGTCTAATTTACTCAAGTCCCCCTCAGAGTTCAACCCCTTCCCTATGAGTTTATTGCAGGTATTTCTTCCTGATCCCTTCTCGCCAGTCCTTAACACTGAAAACCTCATGTCCAACTTTCACTTTGTCCTTCCCAACTCCAGGCGACCCCTCTTTCGTCCACTTCTCGACAGGAAGAAACTTGTGGTCTGGAGCGCAAATTCGACGCGCAAGCTTTGCGTCCTCAAGCTTCTTGAGACAGCCATGTTCTAATCTTACATTGGCACAGTCCATACACAGATACATGTCCTGTTCAATACGTCCTTGCCACTCATAGCCACAATTACCGTTACAGACGAAAAACACCCCACTGTGAGGCTGTGCAGGTTGTTGCGTCACTGACCCCGTGATGGCTTGATCGTCTTCATAGCCCAGTTCTGATCGATCATCGGAATCATCATCTCCATCGAAGCCCGTGACTCTATCAGTAGTGACATTTATCACTGATCTGTTCATACTGATGGCGGTTCCCTTTGATGGCTTGTCTTTGTCATCGATACTACGGCTGTTGTCGTCCTCGTCTTCAACAGCTTGAGACACCAAAGACCATGCTGCAAGGGCGTCTTTTTCCCGGCCCAAGGATGCGAGAGCTTGCGCCAGTATGTCATATCCCTCCCAGTCGTTGTCGGGAATGTCGTCATCAAGGATAGCAAAAGCAATTTCGATCACCCTTCGTGTATGCTTCTCGGCGAGGGACCCCTTGCCAAGATGACGGTAAGTTCGTGCAACAAGGGTTGCGAAGCGTAGGTCTTGCTCGACAAGCCGTTCATCTTGTTGTTGTTTCAATAACTCGAGTTTGGGAAGTCCGTCTCTCAACTCGGGTTCGACTAGTCCATCTGTCAACTGTGATTGAGCACGAGCCCATTCGACGTAAGCGAACCCAAGAGCCCTGGTGCTCTTTCCCAAAATGATTTTCTCGACATCTTGCGGACAGTCACGCCGTTTCCATCGGTTCACGCTTCTCTGTAGGACTTGACGAGCTTCTTCGATGCTTCTGAGTTTTTGATCAAGACCATCCGTTACCATCGCTCCTGCCACAGTCGCGCGAGATGCGGAGTCGGGAAGACGGGGGTACAGCAGCGCGACGGCAAGATAGTACCGCAGATGAGCGAGTCTTGATTCTGAGAGAGAGTCGGCAGTCTGAGCTTTCTGGTGTGCTTGATAGATTGCTCTGCGATATCCTTGAAGTAAGAGGTCTGGTATGTTTCGTAGCTTGTTAGAAAGATTTTCGTGAAAGGATTTGTCTTCCGCGAATCTGAAGAGAAGCTCGATAAAACCCTGTCCGGATTCTCGTTCAAGCAAGTTGCGAAAGAAGGTTTCTATGCTGTTTGCGTACTCGGCTTCTTTCAACTGCCTCAAAGTAATAGCGATGAGGTTGGGGTCCGACACAGGCTTGTCGATGAAGCTTTTCAGGAATGTTTGTATGGGCCCCTTATCATCAAGATCTTGTGAGGAATCCAGGAAACGTTTGAAAATATCCTCGAAAGCGGAATGGTACTTTTTTTTGATTCCAGGATTGTCTTTGAATAAGTTCATGAGCTCAAGTAATTGGTGCACGGCGCCCGCATGATCGTTCTGGCGCTGCAGAGACCGAGCCAGATACCACTTTGCTTTCCAGTTCTGAGAATCGTTTTCCAACGCTTTTTGGCACCTGGAGGGTACACCGTCCCACATGTCATAGAAAACCATAGTTTCAGCGATACGGGTGTGTCGCAGGGCTTTTGTCTTGTTTTCTTTCAGCTTCGTCTGCGCCCACCTTTCCGCTGCACGAACATGCTCAAAGGTGATCCCTTCGTTGTCGTCGGGATCATAGCGGATTCGATCGCGCATTTGGTCAGACATTTCAAGGTCGACAATCTACGATGGTTAGTGCTTTGAACCGATGATGAAAGAATAGTGTACCCACCTCTTTTGGGAGTTGAGCTATCCGCCTGAACGCTTTTGCTGCATCCCAGCTGCTCTTGAGAAGCCATTCTGATGCCAATATCTCCGATGCGCGCTCCAAAAGGTCCTTTCGTTCAAGAATCAACGAAGAGCCGCCCGTCCCCAGCACTGACAAGGCCCCTTCTGCCACTTCGACGTCTTGAAACCACCTTAAAACTGCGTCCAAGGACTCCCACCAATCATCTCCTAGAATGGAGCTCAATCGTTCCTCCCTAAACCACACACGAACAGAATTCTCATTCATGAAGAAAACGTATAGCCAACGGCCGATTTCTCTTTTGCGTTCGACTCCTAGCGTGAGAATCTCAGCTGGGTTCACCTCGCTGAGATGCCATAGCATATTATTGATTGCGTAATCGTGGAGAGGCTCTGCAATCTTCGCGTTTGCAGGACATACTGCTTTCAAGAGACTGAGTATGATACGACAGTGCCCATCTACCCGGTGGTATGAAATACCCGAGGGCTCACCATGACTGTACTTCTCGAAGGATGATTCACCGCTGTAAGATGGCATGGCATCTCGACGAAGCGCCCGTTCATTGCTCTCGGGTTGCTGTGCTCGGTGCAAGATTGCCCTGTTTGGCTTCTGGACATTGTTGGTCTGGCCTGACGTAGCGATCGGATTATCCGTTGCGGTGCCGCCCTCCCTCTTGAGATAATCCAAGGCGTTGGAGGACATAAAGACAACATCGTCTCTGCACCATAAAAGTGACCTGGACTTGTACTTCTGTTCAATGCGTTCTTTGATATTCACCGCCCTGCCATACTTCAAACGCAGCACAGACTCAAGCTGGGCTACTGTTGGCCGCCCTTCCTTTGGAAGCACTATCCAGGGAAGGATCTCATTGAGAACATCGATCTCTTGACTCTGTGTTCGTAGCTCCTTGGCAAGAGTATCGATACTGTTCCGGACTGAATCAATGATGTAAACCTCGCTTAATGAATCGCTCGACAGAATCTCTTCGAGTTTTTTGTCACTCGCACGTTCAATTGCCTCAAGATATGACTGAAGCTTGATATAGTTGTTCTTGGACTCCTCAATCAATTTCTTGCGGAACAGGTCAATGTCGATTGTTTTCATCGAGATTCTCAGTCTCCCACTTCTGGCCAGCAGTCTCAACTTCTTCTCCAATCGGGACTTCGCGTCTTCCAATTTCAACAGCGCTGGCTGCCCTTTTTTGCCGATGAATGCATTCAGATCGTTCGCGTTGCATTCACAAAGCGAAACTCTCGGCACGCAACCAGGGGTGGAAACTTTTTTCAGGTAATCTTCCGTGCCACTTATGAACAACCTCACTTGGAAGGGCTGGTTCCGCTTGGCGTTCATTGAGCTCGTCTGGTTTTGATGACACCTGATCGACTCGATGATGTGTCGAACCAACACGGTGTTGTCCTCATCTTGCTGACTTCCTTGTGCCATTTCAAGACCATCAATGACCAAGAAGAAGATTCTGCCAGCTTTGGTGTCGCTTTTCTTACGATCATTGGCATCCTGTCCTGATTGCTTGGAGAAAGCCATCAAATAGTCCATAATCAGGTTGTCCCAGATATCATGGCCATTGTAGGTGGTGTTACCTACTTGGTGGCATTGTTTAGCCACAAAGGTGCGAAAAGAAACGTCCGTCTCAGTCAATTGAAGCACCAATCCAGCCAACGCATCTCGAAGAGACATGCCAGTTTCGCTGCTGCCAGCGATCTTTTCAGTATCGCCAGGACTCTCGAAGAAGCAGTGAGCTACATTGGCACGTGTTGTCTGGTTGTCTGAATTCTTCTGTAGGTCGACGAGATGCCTTAAAAGCCAAAAACATGCGTGGGTCTTCCCACTGCCGTTAGGGGCCTCCAAGGCGAGTACGACGTTCGGAACACTTTTGTCGACATCTCTCCATTCTACCAGGTCTTCGTTGCTCTTGATCCACTCTCCCGTGTCCACAAGAGTTGAATCTAGAAGAGACTTGTAGGATCGTTTCCAGTAGCCCCAGTTACGATTGTGGTGGTCGAAACCGAGGTGTTCCTTGATTCTCGTCAGATTCGAGTCATCTAGGCTGAGGCTCGTATGGCGGCTGAATTGGTCCACGAGCCCCTGGGTTGCAGCTTTCACTTCCAATACATCTGCGTGTGTATTCGCTGGTATTGTAGCCTTGAGTTGTCCTAGCAGATCGTCTAACCTCTCTTCTCTAGCTTTGACCGCTGCTGCGTCGCCCGCGATGACTCTGGTGACCACCCGTTTGTACATGCTGAGCTTCCCTCGGAGACGCTTTGGCTTCGGCAGCCCGGTCGCGATCGCGCAGTCTGCGCAGATGGAGAGGAAATGTACCATGAGCTGATACAAGGTAGACTTCAAACTCTCTGACATCAAGTCTTGAGCATCAGGGCTGATGCCAGTGGCATATGGAGCAAATATTCTGATGACTCTTTCACCCTTGGACGACAAAAGTGTTTGCAAGCTTTCAGCGAAAAGCGACTTTTTGCAAGCTGCAGATAACTGCAAAACCAACTTCACAGCCTTGAAACAAACGCCGACCGGGGAGAACACCTGGCCAGAATGTTAACAAACTCATAAGCAGCAAAGTAACAAATTCAGATGGGATTGACGAAGCTTACATCGGCAGCTACATCCACCACAACGTCTGCGACTTCAAGCAGTCCTCTCCCCACATTTTTGAGAGCCTGCAACTTGACATTTTTCTCGTCGTGTTCACGGTCGTCTTCAATGTCCTTCTGGATCTCTTCTTTCCTTGGCATTCGCAGGAATTCTTGGTCATCTTGGTTGGTCGCTGCGCAAAACTCCAGCACAGCGGTCTCCCATAATTCCAAGAGATTGACTTTGTGGGCGGTGGGCTTGGATTTTATTGTTGGCAACTCGCGAGGCGAAGATCTGGTTGTTACTCCCGAGGGCTGTTGAAATATGTACGTGCGTGTCACAACTTCCCGCAGAGACTCGGCGTAGCTCTTCCTCAGATGGCAGATTTATATAAATAAACCCAAGGACGGTGCAGAAATCGCCTTATGTCACTCAATTCTCATCGTCTTGGCTAACTTTCCCGCCAGAGCCAAATTCATGTGTACCGATTCACTCATGTGCCTACATGCCTGATCAGAAAGCTGCAGGGTCAGTGGATTCAGCTGATTAATTGTGGTACTGATTAGTGGCTACCTTGTAGATATTATCATCTGTGCCCCTCAACTTGTTAGCCAACGAAATCCACTGCATGGAGCAGCAAAACTCCATCTACGATATAGATTTGAGGACACTGCTTCAGAAAAAGCAAACCTGCAAGACTGCGACCCTGGAAGAGTGATTTACCACATCGTGCAATCTCCAAAAAAAAAAAAAAAAAAAAAAAAGACACAAATCAGGTTGCAAGACAGCATTTTGCGGTCCCATCACAAATCGCAAACAATACCGTATACAGTAAATGATTGTTCCCAAAGGAATGATTGTGTGCTTGTGGGCTGTAGCCACTCTTGAGCCCCTCTATGGCGTGCCGCACATAGTCGCTGTGGGCATGCTCTCAGATACCCATATCAATTGCGCATCAAGCTTTCATTTTCTCCCCTTACCACCGTAGAATGTATGCAATGCGAAAGATGGAGATCGTTTTTACCGTGCAGCTTCTTCACCCCATACCATATACCATAGCAGGAGATCTGGACCAATGTAGTCCATTTCCCCTTCAAATTGGTCCCCCGTCTTGTGATCAACTCTATTTCTTATTATTGCGGAATACTTATTGAATGTTTAGATCTCGCCACTTCCATCAGTCTCCACAATATTGAGTGACACGCTTCTCTCACGCATAAGGAACGGTTGGTGTATGTCAAGTCTCTGACTATTACATGTTACAGTTCCGAAGCCTACCTCAATTTCACGGCCCATATGGCGGCGTGTAGCTGACTTCCCAAATGGCAACACAGTCGATTATTGATAGTATTCCACAGTATGACTGCTGCTTAGGCGAATTTGATTGCTTTCAATGGCCCCACCTGGGCCATGTTCATCCCAGATCGATATTATACCATGTCGGGTCTCAATGTACCCGGATGCAGGAAAATCTCATCGGGTGAAAACTGCCAGCTCATCAGCAGGGCTCGCTGTCTACTAATGGGATACAAACCGAGCATCATGAAAATGTCCACGACACCCCACTTTCCCCCATCGAGCGGAACGGCCCACGCCAGACTGGGGCAGCAGAAATCGACAATGATCGCCGTGATCCTTTGCAGCCGCTCGAGCTGTGTCCGGGAGGGCCACGAGACTCCGTTGGCAGATGTTTGGGCCATTGCCGAAATGGGTCACGATCGAGCACATATCCTCATCACTTTTCCCTCGAGCTCGTTCATCAGAGCTTGTACTGGTTGTGTACCCCGGGCTGTCGAATGCTTACTTCTTGTGGGTCAGAAACTCACGAGTAATTCCGCTCACGACTGTCCCATTTCGCGACCGCTAATGCTGAGTCGGATTTTCCGAAAGACCCAAAATAAAAAGGCCTCGTGACATTGGTTCATTTTTTCTTCTTTTAATCACGAAAGAGCAGTGGTAGGCATGGAGGCAAATCGACAATGATAGAGACATATCTTGAAATATGGGTCAACTCGAGTTCGCTCGCGATCGAGGGGAGGCCCCTGAAGTACTGCGTTGATCTAAATATTACATGATACTGAAGTCTTTCTCAATGGAGGTGAACTGAAAAAAAAAATAAAAAATGAAAAGGATAAGAAAGCATTCCCCCATTGCACTAGATAGAAAGGAAACGAAATTCTCCGCTCATGTCTGTGTCATCAAGTCAGCACCGCGCTGCCCTAAGACTACTACCCGCCACATCCGACCGCTGGCCTCTGGACGGGGCATGAGTTTAATCTTTATTTCCTTATCCGTTTGCTCCATAGCCTCTACTTCGAAGACTTAGCCGTGGTTAAAAGTACCCAAGGCTTTCTATCCGCCGACCGGATATCGAAACGCAGGAGTAGTATAGCGGTGTACATCAAAATCTCATTTGTGGCAAGATAACGTCCGGGACAAAGCGTGGTGCCTCCGCTGGACCCACGAAAAGCAATAGCGGTAGAACGTTTACCACTATTGTGCCTTTTAAAGAAGCGCTTATGGTAGAATTTGTTGATATTCTCTCGCCTTATACGGTCGGGTTCTAGTGCTAGACTCTGACCAATGTTATAATGAGCTTGCCGCTTCTTTAAAGAGGTACCTATTATCTAATATATGGTCTTCCGAAACGACGCGTACAAATTGGCTATATTATGATAACGGAATATCTTGTGGTAGGTGGAGAGGTAGGATATAAGTTAAAAATATAGCTAAGGTTAATTGTGGACGTGCTATCCGGGCTGTGCTGAACAGCCTGCTTTACCTCGCTTAGATAATCCTATAAGACGGCAAGGTCGCTAAAAACACGGTAAATAGCCTAATACGCAAAAGGATTACTATTAGCGATACTATGATATATAATTCCTAGAAGCACACGCTCACGCTTGGAGGATCGAGACGCAAGCGAAACGTGGTGGCTAATCCTTCCAGGGCTCGAATCGAGGAGCGACGGGTTGACTTCTGAACGCTTCAGCGCGCCTGTGATTGCTGCCATCGCATCTCCAGCAAGGGTAGATCGGTAATCTCAGGCTATTCCATGGGGTGACTTGTTCTAATTGATCACTTCCTGTAGTGCTGCCCGGGCGTGAAAGGCCTTACCAGTACGCAGTGCAAGGATCTCGGGTTGTTATGGGCCTACGATAGACCAGCCGAACGCCGTGGGTTAAACAGCGGCATCGTCTACTCACATCATCATTGTCCACACAACAAAGGCTAATGGAGAAGTACAGCCACGTACCCGTCCAAGTGCCGCAGAAGTCAACCCATCTACGGGAGGGATACGTTCCATTCCGACGGACCACTCAGAGGCAGTAGGAAACTACGTCCTCAGTCCAGCGTATGCGCCCTTTGACGCCGCTGACCCTCGCTATCGTGCATCCGATAAACATTTCCGTCGCCATCGAGCTGTCGCACCCGCTGTCTCAAGGCTCAGTGCACATCACCAGCGCCACGGACGAGCACACCGATACCAACGAGGGAGTGAGTGTTGACCCCCACTATCTTGTGAACTCGCTGGACCTCAAGATTCTGGCTCGCCAGGTCCGCTTTACCAAGGACGCCATTACCCGCGCGGAGCCGATTGTGCGCCACCTCAAGTCTTACTACCAAGAGGTTCGCAGACCTCGAGGCCGCAAAAGACTATATTGGGCGCACTGCAGACTGTGCCTACCATTATACTGGCAAGTGCTCCATGATGCCTCGGGAGCTGGGCGGCGTAGTTGACAATCCGCTGCGTGTGCATGGTTGCTCCAAACTCCGTGTGTGTGATTCCAGTATTTTGCCTATTGAGCCGACAATAAATCCGCAGGCAGTCATTTACGGAGTTGCAGAATTAAGTGCCGGCTTCATTAAAGAGGAGCTGCTGTATTGTACCCAAATTGAACTGATGACTTGGTCACTGCCGTTTAATATTATCACCTCAGCCAACGTGAATGGAAAGATGTGATCAAAGTAGTGTCTGAAAGATGTTGTCCCCAAGTAAATGAGGGCGCTCTCTTCACAATGAGAAAATCGTCTCATACCCCCTCGCAAACATTGAAGAGGAACAAAGAAGCCTTGCGTACCGTAACCGACGAATCATGTTTCTGCCATGTCATCACACATTCATAGCTGGCCAACACCAATCTCTTCAGCCCAACGAACAACTGCTCATTGCTGGCAACTGGAAAAGGCATGCATGTTGTTTCAACTCGTGTATATGAAAATTGTTCAATTTGTATCTCAAATTTGCAAGACGATCTGTCTTACACTACGCGATACAATGAACTCCCATTACCAAAGCTGTTCCAAGTTCTATTGCTCATAAACAAGAAGAGAAAAGCAGAAAGCTGGAGTATTTCTCTGCCACGACGTTGTGCTACTGGATACGGAACCCTGGCCACAGATTAACGCCTGAGTCTTTCAATTAGTTGAGAATGTATACATGCACCTTAAGACCTTAATGACTTCCGGCGATATGCTTGACCGCCAATGGTAGAAATCAATGTAGAAAAAAAGAATTCAAGAAAGAATGAGTATCGTTTGACAAGGGACCATGTATCATACATGGACTGCCCAAAGCTATTGCATTGCCAGAGACCCAACAAGGTCTGTTGGAGTCCATGAACTCGCTTGCCGAGGGATCATGTGTAATAATCGCTGGTTGAGTGCCGTGACGCGTTGCTTGCGAACAGATAGACCATGCTCTGTGGGTGTCTTATGACTGCCAACCACCTCTCATGAAGATTATGCCCGGAAGCGAGCCATTGCACATTTGAGAAAAGATCACTGCTTGGTCCCAGTAATGCCTTACATACCGTGGCCCAGGAGATCACTGAATCTGTTTCGAAACAGATGACTGCGGTGGGACAATTTGAGGCTTTTGCAAAGCCTCCCATATTGTTTCCGGTGCAAGCCTGCGACGTTTACCAGGCCTTGCAGTGGAAGATGGAGAAAGACTGTCCAGTTCATTGAAAGCTGAAGATTGCTCGTATTAGTCATTTTCATGCTAATGAACTTAACAACATGGCAGACTTACAAGTCCTCTTGCGCTTAGGATCCTTATACCTGCGGAAGAAATCGAGTCCTCTTTCCAGGGCTTCGCATTCATCACGCAACACCGATCTTTGCTTAATGATTTCGTTTGACTCAGCTGCAAATTTCTCAAGCTCTTGATCATCCATTTGGCCGACGAACTGAAGGGTGAAGATGTTGGGAAGATCCTCGATGAGACAGTTTTCAATAACCAAGACGATCATGTTGTCGGTGAACGTGTGCAGTGAGGTCTAGCGTTTGTTAGAAAGAAAAAGAATTTTATTGTATGATACTGGAATCACCTGGTAGTATGCTCTGGCCTTGTCGAAAAAGTCTTCAGCATCAAATTTGCTTTCAGGTTTAGAATTCACGTTGCCGCCAAGGTTCTCCCGCGCAGTGTCCGTGAAAAGGCCTGGCTGAGTTTCCAGGAGGCGCTTCAAGAATTCTTTCTCTATCAACCTTCGTTGTCGATCTGTGAGAACTGTTCCGAGTCCCAAATCCAGTGACGGGGGGTGTCCATGTTGGTAGTGGTGGAGAAGTTCCTCGATCTTCCTTTCCAGTACCAAGGCCTTGGTCTCAAAGAAGTGTTCTACGACCTCATTTAGAATCGTCTCGCGGGTTCTGTTGTTCTTTGGAATAAGGTGGCTGAAAAGCTCGTTAACAAATGTTCGAGCCATTTGACTGGCAATCTGGGCATGGGATCGTGCAATAGCCCCCCAAGGGCGGGCTCGGTGCCGGAAGAATTCCGCTGCCAATTGATCGTTTGATGTGCCCAGAAATTCAATTCCTTGGCCGACTACAAACTCATTGTCCAATTTCTTGACCGTATCTTGGAAAGTCATAAGTTTGGGGTCCTCGGTTGGGTAGAGGCGCATCAGGTTGTGGAGACTGGCAGCAAAAGCGGGACAAGGACTTTTCTGATTGTGCTGGCGTGTATAATCGTCGATACTGACACCTTTTGGAAGCACCTCGTATGCGTGGCCCTTGGTCTGTAGAATAAAGGCGAAGGTGCGGTTCAGATCACGGATGAGTACTCGCAGTTTGCGAACTCGAATTTGTGCATATGCCATGCCTGTGTCGTCGAGATCTAAACGGCCGAAGAAGTCGTGCAAGTAATTGCCATTCAGGGCCTGTAGTGACACGGCCTGAAACTGGGATGCAATATTGTTGAGGTATGCCTGTCTTTCTTTTGGGCCCTCTCGCGGTTCTCCAAGCTGTTTGCGAAGAAACTGTCTCTCGCTCAATGTGATTTCAAATCCGTCAATGAGGCTCTTCAAGTTCCTTTTGGCGCGAGTCATGAGAATACGACTCAATCTTCCTCGTAGCGTACCGATGCCTTTATTCTCTGGAGGTACTGAAGACCAGGAAGTAGCGTTGAAAAATTCCCGCTCCCTTTTATCTCTTTCATCTTTTCCCAGACACCTCTCCACAGACTCAGAATTTCGAAGCACATGCCAACCCAATGGCAGCCGAGCAGACTGGTTCAGATTCTCAACTAGCCGAATAATGTTCGCTTCCTCCTCAGATCCTGGTTTGAGAAGATCTGGCTTCGTGATAACTCCGAGTGTCCGGATTTGGTTTCTATCGTGGAGCTTGGCAAGTTGAAGGAGTTCTTGCACAGCAGTTTGGTCTTGTGCAGATACAACCAGCACAATAATGGCGTTCTGGTTTGACATGTAACGGTTGGCTAGGCTTTCCACAAGAGCTCGATCGGCGGCAGAGTGCTCTGCTTGTTCGGAGTTGTCTAACCGAGGAAGTTCGATCATTATGAAGTTAATTTCATAGAGGTATGCTCGGCAAATTCTCACCTGCAAGGTGTCTTCAGAGATAGTCGCACCGCCTTGCAGAGCTTCTTGGATTACTTGTGTAGCTTCATTGAAGACTTTGGTGTATGAACTTGACACAACGCCCTCCTTGGTATATGATGGCAATTTCTCGACTCCGCAGGTCGACGTTGATGTGTGGCATACCTTGACTTTGATTTCACTACTCTCTGTGGTACGCAGGACCCATTCAACTGGGAAGTTTGTGCGGCGAGTTGTGAATCTCATTCGGACTATAGCCTCTACTATGGAAGTCTTTCCTGAGTTCCTGTTGCCCAAGAGGACGATTTGTGGAAGATCCAAGTCGAGGTCCAGTCCGTGACTGCGTACATCATCGATGATCTCCTGGAGTTTTCTCTCTTGTGCGTTCCATTGCTCTAGGACAGGAGTATCGGGGTGAGCGTCTGCCATCCTGTCTGGCCTGATAAAAAAGTTGTGCTAATTGAATGAAGAGACTTGGCGGACGAGAAGTAAGATGTCTGTATCATTTGCTTGGTTTGTTTCTTTGTTTGTTTTTTGTTGCTGTTTGTTGTTGTGACTAGCAGTCGAGGTGCTCTGGAGCTTCCTTCGATGAAATAGGATGGGTAGCAGTCACCATTGACCAATGCTTGAAGATTGTTGATCAGTAGCACCTGCTTAGAGGTCCCCCCCGCTCTAGTCGTTGTTGTATAAATTTACAGAAAACATCAACTACTGATAGGTACATATATGTATGGTAAATACATGGTAGATTCCGTACGTGGCAGAATTGGAAGGCAATCAATTCCCGTGCAGGTCAGGGTGGTTGCGCCAACATTAATAAGGTACTGTGCCGTTCGGTACAGGCAGTCTGGTAGGTACCTAGGGTACCTAATGGTAGTAGCGCCTTATTGCATGTGCTCAACAGTGGGTCTGCAGAGCGGCCAGGAGATTTGTTAGCCAGAACTGCCTACATGTGCACTGATTGCACCGTCCCGAACCCTTGTGGTCGTAGTACCTTGTAGTTGATTATTTGCTGACAAGTTGCAACCACGGCCATCACTCACGCGCCTACATTCCATCGCATGGGCAAGAGCATTCAATGCACCTGAGCAATTGCTAGGGTCGAGACGCTCCTCACCTCTCTTGCAATAATGTCATTCGCGTGGCGCACACATTTTCTAGCGCTCCTCTCGGTAATATGCAGGATCGCAGTATCCTTGAGTCCTGGTGACACGGGCACCGCGCGAGCCCCGGACCACTGGACGTGGGGCCCTTACCGGCCCAATCTGTATTTTGGCATCAGACCGCGCATTCCAGAGACATTGCTCTTGGGTCTAATGTGGTCAAATGGAGACGGGCGCCAAAGCATGCTTAGAAGTAAGAACTGGATACATCTCCGTTGACCCAGGAGAGGAAGCCGAATACTAATTCCGTCGATTTGAAAGATCTCCGCGACACTTGTGAGCAAGACGATGGCATGAATGGCTATGGATGGACACAGTACGACACCCGGACAGGAGGCAGTCAGACCATCTACGACAGCAAACTGCACATTGATTTGACTACAGAATTTTTCAAGTCCGGCGATGGGCTCGGCTGGGTGGTCCGCGTGTCCGGCACTCCAAGGTCAGGTGCCCCGGCAGATTTGAAGACGGCGCTCGTCTGGCATATCGCTCTCGAGGGAGCAGAAAGCATGCCGAATCAGGGGAACCTGAATTGCACAGCCGCAAAGGGACACCAGGCGGGAGCCAATTGCTTCGGAACGGCCCCTGGACTGGGTCCCTTTGAGCTTCATCAGCTAAGTAATACAGGAAATGCGTTCCACGAGGGTACTGCTGTAAAGAGTGTGACGGTAACAGAGGACAAGATATGGAAAGCAAAGTGTATGACTATCACTTATTGTCCTACGGATTCAATGTTGTGTGTGCTCATCTTCTCCAGCGGTGTATATGGATGTCATCAAGGCCGCCTCTGGAAAGGCGCTCCTCGTTAATGAGCCCGGCAATGGCAACATGCACTTCATTCAGGTCATTCTGGAGGGTCCCTTTTCGGTATGAACTATGCACTTTGTGGACCAAAGTCCAATGGCCCTTAGCTAAGCTTCCCGGCAGATTGACTTTACCTTCCGCTCAAATCAGAGCCAACTTGTGACATGTACGTTGCAACGGTTGCGTGTTCTATCGTCATCTAACATGTCATTACTGCAGCCGATGACTTTAGCTCTAAATCAAACGCTTTCTACTCCTCATTTCCGGACCAGATTGACACTGTGTTTCCAAGGTCTTCCCCGTATCAGGATCAGAAGTACAGAAGCTTCATTTCATCGTTACTATCAAATCTTTTAGGCGGTCAAGGCTTCTTCTATGGCGACACTCGAGTAGACTATTCTCATGATACAGCATACGAAGAAACGTCTCTCGACTTCTGGGTTCAGGCCGAGTACGTACGTCCGATCGTCTTATGTGTTTATGTCACTCTAATTATAGTTCTCTTGCAGGGCTGCCATGAAGCGGGCGACCGTCACAAATACGCCACCGTCGACTCTGTTGTCACATGTGCCCTCAAGACCTTTCTTCCCCCGGGGCTTCCTGTGGGATGAGGGTTTTCATTTGCTCCCTATCATCGAATGGGATATGGATCTTGCTGTTTCAAGTCTCCAAAGTTGGCTCAGCCGGATGGACAACGATGGGTGGATTGAGCGTAAGTCACTTCTCACCGTCGCTGGCGATGATTGCACCATTTCGCGGGGATGAGAACTCACACTGGACAGGAGAACAAATTCTGGGCGAGGAGGCACGAAGCAAAGTCCCCAAGAAATTCCAGACTCAATACCCCCATTACGCCAATCCTCCAACCCTGGCGTTACTCCTGCCAAAAATCATTTCCAAGATGACCAACGAGTCAGAATATCGAGGCCACGAATCCATTTACGTGACAAACCTGGACGAAGCAAGAAGACTATTGCAACAATTATTTCCGCTATTCAAAAGACAATACGAATGGTTCCGTCGAACACAAGCCGGCAATTTCTCAGCATACCCTCGCCCCTTCAATAGCAACGAGGAGGGCTACCGGTGGAGGGGCCGTTCTCCTGGTCATACGCTTACCAGCGGGCTTGATGATTACCCACGGGCCGAGCCCCCTCATCCGGGAGAGCTTCATTTAGATGCTCTTGCCTGGGTTGGTGCTATGGCCAGCGCTCTCGAGATAGCGGCCAAGTATCTGGGCGAGGATGCCAGTACATATACCGAACAACTGGAGAATATACGTCATAGCCTTGATACGATCCATTGGAACAAGTCGGCGTTAGCGTATTGTGATGCGACTATCGGAACCGACGGTAGTTTTCAGCATATTTGCCATTTAGGATACATGTCACTCATGCCTCTATTGCTTGGCCATCTGAATAGCACGCATGAGAAGCTGACAGCGGTATTGGATCTGGTGGCTGAACCTAACAAGCTCTGGTCGCCGCATGGCTTGCGCAGTTTAAGCGCCGACGATGCAAACTACCATACGGATGAGGACTATTGGCGGGGAGCCGTCTGGATGAATATAAATGTGCTCGCCGTGCTGCGCCTTCGAGACATTGGGCAGGACGACAACGCTCAGGGAGTACGCGCACGACGTCTCGCAGCAGATCTGAGGACTCGTGTCATTGACACCGTCTGCAGAAGCTGGGAGAAGACCGGCTTTGTCTGGGAGCAATACAACGACCAAACAGGAGAAGGACAGAGGAGCCGAGCATTCACAGGATGGACAGCAAGTATCATACTGTTGATGGGATTGGACGACATTGCGACTGACAGTCTAGATGGATCTTCACGGGCTGGGATTTTCGGCTGGTCTTCAATGTCAGCTATGCTATTTATTACAGGGCTGGTGTTCTTGGCCATGTTCAGACGCCAATTATTGGGGTTTTGTAAACGAGTAGGCCCAGGGCTCTTGAAAAGGGTGCAGATGTTTCCAATCAAAAGGGCTTACCAAGAGGTTGTAGACCTCGATGAGTTGGAGCGTCCTGATCACCCACGAGCGAGCTAGTTTTGGGCTCAAAATTTGAGAAGCGAGAAGGGCTATTTGACTCTACTCCTTATGCATCGGATATTAGACTTTCATAGTACAGCCTCCAATGAGTATTCACGTGGTACTGGTAGCAGTTATTATTCGACGGAATTTCCATCTGCACATGTTGCATCTCCGCCGGACAGAAAGTCTTTCAACACTACAGGCCGTACATGAAAGTCTTTCTTTGGTCTCCTCTTCGTTCGACTGATGCCGCCTCTGCAGCAAAGTCGGTTTCGTCCCACTGTGCAATTTCTTCCGATCTCTTTCTGTTTTCTCTCTTGTACATCAGGCGAAGGAATAAAAGACCCAAAGCTCCAGTAGCCATGATGGCGATGGTTATTATCAAAGGCGTCTCATCTGTTAAAAATATTAGCCCAAAATATGTCACCGACCAAGATTGGAATAATATGAGCTACTCACATCTCGGTGCATACTTGCTCTTGAAGATCTGGCCGGCAATGACACCCGCCAGGTTGGACCAGCCGTTTACGCCCAGCATGACACTTCGGGTACCTTTCCACGGCGTGTTACCCGCCAGCCACACGGCTATCAAGGGACCGCCGACAAAGACTCCCGCCATGCAAACATTGGCAAAGCCGTATCTCAGGCGGTTGTCGGTCGATGCTGCCATGACTATGCAACCGATGATGCCAATCATTACACCAAATACAGTATGCAGGGACCGCTCTCGCAGATGGTCACTCGAGTATACTATAATGATCAACCCTACCGTACCGCTGTGTAATGTCAGCACCTCATCTTGTGAAGTTGAGTTGTACAGCAACCTACACCACGAAAGGTGGTACGCTCATCAGAGTAGCGTCAATGCCACTGTAACCCATTCCCTGCACGACCAGAGGAAGAAAGGTTGTAAAGGCTGTCACGGGAAGAACCGTAGTAATGTTGCAAATGACAGTCAGGAGTTTCTTCCAGTCCCTGGCCACGTCTATGAAATCTCTCTTGGAGACAGATGTGCTATCGGCGTCGCCCTCTTCTTGAGTTCCTGCAAGATCGACTTGCATTCGGTAGACAGCATGGGCGCGCTCTTCGGCATTCAGAAACCAGGCCGTGGCCACTATCATTGAGGTCAGTCCAGCTTTTAGTAGAAGAAAAATCCGAAAAAAAGACAGAGATTAGAAGAAGAAGAAAAGTGGTTTCTAGGAAATCAAAAGGGCGCCACCACATACAATTCCTGGGTAAGATGAAAAATGACACAATGCCAAGCAGGACAGTTATCCCTCCTTCGAACAGGAACACCACCTGCCAACCATGAATGCTTGAAGTGTTGATTTTCAGCAGCCCATAAGCAAGTAAACCGGCAAAAGCACCCGCGACCGAGTACATGCCAGTAAACATGCCCACGCGGAAGCCGACTGCATATTTTGGATACAAGGTTGTCATCTGCAATACCATATTAGCATCGCCTAAGATTTGTGCGCAAAGTCATCATCAAAACGCAAGTTTGTGACTCACATAGTACATTCCAATCTGTGTAAAGCCAGCCTCGGCCGCACCAATGAGCAGCCGCAGAGCAATGAGGGTGCCACTACCACGGATGGCAGCATGGCACATGCAAAGACTACCCCAGATGATGAGCTGAATGGTCAGGAAATACTTGACACCGATGCGTCGCGCAAGAATGGTCATGACTGGCTGCAGAGGGACGTAGGTGGCGGAGAACAGCGACAGCGAGTTGGGAATGTCGTCGGGAGAGAGATTGGCATCCTTGATAAAAGAGCTGGTGGCGATGAAGCCAATGTTTGTCTTGTCGATTCCGCAAAACTGCAAAAATATGTCAGCACTGGGTTCGGGGTTCGGGCTCAGTGGTTTGAAGCCCGTCATATGAACTCACGATGAACTCGAGCGCCAGGATGCTGACTACAAAGAGATCCAATTTTAGATTGACCTTCTTGTCTAGACGTCTCTCGTCTTCGTTGCGTGGAACGTAATGAACAGGTCTTTGCTGGGTCAAACTTTCTTGGAGTTCCTCTACATGCTGAGCATCGAGCTCGACCTTTCCGGGAGGCAGAGGAGCAGCCATGATTGCATGTCACACAGTCAAATCGTGTGTGGTCTGGAGTCGCAAGTGGTACGTTGAATACTATAAGACGCCAGCTAATTTAGAACATGGGAAATATTACCCCGGCTTGCCCCCGTTTACCCCGACCAACCTTGTTCAAGTGTTTGGTCGAATAAACTCCACTTATTAGCAATGTGACCTATGGTATGCAAGGTAGCCGGCCTATACTATCTCCGCTACATTAGTAGGGGTTCTCCGCACAGAGGCACCCCATGGGGACTCTAATCGGAACCGAATCCGTGGCTCCTCTACCTTAGGAGGAAACGTCCCGTTCTTGGCTTTTTCGCTATTGGTCCCCCCAAGTTGGTCATGCATGCATACTCTGTACAAATGCATGTAGGGGCCAGCAGTGATCTTGGAAGAATTCTTAGCCAGGTGCTAGGTTACATGGACGCGGATCCCATCTGCATGTTTGGTCATCACTCAGCCGCGGGTGAGTACTCGTTGCCTTCCATCACCCAATGGGATGCTCTCTAATACAAAGGTGGGTGGTAGATACATAGTCTACATGTTTCTCTGCATTCCAACTCTATTTCAAGAGAGATCCCGATGCTAGATGCCGTTTACTTCCCTGCTGCCGCGGCTCTTTAAACGCAACCTTAGTGAGTTACCGATCTACGGCCCGGCCGCGCGGCATGAACTTTCAAACTGGCAGTGGACTCATCTGTCTGGCGTTGCGCAGAGAAGAATTGTATACCAGTGTCATAGCATGACCGTCTTTCATTACACAATGGCATCAACAGCGGTCGAAAGCAAGATTCCCAACGAGGCTGGCAGCAGTTTCAATGTGGAAGATGCTGCAGCCGTAACTGGAGTTGACCCGGCCAAAATCTATGAGGAGTACCGCCACCTTCGACAACACTGCCCCGTCATTCACACCAAACAATATGGAGGCTACTGGCTCATGACTCGATATGAAGACATCAAGAGAGCTGCTCTAGACTCCAACACCTACATCTCCAGCGTCAAGGCCGTGGTACCGAGTGACCCTCGAGGCATCCGCAGGCCGCCCTTGAACTTTGACGCACCAGCCCATACTCCCTTTCGAACGGCCCTCGACAGGACGTTGAAACCTGCTCGACTGAGACGTCTGGCCGAGCCGTTGCGCAAACACGCAGAGGAGGAGCTGGCACCACTCCTGGAGAGGGGCCGGGGCGATGTCTGCGCTGAATTTGCAGCCAACTTTGTGGCTCGCCTGGAAGCAGAATGGCTGAACCTCGATCCTGATATCGCGCCCGTCCTGGCCAAGGCTGCGGCGGCCTGGCTGAATGCCTGGAGAATGCAGGACGGAGAGACAGTCACGGCCAACTCGACGAAAATGTACCAAATAGCCAGAGACTTATTGGCAGATCGACGGAAGAATCCGAGAGATCCTGAAGAGGATCCAGCATCATCCTTGTTGTTGGAGGTAGATGCTGAAGGGAACCCTCTCAACGAGGAGCATCTAGTGTAAGTTTTAATATGTCATGATGATCACACACAAAAAGTGTTTAACAATTCCCCAGAGGCTGTCTTCGCCAGTCTCTAGTGGTTGGTGTAGTCGCACCGCCAATTCTTATAGGCTCAATCTGCAAGCATCTATCGGAAGACAAGGAGCTGCAACAAAAGCTCCGTGCCGACGAATCGCTAATTCCTGCAGCCATGGAAGAGTTTTTGCGCCTCTATAGTCCATACAGAGGCTTTGCTCGAACAGTGTCGGAACCGGTGGGGTTGCACGGGGTCACCATTCGGCCCAACGAGCCAGTCACTATATGCTACTCGGCCGCCAACCGCGATCCCGAAGTGTTTGAGAACCCCGACGATTTTGTCTTGTATAGAGAGAATATTGCTGCGCATATGGGTTTTGGCCGGGGCCGACATAGATGTGCCGGTATGCCCTTGGCGAGACTGTGAGTATCCATGACCATGAAGGAAAGGTACCTTGAACTAACCTGTGTTATAAATCCAGGGCAATCACCACTGTGATGCAGGTCATTCTTCGTGCTACGAGAGACTTTGAGGTAGACGGGGAATTGCAATTCTCGAGGATGCCAGAGCTGGGAATCATCAGTTGCCCCATGAAATTTTGGTAGAAGTGAAGGATTTTACACATAGAATAAAGCGCTGAGTGATCAATGGCCTAGAATTTTAATGAAATTATTCGAAATTTCGTCACACGGAGTTCTATGTTTGAGATGAATATTTTGAAATGATTCAAGTACAAATTGGAATAGGTGGGTGGACAATGTGTGTGGGGAGAGAGTCTGCACCGCAAAAGACCTGTAACATGACGGCTGATCATGCACTAAAACCGCCAATGGCCAGAGAGACTAGGTCTAGCAAGGCGCCAAATCTCGGGGCATCACCCCGCCGTTGACTGGGGAGTCTGCTGCTACCGCGTGCTAGTAACGGCGGAATTTGGGGTACTGCTCACAGGCCCAAAGGGAATACTCCGGTTCAAAAGCGCTCCCCTCTTAAAGGGTATTTAATATAAAAATTAGAGAATGCATCCTCTGTAAAACATCATAATGCTGTGAAATCGCATAAAATGTATTAACGCTACCATTCTGAAGCACCGTATCGACCAAAGCCTACGGTAACTTCATCTTATAGTCTCGTCTAACAGGCGCTCATCAAAATGTTCTCCAACTGGTATGTGACTGCTTTGTTGGTTGTTGCTCAGGCAAGTATCATCCATTGCCAAAACAGCCAGGCTTCGGTCACCATCGCCAATGGCACTATAGTGGGCAGCCACGATAGTACGAACAAGATTGACAAGTTTTTGGGCATTCCGTACGCCGAGCCACCAGTAGGCAATCTGAGACTACGCCAGGCTGTGCCCCTTCAGCAGTCCTTTGGAACAATCCAAGCCACGGCATTTGGCGAATCATGTTATGGATCCAGAAACCCAACCAACTCGAGTGAAGACTGCTTGACCTTGAACATATGGCGCCCTTCCAGCATTTCCCAGAACGAGACTCTTCCGGTTCTCGTTTGGATATATGGTGGCGGTTTCACGAATGGCTACACGGTAGGCATTTCCATCAAGAGCTGTATCGAATCTCGTACTAACCAGCGAACGTCCCTATAAAGGCAGATCCAAGGTTTGAAGGAACAGATCTAGTGCGCATATCATCAGAGATACAAAAACCAGTAATTCTGCTATCTTTGGTAAGTATTCCACGAGATGAATAGAATAAAAATTCTCAAAAGAAATCAAACTCTTTTTCCAATACTTACTCGCTAAATGCAGAATTACCGCCTTGGTCCATTTGGGTTCCTCAATGGTCTGGAAATGTCCGACCTTGGCCTCCTCAACATTGGGTTGCTCGATCAAAGACTAGCACTGCATTGGATCCAGGAAAATATCGCTGCTTTTGGAGGTGACCCGACCAAAGTCACATTGGCGGGTGAATCGTAAGATTTCTCACCAACATTGGACTAAAACACATTGTCACTAACATGCATTTACAGTGCTGGTGCAGTATCCATCTATTCACACATGATGGCCTATGGCGGAAGAAATGATAGTCTATTCCGAGGTGGTATACTCGAAAGTGGAGGGGCGTTTCCCCTGACACTACCAAACACAACCGCCTTTCAGAGCACCTTTGACAGTCTGATCACGAATACTACTTGTGTGCAGTTTGCCGCGTCGTCTTCTGAAGAGAAGCTGGATTGCATCCGCCAACTCCCTGTCGAGGAATTCAGGAGCAAAGTAGGCTCGTCTACTGGCCAATCGATTGATGGAGACTTTACCAGAACCTCTTTGCGATTTGCTTTGCCCGACGGTAGTTATCTTGGGGTTCCGACCATAGTTGGAAGTAAGTTTTCAGATCAATTCTTCTTATTCTCGCAAGTGGCTGATTGACTGCACGCAGCAAACACGGACGAAGGGACAACATCTGCGCCAACGAATATCAACACCACAGATCAGCTTTTTGAGCCTCTAGGTGCGCCAATCTTGCATACGTTTGAATTATTTGGCTATGGACTGATGTAATGAAAATAGCTGATGGATATTTCCGACCTCAGCGGTTGCCCAACGACGTTGTGTCCACGCTCTTGTCCCTGTACCCAACAGACCCAGCATTGGGCTGCCCGTACAATACGGGAGACGTCCAACTTTCATCAGGCAAGCTCGACAAGATGGCTTGTTCCATCTTTGGAGACCTGGTGCAGATTGGACCTGCACGCTTCATTGCGCAAACGCTGGCGCAGCATGGACACCCTGTATATAGATACAGATTCAATCAACTACCCGCCAACGCCACGGATGTAGCCGAAGGAATAACGACTGGACTAGAGCAAAGCTACGTATTCTCCAACCTCTTGCCCGACAATGCCTGGGATCGTGCTCTGGCCTATCGAATGAGTGCGGCTTGGGCAAGCTTTGCACACGGCCTGGACCCAAATTGGTCAAATGGTTCGTGTATTACCGCGTCTCCCAGAACATCAAGTACTAGGCCGGCTAACAAGTCAAAAGATGGTAGCTTTCCGGCTTGGCCGCAATACGCGAGCCAGAACCAGAGCATGGTCTTCAACGGCTATGGGTCCTCGATTGAGGAAGATACGTATCGTGGTAGTCAGATAGAATACATAATCAGCACGGTCCTGCCTGATGGAGCCGCATGATTACCACACTAGATCAATAGACGTCACGAGCATCAATGGCTGAATTCCAATTAATTATAACATACTTGCTTGATACCTTGAGCTAGTTCTGAGCTGCAGAGACCCCTGTAAATCGTTTCGGGTAGACTTTAGATGGCGTCGGGCTAATAGTATAGCAACATGAACGAGATCGACGCGGGCGGAGTATAGAATCGGGCCAACACCTCCGATGCAACCGTCGTAGTTCAGGGGTACGATCTTGGCAATATCTCAAATCGGAACCTCGATTCCGCATCACCATACCCCGAGCGGTAGAGAAACAGTCTCCGGTGGGATACCGATGTTCAGTACCGTTCATTCGGCAATTCCGGTTCCTGGCGGCAATGAGAATCATGACTGGGGGCCCCCCGCATTCTCGCCGGCCACGACTCAGTTCCCCATGGGGATGGTCAATAGTCCCGTGGTTAAGCTTAACCAAATAAGCACACGAAAACAACAGGTTAAATCTTTAGCCGTCCAGGGGCATGGTAATACTTGGAGACTGTATGTCGTAATTCATCATTGACATCAGTATCGGGGACTGGTTACTTGCTTGTAGCTATAAATCCAACACGAATTTAGGTGCAAATATCGCCACATTATCGAGTCAGATCATCAATACTTTGTCTTGAGCATTCTTCATCTCGCACTGGACAAGATGCTTTATCTGCCAATAATAGCCTTAGTTGGGGCAGCATTTGCCCAAGATCACGGCTCAACTGTAGGTTTTGGCCAAGATGACCTATTCCGGTCGTGAGAGTATGAGTGCTGATAACAGACAACTGACAGTATGGAGGTACTGGCCCTTATAAATCGGTAAGGCGACACAACACTTTGTTACACCCAACTCAGCTGACCTGGCACTGCTCAGTATTACTTTGAGGTTGAATCTCTGGTAAACCATACTTTCTACCAACCTCTTCAATCTGGGTTTGAGAGCTCGTCTTCACCCTCCTTGAAGCTTCCTGTTGTGGTTTGGGGTAATGGTGGTTGCGCTCCATGGTGAGTAGATCATTTTGTTGGACGATGCGCAAACTTGGCTAACATGTGCTCTAGTATGTGAATAATGATCCAAGAGATCTCAGACGATCTGTTCACAAGCTTCTTTGCCTGGGGCTGACGTTCTCCAGTCGGTTTAAAGTTTAGAGGTTTCCTCGGCGAGGTTGCGTCGTGGGGCGTCCTGGCCATTGCTACGGGCCCTGCCTTTGTTGACCCAGAAGGCTATGTCGACCCAAACGAAAATGCTACGTCCTCGGGCGACACTTTGGTTGGAGAGAACCCTGCGGCCCTGACGGCCGCCATCGATTGGGTGTATGCCAACGCTGGGAAGGGTGACTGGCAGCACATTGACTCGACTCGCATCGGCGTTTGGGGTCAAAGCTGTGGTGGTCTCGAGGCCTATGCTGCTGGAGCTCAAGATGATAGAGTTTCCCACCTGGGTATCTTTAACAGTGGCCAGCTGTCCGCGAATGCGAGCGAGGAGGTTGCCTCCAACATCACCAAGCCGGTATTCTACGTCTTGGGAGGACCCACGGACGTTGCCTACGAAAATGCAAGTGTCGCCAGTACTACCCTGCACAATGTTCATGCTGGCTAACAATTCCTCGTAGGGTGAACGAGACTATGCGGATCTTCCTGCCGAGACACCAAAGTGGAAGGGCAATCACGCGTTGGGACATAGTGCAGCCTTTGATTACCCCAATGCTGGAATCGCTGGTGTTGCTGGAAGCCATCTAGCTCAGTGGGTTCTGCGGGGGAACGAGACTGCCAAAGAATGGTTTACTGGACCGGGCGCCAATGAGACGGGATTCCAGGATGTGGTGTACGAAAACCTTGACGCTATCAAGGTGACACCAATCTGAGGAGGCATATTGTAATGAGATATCAGTGATAGGGAACACACAAAAGTAGTGAGAATGAGACAAATTCGAAAAAATAAGGATAAGCAATGGCAAGATGACCTTTGTTGTATGGCAAGATGACCTTTGTTGTTTGTGAGGGTTGATGACCGGAGGCACTGCTATAGTACCTAATTTGTACTGGACAGGCTGGACGCGCTAGGGCTCATTCAGCCTACCGGATACCTCCTCGGTGCTGTCGGTAGCGCCTGTACCGCGGCAGGTGGGCCCCATTTGTGTTTGCTTGCTTGTTCACAATCATTTCTCAGTTTCCGGCCTCATGCAGTTATTTTCATGAGTTCCAACTGGCAGGCACCAACAGAAATCATCACGTCATGATAAGGATAGAAACCTATCAATAAGTAAAACCCCTCGTCAAACTTCAACCGGATCAAGATCAGCATCATTCGAGGGCGAGCCAGGCCCAAGCACGACCCCCCACGTCCACGTGCGACGGGCTTCTGGCCGACTTCTACCATCAGACTTCATCCAGAATCTAAACCAGTCGGGTCAGGATCGTCAGATCTCCTACAGGCTTGGTAGGAGTTCACGATCCCGTTTCTTGAAGAAGAAGCATGATTGATGACGCGCGCCTATGGAGCAGCCCAAATCCGTCAATGATGGTCTTCTCAACCGGCTCCTGACACTTTGTGTGGTCAAGCTGATTCGCAAGAGAATCATACAGCGAAAAGTCAAACACCCAGGTGTCATGTTTATATCAAAGTATTGCATCAAATCATCGGCCTTTACTCGACTGGCAGAAGCAAACACAATGCAATTCGTTTCGGAAAACACTACCATCCCCGTTCCAAAGATTATTTGCGCCTTTGAGCATGCTGGACGAACATACATTGTGATGGAGAGAATTGATGGGCAGATGCTGGCGCAGGGGTGGTTCAAGCGGTCTGAGACTTCAAAAGCGCGTATACTCGAGCAATTAAGATTGATGATGTTGCAACTCCGCAGTATCGCACCGCCGCAGGATACTGGAATGGCAAATGTCAACGGAGGCCCGGTGTATGACCAGCGATTTCCCACCCATTCATACTGGGGGCCATTCAAGACACTCCAGGACTTTCACAGAGAGCTGCGCAGTGGTATAGAAGTCGATCATATCGATGATTCTTCCTTGGCCGCTCAACTCCGTCCGCTCATCGAGTTTCATAATCAGCCCTGGTCAGCGCCGGTGTTCACCCACGGCGACCTGAGCAGTCTGAATATTCTTGCGCGCGGCGATGATGTTGTAGGAATCATTGACTGGGAGACGGCCGGTTGGATGCCGCCTTACTGGGAATACACTTCGGCGTGGCATGTCAATCCTCAGAACATGTTTTGGCAGGAAGAAGTAGGCAAATTCCTCACACCATTGCCTCACGAATTGGAAATGGAAAAGATTAGGCGGAGGTATTTTGGTGACTATTAGTCGTGTCCTCTGGGTTGATGAACCCCTAGTCCTCACGGCACTGTCTCTGCCTTTGCATCAACCAGATCATATGTGGCGACTTTTAGTCTGTCGAAACTGTCCGGCTCTGCTTTTCCATCGAATCTGTGCTCTGCAGCCTTCTGCTGTACGTACCATAGCAGCGTGTCACGTACTGTCTCCCAGTCCGTGACGGCAGTGCCCAGTGCCCTGTTGTCCACGGCCAGGGATTCCACGGCTTCTTGGACCCAGCTAACACAATTCCATCCCGTTTGATCTTCTCGAATTGGTATCGATCGCAGAATTGATTCAAGCCACTCGCGGTTCTTAACCTTGCCAACAAGGATGCGCACCAGAATCATGGAAGTTGCCAGCATCCTGATGTTACGCTCCTCGAAAATGAATTGAGAGTGGCAATGCATCATCTTTTCCTTCGCGTGGTAGAGCTTGCCGACCGAACTGTCGTTCTCGAACTTTGGGCCGACTAGAATGCCCCAATGATACCTTTAGTTTTCCTTGATCAGCAACAGTGTTTCACGGTGTGCACACTTTGAGCCACTGACTTGTCTTCGCCACCAGGCATGATAGATCTGCCGCCCCTGGCATACAGTGCAATGTACAGACGGTCCTTGTTTGACGGCATACCGTACGATGAGAGTAATGCAAGGACAGTTAGGATGAGTAAACTCAATTGATGTTTGTGCAAAGTATCGTTTAATCAAGCACGTACAAAGTCTTGCCACAATGAAATTGTCCACCTACCTTTATACCGATTCTAAATACACCAGAAGACTGTGAATGGGCTCTGACTTGTGTGTACGGTTGTATAATGACACACTACAGCTTGAATCACTCTAATATTCACTCTTGTATCTATCGTAGGGAGGGAGCTTGGCGAATAGACAGACGGAATACAGGCAGTAACGGAGAGGTGTCTGCGGAGTCACTGGCTGTGATTCTAATGCAACATGAGTACAATATGTCCTGCCATTCCTCTGCAATTCTATGCATACATCATGAGCTCCAATATTTTGGTCTCGCTCGACGCGAGGAAGAATACTATCCCCCGCTCTCTCCATTGAGAATATGTTATATCGACGTAGTTACTAAGGAAGAATATTGGCCCGAGGGTAATAAACATTTGTTACAGCTCGTGCCTCCCCGCCTAGAGCAAAGGTTTGTGAATTTAAGCTGCTTAAGGCCAGATTGGTAAGTTAATTTGCGATTTCGGGAGTATTATGTCTTTAGCCGACCTTGCTATAATAAAGTCCTTGTCGTATGCCCTTATTATATGCTATAAAATTAGTTTTTATCTTTTTTTCCCCTTTTATCCCTTCCTCTTTCTTTTTGTTGATATCTTTCCTTAATTTTCTTTATATATATATTGCTTAGCAACCGGCTTTTTTCATATATATATATATATGTTGTTCTAGGCAGCCGGTCCTTTAGCTTGCATCCGCCTATTTAAAGTAAGAAAGACTTCTTATTCTTATAATTCAAATCTTATTATAAAGCTCTGCTAAGAAACAGAGTGGCCTCAGTTAATGTGAGCTGGAAGAAGCATTATTCAACGCAGGGTCGCGCGGCATGGTCTTTAGTACCCGTTTGCGAGCACGCTAGAACTTGTACTAAAGCAGAAGTAGTGCTAGTAACATAATTATTTAGATACGCAGTGTCACAGTCACACCAACGCACAAACGTTCTTCAAGTCAACTTCTTTCTATTAACTGTCTTACGTCAAATATGCGCATATTCTCACTCAGCTATAGCATGTGAAACCACTTGAGTGTATCGCCGACAAGATCCCAAATGATGTTTTCTGATTTGAATGAATTCTGTTTACAGACTCGTGCGGTGCTACAGGTCGAACCAGCCAAGCGACCTCACTCTATGTTCCTAGTAGTTGGAAGCCTATCTGCATCAAGCCTCAGAATGTAGACGAGATCAGACGAGCAACCTACTGCAATGCGATTCCCATGGACTGCTGACACTCTTGGACGAAAATCAGGGGGAAGCCAAATAAGTCGGCAGCCGTTGAAACAAAGCCAGTTGGAATCTTCATTGTAGGAAAAACCCACCTCAAGATGATCAAGACCGTTCAGCACCAAATGCCTAAATTCCAATGCGCTTTTGTTGATCAACACTTGGGGTTTGTCATCACTTGCTGGATCCCAGAAGCGTACTGTGCGATCACCCGACCACGATACTACTCGCTGATCTTCTGGACTGAAGGCCACCAGTTCAATCGAGGCTGCATCCTGCCTAAGCGTTTGCAGATTCGTACCATTCGAAGTATCCCAGAGCCGGACTGTGCCGTCCTTTGATCCAGATGCTAGCTGCCGTCCGTCTGAATTGAAAGCGACTGAATAGACCTTGTCGGTATGCCCTTTGAGCCTTTGCAATGACTTTCTCGTTGATGTGTCCCAAAGCCGTACTGTCCTGTCCTCTGACGCTGATGCCAGCTGTCGATCATCTGGACTAAAAGCAAGTGACCTTATTGGAAGGGAATGGCCCTCGTCACCCCATATAGCCTGCCCGGTTTTGAGGTTCCAGAGACAAATGGATTTGAGCCAGGTAGTCAGGTCCTTGTATGACGCTGATACTAGCCGTTCTCCGTCTGTACTAAAGCCTAGAAAGTCTACTTGGCCTTCGTGACCCCTGAGTGTCATCAGAACTTTGCCTGTCGCTGTATGCCACAGGTATATCATATGGTCCTCTGACCCTGTTGCCAGATGTTGAGCATCAGGACTAAACGCCAACGACGTAACCCAGCTTTTGTGACCTTCAAGCTTATATAAAGTGTCACCTTTTTTCGCATCGCAAAGCAATACATCTCCATCGCGTAATGATGACGCTAGATACTGGCCGTTTGAACTGAAGGATATTGGGCCAGTTACGAGGTCTTCGCTTACGCGCGTTCGTAAAACCTCGCCTGATGCGATATCCCAGAATTGAGGCGGGCTCATGTCCTTCCTCCAGCGTCGATCATTGCAAGCCACGGCCAGCTGCTGTCCATCCGCAGAGAAGCTGATAGTCCCATCCACACTTTCGTGAGTCTGAAACCTTTGCAATAGTTCATCCGTTGCAACATTCCAAAGTTCCACTTCGTCATCTTTGACGCTGAACGCAAGCCTCTGACCGTCCGGGCTAAAGACAATTGAACCTCCACTCCAGCCAGTTCTGCGATCGAACTTCCGTTCAATTTCCCATGTTTCAGTGTCCCAAAGTAGCACTTCATATTCTGATCCTGACGCTAGTTGTTTACCATCGGCGCGAAAAACGATGGCTTTGACAGGGTCTATATGACCTGTGAGCGTTAGTAAATGTGCGCCTTCAGTGGCATCCCAAAGTCGTAGTGTTTCATCCCTTGACCCTGACGCTAGATATTGGCTATTCGGACTGAACGCTATTGAGACAATGTTTTCTGTATGACCCACAAGCGTTCGCAAAACCTCGCCTGTTTTAATATTCCAAAGACGAATGCGGTCTTGTGAGCCCAACGCCAAATGTCGAGAATCGGGACTTAATGCTAACAAGTCGAGATGTCTTGATCTTCCGCGGATGCGTACACTTTGATTGCTTTCAGTGTTCCAAAGTTTTATCGAATGACCATCTGAACCCGACGCTAAAGTAAGACCGTCGGAACTAAACGCAATCGATCTAATGGGTGTGCTGTGGCCATTGAGTACCTTAAGAAGCTCACCTGTCGTGGCATTCCAAAGTCGTACTGAACCATCTTCTGATCCTGATGCCATCAGTTGACCATCTGAACTGAAAATGATTGAGCAGGCTGCATCCGTGCGTTTTCCGTGTATTTGCAAATTTTCGTTCTTCGCAACGTCCCAAAGCTCTATCGTAGCAAAAGATGAGACCAACGCCAACTGCCTACCATCAGGGCTAAAGACGAAATGGCTAGAGTATCGCTGGTTCGAAATGAGTGTTTGTTGGAGTTCCAAGGTTGATGAATCCCGCAATTCGACAATATTATCCCCAGATAGTAATGCAAGCTGCCGGCCATCCGGGCTGAAAGATATGTCAGGCATTTGGCGGTTACTTTTGATAGTCTGTATACACTCGCCGGTTGCAGTATCCCAAAGTCGCGTCATCCGATCAACCTTCGAACATGACGCCAATTGTCGACCATCTGGGCTGAATGTGATACGATTGCTCCCTCCATTCTGAACTTCAAGCCATGAGAGCTTCCGTGTTGACATGTTCCAAAGCCCGATCGCACCGTCGTCGTCAGACGATGCAAGATACTCGCCGCTAGGACTGGTTACTATTGACTTGACCTTTCTACTGTGGCTATAAAGCACACCAGAGGGCTCTTCCGCGTCGATCTCCCACAGTCGAACGGTTCGATCTAGTGACCCTATCACCAATTTCCTACCATCCCGACTCAACGCCACTCCTTCAATCCCCCCTCGGCCACCGAGTGTCCGTATATTTCTGCCGGTCACGGTGTCCCAGAGATTCCTCTCATCATTTGGTCCCGATATTGACAATAGCCACTTTCCATTAGGGTTGAAAGCAATCAAAAGGATGAAATCAGTGTGTCTTTGAAGCGTCCAGAGGTTGTCACCAGTTAAGGCGTCCCAGAGTTTTATTGTGTCACCAAACGATGCTGTTGCTATTTGTCGACCATCTGGGCTAAAAAGCACCGATTGGACGGCCATTTCATGTCTTTCGAGTGTCTTCAAATGCTTTCCTGTTACAGTGTCCCAAAGCCGTACTGTCCTGTCCGCCGAAGCTGATGCTAACTGTCGGCCGTCTGGACTGAAGGCTATTGAGTTGACTGAGCGGCCAGAAAGAATATGCTGTATTGGATTCCAGTTTCCATGAATCCTCACATAGGCCCAATTGGGTGTTTGACCCGCATAGGCTTGTCGAATAACGCTTTCTTGGGGTGCAAAGGTCAATCCAAAGTTGTATACCTGCAAAGGGTCTTGCTCAATGGCTAGATAAGATTGCATAAGGAATCGAGCGGCATCGTGGGTGATTGAGTAAAGCTTGTCGCCAGTACATCGCTATCATACCATCAGCAGTCATTATCAATGCAATCATCACGAAAGTCTCTGACCTTTGCTACCGCTTCTAGACGCCCGAGTGTTACAGGTCCAGCTTTGAGCTGCCTAAGTAAACAGAGCAATACTATCCATTTTAAAAAGTATTGGAGCATGAAATCATAGACTTTACTCTCATGGCGATGGAAATTCTCTTCTTCGCCAATGCTGCATGAATCCTGGTACTCGGCGAGGTGGTCAACCCAAAAGCAAGATATGTAGCCAAGACTTCTCAAACGTTGGCGATTGTTGCTAGCTGGCTGGCAAGCATTATCATGTGCGTATGTGTCTTTCATCAACTCTTCCGACAGAATTGTCAACGATCGATCAACAACTGTGCAATGCTCCTCGTTCATCCGAGGACTAAAGATTTTTGTGCCTTCTTCACGAACAAGGTAGTCCTTGACAGACTGATGAATCAGGTAGATTACACCGCCTCGAACAGTAATGAAGGAGCCGCATAACTTTATCAAGTCTAAGAGATCACCATTGTCAAATAGATCCTCGAAGGGTTCGTCGGAGTTTGCCGATACTTCTTGGGCAAGAAGAGGAAGAAGTTCTTCGGTCAAAAGGGGGCGCTTGGCGATTGTGACGAATTTGATGATTGACATCGTTAATTCATGGTCCTTTCCATTACGAAGCTGTTCCAGCATGCGGGTGTACAAAGACGACAATCCGGCTGGCAGTTCTGCAAGCTCTGCAGGTATGTTCCTTTTCGCGGTGTCGCTGAGATGTTTGCAGGCCAAAGCTACCCACAAAAACGTTGAGTTGGCATTATCTGTCAAGTGACTCTGGACAAGGTCACGAAGTTTATTGCTGTAATTGTTTCTCTTCGCCAGCCAGTCCACTTTTCGGTCGATGAAATATCTGACGGCCGCAGCAATGTGTGCAGCGTTGAGTTCCAAACTAAGCACATCGTGCTGGCGCACCTTGAATCCCCTCTCGATATCTAGATGATTGCGACTTGAAACGAGCCATTTTGCCTTGGATTGTGGAGAGGTTGCATTTTCTCCAATGAATTTGAGCAGATCACCGCGTCCTTGGTCACATTCATCCAAGGCATCAATGAGGATGTACACCGTAGAAAATGCCGGGTCTTGAAGCAATTCCGTCATGATGCGGCGAAGGGAGGCAAAAGCGTCAGGGCCGTCGAGAAAATCTTTTTGCTGTTTGTAATCTTCATGGAGGTAACGGCCAAGCATGGGATTCTCGCGAACCAGGAGCCAGAGAAGACCGCAGAGAACCGCATGAGCATTATTGAGTCTAGGATCGGTGTTCTGGCAGAAGAAGAAGGCAAGAATATGGTGTTCGCTGCTAGACTTTCGCAATTCTTGTACAAGCGACATCATTAACATTGTCTTGCCCTTTCCTGGATCGCCACTCAGCCACAGCAATCGATGTTGTGGGTCGTTCATCCATTGTTCGAGGCAGGGATCACTTTTGATCCATTCATTACATTCAGCGACAAGATCGTCTTTTGTTATTTCGATGCGCCGCATTGTATCAATTGGATTCGTATGTCCAATGACTTTCAGACACTGATCGGTTAGTTCCTGTTCTGCTTCTGGAATGTTTGGTTTCGGCGTTGGGAGCTTGTATTGATCATTGACGATTTCTTGTAGAATATTTCGAACTTTGGTATAGTCCTGATCTCTTGACCTGAATTTTACAAGTGCGGAATGATCTCGATCGAGGCCCAAAACGTGGTGGGCTTCGTTTTCCCACGGGCGACAGTGTGTCGCGGATGCACTGCCAACAAAAACGACATGTTCGCCGTTCATTTGCCATTTGCCATCCGCACCTCTTACGGCTGTGGGCGAGGTCTTGGTTTCATAGAAGCAGAAAATCCGTGCTGCGCGTGATACAAAAGCTCCCGGAAATTCCCTGCTCTGAGATCGTAGAAGTTCCGACTCTGGCTGTAAATTATGCAAGAATGCTTCATTCGCCTGGCCTGCAGCCATGGGAATCAAGGAAGAAATGTGCATGCCTTGATTTGGGACGCCAAAGAAAAGTGCTCCTCGTGTACGTGTGGATAATTTGCTTTTTGCCTTGACACTTTGAATCAATGCCTACGATAATTAGCATGTCTTCTTCTTTTGCTAGCGGTCTGCACACCTGCTTGAGGACCAATCCCCCTAGACTATGTGCCATGAAGATGATAGGCATCTCGTGTAACGGACCGGCAAGAGACTTGGTGCCTTCAACATGATTCCTCAGTGAACTAGCAAGGCTCTCGATGGTCTGGAACGAAGTGCTACCGTGAATCTGTGAGTCGTAACCATATATGAAAATCCGAGCGTTCTTGACGTCTTGTGGGAGGGAGTCACGAAGCCACATGTGCGTGCCATCTCGCTCCTTGAAAGACCCAAAAGCATGCCCACCCAATCCACAAATAGCAATAATGCTGTCAGGCTATTAGTTTACTTTCACGAATTTGGGAACACGTAGCTCACTCGAAACGATGTTGGGTTGGTTCTGGACTGTAAAGAACGCTGAGGCCACGAAAATGAGTGTCAAAAGTGACATTTTGTTCATTAAATGTCGTTTGGTCAGAGCTTAGGAGCCCCGAAGGAGTTGTACCGAAGGTCACAGTGGCAATATTCAAATTCTCATCGGCTTGACGGGCGAAAGACTCGATAGAAGGATGGTAATCGTCTCCAAGGCATTTTTGCAGCACAGTGGGTAGGTCGGCGCGTGAGAAGGATCCTCGGACTCGAAAAACGATGGACTTGCTGCCTATTTGCATCGAAATCATTGGTTTAGTGCCTGTTATGCGCTGAAACTAGCACCATGGGAGTTTGAACGTACGTGATGCTGTCTGAACTGATGACGAGGCATGGTCATTTGATTTGCCTTTCACCGGTTCCTGCTCCAGGGCCTTTTCTTGCGATGTTTGCGTCCTCAATGACGCGACAATCCATAATAGCAAGAGTCCGCACAAGACTGTCAACGCTAACTCCAAGAGAGTCATGCCGACGAATCCCAAAGTACAAGATCAGTCAACTAAGATAGTACCATTGAATGCGAGGATTGATCAAGAAGATGGAACGAGGTAAAGAAAGCAAAGTCCTAGAGGACCTTTGCTGAAAATCCTCGTAAGGCTGCGAATGCGTATTTACCCCGCGGCTTATTCGTGCCAACGCTTCCGCTTCAGCCCGGGGGCTTATCACCTCTGATGCATGGTGGCATGCGCGCCTGCGTCCAATAGGATGCGTATACACGATTGTGGTGTTGAGAGAGTCGCACAAATTGGGCGCCGATTGCTGAGACATCGATTCAGCATGCATAGGTAACTACCTACCTAGTAGGCATGCACCAGTCTGTTTTAGCCAATCAAAAAGTAAGAACATCTACCCGTCAAAAGTGTGCCATACAAGTCGGGCGACAGTTGTAGACATTAAGACTGAACAGGCCAAATTGCGCTTGCACACAGAATTATATAGGCGACGGCTTAACAGTAATTAGGTACATTTGAACTTGCTAAGTACCCCATCACGTTTGTCCCACCCCAATCGCCGGCTCACTACTCGGCCCCCAAATCCTGGCTGGCAACTAAATTACAGTTCTCTGTTATCATCAATCCGGGTGGAGCTGTACATACCCGGAGCCGTAAGTCAAGCAGTTTTCGACAAACATCTATGTTTACCGATTGACTATTTAGTAGCCACAATTAGTATTGGTCAGCTTTGACCATATGGCAAAAATAATGCTTGTCACAACTGCTAATCACCTAGTTTATGTCAGGACTGTGTACTTGAGGGAGTACCCTGGACTGCTTTCGTCCATTCATGACCGGACCGAGAGATGATGTAGTTCGATTTTCGGCAAATCATGGACCAAACGATCGTCTCATTAGGAAACATTGAATATGGCTTTTCCAACCTTTTGGTATTACAGTGGCTAAGGGAGCATTCCATTGCGTGAAAGCGCAGGGTGCCATAAGTAAGCTAGCTTTGTAAGTCGTCTGCATGTATGCAGTAAGCGACGCCGCTAGCTTCGATATTCACCGACAAGCGAAGTCTACAGTGCGATAGTGAGCCCCTCCCCGAGGGGTACACTGGAGCACACCCCGGAGGACATCACTCATAACACCTCAATATTTCAGCAATATTTCTGATGCGTGAAGCCCAGGGGGCCATGGCCAGCCACTCATGTGGCTAGCTCGTGCCCCATCCAGCTTGCAGTCAAGCACACATACTAACCTTAGGTAAGTAGTCCTCCCGTAAGGAGGACTAGGTTAGATCAATACATCCATCTTTACTACACTAAATTGACCCCATAGGGCACCATATCAATTTCCATCGTTCCTGCATAGGAGGGCAAGGATCTTGTATCTATTGTAATGTTGCGTAGCATAACGGATCTACGGATCGCGCGGTCCCTCTTCTCGTTTTTTTTTTTAAACCAGCTCTGCCCAAATGATATCCATTCACTCTTCCATGCTTTTTCAATCAGCAACTTGACAACGACAGCCGGGTAGTTGGTATCATGAAGCGATAAGCTCACATACTCGCCTCCTTTGGCATGTTGTTGTTTCCATCACATTCTTTATCTGCGCAAGGCTCGCCATCGAGATGTCGGGACAAAAGCATCAATATCACCATTTCCTTTCGACGCTTGGTTTAGGGGGGTAAGTAGCCAATGAATCTTTTTACTTTTTTTTTTTTTTTTTTTTTTTTCAGAAGAAAAAAAAAGACAGAAAGAAAAAAGAGAAATAGAAGAGGAAAAAAAAAGAAGAAGAAGAAATTGAACGCTAATCACTACATCTAATTTACCAGAACACAAGTCGTCTTCTCCTTATTTGCGGGCCAAGCGGTTGTAAGTTGTCTCCCAAGTCTTGTATTAAAAGGCATTCGAATGACGATTTCTACCTACAGATTCATTTAAAAGCCTTTGGCCTCAACCCATTCGAAATCGCAGTGACTCTCCTCTTTGGCCCGTTATGCGGTGCCATTCTCCCTCCGTTTTTCGGATCATGGAGCGACCAATGTCAGTCATCATGGGGCAGGCGGCGACCATTCATCTTTTGGGGGACGGTGGTCATGGTCTTTGCCATGCTGTCATTGGCCTGGGCCGATTCCATCACCAAAGCCGTGATGCCGTCTACCACGGCATCCGCGACTGCTAGGACGGTCTTGGTCTCAGTCTCCATGATCTTGACACTGGCTGTCTTTATCGCCGTGCAAGCCGTCCAGGTCGGCCTCCGCGCCTCGCTCACGGATGGATCGACACCAACGCAGCAGTCGAGAGCAAACACGTGGGCTGGCCGCCACATTACCATTTCTGGATTCTTGGCCTATTTCGCAGCATATATGGGACCTACAAAAGATGAGGCAGGTCCCGAAGGCACCGTCTTCGCACGCACTAGCATTGTCACGACGATTTACCTTGCCATTACCGTTCTCATTACATGCTTGTATATCCCTGATGACCAGACAACTACACTCGAGATCCCCAGGACACAAAGAGTGGCGGGTATGAGACTTATACGGCGAGTTCTACTCGGGAATTCTAGTCAAATCAGAGGAATTCTTCTCGTGCAATTCTTTTCATGGCTTGGGTGGTTTCCTCTGCTATTCTATACAGTGCCGTAAGCCAGCCTTTACCTCCACCCATCAACACATTGACTGACTTGGTATGTGCAGATATGTGAAGAGCTTGGGTAAGAATATCATGCTCAGATGATTCGTCATGACTGTCTAACATGCGCCGCTCTAGATCAATCGTATCAAACGACTAACACAAACTCTGGAGCGCTAGCTCCGCTGTCATACTCTGCGGTCTCTATGCTCATGGCATTCATTTGGACCAGCCGGTCCTCCAGGGATGGCACTGCATTCAAGTTTAGCGCTTCGCTATCCATCAGCGACCGAGATATCTGGATCGCATCACACTGCATCTTTGGCTGGTCAATGCTCGGTACCTTCTTCATCACTTCTGCCCTTGGCACTGTCTTGCTCTTCAGCGCAGTAGGTATCAGCTGGGCCGTCACCTCTCGCGTGCCCTACTCACTCATGGGTGATGAATTATCTCGAGGGTCGTCAGAATGGAGTGAAGACGAATTCGACGACGTGTCGGACCATCACGGTCTAGTGTATGGGCTCCATAACCTCGCCATCTGTCTTCCACAAATCTTGATCATGGCTTTGATGGGCTTGGTGTGGCTATTCACTCAAACAGACGATAGCACTTCTGGTGTAGTGTGGTTCCTTCGGTTGGGCGGGCTGAGCGCGTTCGCTGCGGCGTACTTTGCAACGAAGCTGGCTGAAAATCAGTCCAGTGTTGGAGATCTCATTGAGGTAGAACAGCAAAGATAACCGAGCTCTTTGATGCCAATTACATTTGAAATCATGCTTAAGTCCTTTTGTCTCGGCTATTGACGACGGTCCCAAATGTCGGGCTCGATTTTGGGTGAATCTGAAGAATGACAGTACCTAGAGCTGTATTGTGAGGAACTCGTTATGTTCATGTTCCAGCATATGAATCCTTCAAAGTCGCTACCACGTTATTGGTCCCGTGCCTGTGGTGTGTGACCCTGCTACGGCGGGCTCCCAGCTAAGCGAACAACATAATGCAAATGGGAAGCCCCAAGATAAGCTGTATTCCATGACCGTAGGCCCCCCTGATGCAGCTGTAGGATTGTGCATGCATCGATACAAGGTAACCCCGCTGCAAATGTTACCCATCTAACCCAAAATATTTCGCGGTTACAGCATGGGCGCCCTAGAGAAAATATGTCACTGACAGCTCGAGTATATAGTGATTGGTGCACCTGTGTATGGCATAACTTGAGTCAATATCCACATGCCAAGCCAACTCCTGCACAATTCCGAAAGCCAATCTTTGAAATAATTACTGTCTTTTAGTTGTCCTACAACCGAGTATACCAAAGAAATTGCCCAGCATGGCAGACGTCAACATATACGACATCAGCGCCCACCACTACATTGGGGCGCTCACCGTGCTCGTCGACATACTCAAAAAGGCGGCGCAGCAGCCCGACGCTTCCACCTTTCCAGACGCCACCCTGATTGCCGACATGAAGCCGCTGACCTTTCACGTGCAGTCCGTGACCAAGACGGTCAGCCGCTCGCTGTCGCGGCTGTTGGAGACGGAGGTCCAGGCGTGGGAGGACACGGAGACGACCATGGAGGAGCTTATCCAGCGCGCCGAGGCGTGCCTTGCCATGCTGAGGGGTCTTGATCCGGCGACGTTTGTTGGCAAGGAGAAGACGGTCATTTCCCTACCCGCGGGCGAGTTTGTGGGAAAGCAATTTATTCTGGGTTTCGGGGTGCCCAATATTTACTTTCACCTCAATATGGTGTACGCCATCCTACGGATGAAGGGCGTGCCGCTAGGAAAAGCGGATTACCTCTCGCCGTGGCACCGACCTGAAGCATGAAAGTGCCATAGGCACGATTTCAACAAGATGGTACAAGGGACTCACTATCCAGAGAGGATTTATTTTCAGGCTCACAAACTTGGTCTGACTATCACGCTCGACTCGCTACATGGTCAGATGAAATGCTGGGCTCACAAGATATGAGGGCTTATCGTTTTCGCTGTTGCCAGATGCGCAGTGAAATCGCAACAGGGTATCATATAATGTATTCAATACTGCTTGGAGGGGAAATCTGGCCTGCCCAAGGGATGCATTTTTCTTAACGTGAATTTTCTGAATCCTCTACCTCTCAAAATGTGACTTGTGCCTTCTCCTAGGCACATGCCCTATCTGAGAATCTGAGAGCCTTCCATGGATGGCGTGTACTTTGAGCGATTGCCAACACCGCATTTCTTACTCACGAGCCTCTCGAACCCCATCTCAAGATGGGGGTAATATGGCAATACAAGAAACCGTCTTTGCTTTTGCGTAGTGATAACAAATAGCTGACGTGCTCAATGTGTTTTGTCTCATCCTCAATCAAATGCCGTCAGATGCTGTACTGGGACGGTACCGATATATCCAGCAAAGAGGGTTACCCATGACCAAGAAAGAGCAGTAAGAAATTCTCACGACAATAATCGTTGACAAGTCAAATTGCACGAAAAGCTTGTCAAGACTGAATCCGGTTCACTCCCACCTGCAACCGGATTTGTGTTTTCTGTATGGGTCTTGATATTGAGCCTGTTGTACACCGCATCTTTAGTATGTATCATGGTGAGCCACACAGCTCTTCGTTATAATCTCAGCCAGAAGCGTTGACCGCGTCCAGTCGAAATGGACTCGCCGAATGCATTCAGCGTCTGACTGGTGACCTTCGAATGAGGGCCAATCATAATAATGACCGGCGCGCTATCTTGCCTTTGGCGGCCACATGTGCCTGCTGTGAAGGACAATAGAATTTGCTGTCATTTTTTGAAAGCCTCTTTCTTCCAGTAGTGTTTCTGTGATTGAAACTCCCTCCATCAATGAGTCGCTTCAAATGGTGCGCAATTCTTTTCCCAGTTTTCGTTGCAAACTGCGCGCATCAAGGACTTGGGTGCGTTGCGCCCCGTAAGTAGTTCAAAAGACTCCATCGCCATTTCAGCAACAACCTCGAGACCGTCAACAATGACCCAGGAGCTGTTGCCCGCTTCTCGAATCTCACGCATTTGTCTAATCATAGCTGTGATCAGAGGTTCGTATGCCAGCTGTTGGAAAAGTATCAGTACATATCTCCTGACAGTGTAAGTGATTAGTTCGTGGACTTGCCTCTACAACAACACCGCCAGTGGGGCTCTTTAGCCACTGCGTCGGGAGTCTGAAGTTGACTTTTGAATCGTGAACTTCGCCGCCTGCTGCTACGCAAGAGACTATCATCGTAGGCTGTTGGTATCCTTCTGGCCAACTTTGTGTCATAGACTCGAGGACGTGACAGATCTCGGAACCATTGTGCATTGTATTGTGTGCCCTAGCCCAACTATTGAAGTGATCTGCCACTTTGTCGGCATTGGCCTTGGTCCGGTTGTACAGAAAGATCTTGCGGCACCCGAGCTTGATCAGGGCATAGATGGCTGCTCTCGCCATGCCACCAGCGCCTATGACCAATCCTGTAGTGCGCGAGGGCTGGACGGTATTTCGTGGACTGATGCCGCGTCGCAGGCAAGTCATGATAGAACTCCAATCAGTATTGTCTCCATAGAATTTGTTTGCTGATCCAGCCCGATTGCGCCTGTTTGCATGTTCCAGTATAGAGGAAGATTCGCCTCGAAGTGGAAGAAGAGTATTGACTGCACCAATGGCCTTGGCGTGCGTGCTGAGATGATCGACATGATCCATCATCACCACCTTGAAAGGCGCCGTCAATTGTGCCCCTCCAAAATCAGGCTCGCGGCGCAACCTGTCCAATTCTTCAAGGCGATCACAAGCCCGCGCATCGAAAGAATGTGGCATCATGAGAGCCTCATAAGCTGCTCGGTGCATGGCCGGCGACACAGAGTAGTAGACCTGGGAGCCCAGTGTGTAAAACTTTAGGGCTTGAAGACTTCCATGGCGAAACATGATGCGCAGTGAGCCCCGAGTCGAATTTGCTCCAGCGAGATGTTCCCGCGATGATCCTTTGATTGCATTGTGTCCAACAGGTATGAATGTCCAGGATCGAAAGGGGCCTTCGGTGTCGCCCAAGATGCTGCTGTTGACGGCGCCCAAAACAGAATATTCATAGGCTACAATGTGTGGTTTGGGGTCAGGCATAGCGGCGACGGCGTCTAGGAGTTGCTGGCGGCCATTCGCATCGCGATCCTGGATGCAAAACCTTGCGAACCGAACAATACTGCAGCCCATGACCTGGGCTCGTCGATATTGCTCCAGGTAGATGGGATTCGTCCACTTTGGTGCGTTGAAGCCTTTCATGGTAAAGTTTCCAATGATCTTGGTCCTACCTCGCATGGCAAGTACCGTGGATACTATGCTCTCGTTGCGTTCCAGGTCAAGACTAAGATACTCCACACCGAGTCTAAGTCCATGCAAGAATAGACGAAGGTCCTGTATGTCCCTTTCGTCTTGTGTTCTCTGGCGCTCCTCGCGCGGTACTTCTTCCACATGATATAGTATCGGCAAGTTGAGCTTGCGTCGAATCAACGCGACCTGCATGGCCAAGAAATCCAGAATATTGTCCGGCCAGGTATCAACAATGATCTCTACCGCATCAGCACCAGACTCGAGGTCTGTCATATTGATATCTTGACTCAAAAGGTCAGATAGCCGCAGTCGAAGCACGAATGAATAGGCACGATACTCGGGTGGTATCGCGTTGATGGAGAACGGATTCTCTAACCAGGACCGTGTCAGACCTTGGCCAGTCACCGAGTCAACAAATTTTCTAAAGTCCTCCTTGACTTGAAGCAGTCTGGCCGATGCCATGGAGACGGACCGCAGTCCTGATTTGCTTGATTCATCGCCCTCGCCACTGTTGTCTGACAAATTGTAGTACTCGACGTTGGTGCAATCGCGTAGCTTCCCATCAGCAAGGAACAACCGCTCTGCATCCGCAACGGGTATCTTGAGCAATCGATAAGTTTCCTCCTTGTCACGATGGACATAGATGACAGGGTTGGTTTCTGAGTATTGTCGCAACAATTCCTTGGTCTCTTTGCTCCATGTTCCCATTCCGCACTCAATGACACAATTGTACTGATTGTCGCGCAACACCTGTGCAAGTGTCAGGGTCAGCTGGGTGTTGAGAGCTTCCTTGCCATATTTTTCCAGAAATTGGGCCCTGCTGCACCCCGTCGCCTGTTGAAAGTAGTGATCTTCAATCAGGAGACGCCGATGCAGATAGTTAGCGCCGATAAATCCGAGGGTGCGTTTCCCAGCACCACGACATCCTACGAGAACAATTGAGGCGTCTGGATGAAAGTTTCTGCGATTCAGTACCGGAAGACTGGTTGGGCTGTCCACCTCCATCTCCTGCATCTCGTCAGGACTCCTCTTTATCATGACTGCTGGCGAATTGTGGTGTGCTCTCTCGGATAGTTTTTTTGCGCCTCGGTGGTAGACCTAGTGGTGATTGAAGCTTGCACAGGAAGCTTTCTTGCTGACTACGCAACCTCAGGTTCAGCATGAAGCTGTAAAAAGGGAAGAGACGCTGGCCCAAATAGGTTTTGTGGGTGTATCGCATAAACGGGCAACCGCGCCAGTTATACTTGCGGCTAGAACCCCTCACTACAAATATGCAGTCTGTCGTTTTTGCTCATTTGAGACAGATCGAGATTTGGCCGTGATGAGAAGCTTGTCAAACAATAAGCAGAAAGCGGGGGATCCGGGGGAAACGGGGGTTATTTTGACGATAATGGGATGTTTAACAAGTCAGGACATGTCAGGACGGCGAGATATAGTATCATCATATTCACAGAGTCGACAAGGGAACTGGCCACCCCGGAAAAAGCGACAGACAGAACGTTCAGCCATGGGGGCGGGCGGCGCTACGGGTGATCGATCTCACGGTAGCGTCGGCAGTACTTGCCGGCTAGGAAGACAGGAGAAACCAAACTTCGGCCTTTTTTTGTCCCAGCCCAGCGAGAGAGCAGAGAACAGCCACAGCATAATAAATAGGTACACACACGCGCGCCACAACTTTGGTCTTGAGCCATTTGGCAAAGCACAGTTGACAGCGTCACACAAGAGAAAAGACTCACGATCTCACAAATTCTAGTGCAGGATAACAAGGGCGTGTTGTAGCATTGACACAATCATCAATGTCAGCAAATTAGGAAGGGGAAAATGTCCTCAATATGCACTGTCCCTGTGCCCGCCGGCTGAGTAATACATGTATCTTAGCGACCAAAGCGCAAAGCACTTTCCTGTTAGATTAGACAGAACAGACCTGGGGTAAAAGTTGACGAAGCCAAAACCCCTCCAATGCATTCACTAGCCCCACTATCCCTCCAGTCAAGTCTGTTCATTTGGAAGGGAAGGGCTGGACACTTGAAGCTTACGACGGGCATTTGATAGCGCTGCGTTCACTGCGACCTGCACCTGCACTTGCTCCTACCCGTAGTAGGTCCGTTTTCGTCTCAAACCCGCCGCATCTCCGAGATCAATTATCGTCGTCCATCACGTGCCTCACTTGTTCTGTTACTGGGTTGAAAACGCGCGGCCATTACACATCTACGTCTGCTATTCGATACATCCACATTGAACAAAGACTTTGTACACCAAGGGCTAGGAGAGTCATTTTTTTTTTCAAGGAACCAGTCAGCAATTTGAGGCTGGTGTACAAACACTTGGGCCGTTCGTCTGTCTTGGCGCGGCCCCTCTCCTCCTCAAGACTACCTGGGTCTCCAAGTTGAGAGCTGTAGAGGAGGGCATCTTACCCCTCGAATCCTGGGGTGGAGGAGCCATGAGCGACGCCGAAAGCGATGATGGCAAGCGGGCGTCCAAGAAACGCAAGGCCAGCCGCGCCTGCGATCGGTGTAACGTTCAGCACCAGCCGTGTGACAATGCATCACCCAAGTGCAGTGTCTGCGAACGCGCTGGCACCGACTGCACCTACAACAGACCCATTCGCAAACGTGGTCCACGTACTGGCTACACCGCACAGCATGGAGAACGCTTGTGGGGGCTGATCTTGAGTGCAAACCCGGACCTCGAGGATATAGTCCTTCAGATTCTTGCTAGTGGCACATATGGGAACACTGGAATTCCAAATGCCGACTATTTCAGGAATAACGATCATCAGTCAGAGCTGGTTAACAATTTCAACGAGAGCCGCCTCGGTCGCTTCGTCCAGCATGGCGAGCTGCCCAGCCTAGATGAGCTTCGGAAAAACCAGGTGGCTGCACGAGCCGCCGCTCATCTGTCGACTGCCAACAATGTCCCCCACGGTATCAGTCATGGCCTGAGCGACGTTGGATCACTTAAAGGGCCCCGTTCCAGGCGCAGCACCATTTCGGCGGCGTCAAGGCCATCACCCATCGTGAACCCTCATGGCGCTCCTCAAAACCCGGGTGATATATACACTCTTAGTGACGACATTCGGAAACGTTCATTTCAACAAGAACCCGGGGAAGGCAGCCAGACGCTGGGACCTTCGCCTCATGCCGTTGCTCAGACTCCTGACTGGAACAGTTTTGCAGGAACTGGGAATGGTAACAGTACAGCAGCCTTTGACTTTATGCCTGATAGTTTTACACATGATTACGGCTCTCTATTGCGGACTCCTGCCCCGAATGGAGGAAGTATTTCAGCAACCCACAACTCCAATGCGTCTACCAGCATCTCCAAGGGCCCCGAGGCTTCGCTGACGAGTGCAAATATTGCCGGCCTACAGTCAGGCTCGCAAAGCGTCGACTTTGACTTTCCAGATATCAACCAATGGTAACACACCACCGCTTATGTTCCCCCCAAAGAAAAGAAGAAAATGGAGCTAATATCATGCAAGGTACGATTCGATTCCAACTGATACCCTGCTTAATCTGGGCTTTACGGGAGGCGATGATATGGCTCAAGACTTTTTGGAATTATGCGAGAATCCAGAGCCTTTTGATAATGCGCCAATCACGCCGGCTGGACAAGATGAAGACGAGGAAGCAGTTTGGCGCCGTCTAGTGATGCGAGGACGGTTTGTCTGAGGTGTTCAAACGAAAGTATTTCACAGCGACAATTTCCATGCCAGATGGCCATTCTGTCAACCCCTGAGCGTCATACGGGATATTGGCTCTGTGCTGCATTTAGTCATCTCTTCCTTTCACCATCCAGCCTTGTGTGGCGTCCTTTCGGCAGATTGGACTAGAGCTAGGATTCATCTTCCCTTGACAGCGTAAGCATACACACAACAACCTGGTCCTCCCTCCTTGGCATTTGCTGGCTGGCCTATAGTTGGCTGCCAATAGAAGTCAAAGTGAAAAGCGATACTATCCGTCTCAGACGTATGATAGAGAAGCATTGGTGAGTGGCCTCAGAATGGACGCCTCCGCGCTGAATTAACCGCGAGACAGACTGGAGGAGAGGAGTCTGTGCCGTATTGGGGTCTCTGGTACGACTTGCCCCTACTATGCATGCACACTGGCGGCACAGTCTGTAAGGCCAACTGTGTATAAAGTTTGCAACAAGGACAGAAGCCAGGAATTGAGGATCTAGAGAACTCGGCCCTCTGTCGATATCGCATGATGATAAGAGCGCTATACCTTCCCTTCCTTCAGTTCGGGAATATTATTAGGGAAAGACTGATGGTCATCTCATTAATTGCAATAGTGGCACTACAGAGTGGGCAGGATTAGTATTGCATGTCTTGGAAGGGGACAGCGCAGACTGGCTCAGCTCAGCCCCCACCCAAAAATAACGGGCTGCATCCCCGCGGCCTCCACAGTCAACGACCGCCGATGGGGCTATTTTGAATCCTGTATTCTGCTATGTGCCAGTCAAGAAGCCTACGGATTCCGACAATGCTGGAGTAATCAAAGAAACTATATTATACAATCTAATATCTCTGTTTGACAGTTTGAACAGAAGTTTGAAACATCTTCAAGCAATGGCAGGTAATTGTTCAAGCAGCACTTTGCCATTTGTGCACTGGGGCGGAGTCAGCAATAGACCCAACTTGCCTAACCTAGCCAGGTCACCTCGCGCCGATCCGAGTGCTTAAATTAGAGGACGCATTACTACGCTAACATGTTCTGCGATACTGGACCTGCACTTGCCAGACGTGACGAATCCCGACCCCGGGATGGATTCAGCTGCTGAATCCTTCGCCGACTTTTGGTTACACATGAGCCCTTGCTCAAGAGCGGTATATGTGGAAAAGCACGGGCTTGACTCGCTGTGGTGAGATGATTCTAGCTTCCAGGCAGAAAGATAAAAAGCGGCTGTTGCGCTGCTGCGCCTCCACCCGAGCTTACCTTTAGACATTGGGCCGTAGATTCAGCCTTGCACATATACATGATGACCGAAAGTTCTTGCATGTAGCCGTGCAAGCTGAGACTTTTTTGTGTGCCGACACTGGGAACTCTTATTAAGCTGCAACTCCTTCATCCCCGAATCCTGGCGGGGCTCTCAACTTCTACAATCTTTGAACATCTATATCACATTCCAGACTTCAACTCCTTATACTATTCGGGATATAGTATAGGAACAAGCTGAATCTACAACCAACGACTTAATTAATTTTAGCAGGCCGGACCAGTATTGGGCCTGCGGCAACAAGAGCCTGATAGCCTCTGATGGATAATACAGACTCAATCTTGGCAGACAAGGCCCGGCGTGCCCAGGGAGAAGTTCACCGGCCCTCTGACGCTTCTGTGGCGACGATTAGCCCGCCTCCCACCATAGACGAGGACGAGTATCAAGCTGAAGGCAGCGGGAGCCAAGAACCAGAACCAGAGTCCTCCCATTCTCCTGGTTACTTTGCTCCGTCAGCGACTGCAAAACTTCCCCCGTATTCAAGTCCCTCAATCAGCTCCCTGGACGCCCAGAACCGGCCAGCACTTCCAAAGGGGCCTCAATATTACCCTGGATTGCCCGTTTTGGATTACCGACAATATCTGCCACCAATGTTTGAGCTATCTCCAGACACCAGTACAATCACCAGCAGGGCGCATTATTTGTCGGAGAATGTGAAAGCACTTGCAACTCTGCTGAGGAACCTGGCGACAGTGCCACCCAAACCGCAGATACACATTACGGGAAATAGGGGCAGAAAGGTCGACTTTAGTTTGAAATTGAACCTCATGAGTCTCCTGATCCCGGATGACCCCACTCACCGGATGGACTATGTTCGTCTTATAAACAAGGACGAAATGGGATACCGAGGCGGGCAGGCGCCGTCGCTTCAACCCGAGATCAACGATGCCAGCTTGGAGGACTGGTGCCAGGAGTTCATTGAGGACGAGGCGACCAATAAGTCATTCGTGTTGGAGCGTGTCGTGGCCAACATGGACACCAACTGGCTCGAGGGGCAGATCCGGTCGCTCGTGGCCTCGACCAACTACAAGGGCGTGGTGACGGTCACTTTTCCCGTGACGCACTCGCGCGTCGTGGTCCAGACGCCCGACAAGGTCAACAAGTTCTTCACCAGCGTCTCGACCCTGTTCAGCGGCCGCAGCAAATACGAGGTGGTCAAGGCCGTCTGGCCCTTTGCCACGCACCGCAACGGCGAGCCGGGCCGCCGCTGTATCGTGCAGAGCGAAAAGACGTGGTGGGAGGAGTGGAAGGATCCCATCAAGTATGGCGTTGGCACCAAGCGCAACGGCTGGGTCACCAATGAGGACAAGCTTGAGTGCATCATGGAGTCCAAGGGCAAAGGTCTGTCCATTGTCGACTGGGGTCCCGATTTCTAGTCGGATGGATGGGTTTCTTGATGAGCGAGCACGACGAAGACGGATACGACTGTAAATTGAATATTTATTACCAGTTTTTGGTCTAATTACAAGTTTGGTGGAATGTGTGCTGTATTTTCCTTTCTGTCTAGATACCAACTTTTGAATTCAAACGCACAAGAGGGGCGGTTTTACATCCTGACAACGCCATGATAATCCAAAGCAACATGAATGATATGCCTGTTTGTAAACTCCACCGATTACTAAAGTCCAAATATCCGCACTAAAACATGGTAAACTTGCATAAACTGATTTTGCGAGATCTCTTGAGATCTGGCATTGCGACCACGAATCTTCAATTTTGCCAATCTCCATCCGAATCTGACCAGTATGATTTCTTGTCGCCTTTTTCATTGTAATCATCATCGGCGTCGGCTTCGGCGCCGTTGTCGCTGTCGCCCAGAAGCGGCATTGTGTCCTCCTCCAGAGCCCGCCGTGTCGGCGAAGGAATGAACTTCGATACAAGGCTGCGTCTGCACCTGTGATAAGCGCGTGACAAGTACTGAAACGTCTTGGGTCTTTGATAGGCCCAGAAGGTGGGACTCTCGTATCCAGACCCAACAGTATCGTCTTGCGATGCTGTCTCCTTTTCGGAATCCGGAGATTCTACGAATGTGGAGGAGCCGTCTTCTTGAGCCTCGTCCTTGTGCTGTTCTTGACTTTCTCTGTATTGGTCCACAATCGCCCTCCACGGTGCGGTCTTGAGATACTCTTGGTGGGCATTTGACGGCTGTTTGCGTGGTTTCGCTTCCCTCAGAGTGCTCGAGCGCGCGGCCGACTTGACATTCTCCTTGTTTGTCTTTGGCTGTGCCGCGTCCCGCAGACTTTCAACGCCTCGGTTACGGCGCTGGCGTACGTCTTCGTAGCCGGTAGTTGGTGGATTCATCTCCCGGACAAAATCACACACGGCCAATGCCTTCTCCGGGTAATAGTGGTACTCCTCGGAGGGGTTAGCATCGTGATACTCGAGAAGGGGGCGATGCTTCCGCCAGATTGTACACGCATTGTACAGTTGCCAGAGAGTAAGCGTGTATCGGTAACCCTCCTTTCCGATGCCGAGTCTCTTGTAACAGCCCTGGATGCTCTTGACCACGCAGCGAATCTCGAAGATCGTGCGGCGGATATCGCTGACGGTCACGAGAGAGCCCCTGTACGTAAGGCAGCCTTGCTTAGTGACCTTGACTGTCTTGCAGCTGCAGGAAAACCCTCCAAAATCTTTTAACATGGAACAGCTTTGGTCCAGAATAGTGATGATTTCGATGCATTCCTCTTGGCTGCGATCAGCCGAGCACATGTCTTCCAGCTGCCTTTTGGTTAACTTGCTGGTGTCGCCCAAGACAAAAGTCTCTGGCTCGCATTTCCGACAGAACTTGAGGAGTTCTAGTTGGTCGGTACCGCGGCGGGATTGGTGTTTGAGTATGCTCAAGGCAAAAAAGATTGCGTAAGGGGGGGCTGAGTGGCGATTGTGCGCTGGCTTTGATGCCTTCTTGTTGACAGGGGCGTGAGTATCCATGGTAATCGAGGACCGACAGATAGCCTCCCTATCCGTGTTCTGATGGCACAATTGTTCACTAAGGAGTAAGAGAAATAAGATGAAGAGAAGGAGAGCGAGAAGAAATTGAACAAGATCCATAATTTGTATGGGCTGGGCTCGGAAAAGCTTTCTCCTGTACTCAAGGTTTGTTTGTTGACTTATGGTGTAAACAGACTGGTAGACCTTCGGCCCTATTTATCTTTCTATCCCTTGCCATCGCTCGGGGGTATCACGGCGTCTTCAAGGTGTTGTGAGCGTCAAAACCCGAAATCTACATAAAGGGTTTTGCACACACGAAGCTTAAATCTTGGTCCACGTCGTTATGTTGGGCACAAGTAGTGACTCGCTCCGTGTTTTATCAGCATTGCCTCCAATTTGCAGATCTTGACCCAATGACATTCAGAAGGGAACGATTTCTTTGGCGCCTATATGTACTTGAATTGTAGCCAGGCTTTGCTATGTGCCTATTCTGTGGCTCACGGAAGACCACAAGCTGCAGTTGCTGTATATACCTTTGATAGTTGCAGATAGGCAGAAGTCGGTGCCCGGATGGTGAGGCGGCGGATGACTTCTCGGGAGTCCAAAGCCTAAAAGAAAAGAGCCATTACGCACTTGTACCTTGAGGGTCACTTGATTGATATCCGCTTGACGCCCCCAGGCTCCAAATTTTCAGAGTACTTTCTTTCGTCCTCCGTTGAAGCCAGCCATTCTCGGTTGTGTGATCTGGGGCTTTCCCCGCCGGGCTCTCGGTATCATCCACGGGAAACTCCCATGATCCAGAACAGGTGGCGATGACAGTACCTGTCGGATGTAGACATGTACTTCCTATGGTAGACTCTGAGGCCTGCCACTCCCATGAAGGTTGCTGAGCTCCGGCAACTAGACCGACTCCTTCCCAAACCTTGACCGAACCAGACGTTGTGCCTGACCATACTTCGAAGCCAACTTCATCTTGTGATGGAAACACGTCCAGAGTTATGCGCTGATTCGTCGTTGCGTCACGGCCTTCAAGCCAACCTAACAACTGCCCCGTCACCCTCACATCGTACACGAGGATACCTCTTGATTTACGCTCAGAGACCAGCAAGTACCTGCCACATGGACTCCAGCATGTCTGTATGATTCCATCGCCACCGATGCTACGGTTATCCGCAGTGGCAGTTTCTTTTGTGGCAGAGTCGATACCCCAAGTGGCCACACACTCGCCGGCTTGAGCAAAGTCATACAGCCCAACCCAGCGAGTCCAGGTGCCCGCGGCAACCAGACCAGCAGAACCTTGATCTAAGGACTGCGCCGAGAGTGTAGAAATGGTGCCGCGCATTCCTACTCCGCCGCCCTTTGACAAGTGTCGCTCCGATGGTATGGTCTTGAGACGTAAAACAGGCTCCTCACCAGCCCGCGTGACATCGAACCGGGCCAAGAAATTCTTGCAGCCCGCAATGAAATGGGAACCAGGAGCAGGCCATAGTAGGGAGCTGGCGGTTAAAAAGGTCTCTGAACGAGCTTTGATTAGGGGATAAGAGGCCGCCGGAGCATGAACCGGCGTTTGTCCGCAGATGTCATTTGGGGATGATGATGTCGGAGGAAATAAATAGTAAAGCTGAATGGGGTGATCGCGACTCGAGACGAGCACCTGGTTTGTATAGGCCTCAGGCAGGGAGAAATACGGCGCTGATGCTAGCACATTGGACGTTTCCCCCAGTGGGATTGAGACCTGAGGCGTCAGAGCCAGAGGGTCTGTTCGATCCTCAAGGAGATCTGGTGGTAAAACAAAAGCAGACACCGTGTCGGACGAATCAGAGGTGAGCACTGTAGTCCCGTCTGCAGTCCTATGAAATTTTGTTAGCAAGCTGGAGGACTTGAACGGGCATCTCCTCTCACCAATGGGCCGACTCGTAGTATCCGGCAATGTCGCGGCCACGCTTTCGTTGAGGTCGGAGAGAAATATCTTCACTTTGTGCAACGATTCTGACCTTTTGTTGCATCTGGCCGTTTCCCAGCGGTAGCTCGTCACTCATTTCAACCATGCTGTGGAAGAGGCCCAGTATGATGTGAGGTCGCCATATGCTCCTCAATTATAGTGCTTGTAAGTTACCTGTAGTAGCAGTAGAGTACAAAAAGTCCAACCCGGAGCCAATCTACTACTTTCAAGCATGGCCCCACTGCAGGGTCGCCAAAGCTTGAGTACCTATCTGGGCACTTACGGTAAATGCCAAGGTTTCAAGTCAATTTACTTTACCTCTCGGTCTAGCATTGTTCAGCTCAAGTAATACTGGCCAGGAAGAAGAAAAAAAATGGTTGAATATGAACAGACTTGGGCTCGGTTGAGATCGCGATATTGACCATATGTGTATCTAGGTATCAACTTCCTTTGCGTACATGGATGTCCATCCTGGTTGTCGTTTTGCACGTGTCGGGTATCGGCCGATCCATCCATTTCTTGGGGCACGTGGGGCCTCAGAGCTGCGCGTATCCGGCGAAGGGACGGGATATGGACCATCAGGCGCTAATGGCAGACCTGAGATTGCCCTGGTACAAGTGCTAGCTTCTCCCTCAGCGCAAAGTATTGCCTGCACTTTGGGCGTATTGCAGAGTTACCTCGGGTGCAGCTCAGCGCTATCTCCCATGTTTACCGCGCTTCAGGGTCCAGTAATTCCCACGTCATTGTGCTGGAACGGAGAAGCTTGAGCCTGACCAGGTGAGCTAACATCTGCCCTGTGCGCTGCCAATAGGTACCTTAATTCAGAAGCTCTTTCCCCCACCCCTGACCTGACCTGACATTCCATTCCGCTCCGGGTCGCGATGGTCAATAAAGTTGGTCATTGATTGTTTTGATCGTCCGCTGTCAGTTCTGGTTCTTATCGCAACCAACTCGCTGCCACAGAAAAAAAGCACAGAAACGAAACTCGGACCCGTGGTTGACACCTGCTGACTACCCATCCTTGTGTGACGTCGCGAAACGCTGCCGTCATGTTCATGTAGCACACCAGGCGGGCTATTATGCAACTCTTGCCGCGTCTCCGTTACGGATCTTGAAAACTATCTGCCTGCCTGCCTGCCTACCTGCCTACAATACCCACGATCCGACCGTTTGTCGAGAAGACGTCTTGTCTTTGGCTACATATTCCGTAGCTTCCTGACAAGGGCACCGATACCCAATCGAAAAACTATCAGACCGCCGTACGGACATAATATTGCAAGGCCGAGAGAAAGACGATTGTCTTGAGAGCCCATCATGGACAACTTCATGGAAATAGTCCAAGACCGCTGCGAGCAGCTGCGGCATGTGGGCTACACCAACTTCTTTGTATCAATGTATGCAAACGCCTATCATCCACGGAATCATATTCGTACCCCCACGGACGACCGCTAACGCAGAAGCAACCAATATATAGTCTCATCATCATTGGCATCATGTTCTCGTACCTCCTCCAGCACTACCGCATCATATCCCGTGGCACGTCCGAGGGCATCTCGCCGTACTGGGTCCTACTGGGTGTCACCAGTGCCAACTCGCAGTTTGGCAACATCCTGACCTTGCCTCAGTCCCGGGCCGACGTCTCGTGCTGCAAGGATGTCAGCCCCTTTGAGTGTGCTGCTGGTCTCTTGGGCATCGCGCAAATTGGGGTGCAGTGGGTTTGTTTTGCCATCATGTAAGGGCAGCCAAATGTATTTGTGGTAATCCGCGTGCTGTGCTGATCTCAAGCCAAATAGACTCGTTCTCTTCCTCATCTTCTTCCGCCGCGATGACGTCGAGTTGGACGCTGAAGAAGAGGACGAAGCCGAAACGGAAACCGACCAGCCTACTTGGAGGACGGCCATCGGCGTGGCTGCCATGTGTTTGGTGCACGGTCTATTTGTTGTCATCATCTCGGCTGCTCTCGCTCTCGGCGCGCCTTCGTACCTGGGTGCTTGGGCAAATGTCTTGGGCATTGTCTCTGCTGTATTAGCAGCCATCCAATACCTCCCGCAGATTTGGATGACGTACCGTCTGAAGCATGCGGGCAGTCTGAGCATTCCCATGATGTGCGTACAGACGCCGGGTGGTTTCCTCTTCGCCGCCAGCTTGGGGGCGCGTCTCGGCTGGGCTGGCTGGAGCTCATGGGGCGTCTACGTCCTAACCGCAATCATGCAAGGCATCGTTCTTTGCATGGCGCTGAGCTACGAGTGGCCATCGCGCGAGGAACGGGACCAGCTTCAACGACCGCATTATAGCCGGCGTACCACTCCTCGGGTGATCCCATCTCCTGGACCATATTCCGCGCACCTACAGGCGTACGCAGATACGCAAGAAGAGATCGAGAGAGCTCTAGATCGTGAAAGTGTGCAGGGCGTCGGCGAGAACCAACCTCTCTTGGCCCCTGGAGGTATTGGTAGCTCTGGCGTCCGGTGATGCGGTTCCATCAGGATATCGATTTCTTCCTTTTACATCATCATTCCACTTGAATACTTAACGACGACATTTACCCTTCAATAACAGAATTATAGAATTAAGGAAGAGCACTGCGAATTCTCATCTGCTAAGAATTGAATATTTATTTGCTGGACGTCGCAAATCATCCGTGCAAAACGCTGTATATTTATTTCTGCCTCATTGGTATCCAATCTCGTGATTCTGCCAACATCGTTCGTTCCTGAATGACAGACTGAGCATGGTCTCTGGAAAGTTGCTATAAGGAACTTGTATTCAGTAAAGATAGACTGTTGGTATATAGCCTTCGTTAAGATCATGGCGACGTGCTCTGCCACGATGTCTACGCTAACTACACTTGTCTACTGAGTGAAGCCACAACAAGGAATAGTGCAAGAACATTGGTCTATATTAGTGATTACACGGAAGAAAACGAATCAAGTCATGAAGTTGATAGAAGGGTCGTCTGCATTAACTTGCGAGTGCCAAATGCCTACCTAGAAGGCAGGCTAGATTTCTTTGTTGGCCACTTGACTCCTAGTGCTTCTATCTACCTATCATCCAGTGCTGCTGCTTTTCACTTATGTTCATCCCATTCCTGATCACTCATACAACAATCGCTCTCCCCTCGCATCCATCTGGAAAAAACGCCTCCTGGGTATATAAAAGCCAACAAATTTGTACAATAGGAGGCTGCAAAGTGTGGTCGTCGTATTAAGTACGGTTGGTGGCATCTCTTCATCGATTTTAGTAATAAACGTGCCGCGTCATGTGAATTGAAAGGGAGAAAAAACCACAAGATGTGGTGGCTGTCGAAAGTCCCTCCGGTCGAAATCGGATCCGAGGTAGTGTGGAGAAGAGAATAGAAAAAAAAAATTAAGTTTTGTAGAATGAAATGCATCAAGTTGTCGCTGCAACAAGGCCAAATGCTGTATCTATCGCGAGGGGTCGGGAGTTTTTGTAGAGGCACGTGGCGCTGGAGATTATGAACATGGGTGATCCAGAGCATGTGCATTGCTTGTTCTTGCTTGGGGGTAGTGCTGTCATCGGATCGCAGATGAAAACATTGCGCAATGGTATCCAGAGAAACAATCAAACGCCTAGCGATGCAAAGTTGAGGAGGGCGAAAGAAACGGGTTGAATCCGTGACACTACACGCTTGTGCCCAAGGGTCGTCGTCAATTAAGGTTCTCGAGACCGGAGACAGTTGTAGGTGTATGCTGGTGAGGCCGGCCATGTGATGTTCATATATGGTGGCCGAGGTGTGCACTCGATCCACTCTCCGTAGATCCATCACCCTCAATTGTCTTTCGCCAGTGCTCAGGAAGGCAGACGCACACCAACGGGAAAGCCTTGATATCACCACTGGCGGGGGGAGACGTGTCTCGATCCCGACCAGATGCGTTGGACACACCGCTGTCTCTCTGCGACTGCTTGCGAGCCTCCCATTCATCGGCGCGCTCATCCACGAGGACGCCTGTAGCCCAACCATCATCCCAGATACCCACAACTTTTAGCATATCACCACGGTCCAGGGCAAACTCATCTGGAGCCCGGGGTTGGTAAGCCCAAAGGACAGAGACACGGTCACCTGGGTGAATATCGTCCTGTGAGTAGTAGTCCTTGAAGAATGGCAATTGCTCCGACTGCTGACTTCCCACATTGGGCGAAGACATGCCTCCGGCACTACTGGGAGACTGTACATCGTCACCTGCCAGCATCGAATTGCTGGACAAGGAGCCCTGGCGTCGCAACATGGTTGGAGGTGGTCGTAGTATGCCGGCGCGGTGACTTCCACCACCAGAAGAGGGACTGGAACCAAACTCATCAGAGGATGAATGGTTGTCGCGTCTTCTATGGCCGGCCATATAGCCGGCAGCAGCACCAGCTGCCATGGCACCCTTGCTTGTGGGCTCATGGCGAGGGGGCGATTCTCCAGAGTGTCCTTCCAGTGCTGACATGCGTGCTATGCGGCCGCCAGGGAGGACCTCATAACCTGTAGGGGCAGCAGCGGCACTTGATGGAACTTGTGCCACAGCAGGCTGTCCGCCTCTCGAGGGTGATGGTCGGTTGAATATGCTATTCGACTGGCTCTTGGCTTCCTTCCGTCTTGCTGCCTGTCTCAAGCAAAAGAATGCCAAAAGACCAAGCAAAGCAAGTGCTGCCACTGATCCAATCACAATGCCTGCAATAGCTCCCCCAGATAGCCCGCTCTTGGCTGCTGCGGCGGCAGCAGTGGCAGTTGCTGTCGATGTAATTAAGGTGACTGAGCCTGTGATGTTGGGCAGAGAAACATTTGCACAAAGGCTTTCAGCGTCGGAATTGTAGCAACAAGTGTCTGTCGAGTTGATGCCGCCTGAAGCGCAATAGGTGCACAGGCCAAAGGTGCTGTTGCCATATCCGCAATTGTCTGGCTCGTTGGAGCTGCCCGTAATACACTGGGAACTCGAAAGAGAATTGGCCGGCAAGGCACAATTGGTGAAGTCCGCACGGATCTGGGTTGTTGTATCGTCATTGGGATTCAAGCACAGGTCAGAATCCGAGACGACGTAAGCTTCGCTCTCGGCAAATTGTGCGCAGGAGTCGGCACACAGAGCTCGTGCGGCATCACCACTAAGTCCGCAGTCGTCGACCGAGTTTTGAATTATGCCATTGCAAATGACTGATGTCGTAAAACGAGCATAGAGCTCGGTGGTGTTTGTGAGATCGATATTATCACAGCCTAACAAGTTCTCGTACTTGGACTCTACATAGCTTGTCTGGACGTAGGTTTGAAGCTGTGAATCAAAGGATGCACGGTCGGAAACGGACGAGAGAAAGGGATACAGGTTCACCAGCGTGGTGCTTGTCGATATTGAGGCCGAGTCAAAGGCCGGGCAGGCCGTGGAGCCAGACAAGGAAATGCACGACATCTCCTTGGTGCTGGCAGGTCTGCGGGGGGAGGGGCGTGCGGTGATTCGAGGTCCTTAGGATCGTGACATTTGAGGTGTCTGGCGTCGTTTGTTTACTGGCGGAAAAAAAAAATCGGCGGACCCAAAAGAGAAGTATCTCAACGTTTTCGTACACCAATTGAAGATGGAGAAGGCGCGATCTCTGACAATGTTGCCCGTGTACCTATTCCATTACTGTTGAGATTTCCACCGGCTGAAGGAATTATCGCAGTCGAGGTGTCGTCGTGAATCGGGAGGGCGACCAAATTATTAGTGTAGCTTTGCTAAGGGAAACTTCGTAGGAAGAAGGGTCCGGTCTGGGCCTCGACACACAAGAGTATCGCTCGCTGGTGAGGGAGTGGCCCGGCGAGGGCTGGTTGAGTGTTGGAGGGGAAATGAATGGCAAGTAACGAGTGAGGAGAATCAAAAGACGAGGAAAACAAAGGAACAGTAGTGGTTGCACACCCCAGGAATGTCGACGAACCAGGAAGGATGGTGACAGGCCGACCGACAGACGGACGGGAAGGGGGAGAAAGAAGTTTGGGGGGGGGGGTGCGTGCCTGGCGGTCTCCGCGGTCCAGGTGGGTGCGTGCGTGAGGTGTGGGAGGGGGATTGGAGGTCGGCAAAACGTGGGAATGGAGTGCCCAGGTGGGCTTCGACTGCTTTGGGCCACCGCTGCAGCGGTGCATTTTTAGTAGCTTAGTGGGTTGAGCAGCCTGGCCTGGCGCCAATCTGCTTGAATGCATCGGCCTGCCGCTACGAATCAGAGGCCCCACTCTCTATCGATGCAGTGAGAAATCCTGGTCGCCAGCTTCTTCTAGGCCACGCAGCACCCCATTTCGTTTCCTCTGCCGCCGTCATGTTCTAATCTCACCCGGGTTAAGAAGCAATTATCGTGTTTGTGCTTGCTCAATCCCGCAATTTGAGTCACGTAGAAGGCGGAACGACAGCGATTCAACCAGCGCGGAAAGATGTATGTGTTTGTAATGATGTAGTGCTACAGTCATGATAGCCAGCGACGGACAACTCTTGGGACAATTAGATCCTTACTTCAGTGTAGGTAGAGAAAGGATCATGTCTACAGTAGCGATTATCAATCCCAGTGGTGCCCTGCCACGACTCATCTCCAGTCCATTCATCCACCTGTGTATGCACATCCATCTGCATGTCCAGTGCCTGTTAGTCCCTGTACCGCTTTGTTGTCGGATGTGACCCATAGCATCATGGCCTTGTTGGAAGACTGCTAACATCTCATGGCAACCTGTACAATACATAGATATCTATTGATAGATTGCAATGGCCAGGCATGAAGATAAAAATTCATGGAAAAGGTGAAGAATGAATGACTACCTGCGCTAAGACCCTCCCTCCCATTAAAAAAAAAAGTATTGCAGATCCCCGAGAATGAAGTTTGTCTCAGCGATGTGCGACTGCACGCTCATTGGTTCCGCGGCCTTCAACTCCAATATCCAGGGCCAGGTCAACTTTGAAGCAGCAAGGGTCCCTAGCCTAGAGTTTACCTTGGCGGCGATAGCCCCGAAGCTACTGCGCTACCAGCCCGACCCATGGCATTCGCGGAAAGTTAACCTGTGAGATCCAAATGATGATCAACTCTCCCGCTCGATGAATTAAACGGGGAAGCTGACGTTCATCGCGAAACGAACTTTAGTACCGGCCCTCGCGTGGTTGTGTATCTGGATAATCGTCAGATGCTTTCATTCAGCTCATATGTCACTATTTACACTCTCACAAACGATTGATCAGTTGCCGTGTAATGAATACTCTTAGTAATAGGGGGCTCCTCCGATTGAAACGCGTCGTGGATATCCCAGCATGAGCATTACTTACGAGTGCCGGTATTCGCGCAGGCTCGAGCTTTGCAATTCTCCCCTCTGGCGCCCCCCTGACTTGGCCAGTTGCTGCGCCAGCCTTCCCTGGCTAGCACCTCGTCTTTATGCTTTGGCAAGACGACAGATCTTAGCAGATAATTTCCAGGCAAAATTAAAGGAAGACCGGCAAGTCGACCGACCATACATTAAGGTACCATATGCCCTCATGCCTAGATAGCTGGCTACCTAGGTAACGCACACCAGCCTCTTAAGAAGTGAACCCTCTATTTCTGTCAGTTTTCCAGGTAGTCCATGACCAATTACCGCAACGGCGGTAGATCAGTCCAGTTAACTTTCGGACATCTCGACTGTTTCAACTCAGTTCAAAACCTTACACTTCTCATCTTGCTGCATCTAGAATCTGCAGGCAGGTATCTTTAATTGACAGGCCGGCACGCTTTACTCACACACACGTGCGGAGGGGATAAGTGGTGTCTGTCTGATGAATCGCTCTATGGCTACGTCTGCCGAATGATACATAATAAGTGCATTGCCAGACAGACTGAACCCTCGACAGACTTGAGTGCCGAAATCTGGGCGATCTTCCCACTTGGACATAATTGGACTGGCTTTGGAATTGTCTTCATGCGTCAGACGTGCTCGATGATACCTCCTATCCAGACTGCTACCATGAGAATGCACAGCCTTACATGACAATTTGTCCCTCATGTCTTGCCCGTTGGCGGAGCAGGGGCCACATATTGTTTCATCAATCAGCTATTACTTTATGCGCTGGGCTGAGTTGAGAGCTCATGTGTCTCTGTCGGAGAATTACACTCGCTTACTATTGCTCCTAGCTGAGGCTGAATAGGCGCTGATCACTTTATAGTAATCTTGTTCGTTTCTTCTTCTCCTATTGCGTCCGTATACTCACAAATTTTCATATTATGCAATGAGGTTCAATCTGCCGCAGTGAGGAGTCCTCCGAATAAGTATTGGGTGTAGCAGCATGCCTTCCTTTGAAGCCAAGATTGGTATTTATAGTATTTGTCACGGCCAACAACCCACTGGACGAAGCGGATCAGCCAACACCTGGCGAATCCCGAACCCCCGTTTCATATACCCCACAAGCCATGATCAATGCTGTGTGCTATACTCGGTCCACAATATTGGTGGGTAACATTCCATCGTCTGTCACCTCTGGAGTAGTCGTCGTGCAAGAAGACGGGCTGACCCTGAATGCAATTGTGCTACACTTTCTGGATCGCACGAAACAAACAGCGATCACACAAACAATGGCGAAACTAGAGGCTGCTCAGAAGACGGCTCGGCATATTAAGCCAGCCCCCAATGCAAAGCTCGGTGGGAAAGTCGGAAAGGTTTGCCACGACTCGTCAGTCCCTGACCGACAGTATGACCTCTTTTTGATTTTCTTTGTCCGAGCCCCATGTACTATACTTACATGTCGTCTCGCTTCGTGCCGTGCCTTATCTCTGTGAGGCTGACGATCAAAGTTTTTATTAACAGCGCCGCTGCTGAAATGGAGGCGTGTCTCGAGCCGTCACCCTCAGATTGCCCAGATCTCCGCACGGCAGACGTAGTAAGAAAACCCCCGTTTGGCTGCGTGGATGGAACCATACTCATCATGTGGGTTAGTTTCGGAAACAGCTATCTATCTTAGCTACCCCTCCAGCAAAGCTTGATTCGACTTCGCGTTTCTCCTGCAAAGGGCTCTGTATGGTGTGTGTGGCCTGAATAGGTCGCAACCTTTACTGGGGAAGTCGAGCTTACATTTATGTGAGAATGATTGATTGGCTGCTGTAGCTCTGAGGGCGCGGGCAAATCTCTAGGATTGTCTTGTGGGCGCTTATGTGCTCTCCCAATTGAGCAGCTGCAACATAGCTTGTGGTGAGTGCTTGTCGCGCAAACGCATCGGGATTCATGCAGGTCAGTCGGATCGATGTTCCTGTTTGAGTGAATGAATCCCACCAAAATCGTATACATCTTGGCCTTGACCCAAGTCTTGGGATACAACTGCAAAACAAAGCTCCTCCTAGTGGGTGAGAATAGATGGAGAACTGATGGAGTCTGATTCTAAGCTCACCAGTGATCACATATGATCATAGCACGAAATTATAATTCCTATTGCGCTATGTATAACATCGCACATTGACAATCTAATGCCACCGGAATATAAGATTTACAAATGCCATTAAATTAGTGAACGTAATGAAATTGGTTGATTAGTGAACCAATATTTGCTATTACGGAACCGAATGAATTCATTCAAACCGGCTGTATATTGCCTCCGCGTTTTGGTTACTCACCTAATCGTTATGTATTCCTGCCGAAACCGCAGGATTGTACGCCCTTCCAGTGTCACTGATCACTCCATAATGAGAATATGAGATAAACCTTAACTCTAAATCCTTCTGCTGATAGTTTGATTCATCGTTGTAAGCTTCACATGGAGTGGCACTTTTGAGACTTTTATGTGAAAATAATATATTTGCTATCTATCTACCAACTTTGCGCATCACAGCCATAGTCACGTTTCACAGCCTCCAGGAAATCATTTCCAAAAGATACAATATTGTAGCCCAAACTACAACCGATCAACACAATGACCAGCTCGAAACAAACTCCCATCCTCTACCAAAAGTCCGGCGCCTGCTCCCTTGTCCCTCATGCCCTGCTCTATCACTTGCAGGCTCCATTTCGCGCCGTACCTATGGCACCAGATGCCAATGGCAAATACGCTGCGGCCGACGGCAGTTTGACGCACGACGAGTATGTCAAACGCATCCATCCTAGCGGCTACGTGCCGGCGCTCGACGTGGGCGACGGGACCATCATTACAGAGATGCCCGCCGTGCTCAACTACATTGTCAACATGGCGGCCGGCGTCGAGGGAGGAGTTAACCAGCAGTATGCGGATCTAGTGGGCAGGACGGCGCTGGAAAAAGCCCAGGTCTTGAAGTGGTTGGCCTGGCTCTCTGGAACTCTGCACGCCCAAGGCTTCGGGGCCTTGTTCCGCCCTGCCCGGTTCGTGGGCGGACGCGAGGATATATATCCGACGGTGCAGGACAAGGGACGGGAGATCATACGAATGGCGTTTGAGAGAATCAATAAGGCGCTTACTGGGAATCAACACCTGGTAGGAGAGCACCTGACCGTGGCCGACTTCAATGTATATGTATTCTATCGCTGGGGGGTTCAGATTGGGTTCGATATGGCCGAGACGTACCCAGAGTACACCAGGGTAATGCGGAAAGTTGAGAGTCTAGACGGGTTCAAGAAAGCCATCGAAGTGGAGGAACTAAAGTTTCTCTTATAAGAGGGCCAATTACTTGACGTACTTTTCAAGGCGTTCTTATGCTGACGATGTTGATCTCCATATAAATAGTAGATCTTCGATAGTGGAACTTCACAATAATCCGAAAGTGAAACTGTCTGACAATCAGTATAAGTCGTCTATACATACTGAGACTGGCTAATTTAGCCACCGCCGAGTCAAGCAGTAGTATTGGTGACAAGCTGGACATGAGGTTGTTTACAATGTTTGACATATGGTACATTATCTTTTGATACGAGGCCACTATCTCAGATCGACCTCATTTTCTACTTGATGCATCATGCAGCATCGATTTGATACACTTGTGATTTTTACACAGATGGCCCCATAGCCACCTTCAAGGCTTGAAGCTATTTTTCTCGGTATAGTGGTCGAACTTCCGCCCTGACAAAAAGGGTTGCTTAGTCCCACATTGTCGTAACTTAGGAGATGATCTCTCCAATATCCACGTATGCCGGCTTCCACGGCCCTGCATCTTCTGCAAGCGTGTCACTGGGCACACCAACCTCTCCCGGGCTGTACAGATACCAGGCCTTCAGCGCATTGATGGCTGCCGCTACACGTGCAGAGTCCAGATCTGACCCAGCACCCTCGCCCAATTTGTCATTGCCGCTGTAGATGCCCACGACATATACTGGTGTCCTGCTGAGCCTACCGGTCTCGCTTTCCAGCCTTGCCACTGGTGGCTCAAAGTCTTCTCTCGCACAAAGTCGGGCAAGTTCCCGAGTGGGCAACTTGAATTCAAAGAGATTTGCCAGGTCAAGCTTCCGCGACAAGAAATGCGACTTGATGAAGTTCTTGGCAGCGTCTCGACCGCAGTGCAAGTTTACAGCACCGACAAGCGCCCTTACAAAGTTGGCATGGGCATGTTGAGGAAAGTCCTGGACGATCATGTCCTTGGTGTTGCGCTCATTCTCCGCCAAGAATTCGCTGCCCCTGTCTGTCACCGATCGCTGTCCCGGTATCATCTCACCAAAGGCATCGTCGTACATGACCCGACTGCTCACACCTCTCCTCCACTTGAATCGCTGGATCTCTGCGCTTTCGGCGCGAACGTAGCCCCATCTGGTCATCAAGGTGGTGGGTTGTTGGGAGTCGAATTGCAACAGACCCGGGTCCACCTCCTCACCGGGTGCGGCAGCCGTTTCAACACCCCAAGCGCGCGCAACTTGGTGCAAAACAGCCGGTCCGACGTAGCCCTTCATTGCTGCAAACAGAATTGACATGGGCAGACGGGGGTATCGTGTAATGAGGTGCTCGGAGGCATGGTTGTTTAGGAGGGTGGCACCAATGTAGGCTAGGTTGGTGTTGTTGTATTTCGAATGCGCATCGGCAGAGGAATCGACCAAGGCCCGCGCAAGGGTCTCGACTGGTATCTTGGGAGACAGTGAAAGACGTGCATGTAATGCAGCTAACTTTGCAGAAGATTTGGCTTTATGGGGTGGTGGTGATGGTAGCGGCACGTGTCTAGCAGACCGTTGCAGGGAGGTATCTGCAGAGGTTTGCTCGTAGATATCGCTCCCCGAATTGGCTTCATCTTGCTCGGATGTTGTGCTGGCATGCCTTCTCGTGCATAGCGGCAGCTGATGTGTCGTTCTTGATATCCGGGCAGCCCTCGGCGCGGAAGCCAGCAATCGGCTCGCTATCCTTGCTCTCTTCATTTTTTATGTTTCTGTGTGCGAGAAGGATCAATTGGACGACCTGTTCCTCCCCTCCAACCGGCGGCCTGTCGAGACACGGAAGAAATATGCCGGATCGTAGGAGGTCGATTTGTTCCGATTCGCGATGCGTCTCGTGTCTACAGTAGTAGCTCCAAGAAAAAGTTTCTGAGTCCGAAGCTGGCGCCCAGAGCTTCAGGGATCTCCGGCTGCATGGTCTGTGCACCACACCCAATTCAGTGCAGCCCCGGAACAACCCACGCCTAAATTGATCCGACCTCTGGCTTCCCAATCACTCGAACGCAATTGGGTGTGACGACTTCCACGCGCGAGCTCGAGATACTATCTGGAGTACTCAGCCAATTGAACAGTCCACAACTCCGTTCACTATTCACAAGTCAAGATGGTAAGTCGACCGAGCAATTGCGCATTGAACGGAGCTAACGATATACAGGGTGGTGGTCCAAGAGTTGCGTAAGCCATCAACGACATCTTCTCGTTGCCCCGAATGCGATCCTGACTCTACGCTATAGATACCCCAAGCACGTCTGGTCTCCGACCGGTGGTTGGTACGCTCAGCCGTCCAACTGGAAAGCCAACACTGCCGTCTTCTCCCTCGTCGTCTTCGGAATCACTGGTCTGGCATGGAAACTTAGCGCCGACCGTGAGTACAGGCATAAGATGCCGGAGCCCGGCCGATTTTTCCCCAGCAGATAGTACGTGATCTACCCCGAGGTACACAAAGCAAGAGATATGTCTGAATACTGACATTTTCTGCAGCTGGAGCAAGCAGATTGTCGAGCACGAACAAGCACAGGCCGGAAAGAAGAGCGATTCATGATGCAGGCGATGCATTTGGCGTTTGTACATATAAACAGCAGGAACCGGAATAGAAGACATTGATCAATAGGGAAAGAGTGCCGAACCAGGGTCTTATGTTTGTCGACCTGCGTGTCTGCCTGTAATGGTTCGGTTTGGGTGCCAGCCCGAATCTATATCCCTGATGCCGATACATCCAGCATACCAGAAACGACTGCTCTGCGAAAGGATTGGACGGGAGACCATCCATGGCACGAACCTCTGAAGGCTTATGTGGCGTGATCAATTTTGCAGAAATTCCAAAAAGAACCAACCGATCCCTCAACTCGTACTGCCTGGAGTATCATTGACCACTACTCCAGGGGTCCTTCACTCGGGCCCCAGCAATCTTACAGTATCGGTGCAGTTTTGCTGATCTTTTGTTACAAGGGCCCTTGGAGGTTGTAGTGCACATTTAATTGACGACTAACTTGACGATCAAGTAGCATATACTGGAGGACGAGATGATGTTTAGAGAGCCATCCATCCGTGGGAATTTCTTGAACAGAGGGAACGGGAGAAATTCATGATTTTCATGATGCAAGCGGTCGTAATATTCTCGCATCGTGTCTGGCGACAAACTCAACTCAGAGATAGCTTCGAATATTCACCTGTACCAAATGCCTACAACTTCATGCTGGCGAAACACACCATGCCTAATAACTCGGCTACTTTCAAGGCACATAAAGTTTGCCGTACAACCATGGCATGTGGTATCACGTAGCATAGCATGCTCAATCGCATTCAATACATGATGTCCATGGGTTTTGCAGGCTGCCAACATGTGGCCTCCAATAAGCTAACTGTGGGATTTCAACAGAATGTTAGTGAAGTACAGTTTCATCAGAGACTCTACCAATCCAATATAATGGCCTACCGACCTCTTTCTCGAGAGGCCAAGGTAGGAATGAGAAATATGTTTTGATTAATGACGCATCAATTCAGAAACGAAGCGCAATGCTACGGAATGAAAACGAGGGCAACTTACTTACTTGTTCGTTAGTGTGACTGGATAGTCGAATTTAGACGAGTTGTATGACCCATGAGTCGCTGCAGAGCAGGCAGCGACGAATCAAACTTCTCGCCCAATAGAAAATGCTTAAAATACTCACTTATTAATCAGTTGGAAGACAAATAATTCACCAGATGTAAGGGACAAGCCTTTTATTTCTTTTCGTTGATTCGCTTGGATGCGATTATTACCGTCCAGGCTCGATTTCCGCATATCCACTCCGAGCGTGACTGTAATTGCATATTTATGTATCAATGGAAACCTTGCGCCAAGCCAATCAGCCGTCAATGATGTCACACTTGCGTCCCGAACCTTGAAGCTTGAAGCAAATAAACACGGTCCGAAAAGGCTCAGTCGCGGAGATTTGCTCCGGGCTTGGGAAATGTCCAAGCAGCTCTCGTCTTATTGAGTCAAGAATTGTCGCGCTCTTCATGGATTCCGCCAACATCTTCCGCAAGTCGAGTTCTTCTCCTGATCTAACGATTGATGGTCCGCGAATATGAGGCTCCCACAGCTTTGTCGCGCAAAGCAGCGATTATGGCTGGCGCGACGACACGTCCAATCGGCGCCAATCTCCGGGTGGTCAAGTTCGCTGCATCTGACCCGGCGATCAGCAGCCCTACGGCGCCCAGGCCATGAGACCCGGCAGGCCACTTTGGATAGGAGTGGCCGACAGTTCCCTCGGGCCTTTTTCACATCCCGGAAGCAGCAGCAGGAGCAGCAAGAGCAGCAGAAAAATTCCGGTAAAGGTATATTGCCTAGAGCCGTGTCAGCGGTCCTAGTTCTTGGTGGCTTACTCGTGTACACCGTTTATCCAGGCCAAGAATTGCAAAGTGCCCGCCTTGGGCGCGAAACCAACAGCCGCCTAGATGATATCACAGACCAAGATGCCCAAGCTCAGGAACCCACTGCTTGGTCCTCATTTGCAAACAAATTCAAGGATCTGTCCACCGTGACCAGTATCGAGTGGTCTTCGCTGTCGGATCGCATGGTGGAAATGATCTTGCCCGAGTGGTCCAAGGCATTCCCGGCCTATTTTGCAAAGTTGCAGCGCGAGCTCTCCATGGCGCCCGGCTCCTTGGCCGATGAGATATGGAACGAGGCACACGACCCCTTTGCACACCCTGAGATCCGGTACAAAGCCAAGGTGCGCGTCTCGGATGAGCTATGCGACGAGGAGAAGGAGTTTCTTGCTCGGCGGAAGAAGGTTGCCACAATGGCTTTGGCGCGCTACCTTGGTCTGAATGAGGCAGACGTCCATCCAGATGACGTGCCGACCATCGCCATGTGCGGATCTGGAGGTGGTTTGCGGGCGCTGGTGGCTGGTACTGGGTCACTTCTCGCCACACAAGAAGATGGCCTCTTTGATTGCGTCACCTATACATCGGGCGTGAGCGGGTCTTGCTGGCTACAAACGCTTTACCATTCATCCTTTACTGAACGACGACTCGAGAATGTCATAGAACACTTGAAGGCCCGACTCGGAATTCATATTGCATATCCACCTGCGGCGTTCTCGTCTGTGCTTTCGGCCCCCACGAACAAACTGCTTCTCAGTAGCATGGTGGAAAAGTTAAAAGGCGATCCCAACGCGGATTTCGGTCTTGTCGATGTGTACGGTATCTTGTTGGCAGCTAGGCTGCTTGTGCCCAAGGGCGAGTTGGGCGTCAACGAGCGTGACTTCAAGCTCTCCAACCAACGAGACTACATCAAGTATGGGCAGAATCCGCTTCCGATTTACACTGCCGTTCGTCACGAGATCCCAGACATTGCCGGTATCGCTTCCGAAACGAACGGCTCTCCGTCAGAAGAAGCCAAGGAGATCGCGAAGCAAGAGTCTTGGTTTCAATGGTATGAGATGACACCGTATGAGTTCTTTTGCGAAGAGTTTAGCGCGGGCATCCCAACATGGGCCATGGGGCGCAACTTCAAGAACGGTGTTGATGTTCCTCCGGAGAGCGGCTTCCACCTGCCTGAGCTTCGCATGCCTATTCTCATGGGCATTTACGGCTCAGCTTTTTGTGCAACATTGAGCCATTACTACCGTGAGATCCGACCACTGGTGAGAAGCCTAACGGGGTTTAGTACAATTGATGAGATGGTACATGGTCATAATGATGATCTGTCCAAGGTCCACCCAATCGACCCAGCCCAGATTCCCAACTTTGTGTACGGAATGGACGATCAGCTCCGATACACTACGCCGACAGCAATCACCAAGACGCCGTATATCCAGTTGATGGACGCCGGAATGTCCAATAATCTTCCCATATATCCTTTGCTACGCCCCGGCCGTGATGTCGACATCATCATCGCCTTTGACGCCTCTGCAGATATCAAAACGGACAACTGGTTGTCAGTGACCGATGGTTATGCTCGCCAGCGCGGTGTTAAGGGCTGGCCGGTTGGTGTAGGTTGGCCAAAGGCTGGTGAAGCACCAGCAAAGACCGAGCATGAACTCGAGGAGGCACAAGCTTCTTCGACGGCCGAAGCAGAGTCAAAATTGCGCGAAGCTCAAGAGGCCAATGGCGGCGGTCGACCGACGGATCCGGCAGATCAGAAAGACAAAGCTCAACACGACCAATCGCACCCTGAAGACTCGGATCTTGGATACTGCACTATCTGGGTTGGATCAACTCAGGAGCGGTCCTCGGAGCCACCGCCACCAAGCAAGGCTATTGATGATTCTAGCAGCTGGCAGCTTCTGGAACAGGATGCCGGCATCGCTGTCGTTTATTTACCTTTCATGGCGAACCCCAAAGTGGATGGAGTGGACCCGGCAAAGAGCGATTACATGAGCACTTGGAACTTTGTATACACACCTGAACAGATCGACAAGGTTGTTGAACTAGCTCGCGCCAATTACGACGAAGGCAAGGAACAAATACGCGGTTGTGTTAGAGCCGTCTACGAGCGTAGGAAAAAGATGAGAGAGGAAAGAGAAGCTGGAATTAAGAACGCGAGGAAGAGAAAGCTGAGAAGATTAGGCATCGAGGGGAAGCTGGGCGAGGGCGATCACTTTAGCTGATGTTGCCACACCTTGAAGGCGAGGCTTGTGGCCAAGGGCTTGAAGTCAAATCATGGGAATTTTTCCACATGTACATTATTTTAGCACAGGGTTCTCAAAACCTACCCCCAAAAAGCCACGTAGCTACTTAAGCAAGAATATAATTGATACCCGGCTCAGAATCGCATCTATTGTTACTACGGCGCTACGCATGGACTTCATCTTGGCAGCATAAACGCACCGTCGTTTTGGGTGAAAAGACATCGGCCAGAACCAAAAACAAGTGAGTATCCCATCCACCATATCTTCTTCGTCTTTTCTCTAACCTCTACCACTTTCGTGGTCGGCGTTCTACAGACACCCAAACACGATCCAATCATGTTTGCAGCATCTTGACGCTCGCAGTGTACCGCCGATATATTTTACGAACAAGTGCGCCACAATACAAACAAACAACTTGAAAAAGGAGCGTCGCGATCAAGGATAACGATGCTTTCTTGAGTCTTTGGAGTTTGGTTCGGCTTCGAGTTAATATAGCTCGCCACGTCCTATCTCCCTGGGTAGATTTGCGCGGGTCACCGCAGGGCCTCAACGTTAAACATGTTCATTATCATCATCGCCATGATCCCGGCATTTGTTCACGGTGATGTGCTAGCAACCTCGCTGGAGGCCAACGCAACGTCCAGAAATTTTGATGTGGAACTTGAGACGGCGACATTTACGACCATTGAGGGTGGCACGAGTATTCCCATTATTCCCTCGATTTTGGTTTCTGCTCCTACCACGACAGCCCGCCGTGCCGAGAAGAATAAATCGAAATGGAGGGTTATATCGAATAAGCCACAGACGGATCTAGATCCCCCGACGGCGCCAATACATACACGGTATAATAAGTGGGAAAACTATATTTTCAGGGAACCCGTTTTCTGTGAGATGCATTGTCACTTGGTGTCTTTGTGCGACGCAACAAATCAACCTTGTAAGAAGGAGCCATTGCTCAGGTAACAACAATATGAAAACATGCTCGCATCGTAATCGTTCATTGCGACACATTGACAAGACTGGCTCCCAACTGATTGAGTCTGCCTGGTTTGTCCACTGTGCCATCACGTGGTTGTCGTGGCACCTTAACTTGCTCGATCATGCTCAACGCCGTACCCTGCAACTATCTGCCCAGTATATTAGATACCAGCCAGATTCGCCAAACTGGAGCTTTCCGAAAGCATGCGACCCGACTACCACCTTGCATCTTCCTATTATTACCGAAGGACCAAAATTAAACCCATGAGGTAGAGAAATAAGGACAAAGGAGAGATATACCTTCAGTCAACTAAAGGCCGGAAACTGCACGCGTTTGGCAACATGCTTGTGTTCTGCCTCTGGTTTAATCGGGATTTTTACACACATTGCGAGCACCAAAAGAATAAGACATATACCAACTGGGAAAGAGAGACCATGTCGGAAAGCCAGAAGCATTTGAACACATGATTCTGCCAGCAGGATAGCTGTGTGCGTCTTATTGAATCCTAATGGTAGAATTTGTACGAGCATGCATAGCCTCGCCGTCTTACGCAACGACAAATTCGGCCACGCACCGTTTAACCTGCTCAAAGATGCTCAAAAAGGACAATTACCAATACGAGGCGGGAAAAGAAAGTAAAAATGAAAACAATATGCGTGAGATGCGCGGAAACCTTGTTTTCTTTTTAAGGCGCACTTGGACCTGTCCCGTAAATCAAACCTGTTTGAGCGTTACCTCGATCTTGGAACCATTTTTAGGTTTCCCGTGGCCGGTATCCTGAGAACAGAGCCAACGCGACGCGAGATGGCGCCGACAATGACAATTCCGATGCCCATGGGCGATGCATCGTCGGCAATGACGGCTGATGCGACGTCCATGTCCATGGCCACACCGACAGCCATCGACAGCAATAGTATGGGCGGCATGGGCGACATGAATGCCATGATGGGCGGCGCCGGCAGCGACTCGAGCGACAGCATGGGGCCCATGGCCATGACCTTTTTCTTCTCTTCCAACACGTCGCTCTTCTTTCGGTCCTGGACGCCGCCCAATGCCGGGGCCTATGTCGCGACTTGCGTCTTCCTGCTGCTTCTGGCGGTCTTGATGAGGGCCATGCTGGCGCTCAAGCCGATTCTGGAAACCTCGGTCTGGAAGCCTCGACGCGGGTCCGACTCGCACGAAATGCTGCTTTCGGACGAGTGTTGCGACGAAGACCAAGACCGGCTCAAGGAACAACAACACTTGGTTCGGGGAAGAGATGCTAGTAGTAGCGGCATTCAGCGGCTGCGTTTGGAGATCAAGAGCCGGTGGTATGGGTGGAGGCTCAAGTCGCGTTGGTTGCGAGCCATGTTTGAAATGGCGTTGGCTATTCTTGGGTACCTCTTGTAAGAATTCTACCAAGTCCAAGGGTTTTACCTTTTGGTTTCCGTTGGAAAGCCTGCAACTGACATGTATGGGAACAGAATGCTTGCTGTCATGACTATGAATGCAGGGTACTTCATCGCCGTCGTCGCCGGAGTATTTTTGGGTACATTTATCCTGGGCGACTTGGCTACGAATAATTCCTTGTACGAAGAGCATCATTGTTGAGCTCGTATTTCCCTTCCACTCCAGTAGCGCTCGGAGAAACAGGTTTTCTATTCATCCATTTCCATAATGATGTTGTCACTCATCTCTTTCTTTGTCACATGTGGGACTCGGGGATCATACTGCATGAATATCCAATATAAGCCAAAGTCTTTGGGCATTATAGGCTGTCTTTAGGGTGCAGTTACAGCATTTTACAAATATTGAGTTCAAAGCGCCCATAATACACTTGCTATCGTTCGCATAGTACCGGACAAGCCCAAGCGATGTGTCCTTTGCGGGGAAGACCCGAAGACCGTAATGTTAAGCATGGCGTAGATGTGGCCATGACGTAAATTAATCGTCACACAACACAAGTTCTATTTCATTTACTTTGAACAAGAGTTAACATTTTATTAAAGCTGTTTTCTGCGGAATTGCTCGTTATTAAATTTCCTTCTGATCTTACCCTTCGTGCTTCTCATAGTCTAACGACTTTATATCTCGATATGCCAGACCTTCCTGGGAGCTGTTATTGCCACGCCATCCGATTCACCATCACCCTGAACGACCCCGACTCTGAAGCGAGGACGAGTATCTGCCACTGTGGAAACTGTAAAAAGTTCACGGGTTGCAACTATGGCATCACGACCAAAATTCCTCGCTCTGCTTTGAGAATCACGGATGGAAGAGACCAGATTAAGGTGCATGAAGCAGACAATGGCAGCGGAGTGATGCTGCATCGAGAATTTTGTGGGCAGTGTGGTGGCAGTCTGCTTGAATATGGTGTAAGTGTTCTTCTGTGGTTGAATCTTTCTTGAAGAGAAGATACTCAACATGCTCTTGATCAGGCTAATGCTGGCGATAACATATATGTCTTCTATGGAACATTGGAGGACCACGCGCGGGGTCAAGTTGAACCCAAAGGCGAATTCTTCTGTAAGCTTCGGGATCCGTGGATGCCTGAGGTAGAAGGTAGGTTACCAATATGAGGATATACTCGCTTTTGTGGATATTTGCGTGTCCTGCTAATAGGTATATCAGGCCTTTTCCATAAATATGAGATCAAACAGTGATCAAATGCTCTGTTAACAAAAGAGAACAAGCCAATAGGATGAATTATATCTTGATAACATGTCATCCCGTAGTTTTAACGGACTTTGTACCATTTTCGTTACTTAGTTCATGGTAGGTATTATTGGAAAGATTTTGAAATCTATTTCTTCCTTCATCGTCGAACCTTTATCGTGTCAGAGCCGTGGAACAATTCATTGTCCAGAAAGCCTCGTACGAGACAATCATAAAAGCATCCTCGTGGTAAAGAAAACTGCATTATTGTATTCGACGGGGTAGCGTTTTGTCTATCGACAGCTTCCTTGAGGCAAAGGAACAAAGGAAAGTTCCCCGCGAAACAATGTCTTTGATGGTGGTCCTCTCAGCTTCCCGTCCCAACGCAGATATATTTAAACAGGCATAGGAGGTTCGATGTAACCTATCTTCATTCTGGAAAATCAGAACATCTAAAATCAGTACAATAACCAAACAAGACAACACTTTAACCTAATATACAGCTTCGAAAATGGCAGCGCCACCACCACAAATCAATCAGCCCATCTGCAACTTCACTGTTGCCCCGCCTGGCGTTGAAATACCGAGAAGGGGTCGATGTCTTGCATGTCAGTCGAGGTCCGCTAGTTATGTGAGGTGTCGCGGTCTCAGCGCCACCCAAGGGTGCGTGGACTGTGCTGACGCAGGAATTCCATGTATCCGTGGAGACTTTGCTCTTCCCCCCAATCCGGGCCGACGAACTGGTCCAATTGTGTACCCGGCCTGGACTGCTTGCTCAAGATGTGCCAATTTCGACGAGTGCGACCGAGGCCATCCTTGCCAGAGATGTATTGACAAGGGCCAAGCAGCCGCCTGCGAAAGGGAAGCTCTTTGGCGAGGCTTGCTTTACCGCCCTATCCCAGGCGACAACATGTACGGATATTGGATAATGCAGAAGCAGGGTAAAGGCCCGAATGGCCATGAGGACCGCGATCTTACTGGAGAGTGGGCATTTTGGAGGATGCCAGACAATTACCACATCGAATTCGCTCTCATGAAGTACTGGGAGTACGGCTGGCTCGATCATTGGCATGGCCCACGGGAGCTGACTTGGGGAACACCGGAGTTGCCCGCACAACTCGGGCCAATCTATATTGGTCCGCCCGCGGGCTTTCCGACGCCGGCCCCGATAACGTATTTCCGCCCGAACTGCGCGCCGCTCCCAGCTGCCCTATCAGCTCGGGGTGGAACGGAAAGGACTCCGATGGAAGAGCTTGCTGTCCGGCTTGGCTGGCCTGTACCAGATCGGTCTGAAAGGACACCTGCCGATGAGATCGCAGATCGACTTTCTTGGAGCTTAGGAACTCAACCGCCTCAACCTCTGCCTACGACGCCGGCACCGCTAACCCGGTTCGGGGCAGTCAGAAGGGCCCCGTCTGTACCGCCACCAGCTGTGGGACCACGAGCTGGACAACCCGCATGGGGGCCACTAGGCCCGGGGTTCGGAGCCTTTGAGGAATGGCAGCCACCTATAGACCCAGCAATCCAAGGCTCTGGCCCCTCGGCAGCCAAGGACAAGGGCAAGAGGGTGAGGTTTGGGGATGAGCAGGGCGATGAAGATGACCCTGAAGATGGCAACGGCGGCAAGAGAACAAAGGTCAACGACAAAGAAGCAGAGGACCAGGCACCAAAGGCACCACCAAAGTGGCGACCAACGGGAGGTAAGGCCCCGATTTGGGGAAACAAAGCTGGCAAGAAACCATACTTTGGAGGTAAAGGACCAGTGTGGCCAGGCACGCTTAGCACGCCTCAGCCGCCCGTGGAACAAGTCGACACGCAAGACTACCAGACCGCTATTGGGGACACAGGTTTTGTGTTTTTCCAAGACGACATGGAGATTGACGATGTCGTAGGAGGAGCACATTTTGGTGCCAGTAGCCCTCTCCCTGAAAAGTCGCCAAGTCCGCCTCGGGGGTCTAGAATAGGAAGCCCTGAGCCACCGAGGAATGAAGATCCATTCCGTGATCCTTCTGCACCACTGGTGCCAAACCTGCGAGACTTCCTAGACCAGACTCTCAACCAGGCAGGCCCTTCCAGCGCTGTGAAATCCCCACCACCGCAGGTCCTGGACGCTCATGGAAACCTCTCACCGCTGTCACAACTCCTTCACGGCGGCTTGGAGGCACAAGGACAACCAACGCCTGCTGTTCAGAATTCCGACAAGTTGCCTGTACCCCCCGTGAGACCGCCTCCAGCACCCCAAACCTTGCCTGGCTGGGCCCCTCAAACAGCTGATGAACTCATTGCCAGTAACGAAGCCATGTTTGGACCGCACACGGCGTACGTCCGGAGAAGGTGGAGTTATTACCCCTTACAAGCGCGAGTACAGACCCATAGTGTAGCAAGCGCGGCCTGGATTCAGTATATCATGGAGCAACTGAACCCAAACGGCATGCCCGTCGCGCGCGCAGATCGCCCAGTCGCTCGCCCGCCCTCCCCGGGGCCATACACGCCCATATTTGTGACTGATCCCTCGGCTATTCCCGCCGATCACCCGTTCAAAGAGGACATGGGAAGAGGGCCGATGCCTAATATCCACAGACAACGTGCCTGGAAGGTAGGTGCCATTGCAGAGCCTCCTGGCAGAGTGTGCAGCAGTTGTGAAAACTTCACTCAGGGTATTTGCGAGTCTGATGAGCATCACCCTAGCCACCGATGCTATGTCTGCTCCGACTGCGACACAAGGGGCCGTGAAAACGTCAGAGCCCTCATGCAGGAATTCAATTTTATCAATTCAAGCAAGAGATACGCCTGCCGCGCATGCACAGCCGGACTGCTACACAACCCCAGCTTTACCAATGGTTCAGGTATAGATATTTACGACGCCAGACTTTCTGAGGATGCATCTCCGGATACCGTCGGCTATGACCCTAGGTGCTATACACAGGATCACCACCCCAACGAGGGACTGGTGATCCGCGGCGGCGTCCACCCACGACATGTCTACACTGGTTGCCCCTGTGCTGAGAAGTTACTCTTCAGAAGGCTCTGCAACGGCCATCGTTCCCAGGCTTTCTTTGACAGCTTGAACAGATTGTACAAAATGGCAGCATACAAGTGGGGTCGGATAGACGCTCAGGTAGATAGCGACGTCTGCTTTGCTTGCATGAAGAACCCTCCCCAGATGCCCGGTGACATGACCAACCAGGACGAGGCCGGTCGTGTATGGGCATGTCTAATGTGCAGCGGTGTATGTGTCGGCGACTGCCCTGCCAACCTCTCTGTCATGTCTGATGAGGTGCCTCTCCTGCCCTTTGGCGATGCGCCCGAAGGCAAGAAGGTGAGAATCTTGGCCCCACCATCTCGTGAGGGCAGTAGTGAGGAGGAGGAGGATGCCGGCAACCAGAACCGCGAGTATAGCAGTGACAGCAATAACGGCGATAACACAAAGGGTGACGACGACAATGATGATAGTGGAGATGCCGATAGTTCAGGGGATGGAAACGGTGATAAGGCCAACAATGCCGATAATACGGATGCAGACGGGGATGAGCAGATGGGAGGCACCAGCTACGATGAACAAGATGACCCACTCGGCATCTACAACTGATGTTGGTTATCATCCTTGTCACTTGTACCAAAGGTAGGTTTTGATACAGGAGGTAAGTATCGCTTTGTGTTGTACTATCAAATCCAGGTAAGTAATTGTATTTGGTAAGTATTTGTGCTATGGCTTTTTAGATCCTTGTGAAAAGATCTCGCATGTACGCATTCGCTGGTATGACTTGAGGTAATGATGTGAACAAAGAACAAAGCAACGTAGGTATTGTTTAGAGTAATATTCCAAGACTTGGCTCTGTTCAAACAAAGCAAAGTTTTCATAATGCGAACATGATTTAACAAAAAGCGATGCTCCAGATGAGCAAGTCCCACATACTGTAGTCGTTGCTGCTTATTCGTGATCTTTCCGGCTTGTCGTTTTCGAGCAGACTAGTTTGACTCGAGTGAGAATACTTTCCGATGATATTTGCCGTTGCGCGTAGGGCAGTCTACAAACAATTGTTGTTTCCTTCGAGCAAGCAGGTCTCGTCATCTTCCTTGGTGGCGTCAGCAGACGCCCGGGGGCTTTCGTGCTGACCATTCCACATCAGCTCAATGGTTACGGGCGTGCTGATGGTCGGAGGATAATTCCTAATTTGGTCCGTTTTCTCCTGCTGAGAACATCTTCAGCACTTAATCTTGTGCTACTTGACCGCACTGAAAAACATCAATAGCGGAAACACTACTCGACTGGATAACCTTGAGGCTTGCCAAGTCTGTCTCACCACTAAGCACGAGATCATTTTCCATCCAATCACATTGTTGTAAATGTGTTGATCGTATAACCTTTATGACTTTCTTATGGATACAATAACGGGCGCTCGCAGAAAGCCCAACCGTTTGAAGTTTTGACAAGGTCCTTTCCTGGCTGAATTAGTGTATGTCACAAATGGCGCACAAGGTTGAATTTCCCCAAGATGTCATGTTGCACTCGGCATAACTCCTGGGGAACATAAAGCTGAGTGAGAAGCCAACTATGTAACTCTTTGTCTAAAGGAATTGCACGAATTCTTCTTCCCCCCTGCCTCTCATTATTGACAGCGAAGGCTAAAGGGCCCTTTTCGCCAACATTCCGCCTTTCAGATACAAAATCACTGTTCATACATCTAGACATGAAGCTCACTCTTCTTCTTAGTGCAGTCTTCTCTGGTGCTGTGGCGACTCTTGCTGAGACCTCAGAGTGGTCACCTCCGGAATCGGGCGATGGTAATAAATTTCTGCATCAATTAACCAAGCACCCGGACTGATGATTCGCTTTTACAGCTCGCAGTCCGTGTCCATTATTGAACTCCTTGGCAAACCATGGCTACCTCCCGCACGACGGAAAGAACATCACTGGGGATGTTCTCTCCAAAGCCATCACGACGACTCTGAACATGGACGATAGCGTAAGCGCAGCCTTCATGGCCGCCCTCCGAAACTCGATCACTACAGCAGAGACGTTTTCTCTCGACGAGCTGAATAAGCACAACGGCATTGAGCACGATGCCAGTTTAAGGTGAGATTTTCTCACAAATGAACATTGTTTTCTACATACTAATCCTGGCCTAGTCGCCAGGACTTTTACTTTGGCAATGTGCAGGCTTTTAATGAGACCATCTTTAACCAGACTCGGTCATACTGGACAGATCCCGTCACCATTGATATACATCAAGCCGCCAACGCACGCAATGCGCGTATCGAAACTTCCAAGGCTACAAATCCGACGTACAATGAAACAGCCGTCAATCGAGCCAGTGCCCTGGAGACTGCAGCATATATCCTGAGCTTTGGGGACAAGGTCACTGGCAGTGTACCGAAAGCATTTGTCGAGTACTTTTTCGGTATGCCTCTCTACTGCACTTATTCATCGATGCTTGTCCCTGGGTGTACTAAGAGATGCTGACGTTATTTGATAAAACCCTTAGAAAATGAGCGACTGCCTTTCCATCTGGGGTGGTATAAATCGGCTGAATCCATTTCATTTGCGGATTTTCAAAACATGAGTACCCGCGTGTCTCAGGCTGGCTCACAGAGCCCAAGAGCAATTGAGCTTTGAGATCTTGAAGAGTACAAGCAAGCATCTCTAGTCAAGGACAAACATGATAATATCAACAAGTTAGGCTTGTCTAGCTAAGTGTATAGACAGAAATAGTTGTTCTTGGCTTTGCGTTTTGTACAAATGTTCTCGAGTGGATCTTTCCTCTGCCCGAATGACAATCTACCCCAAAGTCATTGCCCATTTCGCCCCCTCTGGTATATGATGAATATTGCCGGCTTCCCCCGAGTGAGAATAATAGAGGCCCATTTTATTCTAGAATCTACATGGAAGCCAAAAGTCTGACGGTGACCATCGGTCTCCGTGGCGGAGCTCCGAGAGCGCAGCGCGGCCAACACTGTACAACCACTAATTCAGCCACAGTCAGGCGCTACGTCCGGCGGTATTAGCGCCTTTCCAGACTCGTGTCAGGGGCTGCAACTAGTAGAGCAAAGTATACCTACTGAGACACAACTTTCGAGACCTACAAATATAGTACCCAAGCTACCATTTTGTTTGGAGATCACGAACGAAATTTGATTTATTAGTTTTGTAGAAGCCGAATTCCAGTCATTTTGATGTACTCGTCGCACACATATCCTCCATGACATCGCTCCTATCACGGTAACTTTCCCTTTTGTGCCAATGTCAAGCGATCGCTGTGCCACTAGACTCCTGTATTTAGCAATGACAACCACCCGAATGTTTTTAAAAATAAACATACCTTTCCACACGAGATGGGCTCATAGAGAGGCGGGTGGTCCTCATCGATACAAGTCGGCACCACTTCACACACAGCCTCTGGGTTGAATCCGAGGAAAAAGGGCATGGCGTATCGCGAGCTCTTGTTGCGATTGTAAACCCGGTGCACCGTCGACCGAAACTTGTTGTTAGAGAGCCTCTGCAAAAAGTCGCCGACATTGATGACCAGAGTGCCGTCAATAGGACGCGCATCGAGCCACTCTCCGCCCAGCGACAGCACCTGCAGGCCGCCCGAGTTATCCTGCCAGAGAAGCGTGATGCACTGGATATCAGTGTGGGAGCCGAGGCCCACGTCAATCTCGTCCTTGTGGTCCGCCTCGTCCACGCCCGGGTAGTGAATGTGGACGGCGTCGGCGCCCGGGTGTGTCACAATGGCGTCAAAGTAGTCCTCGGGCAGGTCCAGTGCCAGCGCAACCAGGCGAATGAGCTTGCGGGCCAGCTGGAGCCGGCGTTGGTAGAATTCCACGAGGGTAGAGCGGAAGCCTTCCAGGTGGCTGGTCTCGTTCCAGATAAAGTCTTCCAGGTCGTCGACCACATGAGAACTTTCCTTGTGCAAGGGGTCGTTTCGTACATCGTACCTCATTGAGAAAGTCTCCTTGTTGTCTGATAGCATGTGTCAGGGCCGGTTCTGGAAGCGTTCCCCATTGCAGGTATATCTTACCTTTTGTTTCAGTCTTGTTGATCTGAGTGCCACCCACTCCGGTATAACCGACTGATTTCCCTGATATCTTGGTTCTGACCTTTTCTTTATCGCTCAGCGGCTGAGCAAAGAACTGCTTGCATGAATCGAGGGCCTCTTGAATAAGCTCTTCCGGAATACCATGGTTGTTGATGTAAAAGAACCCAGTGTTTTCGGCAGCATGCTTAATCTTCTTGGCAATGGCCTTTCTTGCTTCAAAGTCGCCGTCAATGGTGCTCAAGTCAATCAGCGGCATCTCATCCGGCGTCGGGGCGCGGGGTGCCGCCGTGCTGACCTGGCGGTATTCGGGCCCATTGGGGGTGAGCAGCTCGATGGTGGTATAGGTCATGGACCCCATTTTTGGATGGCGCTGTGACTGATGGATGAGAAACTCTAGTAGCAACGATGCCTGGTTCTATTACTGAAGCTACAAAGGATAAAAGAACAATACAAATACCCTGCAGAACAGGGAGTATTATACAGCAAGAGTCACAGAAATGGCGACAATATTAGTCTAGTTGCGCACTGCCAATCAAGTTGTCAGCGTTTTCAATTAGTGGCTTTACTGGCCTCAAGACTGCGGCGATCCTTTAGGGTCCTTTTCCTCCGTAGGAGATCTGCGGCGAGCCGCATACGGTAGCCGTAGGACTTAGAAACTTCAGACGGACCTTCTAGGCTGTCCTAAAGAAACCAACAATATCCATATTTCAAAGGACCCTTCTGGTCGCCAAGGGCACACCAATAGCGATGACACGAAATCTGGCTTATCTCTGCGACGGTGTAGTGTAAGTAAAAGATAAGTAGTGCATCTTTTCCCGCTTACGAACGCTGTAACATTGCGGCTGCGGGCCGAGTTTATCTTGCACCATCGCTCAAAGACCCCCTGGAGCACCGGCCTTGGCGACCAGGGCTTCCAGGCCGTCGGAACCTTGAGAAGCGATAAGGAGAAACAAGATGCAAATACATAGATGGATATCTCCCCGTAGAAGAACCATGCAATTGATTTCGTAAAACTGCAACTGGACCAATTCATGTCCTCGTTCTGAGTGTGTCCGTCGTGCAAGCAAACAAAGAATGGCCGATATGTTTTCTCGCGTCCATAATCGGCTTCTGGTCAAGAACCGGGACCAAGACGGAAACCTCAGGCCGGTCAACGCTATCGACAATGACTCCATTCGGCCGACTCCCGTCAAAGATCGGACCTGGACACAGGTGACCTACATTTCGTTTTGGTTTGCCGCCACCGCCAATGTGAGCAATCTGTATTCGGCCGCGACGGGCCAGTCGGTCGGTCTGAACATTTGGGAAGCCCTGGCCTGTCAGCTGGGCGGTCAGTTCCTCGCTGGCTTGCTCATGGCGCTCAATGGCCGCGCCGGAGCAGTCTATCGGATCCCGTATCCAGTCTTGTGTCGCTCTAGTTTCGGGACCTGGGGTGCGCTGTGGCCCACTTTCAATCGTGCCGTCATGTCCATTGTTTGGAACGGTGTCAATGCTGTTCAGGGAGCGCAGTGTTTATAGTAAGTTTTTCTTATTCAATAATTCTGTCGAGTGTTTCTAATACAATGGATCAAAAAGTGTCTTGCTTCATGCCATTTTCCCCTCCATTGCAAATATACCGGATCGAATGGGGTCGGCGTCTGCCTTGACCTCTGCGGGCATGATTTGCTTTTTTGTATACTGGTAAGTGCACCACCACCTATTGCCGAATTTGGCCACGATACTGATATTGACCTAACTGCAGGCTCATTAACTGCGCATTCCTCTTTGTGCCCGTTCCGCGCATGAAGAATCTAGTGTACATCAAAGTCGTAGTCTTTTACGCTGCCGCCATTGCCCTCACAGCTTGGACAGTGACCCTGGGTGGTGGTTCAAAGGCGGCGCTCAACGAGCCATCCACTCTGCAAGGATCGGAAAAGTCGTGGGCAATTTTGAGATTCTTCTTCCTGGGTCTGGCCAGCTGCGGTACCTTCATTTCCAACGCCGCAGATATGCAGCGTTATGCGCGAAAGCCCAATGATGTCGTGGCCGGCCAGGTCGTGAGCTTTCCTATTTCCAACATTGTGACGGGAATTCTTGGCAATGTGATTGCTGCCGCAAGCAAACCCATCTTTGGCGAGGTAAGTCATGCTAAAGTGTAGGAGAAACCGATTGTGATAAGCTTACTGAGATTGGATGTACAGATGATTTGGAACCCCCTGACTACACTCGACATGTTGATGGACGGAGATCGATACACGCCAGCTAACCGTGCTGGCTGCGCTTTCATCTCGCTAGCTTTTGTGTATTCGACTGTTTTTTCAGCCATATTTGAAAACTCGATTCCGTAAGTCGGTTCTTGATATTGATGGATTATTCCATGCCGGTTGCTAATTGCACTATAGTGCCGGAAACGATATTGCGTCGCTACTCCCTAAATACATTACCATTAAGCGAGGCTTCTTTATTTGCGCAGGTAAGATCTCAGAAGCGGTAGTCGGACATAAGAGTAATGTGACTTCTAACATCATTTCTTAGTGCTCTCATACGCCATTTGCCCCTGGTATCTGCTCTCATCCGCAGCAATCTTTGTGACCTTCCTGTCGTCGTACCAAATCTTCCTCTCGGCGATTGCGGGTATCTTGATCTGCGACTACTATATTCTGCGCCGCGGCTATCTCGACATTCCAGCGCTGTATTCACGTAACAAAGGTGGTCCATACACCTACTTCCACGGTTGGAATCTGCGGGCGTTTGCCGTATACTTGATTGCCATTGCGCCAAACTTTTACGGATTCTTGAACCAGATGGGTGTGGCTGCTCCCATCGGTATTCAGAGATTCTACTACGTGGCCTATCCAGTTGGAGTGATCTTGGCACTGGGCGCATATTATCTGGTCAACGTCCTGTTCCCGCAGAGATCTGCAAAACAGCCATCTGGATGGCTCGAGCCCAAGGACTACGTCGATGCGTACGATGCGTCGGCATCACAAGGTATTGTTGTTGAGGCAGTCGAGCCAAACTTGGAAGCTGCAAGGTACCAAGGGTTGGTCATGGATGGGAAGGGCCAAGCTATGGAAAAGACGCAATATTAATTTAGAGGCCAAGTATAGCAGCAATGCTTCAATAGACGACAGCAATAGACAAACTATAGATCTCATATCACCCATTACGTGTCATCTCAAACAAAACTGCTCACAGAGCTGGCTATAAATGACCATTTGGACAATTAGACGATTATGACTGGGTATCTAATACGCTATATATACTATCATGACTATCGTATATCTTGGTCTAGGTATGTAAATCTGAGTTGAGCAGCAGCTTGGTGTTGTACAACAGCCTCTCTAGGCTGATTCTGATTTTTCGTTTTCCCTCTCGTGTATTTCTCTCGTGTTCTCCAATCATTCAGACTTGGGTCCAAACCACCGTGACAGCGATGCTTTTACGGCGGCCAGATCAGGTTCTCCTTCAGTCGCCCAAGCGACAATGCCGTCGGGGCGGACCAAAAGAGCGCGGAACCCAAGCTCATCCTTGGCGCGCTCGCACACATAATCAAGCCGGTCGGACCATCCGTCGCAGAGGCTCTTGAGCTCCGTCTGCTCTTGGTCTCCAAATTCAATCAATATACCGCGACCTGATCGCAACTTCTCACCAAGCCGGCCCGTGCCTTTGAGAAAATTGAAGTCTGGAACGCTGAATCCTACAATTTGGTGTAAAAGTTCGCCATCCTCGAGGCTCAAGTCATAACGCTGCAATACGCCCATGAATCTGGCCGTCATGAGCGTGGCTCCATCTCGCGTAGCAATCACTTCCTTGACCAAATTGGCCACGGCACGACTGCTCAGGTCCGGCTTCATCGTTGCCACCTGAGCACGCGTCCACTCGGTGATCCAGGCTCCGATGGGGTGTCTTTCACGCTCGTACGTGTCCAACAAGTCCGGAGACGACCTGCCTTGGACCACGGCGGCGAGCTTCCAGCCCAGATTCATGGCATCGCCGATGCCGGCATTCATGCCTTGTCCGCCGAGGGGCGCATGGATGTGGGCGCTGTCGCCGGCGAGAAAGATGCGATCTTTGCGGTACGTCGACGCCTGCATGGCCCGATCCGTGTACGATGATGCGAGCTGCAGGCTCTTGACGCTGACATCGTCGCACCCGCTCACGCGGCGCAGTATGACTTGAAACTCTTCCGCCGTGAGCTCCTTGGTGCGGTCAAACGTACCGCCCGCCGCCACGGGTTCCATGGTGCCAATGTGGCCCGGCAGCATCTTGAGGTAGAGGCCCGTCGGCGTGCGGGTAAAGCCCCGCTGCAGGCTGTTGTTGGGGTCGTCAATGTCGCAGAGCACCGTCCATCCCATGAGCTCGGCGTCGGTGCCGACAAATTCAAAGCCGGCGCCCTTGCGAATCTTGCTGCGTCCGCCGTCGCAGCCGACGAGCCACTTGCCCCGAAAGGTCTTTTCGTCTGCAGTGTGCACGACGACGCCCTCGCCGTCTTGCGTTGCTCCCGTCACGTCGATGCCGCCCAGGACCTCCACGCCGAGGTCTTTGGCGCGCTGATACGTGGCATTGACGATTCTTTCTAGCGACGAAGGCGAAGGCGAAAACCCGGGACCGGGCAACTTGTACTTCCAGCAAGGGTTGGACCGGTCGACCAGACTGGCGTCAAACATGATGCCGGCAAAGTGGCCAGAAAAGCCCGATTCGGCAAAGTTGAATGAGCGTTTGCTGAGCATCTGCTCGCCAATGACCTGGTCGAGAAGTCCGCGCCGGTCGAGCGACTCGGCCGACAGTGTATTGATGCCGCGCATGCCTAGCGGTGCCTTTTTCCACGGCGTGTCGGTGTTGGATGGGTCAGCGTCGCGTTCGAGCACGAGCACCGAGATGTCGCTTGCTGCCAAGCGTAGCTCACAGGCGAGCAACAGGCCGACTGGGCCTGCTCCTGCAATGAGGACGTCGTATACTTGTCCGCTCATTGTGTTGGGTTACTATTTGGAGCGATTTCGTCGAGGTTATAAAGGAGAATTGGGTGTAGATTTTGTAGTGATGATGCAGTCATTCAGGACAATTGGAAATGGAATATTGTTGAGCTCCATCTTGCCAAGGTTCAAACAGACGATATATATAGTCAGACGCTCTCAAGAACTAATTGTTCTGCCTAGGCCCGGGTTTTGCGGTTTTTGATAAAATGACCAAAACTCGGCGACGATGTTGAAGCGGACAAGTTCGGACAAATGAAATTCGGCCCCGATTATAGTCTCAACCCCCTGTCGGACGATAGCCAAGCCCGAGTGTTCAGGCGGGTTGGAGTGGCGCGGATAGGGCGCTCTAGTTGGTGGACTGAACTCAGCATTGGGCGCTCCAAGCACTGAATCGTACGGAATATAGGGGGCCGGCTAAAATGTGGGGATAGATCGTCGGGGCCGGCTTTTCTCCGCCATGATGGGCATATTCTGGATTATCCTATCCTATCATCATTCATGTCTCTTTCTTTATTTAGCTACCTATGACATTATGGTTCAAAAGGAATGCGGTATATGTTTTCCATGTTGGTTCTTTTTGTTTAAGACTTGGTTGGCAGCTTCGTTGCTTTCCGCCCGCATGAGTTGATTAACCATCATGGTCGTCAGTCAAACTTGTCTTGCTGAATTGATGCTTTATTGAAGTTGAAATAAATATCAAACCCATGGTTGCTTTTACATGAATTTCTAAACACCTATATTTATAGCAATTGGTACTGCCATAATCAATAGAAAAGACAGCGACGTGATGAACATTGAGGCTGTACTGGTAGAAACCACTGGTATACCCGCACTAGGTCTTTGAGTTCCACTAGCATCCTTCGTGAGGTCTGCAGGATTTGTTGAGCTCTCATCCTGCTGTGATGTCGTTTCCAGAGACTTGTTGGTAGGCACAGTGATGAGCGTAGTGTATAGTGTTGCAATAACAGTCGAGCGTTGTGTTGTTGATTGGTTTCCGTAGTATGACGAGCCACTGGGAACCGGAAGAGGCTTCGGCCAGCTAGTAGTATCGCTCAATCCAGTGCCGTAAGGCGACCCGCCTCTGGGATATGTCAATGTTGCCACTATATATGTGGTGTCGCATATCGTGCAAGTCGCTTCTGTAACTGTAAAGCCATACGGGATGTTTGGGGTAGCAAAGCTCGGCACCGAGGACAATCCAACATAGGTTTCGGTGACTGTATAAGGTTGATTGGACAGCCCTGTAGGGCAGAAGACTGAATAGGCCGTAGTAAAGGTGCTAGTGATTGTGCATGTGGGACAGTCACACTCATGGCACCACGGCATACTGTAAGCCACTGTGCCCTGCGGCAGCCGTGCCGAGCTCGTCTTTGTGTTTGACATTCTGCCATTTGTGGGCGCCTCGACGCAGTCGGTGACCACAGCGGTCATATATGATAGTATCTGGGCATATCCCAATGAGATTATTTGAAGCAAAATTGGCAGAAAAGTCGATTTGGATCGCACCATCTTCACGAAAGCTGTTTAATGTCGCGACGATAATGGGACGCGGAAGTTACGTGAATTTCCATTGCCTGGGCGAGCGTCTTGATATTCTGCGCTGCTCCATTGTTCACTTCTGTTACCCAGTGAGATTCTTCCGTGGAAAGGGTAATCTCCTGGATTTGCTGCTGCAGACGCAAACAAGTACGCATCATCAAGACGATGTGCGGAAATGTATTGTCTTACCTAGGTGTCATGCCATGTCAGAAACAGCGGCCCGTCGTCTTGTTTCACATGTTGAGGAATGTACGTTCCATATGAATAAAATGACTTGTACAAATGACTCATCCGGCGAGTAGAGTGGACACAAGTAGCCGCTTGTAAATCCTCGAATCCCGTCCCGAAGCTGCATGGGTGTCCAAAAGGCTTCTTGGCAAAAGTAGGTGTATACGACACCGAGCCTTCAAGGACACTTGGGGTAACGAAACCAAAAGCATCATTTGTAGATAATCATTGTTTCATGGCAAGCTATTCATACTAAATGAAATATAGATGAATCTTTTCTTGGAGACAACTTTACATATTAATACATCTGACATTTTAGGAGCATTGTCAGCAGGTTTGCTCTGAGGCTGGGCACGCCCGGGGCAATCACCGCTTTACTGGGGCCTTCACGGCGATGTCGCCGCTGTACCTGATCCGCCGGGAAAGTCGCCGCTTTACTTGATCAGGTTACGCATCCGGTACATCCACCTATATAGTGCAGATCAGACGTCATCAGCGCAAGCAATCCACGACTCTGTGACTTTTGGAGAGCTTATAGAATTTTATCATTAATAATCAATGAGACAAATTTGACCACACGTGGCAGTATTTAAGTATTCTTCATTGAAAATTTTGACCGCGGCTTCACTTCCGTAGTAAAAATTGAGCCTTCCTTTGACGTGCGTGATCAACATCCAACATAGACAACTCTGGTGATTATACCAGTGCAAAAAGAACGCAATTAATTATGGCTTTGAACGGAAAAGTTGTGCTTCTTGTACGTACCAGGCTCCTTTGGACACATTCATCATTCCATGTAGCTAATAATGATATGCACAGACCGGAGCTTCCAGTACGTACTAGGGCTCAAATTGCCATTTCCGGACGATAGACCCTGGCAATCTCTGAGACATATTCCATCCACCTCGAATGCTGACTTGTATGGCATAGTGGGCATTGGCGAGGCTATTGCTCATGCCTTGGCCAGCCAAGGAGCAAAGCTGGCACTTGTGTCGAGAACAGAGGTAACAATACCAAATGGCCCGTCCTCTGCGGCGAAGGCAATGAACTGTGGCTAATGTACAGGTCCATAGTCTACTTTGAAGGAGTTATCGGCGCGCATACAGTCGCAACACTCGGGATGCGTAGCCAAGTACTACGCCCTAGATGTCGGAAATTACGAATCAGTCGACAAAGGTGTAGCGCAAGCCGTCAAGGACCTGGGACAGATTGACATCCTAATTAACAATGTCCGTCGCGCCCAAATGCAAAACTGAAGACGAGGTTATAGATCGCTAACACTACGTCCAGGCTGGTCTTGCGCTGGGAACTCCAGCTCGCTTCCCAGATCTCATGATCTCAGACATTGTCACCATGAACAATACCAATGTCAATGGATACATGTTCATGACGCATTCCGTGCTGAATCACTCCATGATGCCGCGGGGAGGTCAAGGCACCATCCTCAACATCACTTCGGTAACGGGTCTTGAGGCTCCGCCGTTCCCAGGAGAGACGGTGTACCATGCGAACAAGGCATTGCAGGAGGCTTTCACCAACGGTCTCAGGAACGAGCTGAGCGAAACAAACATCAGGGTTTTGGCCTTGCGCCCAGGAGTGGTGGATACGCATTTCCACACACAACGTGTCGGTTATGACAAGGACATGCATGAGGGCTTTATGAAGGGATTCCAGTACGTTTGCAAATTGTCTAGTTTTTCCGTGTTCAACTGGGCTATACTGACTCAATCTCGGCAGACCGCTGGATGCCAATGATATTGCCGGGGCAGCTATTTTCATGCTGAGCCAGCCACTAAACTATTCGGTCAAGGCGCTGGACGTCGTACCAACAGGTGAGTCTACCGATGAAATATCTCGAAATTTAATGCTGATATCTGGACCCAGCGCAACGATCTCTGAATGTGTTTGATAGAAAATGGAATGAGCGCAACAGTAAAGGCAAGGAATAGGCATAGCGCTACAAGAAACTTTATTACAAAAATCATGATTTCCCGGAGATACCAAGATGCCGCCCATGGTGACATGAACCTATTTAGGTAGCTGTGAGGGTTGGCAGGACATGCACGCCGAGCACAGCCATCATAAAAATGGGAGAGAGAGAAAAAGGCTTACAATAAGTGCAGGATTCGTTACTCCACGAGCTACGCCGCAGTAACACCTTTTGGCCTTCAGGGACTAAACCTGTTTGATTCCTGGTCTGAGATAATCACCTGCCACAAACTCTGACTACCATGGTGCTGATCGCATCGTACGATCCTACTCAACATATTAGCCTGCATTCTTCACTCGTAAAACATTACTCCGCGATATCATATTTGGGATTCTAACTTGTATGTATTCATTCGCTTCCCCGATTCCTCCCAGAATGGACATGACCTTTGATAGCAAAATCTGCCTCGCTATAGCCAGCGTTGGAGTTGCGACAGTCATAGCCGCAACGGGCATTGTGGTGATCCTCCGCACACCATGGCTAGAGAGCCACGCTGTTTACATGCACCGTCTGAAACTCACCGAGGGAAAGGACCTCGACAAGCCCGAACAATTTGGCTTTGCACACAATCAAGTGTCGCCCTTCTACATCGAGACCGATGATGCAGTCAAACTCTATACCTGGCATGTTTTGCCTCTTGGTCTTTACCATATGCATTACCAGCAGCTCGCCCGGCGCAGAGTTCGCTCGCCTATAGCTGAAGATTTCATGAAGACTCTCAACTTTCAGCTTCTCAAGGACGACCCAGAGAGTAGACTGGTGATACACACTCACGGGTCCTCAGGAGCGCTGGCTGCCTATGCACGGGCTGATACGTATCGCTACATGTCAGCGTTGGCGCCCGGAAAGATACATGTTCTCGCGTTTGATTATCGAGGCTTTGGCCACTCCACAGGAAGTCCGACTGAAGAAGGCTTGAGAGCGGATGTGCAAAGCGTGTACAAATGGGTGACGGAGGTGGCCATGGTCTCTCCTGAGCGCATCGTGGTCTTTGGACAGTCCATGGGTGCCGGTCCTGCCATTTCCCTCGTCCGTGAGCTCAGCCTGCACCATATTTCAGTTGCAGGGCTTGTTGTCACGGGCGCCATCACAGGCGTGCCCGAGTGCTTGACAGAATACCGCGTGCTTGGACTGCGTGTCTTACCCATCGGCCGATTCCCAGCTCTGGTCTCCTGGCTGACGGGAAGCATGAGAAATAAATGGCCAAATAAGGATCGATTGATGGATATCGTACGCCACGGTGCTCGGTACCATATTGAAATTTTCCATGCCGAGGATGATCCTATCGTACCCTGGTATCTCAGTGATGAATTCTTCCAGTGTGCTGTCACTGCTTCCTGGGATGGCACAATGAGTAAGGTGGAGTTTGAACAGAAGAAGGGAGCAAGTAGAACCGACATGGGTGAAGGAGGCTGGTTTGCTGAATGGCGGACTGCAAAGGGGCTCATTCGACAGGAAGTCACTCGATACGGTGTCCATGACAAGATCATGTCTCATCCACAAGTTGCAATGGCAGTATATCGGGCTTTTCAAAGCGCGAACCCCCTGTTTATGACGTAGAACTATCAGTTCATCGTCATCATATGATATTTCGAAGCTGACAAGAACTTCTAAGTATGTGGTTGGCTGTATTGGAGTTATGCGTGATGGCTTGCTTTGGCTTGTTTTTGCCTTTGTCAATCAGTTGGAAATTGTGTGGGTGGACGATCCACGCTGTGGCTGTACATATGTAAAGCATTCCCTCGTCCCTCTATACCTCTAGAACAGCTTTAGTATAGTAATCTAAGCTATACCTGATATCACTGTACAATCAGTATATCTCTTTTCAAACCAGTCAAGGACCAAAATGTCTTTCTCAATAATTTGGAATATGCAACAAAATAGTTGAGCCCACTGTCGCCCTAGCATATCAAGTGTCATTGTTCCTGGGCTTCTACTCAGTGAAGTCAGTTGCATCCACGATCGTCCATAAGCAATTGTTATACCGTCGCAGTCTGTAATCCCTGTCATGCGTCAGCGCGCATTTGCGCGCAATCCCCCTGCGAGCCTTTCAATGTTCTGCCTTCAATTTGATTGGGCCATAGCCCACCACCGACCCCAAGAGAAATATTTGCGACTTTTGCTTTCTATCATAATGTTAACTTCGTGAAGTCAGTTGCAAACCGAAAGGCAAATATGGCGACACCCAGCGCTTCTAGTGATACTGCGTCCGAGAAGCTCCCAGCCGACCGGCTGGGACATGCTTCGTGGCAATCACCAGACAACACCCGACCCCCAAGTCTTGCCCATGGACCTACCCTTCATAATTTCGCCACGATAGACCCAACCCCCCAACCTCATCGCTCTGGCCCTGATCCTGCATTCAGCTTTACGTCAAGTGCTGGCGCAGCCATCTTAAAAGACTACGAATCTGACTATGTGGATTCATTGACATCAAAGTCTGCAGAACATGTGGTACTATCAATGCCCTACCACCGGATGAACATGGGACCGCGACCGAAAACGCGCAAACTCACCTCCAAGGAAGACGCCAACTACCAGTGCGAGGTCAAGGGGTGTGGAAAACAGTTCAGCAGGAGCTATAATTACAAGGCCCATCTCGAGACACATGATGAGGATCGGGAGTATCCTTTCCTGTGCACAGTAGTCGATTGCGATCGGAAGTTCGTCCGCAAAACGGATTTGACAAGACACCACCAAAACGTACACATGAGGGAGAAGAACCACCGATGTGATTACTGTAACCGGTCGTTTGCAAGGAAAGACACCCTTAGAAGGTACGTATTTTCATATACGTAATTTTCAAATCGGATAATTAAATTTGCTTTTAGGCATATGGAAGACGGCTGCTCGAAAAGGTTTGACATTGGCACTCTCGACGTCCGGTCGGAAGGCTACAACTCAGCATCGCTTGGTCCGGGGCTTCCGGCGACTGATATCGTTGCTGCGTCTGAAGGGACGTGTAGACTGCCTGCATTTCAGCCGTTCACGAAGAATGATGTGGTGAATAGGAAGGAAGGCGAAGCTCCCAACTCTGCTATGCCTAAATATCCGTTGGGTGAAAACATAGCCCTAAGCTATGAATCTTTAACATCACTGCCGACGCACATGACAGCAACCCAATGGGAGGACGAGGGTACTTTGTGCTACCAGGTCGAGGTCAGGGGCATCGTCGTGGCAAGAAGAGAGGATAACCGAATGATCAATGGTACCACTTTGCTCAAGGTTGCCGGGGTGTCTGACGCCAGACGGGATGTGATGTTGGCCGAGGAGCCACGGCACGTTGTCGAAGATGGACCAATGCATTTCAGAGGTGTCTGGATTCCCCTTTGGAGAGCTCTGTTGTTTGCCACCCAAAACAACGTCACAGATTTGCTGTCTCCCTTGTTTGCCCAGAACATCGAGATTCCCCCGGTCAATCAAGCAATTTCAGTAACGACAAATCACAATCCAGAGGAACGAAACCAAAACAAGGCAAAGTCACAAGGGGTCAATGTCAAAGCTGTCGATAATGTTCATTCTATTACGGAATCTGATATTGCTCAATCTGGGCCGCACCACGCGCATCCCTCAGCAGGTGCGGAGAACGATATTGACGTCGATGAGATATACAGTTATGTCGATCCCGATTTGAGACCACGTTTGCCTACTCGCGTAGACTCTACTCTTGGGGAAAGCTCAAGACTATTCGAATACAATTTGGGCGAAGAAAATCTGGAACATACGACCGATGTTTTCACCAAAGAGGCTTCAAAGGTCAAGGTCTCAAGAAAACCGAGGTTTGAAGAAGGAAGTCTCTCATCCTTTGTTCAGAGAAAACGAGTGGCTGCCCTGTCCAATAGCGCTTCGCCCTCTTGCACCGATGAGTACAGTGACTATCAAGACGTGCTTGTTGAGCCCTCGGAAGAGGAAGATGGTATTGCAACGACAGCTTTTGGTTTGTCACCAAGTCAGAGATCTCCTCAAACCGATAGTGAAAGTTCCTCAGAAAGCAGTTTTGGGCTTCTAACGAGATATGAGCGCAAAGAATTTCTTCTAGACCGCTTGATGAGCTACTTTTTCAAATTGTTCGCGTCTTGCCGTTCTTCTGTTTCAAACACTGAGGCTGCCGCGGGCTCCGATGGAGTATGCTTCGCTGGAACAGGGGGGATTTCCGGTAATTCAAGAAAGATCTCAAATGATGCTAAGGGGAAAAGCAATGCCCAAGATCGTGGTGCGGGAGGCGGTCAAAAGCGAAGTTTTGAGAAAGACGATGATAATGATGATGATGCTAATGAGAGAGACAGAAAGAAACCTGGAAAGATTACACGAGTAGATGGAGTCAAAAGGACTACAGGCAGAAAGCTGGCATGTCCCTACTTCAAAAATAACCCTGAGCACCCACGGTTGGCTAGATCATGTTCTGGGCCAGGCTGGGACACTGTACATCGCATCAAGTAAGTCATACTACCTTCATTCCGGTTTTGCGTCTGTGTACGATGACTGATATAACTTCTTGGTATAGAGAGCACCTCGACCGAAATCATGCCCTTCCTCCAAGCTGTGACCGCTGTTATACAGCTTTCAAAACAGATGCCGATCGAACTGCACACCTGAGATTGGAGACCCAGTGTCCGCTCAAAGAGCGGCCAAGTCGAATGCAAGGATTTGACGGCTTTCAGAAGGACCAGTTGAAATCTCGCCCGAAAGGCTATAAGCAGAAAAGCGAGATTGAGAAGTGGCGCCATATTTACAAAATCCTCTTTCCAGAGGCGGAAGAGGCAGACATTCCCAGTGCCTGTAAGTTTACATCAGATGGTCTCCACATATTAGGCTTCGATTGACACAGCACAGTCTATGACTACAAGAGTTTCAAAGATTCAGGACATCCTATCGATTTGATGAACAAATATGAGGATTTCCTGGGCCGTGAAATGCCTGATCGTGTCAGGCATCAGTTGGAACTTCGAATTGAACGTGCTTTGGATCCGATCGAGCAACAGCTTCAAAGTCAGATTGTAGACATTGCATGCGATATCCAGATGGATTTATTCAAGTCATTCCTGACCTCCATCGGTACCGACGTCACAAGTACTGAATCAAGTCAGAGAGCTGAGGTTATCAGAAACAGCAGTACCCCTGGGCAGACACGGCCTCCTACATCGAAGCCCCTCGTTGCAGAAGAGCAAGTCTCATGGATTCAAGCACTGCCGATTGGGGAGTTGCCGATGATGGATATTGATGACGTGCCATTCTGTTTTGCTTTTCCCCAGGATTTTGATGGTGTGCGCTTCGACTTGGGATCATTTGAAGACGAACTCCTAGCACAGGACTCGACTTCAGGAACGTCGTCCATCTCTCTGGCAGAAGTTGACCAGGACCAATTTCCCAGTTGTACAACCTCGACTGATCAACAGGAGTCGGTCCAATTATGACAGCGCAGTTTCAGAAAGCCATAAGTTTGAGTTGGCCTTGCTTCTCTTCACAATCGTATGTAGACCACATTGATATATCTCGGTTCATGTTTGAGGATCACAGCGCTTTTACCGGTTACAGCTCAAGGCTGAAATTCTTCCACATTTACTAGATATCTTACCCATAACGCGGCGCTGATGGCAAGGGTGCTCATTACGGGGCAGCCTTGTGGATGCCAAGTGCTCCATTGTCATCATTTGGTGGATCGTGAGCTATTTACAGATCATATCACGTCGATCTCCAGTGGTGTACAGTCAAGGTAAGGGCAATAAAGCGGGTCGTTGCGGCACCTGGAGCTCTTGCTACAAATTTCACCGCCCCCAAAATCATGACTTTGATTCACAAGTTCTTGAAGACTAGACCATTTCTCTTTTTCATACACTTTGGATGCGACTTCGATCTGTTTTATCATGTCAGTCAGCTCCTACGAGCGTCTGGACTCGCTGAACAGTGAGACCATTGGCGGAGAACCCAGAAGATCATCGACACGATCCAGCTCAAAGGGTCTCTGGCAATTCATTCTAGCATCCAAGTGGAGTATATCTCTATCTTTGGCGGCTGGAATTGCCATTGAAGTGGGCGTGATTATATTCACTTTTTGGTTAGCACAACAGCGCACACTATCATGTCCCGACTGGGCGATTGACTGCAAAGTGCCTTCACGTGTAACATGGTTAGTTCTGATCCTACCCAACCCGAGATAGAGGATAGACGCCCAGCCAACCCAATATTTTCTTGCATCGAAAGGTTAACATAGAACTAGGATCGCGAACCATTACCAATCCACGCAGGGTGTTGTCGGTGCCTGCTACTCAATCGGCCTCACTACCCAGTCATACTTGGCACACTCCTTGTCGGAATCTGCCGTTTGGCCACTGGTGACCAAGCAACGATTCAGCCTTGACAAAATGGACGATTATCTGGCTCTAAGCCGTGGCGCTCTTGCTGCTATGCCGTCGGTCATGAAATCGGCCAGGACCAAGAGCACCTGGTTCGTGTCACTGATCATAGGCCTCGCAATAATTTGCCCTCTAGCTTCTACGCCATTAGTTGGTTATGTCTATGAACAAATAAACCAGCCAGTACAATTTGCAGGAAACTATACCCCTGGCGGAGGAATAGGGCGTGTGTATCGCCAGACAAATGGTTCAGAACATTTGCAGGCCGAGGCGCTAAGCCTATATGCTTCGTGGGCTCACGGTCTGGTGAATGAGACGACATTATTGGATACGTACCGAGACTGGTACGTGCGACGAGACGTGCTGGCTCAACGGGGAAACATGACGGTCAATGCGGTGAGGGTGCAAAAGAACATTACGTGCCAAGGAGTTCAGGTCGATTATAACCCTGATAGCCCGTACAATTTCCGAACCAACATGTCCCGCCGTGACTCTGACAATGCTGCAGAAGTCCAGGTTGGGACGATTCCAAAACTCACAGTCTGGGCGCATGATTATGGTTTCCTCTCCACGACTCGTACCACTGCCACTTTAATCTTTTCAGTCTTGAACGGAGAAATCGAGGGCGGGGCGTGGACGTCAATAGATGGGTGGCCTTTGGTGAATGGAACATCATCTATTGCGTGTGACGTGGACGTCGAGTTTGTCGACGAGACTCTAAGAATTGGAGATGGAGGCATTTCCTCTGATTCACCCGTGACAATAAGCTCGGTAAAGCAGATCCACACTGCCGACAACTCGGATCCGTTTGGGAACAACAAGAGCGAGGTGGCCCTGTGGTTCGCCGTGGCGCCAATCATCTGCGGCATCTCGGTAGGCGATCGCCAGCCCTTGTTCTTTAACAATTCAGTCACCAATCTTCCCGATCTGGAGGTCACTGGCAACAAAGTACCAGCCATCTTTACCGCGGATGGTATCGAGAGATTCATCGACGTAGCTATTGGCGCCATGGCCTTGGGAACATCTAGCCACTGGTCCGAACGCAACGATTCTCTCACCATCAAGTCGAGCATTCTTCAGCGCAAGATGCACGCCTCGCGTCCGCCCATGCTCCTGATTCTGCCTCTACTGCTGGTCTTGTACACCGGACTCTTGGCTGCTTGGAATGCGCGGGCGCACCAGCAGCGGCGCGTTCCCATGATGCGGATGGCCGGCATCGCCGAGGTCCTCAAGAGTTCACAGTCCGAGGAGATCAAGGCGCTGGCAACTCGAGACCCGCAATTTCCTCGACAGCGGGCTGCATTCAGCGAGCGCCCAAAGATGAAATTTGGTGTTACCCCTGGCGATGTCGTAGGGCTGGGGAGTCACGGAGTTCGAAAACTGTAATTTTCAAAATAACGCATCATGAACAACATGCACTAGGAGTCATCATTGGCAATATAGTGCGCTGTCTGCCGTAGTATTGTACATTATGGTATGTATGAAATGGTATCATGTTTAAGTTCAACTCTCTCCTAACGCGCCATCCTTGGATCCGGTTGTCCACCGACATTGTATAAGCACCTGTATTATTGCTTCTCCTCATCTTCAATGGGATTTTCAAAAAGGACGAACGCTTCGCTCTGATGTTGGCGAGCCTGGGCCGGCACTGCGTGTCGGACTTGTATAGCGTTGGCTCAAGCGAATGACACCACTACCCGACCACCGATCAATTCTGCTTGGCTCCTGTTGATGACCTTTGATTCTGACTGTAAGCGGCTGATGCACGATTTCCTTGTATGATGAGTTCAGTCTCACTTTCGCTTGATTGGCCCTGCTCGATTGCGTCGGGGCTTTTCCTGCCTCGTTCCAGGAGATCCGGTGTTTTCCGCGAAACCACCATTACAGATGCCAAGCCAACTTCCAGATCATCCAACTGGTGTTGGTCTTCTTCGTCTTCTTCTTCGACTGGATGCGATTCCTTCCATCGTCCATAGGAATTGTGGGGAGATCGCGGTGGCATTGGATACGAGTACTTTTTGTAGTCGGCACCGTATGTGCTCGGACTGTACAAGGTATCTGAATTGGCGGTTGAGTTGTCGGTGTGCTTTGGAGTGCCTTTGCTGCTGCCGCGGGATTTGGGCCAGGTGACAGAGATGCGCGGGATCCAAGGGTCGACATATGGCCGAAGGGCTGGTAGACTGCCGCAGACCACAGCCATGAGATTTTCAATCAGACTCCAAACGACAATGTTGACATTGTTCCCTGAGATATGAAAGTCAGTCGTGTCGGATGAGATGACCAAGTAGTGCTCACATGTAGAGTCGTGGCTTTCGTCCAATACCAAAAGATACCGAAGACGGACTATACTGGCTATAGTTCCACTGTAAAAGATGGTCAGTCAGAGCTACTTATAGGTCTGGTTCGTGGGCAGCTTACAATGAAGCGAAAGCAAACATGATGGCAACTCCCCATCGCTTGCGTCCGCTGACTTGGAGTTTCCGCAGCTCGCTTATGGGTAGAACCATGAGAGCAATGTCTTCTGCTATGGAAACCACGGCACCAGAGAACACAATTATTCCTTCGTTGAAGCACTTGGCATCCGTGATGGTAGTGTCCCAGAAGGCGGATACTGGCGAGCACTGGAATATAACGACAAAGGTGTAGATCAGGCCGTGTAGAAGCTTGAAGGCCATGCAGCCTCTCACTGCCCACCGGAACCACAAGGAGCCGGCGACCTTGAAGACTCGGTAGTAGAGCAATAACACGGCCAGTTTTGATGTAATTTGGACCCAAATGTAGGCTATTTGACCGACGTAGTCCAACTGAATTATGTTAATACCATTTTTTGTGAGTATAGTTTGATATCCAAGGATAACTTACAATGAGCAGTTTTTCCGAGTTGTTCCAGTCGAAATTCCAGATGTGCAACCCAAAACCGACTTTGCCACATTCAAGCTGGATGACACCAAGAACGATTAAAAAGACCTGTGCGGTGTCAGTGCAAGTCTTTACAATACTATTGCGAGTGTTCCCTCACAGTTGCAGCAATTGACATGTAATCGTCAGACCAAAGTCCTTTGGTGAGCCTCCACCTAGCAGCACACCGAGCGGCCACGACGGGAATGGCCAACGCAAATGTGACAATGGCGGCAGTATTGATGACATAGACCAGCGACTGTTTTGGGTAAGCCGCGCACATTGCGTTCTCGATGTACAGTGACGCTGAAATTCTTAGCCCGGTCGATCAGTCTTGTATTTCTTGAGCTCTTGTACTCACTTCCAGCATCATAGATCTCGCAGCTCAGCTGCGCACAAGTAGACAGCTCTGCTTGCGCCGTGACATTGGTACAGAAGCAGTTCAACAGAGAGGCCATGTCCGTCAATGAGCATTGTGCTGACTGCACGGCAGACAAGGCACAAGATTACTAGAGGGAAATATCAGTCATGGGCTCTGTAAAGATCACTTTCATCACTTACCGCGCAAGATGGAAATTCCATCAGGACGACTACTGGCGTCAAACTCGTGGCAGAACTCGAGGACGAGTTGGCAGTTGTGTTCTGCGCTGCAGCACCCACAGCAGCCATCAAGGCCGCTGGTCCCAGCCAAATGCGTGAGGGCAACATCTTCCAGGGCTGCTGTATTTCTGCTTTGAGTTCTCCTGGGGACGGACGATCCTGCGACAAGTTCCCTCGAGTCGTGACTTCATCGCGGAGGCGAGGATACCTCGTTTGTACTTATAAGTAAGGCTTTCACCGGAGCATGTCCATATTGGTCACGCGGTCGGACTTGAACGAACAGCCTGTAGATATACCATATTGTTGAGCGAGTGGCTAACTCGCTTTGGTGCCCAGTCCTTCATGTGGAGGTCTCTGCGTGCAGGCACTCCCTTGGACGAGCAAGGGTGTTTTGGACGGGATGAATAGTCTGAGGGTCTCGACGCCAACAATGGAATGAGCGACAGCTTGCATGGAGCACAGCGGTTATGCACATCTACTCTGTTTCGTGTGCTAATGTCATACTATGCAAGTGCACAGGGCACTATCGCATGGTCCGATATTCAGAGACAGGGTTGAATATTGGCCAGAGGCGCATATCGCGGATGGTGGGTGGCAGCAGATCAGATATGCCGTAGCATCCGCCCCATTTACTAACTACTATGGAGGTCGCGCGAGATCAGTCTGAAATAAACATTTCAATATGAATAAATACAGTGAAACCACTTTTTATTCTACTCATTACAACTATTTCAGCAATGCGACAAATTGAAAACCCGCTATATCATAGCAACTGTGCAAAGGTTTACCCACCAACCACCACCGAAAGCTACGGACTGAATGGCTCTCACAGTGGGAGATGCCTCAACCCTAGCAAGGTGACTCCTGCAGCCATCCTATAGCGGCCGATCAGTCCCAAACTGCCTACCTAGGAACACGAGGCTTTTACCTTTGCATCTCCTGCCACTCAAGACTGTAATTCGGAGCTTTTGACCTGTGGCACAGATAACCATAAGTCACCCACACTACCACCACCACCTTTACTGATAACCTTACAACTCATTGAACCAATACTATGAACGACCGTGATGTGGGGTGATCGACAAACGACCGTTTATCTCGTAATACCTGCATTCAGATGCCGATAAACACTAAAGGTTACCGGGTTCATGAGAAGCGTTCGGGGGGTCAGTGCGTATACTCTGTACACCTCCTCAAGGATTATAAACGTTAGATCGTTACTTGCCCCACGCAGTGACCCAGCACCTCCCATCGGAATTTTACCACCAAAAAGAAGCCAATTTTCTATCTACTTCCATATCCAGTGCTGGAAGCTTCCATAACCCGTACACAAACAGCATAAATTATAGGGAGAGATACCTAACAGATCAGAGGGTTAGTGAGTGGAGCTTTGTACCGATCTAACATTTATAATCCTTGAGGAGGTGTAGAAATGTGCAAGGGACCCTTGAACGGGTCTTCCCCCTCTACAGCGCTGGGCACGCGGGGAGAAAACACACAAAGAGCTTCTTCGTTCGCCTGCTTCCCCTCCCAGAGACACACTGGCTCAACGCACCGGCGCGCCCACCAACTTGGAGGTCCCCTCTAATCATGCACGTTCGGCACTGCACAGCGAAACTTTGGTGGTGATCGCAGATGTGTCCACAAACGATAGTTGCACAGACTACAGAGTGCGACTTTGCCACAGGGCATATCGCTTCTTTTGGCACCTTGACACGCACACATGAAAACGGCTTTGCATCGAAGCGAACTCTGTACGACTATTTGGGTCGATACGAGGTTGGAGCTGGTCATTGACGATTCTTGGTAGCACATCACCTTGAGCAACCGAGTCAGCTTCAAGGTTGGGGGCAAACGGCTGCAAATCTAATGCCGATGAAGATCGCAGCGCGATTTATGATTAAGGACATGGCCTGAAGCAGTGACAATCTCTTGCCATTCAGGCGATAGGCACTCGGTGATAGATAGCGCCTCTGTGCCAGTGAATAGGCTTCAAGGCTGCGATATATACTCCATATATATTCCGTGCCGATCGTGTCGGACGGACATTGTTCCAGGTCCCTGCAGGGCCTCTGTATGAATTTGTCCGCCTCCAGAACAATTCACTCGGGGTCATCCAGACGGCAGACGGTGTGAATGGTGATCATAATTGGACATTTTACGGAATACCCAATGTTCTTTTCAAACGCCAACCAATTGGCGGAGCACGAAATTGCCAGATCATCTACCGCTTCTCGGGAAGAACGCCCATGTACGCCTCAAAGTGTGTTTTGATCAGTTGTAGCGATACCGGCACTTTGATCTTGCTTTTTGCAAACATCTAAAAGAGCCATAAGAAAAGAAAGAGGTTGAGACAAAAAAAGATATACAGTAGGAGCAATGTTCCCTTGCATTGCGCCTATGTTCCGACATCTATGACCAGATGCAGCTCACAAACCGCTGTTACAATGAGAGCAGCACGACATATAACCCGCGGGCAGATCCTGTGTACCAACGTCGCAGTGAACCACGCACGTGTAAGCAGCTAATGAGTGTCGCACGCGGGCAACACGGGAAACTCCCTGCTTCCTTTCTAGTAGAATGGTACTGTAGCATTCTATCGGCAAAAGGTCACACGTGACCTATGAGACCACGGGTTCAAGTTCATGTGTGTGTGTGCCGTAATATATAGACATTGTTTGCACATTTTGCCAATAAATCACGTCGATCATGATATGTCTTTTTTTCTCAAATCATCTGTCGATAGAACGGGACGTGCCGGTCGCTCATGTCTCATGATGCACAAATTGTTGATGCTTGGCATTGTGCCGTGATGAGGGACAGAAGAGGGCATCATACTTTTGTGTGTTGTCTACTTTCATGTGAAAAGGGTGACACCGAAACCGCCTTCAAAAAAGATTGCATCAAAATGAGTATTTATAAGTGGCAGCAGATCCGGGAGGGAATCACTATGCGTCACTCTATTGAAGCCGTCGACTTTTTCCTGGCTAAATTTGCAACATGCTAATACGTAACACGGCTAGTATATTTTGCTGGGCAACGCTCATTACCCTAGGCACAGCCGGATACACAGCACAAGAACCGCCCCAGTATGACTATGTAGTCGTGGGCTCGGGTCCTGGTGGAGGGCCGCTGGCCGCCCGTCTCGCCATTGCAAGAAAGCGTGTCTTGCTTCTCGAGGCCGGCTCGGATCCGGGAGATCTGATCGAGTACCAGGTGCCGGCCTTCAATTTGGGGTCAACAGAGAGCAAGGAGATGCGCTGGGACTATTTCGTACATCACTACTCGGACCCGGAAAGACAAGCCCGAGACTCCAAGATGAACTACCGTCTGCCCTCGGGCGAGCTGTACACGGGCCTATCGCCTCCTGCCGGTGCCGTGCCTCTGGGAATCCTGTACCCGCGCGCCGGGACACTCGGGGGTTGCAGCTCGCACAATGCCTTAATTACTGTCTACCCGCATCAAAGTGATTGGCGGTACATCCAGCACCTGATGGGCGATGACTCGTGGAGCCCAGAGAACATGCGCAGGTACTTTCAACGGCTTGAGAGGGCTGACTACTTGCCCATCGGCACTCCAGGGCATGGCTTCTCGGGCTGGCTGACCATAACACGAACCTGGTTTGGATTCGTGGCGCAAGATGCAAAGCTTCTCAGTGTGGTCCTGTCGGCGGCCAGTGCTATAGGAGAAACGATCGGGGCAACGCTCAAGGGGCTAGTACAGGTTTTGGCTTTGGATATCAATACAGACTTTGCCGGCCGGGACCAACGTGAAGGCTTGTACGCAGTGCCGCTTACCGTCAACCAAGGCGTCAGGAACGGGGCCAGGGAGTTTATTCTGAGTACGGCCAATGCCAAAGGAAAGAATGGGCAAAGGAAATATCATCTCGATATCCAACTCAATACCCTCGTCACCAAGATCAATTTTGACACGACTGGTGCAAAACCCAGGGCCGTCGGTGTCGATTATGTCATGGGGCAGAGTTTATACAAAGCAGATCCCCGTTTCCACGACAGCAAGAGTGGCACAGTAGGCAGCGTCAATGTCAAGCAGGAAGTCATCTTGTCTGCAGGTGCTTTCGAGTCGCCCAAGCTCTTGAAGCTGAGCGGTATTGGTCCGGCCAAGGAGCTGAGATCCTTCAACATACCCGTCATAGTTGATCTTCCAGGTGTTGGAAACAATCTCCAGGACCGGTACGAAACTTCGGTGATTGGCAACTCGGCATCAGACTTTGCGGTCACGCATGACTGCACTTTCTTAAGGACACCCGACGATCCCTGCCTCAAGAGATGGAAGGCGGGAAAATCAAACGACGACAGGGGTATATATGCCAGCAACAGTCTTGCCTTTGGCGTCGTGAAAAAGTCCAGCACTGCCGACGGGGACCCAGATTTGTTCATTGCTGGTGCTCCTGGCTACTTTCCTGGATATTATCCCACGTACAGCTACAACGCTTCCCTGGACGCCAAGCACTGGTCCTGGGTTACCTTGAAGGCGCACTCTCGTAACACAGCTGGTACTGTGAGATTGGCATCTGCAGATGCTCGAGATCTGCCGATTATAGACTTTCATTCCTTCAGTGGGAAAGACGGCAATCTCGACGTCCAAGCGGTTGTGGATGGTATGCAATTATCCCGCAAGATGTTCAGTGATCTGGTACCTCTCGAAGGCAGTTTTGAAGAAGTCTGGCCTGGAGAGGGTGTCACGGGCACCAACTTGGCTGATTTTGTGCGCAACGAGGCCTGGGGTCACCATGCCAGCTGCACAAATCCCATTGGAAAAGATACCGACCCCAAGGCAGTCTTGAATTCGGATTTCACCGTCAAAGGGACCAAGGGGTTGAGAGTAGTTGACGCCTCGATCTTTCCAAAGATCCCTGGGTTTTACATTGCTGTTCCGATCTACATGATCAGTGAAAAGGCCGCCGACGTTATCCTGGGCAAAAAGTGGACAGTTTAGAGTAGGCTTTGGTAGATATTTGCTTTAATCCCCCGTGCAAACTTCTCCTTCGTCTTCTTTCCATTTGAGAAAACCTGGGGGGCGGTAAGCTCTCTTCGTATTCCGAAGGAGTTTGATAGATTGATGCAAATCCATATAGCATTGAGATGGTTTGCATGAGAACCACGTTTCGGTACCCAATGACATTACACACTTAAGAAGAATCCTGGGGGAAATCATGATTAATTATTATGGTGGTCCACGCTACTGAGTGTCTGGGTATCACTTCTGGGTTTCGTGTAACGGGGTATCTATGCTCGCTGCCTATAGTATGCTGGGTGAACCATATGAGACCGCACAGTGCCGGCCCGACCCAATCATGAGTTGGCGTACCAACGCAGCCTAAACAGGCTAGGACATGAGTCTGCTAATCTGGCTTGAATGATTAGGCGACCGATCTGTGGTAGGCCTGCTCGTGTCTCGTCGTATCCACGTAGATGTTTGTAGTCATCTTCGTAATCCCGAAGGATTGATTTCGCATCCAGACCACCAAAAGATGCAAGTTTTTGTATCATGAGCGTAATAATGGGTAATAAAACGGATTCGTTTCGAGCAGCAGCTAGTCGCTGTCGTCGTCGTCATCGTCTCCTCCCATGAATTGGAACTGTTTTTGCTGCTGCGGTGGAGGCGGCGGGGGGCTCGAGCCTGCACCCGAGGTTGCACCAGCTTGAGCCTGGCTGACACTCGCGCGTCTGAAACTTTCCTCTCTGGCTTTTTCCTCCTCGATCCTTGCACGCTCTCGCTGCTCTCTGAACTTGCGCTCGTTCTCTTCCCGTTGCAGCCTCTCTTGTTCTTCCCTCTCCTTGGCTTCCTCTTCTTCACGTTTCTTCCGTGCCTCTTCAGCGGCCGGGTCATATCCTTGTGGGTTGATGCCTTGATCTTGGAGGAATTGGATGTTGGCAAGAGCGCCTTGACGAAGGAGATCCTCGCTTGGCCAGGGAAGAAAGTCGATGTTGGCAAGAGGGTTAAGGTGCGCCTGGAGCCCTTCAGGCAATGTGGCATTGGTCTGTTGGCTCGCCGGGTCCCCGCTCATAGCAGGCGTAGAAGCAGCGCCATTGACCTGAGCCGGTGTTCCTACACCATTAGGGGTGCCTGCCACCGGAGTCGGCACGTTTGGTGTCTCGGCGCCACTGTCTGGTTTTGCTGCCGACTCGATGGCGTTGGCTTGCGCAGCGGCGAGCACATTCGCATTGGGCATTGTTGTCTTGGAAATCCGTCTGGCATAGGCGAGGAGCTCATCGTACTTGATCGGATAGTTGGGACCGCTCGGGAAAGAGGTGGCGGGGGTGTTACCCAGCTCCTTACGAGCCTGAGCAAGTTGTGTCAGAGTATCCTTGATCTGACTGTCAAGGCCATTGGTAACACTTCGTAATCGTTGTATTCTTTCGTAATTTTGCTGGTGGACCTTGAGCTCCTCGAGGCCCTTGCCGAGTTCTTGATCAGCTGCGACCAGCTCATTCCCTTGCGAAATCGTTGGATTGTAGCGGGACACCGAATCGATGAGAGTTGCCAATGCTTTTTCTACGCGCTCAAAGCGCGCAGCCATTTGCACGTCCATGTTTGCGCTGTTGGAGTCTCCTATCGGGGCCGTGGTAGGCTGTTTGGTCTGTCGCGATGCTGCAAATAATGTGAAGTTCGTTACGGCATGTGATGAATGAAGCTTGGGGAGCTGTGAGCACTGAGAGCAGGCAGGTACTGAAAGCCAGTCAGGTAAACAAACCAAGCTAAGCCCAACCCGTGCTAGATTGTCTAGATCCCAGCATGCAAGTTCAATGAACAATGCCTGCAAAGCAATTGTGGCGTACAATCCCGCTGTCCAATCCGATCAACCGCGATTCCTGGTGCAAAATGTGGCTGTGCACTGTACCACGGCTCATTCCGGGGCGCTACAACAAAGAATCTCGCGCAAGAACCTCCAGGCCGAAGCTTCACCAAGAGACCTGAGCAATTCAGATAAACCAGCAATTGAACACCCACCCTCGTTCGTGCGCACTTACCGGCAAGATGGCCAAGAACGTATGTCGAAATTCCTTCTCACTGGGGCATCTCCACGTCCTCTTCCGCCTCCCTCTGGTCCCAGTCAATGACTTGCCAGCCTTCGCCGTCACCGTTGAGCCCGCTCCGTACTGACGTCTCTTCTGCTTCCAGGTTCCCGGTCCCGCTTACCCGACATACAAGAGCCCATACGGCCCTAAGTGAGTCAACAACAGTCTTTCCGAATTCTTCCCTGGGAACATATGTGCGGCCTCGGCCAAGAGTTGGCATTGCGTACATCGAACGATGTGATTACGCTGTCGAGAGATGGAAATCCAGGGCGCAGCATTCAAAGGAAAAGGCCATACGGGTTGATCAAAGCAACGACATATATACACCTACTGAGCAGCTATTACGGAGCAACGCGACTGACCTGCGCTTTCCTTAGGTACCACTACCAGCCCAACGTTGCTGGATGGACTTCTAAGCAGTTTGCCGGCCTGTAAGCAACCCCCCTTCGAAATCCCCGTACCTTCCGACTGTCACTGGGCAACGTAGCAACTATCTGCTGCAGCAACAAACATGCATCTTCGCATTGTTGGCGGCTCATTGAGTGAGATCGAGTCAGATATCGGAACACAAACAAGGCCAAGCGACGCGGGTTCAGCTACAATTGACTAACATTCTCGGGTAATGCAGTGGTTTCAGGGCTGGTGCCTTTGGTGGTGTCGCCCTCTTTGCCGTCATCTTCTACGCCTCCGGTATCCCCCGTGTGCAGGACGACATCCTCAAGAAGATCCCTGGTCTCAGAAGCTACTACGAGAGGGACATTCCCGCATCTGACAACCCCTTCTAAACGAAACTCAACTACCCGGGGCTTGTGTTTAGAGGTGTTTTGGGGGAGGGCTTAGAGGACGGCTTGGAGGATTCGAGACACAAACAAGTGAGAATACTTGCCGCAAAGCATGGCGAAGCGGGCCTCCTGTACAAAATGACACAATAGACTATACGACCATCTTTTCATCCATCAAGAACGTGTCCTGTGCAACCCTCAGCGATATGATGTGGCTTGCTTATTCGCCTATTAACATAAATAAATCAACATGGTGAAAGTGTCGGGGTTATTCCAGCATGAAACCGCAAAGCAGAGTCCATCGAACCAACAGAATTCGCGACATCTCAAGCAAGGGGTTATAATGATGAATGACGCCGTATTTACTGAAGATGATATTTGCTCAAGATATCAATTTCTTGAGATCGCCCGAATGAGGTGGCATGAAACAACAGGAAAGTATTCCTACTACAATTCCAATTGATGTGTTTTGTCTTTAACCGTCCGATCTATGGTGGACTTCTTTTGCCCATTTACATGCTCTCTACCAATAAGCTCAGATACAACCAGAAGGATCTTATGGTATCATAATGTACAAAGTGTACAAAATTATTTCTGGAGACTAATCTTGTGCCCGCATTTCGCTGTGCTTTATGCCTTCATGTTATCTTTGATCTCCCCCTTGATCCTGGTGATGGTGCCGGCACCTCCGTACACAAGACCAGTATACACCATGGCCACGCTCGCGCCTGCGTTCAGAATCTCCAATGCCTGGCGACCGTTGGTGATGCCGCCAGTTGCAAAGATAACCTTCTGCTCATTTCCTGCTTGGGGTTGCGGCTGAGCTGGAGACTGAGGGGTGGCTGCTGCCTTCAAATCGTCCTCAACCATGCCCGTGACAGTGCCTTCGATACTTGCTATGCTAGCACTCGATGCCTCATCTTGCACGCTCTTCTGAATTGTGTCTGTGTGTGCAGCACTCAGGTAACTGCGTCCATCCAGCATTTTGCGGTATCTCTTGACTAGATTGAGCGTGCGATCAAACATCATCGGACCAGAGTAGCCACCAGTCTCGGCCAGAGTTGTTGCCTCTTGGGGCGTGACGGCGATACCAGGAGGTACAATGCCGTTGCGACGCTTGGTGGTGTTGCCAACAATGACACCGTCGACTCCACTTTCCCAGACGGCCTGAACAATACCCTCCATCTGAGTATCTTCCTCCTCGTCTGGCGAGACCTTGACCATGACCTTGGGGCTAGTCTTTCTGTCCACCTTTTTGGCCTCGTTGACCACAGCGCTGAGAATCCGGGTGAGCGGCTCAACTGCCTGCAGGTCTCTGAGTCCCGGCGTGTTTGGGCTAGACACGTTGACGACCAGGATATCAGCATATGGAGCCAGTCTGCTCACGCAGTATGTGTAATCCCGAGCCACGGCCGCGACATCACCTTCGGGCGTGTCCTTGTTTTTTGCAATCTGCACGGCCAACAGCTTTCCCTCCCACAGACTTCCCGGGGGAACATGGGCATCGCCGTTGAGGACCTCCTCTTCGGTGAGGCCAACCGACTTGGCGAACAGACGAACGCGGTTCCGGAGGGTCATGGCCATGTGATCAGCACCATGCGAGTTTAGACCATATCTGTTGATCAGGCCGTGGAGACCCGGAATTCGGAACATGCGCGGCTTTGCATTGCCAGGCTGGCCCAAGGGTGTGCATCCGCCGACCTCTACGACGGCAGCGCCGAGAGCAAACAGAGGGTCCGGGACCTCGGCGTGCTTGTCCAGGCCAGCAGAGATACCGATCGGGTTCGACAGCGGGTAGCCAAAGACGGACAATCCAAGAGAGGCATCGAGGGTCTTGGTTGCAGAGGAGCGTTCGCGAGGGTGCAGGTTCAGGCTGTAGAGCGTCTTCATTGTTGAGACGGCAACATTGTGTGCTTCTTCGGCATCAGGGTAGATGAGACGCAAGACCGGAGGAACCAGCCATTGGTGAAAGGAGGCTCTCGTATCCGTTCCATAAACGTAAGCAAGGTATCCTCCAGCGCCAATGATGGTCGTCAGTAGTATCGTCTTTGCTCGAGAGACGGGTGCTGCCGCTGCCGCCGTTGAGGCGTGTCGTCTGCCAGGGAATTGCTGAGATAGAAGTTGCTGGCGGCTCAGAGTGAGAGAATTGAGCGTCCTAGGGGCGACCCTGGACGTGCGGAGGGTAGAGTTCATTGTGAGTGTCGCATGCTCTCGTGGCCGACACTCAATGGCTGTAAAGGCGCCAGTTGTGAAGCATGAAAGTCGCTCGAATCTGGAAATACTAGCTCGGAAAGGTACGAAGAGCCTTGGCGGCGTTGCTTGCAACGTGAATAGGTACGTAGTAGGTACTCTGTAGGTAGCGCAAACGGACCTGATCGCACAGAGCTAGATCTGTACCGTGCCCCGAGTCATGAATGCACGGTAGCGCTCAGGGTCTCCATCTCTTGCAACACTGCCAATTTCCTTCAACCTGTCAACTTTTGGCCAATTCACCACTGTCACAGATTACAATCAACCAACACCAACAAGCGAGGATCGAGCCGCGGGGGTAATGGGCTTGTCAAGATCTAGTCACCCACCATGTCTACCCTTAGCAAGAATATCGACTTGCTCTTGACGCCAACAGTCTTGCGTACAACCATTGCCGCAACAATCATTGGGCTCGCACTGTGCACAGATGTCGCAAAGGGACGGCCTGGATATTCGAGGTGGCAGCTGTGCAAGCAGTTTGCCCGTAACTACACAGCGCCTCTGGCTGTGCCGACAGTACTTGGGTTGTTTTGGCTGAACAATGTCAATCTCTTTGTCCCAAAACCATACATGGTGAGTTATTCTGGTTAAAGCTTCTAAAGCCTTATAATCCACCAACTGATACGTATAAAATAGGATGAGATCTTCCACATACCTCAGGCTCAAGTCTATTGTGAAGGTAGACACACTCAATGGGATGACAAGATTACTACACCACCAGGATTGTATGTGACGCACAAGTCTCAATCTTCTTGTTGTCAGCGGCTGACCGTCGCAGATACTACCTCAGTATCATCTGGGCTCGAGTCTTAGGTCATCCAGACTGCTCGGCGGAAACGCTCCGCCGGTTTAATGTCTTCGCTACAGCGCTCACAGCTGCTGTTGCTACAGCATGTCGCTCTACCATCGAAGGATCTTATCAGAAGAACAAGGACAGCTCCGTCTACTCCATCCATACGGGTATCAATATTGCCCTGTTCCCGGTGTTGTTCTTCTTCTCCGGCCTCTACTACACAGATGTGATCTCGACCTGTGTTGTGCTTGTGGCATATCTAAACCATTTGTCGAGAACAAAGCAAGGCTCAGCTGGTATTTCCTTGACAAGTGACCTCTACACAATACTCTTGGGAGTGCTTGCCCTATGCATGCGCCAAACCAACGTGTTCTGGGTCGTGGTGTACATGGGGGGCCTCGAGGCTGTACAGGCCATCCGGGACCTGCCTGTCAGTCATGAAAACACTGTTCTCGACACATGGGCCAAACAAGCAAAATTCTTCGTATACAGATCATCTATTGGCGACATTCATGACACCTCGCTCGAGGATGCCTGGCCAGAAGACCTTGTACTCTGTCTTCTCAGCATTGGTATCGCAGCCGTGTTCAACGTTGGGCGTGTTTTACGCCGAGTGTTCCCCCACATTGCCATTGTCGCCCTCTTTGCGGGCTTCGTCATGTGGAATGGGGGCGTCGTGCTTGGGGACAAGACAAATCATGTGGCGACGCTTCACCTGGCGCAGATGCTCTACATCTGGCCCCTCTTCGCTTTTTTTTCAGCTCCCATATTCCTGCCCCAGGTGCTTCACTTACTGGTTACTGTTCAGAAGTATATAACTTCTCGCAACACTGTGAAGCCATCCAAGACTTCAGGCCAATCGAAAAGCAGTTCTCAGCCAGAGATCAACTATCTTGGCATCTGCCTTTCAGCTCTGGCACTGGTAGGAGCAACCATGGTCGCTGCGCTGATTGTCCACTTAAACACCATCATTCACCCTTTCACTTTGGCAGATAACCGCCATTACATGTTTTACGTCTTCCGGTACAGCGTTATGCGCGGTCCCGTCGTTCGCCTCCTGCTAGCCCCAGTGTACGTCTTTTGTGCCGTCTTGGTCTGGACATCTCTATATCGACTCAAACCACAGAGTCCCTCAACGGCTCCAATCATAAGAGCCAACTCCGCTGCTACGGGGGTACCGACGTCGCAGGTCCTCATCCTACTTCTCACCACTACACTGAGTCTGATGACGGCACCCCTTGTTGAGCCGCGATATTTTATCCTTCCTTGGATATTTTGGCGTCTATCAGTGCCACAACGCACAAATCAACGACGAGGTGGCTGGGATTGGTCCCTAGCTTTGGAGTCGTCATGGTTTCTGGCGGTAAACGCCGTCTTGATGTACATTTTTCTTGCCCGGCCTTATATCTGGAAGACAGACGATGGGCAAATACTAGATGGCGGCAATGTCCAACGGTTTATGTGGTAATGAAGCATTCGTCGATTTGGCATCATAGACTTTGTATTAGGGTATGTAAATACCAAGCACGAAGACGTGGAAGCAGCCTGAGTCATGGTTAGAGTTGAACTCGTGTCACGAACACAATGAACAACCTTCAGCCACTTGGAATCATAACAAAGTTGTGATAACCACGGAGTGGCTTGTAAAATAAAACGAGAAATAAAACGATAGCCACAGGGCTTCATGTTTGAATACCAGTATATAGAGAATATGTTCCACGGCGCGGCAGAGTAACATTAGTCACACTCAATTGTAAGGCTTCTCCAAGTTCACAGTATCCAAAAAATGGTTTCGTTGTTGTATAACAACAATATTCCGTCACTCATTCCTGGCCTCTCGTATGAAGAAGTGAAACTATGATTGCCTCTCGAATTACTGTAAGTAATATCATTTACAGCCCAGCGACATTCTTGGTTAGTCAATACCATGTAAACGCAGGTCCGGTGCATGTCGAGTCAGTAGTAGCAATGAATATCCCCAATCTAGAATAATGGAGGATCAGTCCAGCAAAAGTATGAACGGGAACGACTGCATTGTCCCTGCTCAAGCACGAGAATATACTCTTCCTCGGAAAAGGCAGATGTCCTGACAAAGATTACCTACACTCCCTAGACTGTAACAGTCCCTAATAATATACACATAGTTCTTTGCGGAACCTTTCCTTCTGGCACAAGGCCTGCCTCGGTTATGTAGGGCAGTGACACTGGAGTCACGCGCCTCGGGTCTCGCTGGTTCAACCCAGATCAAAGATGTCTGGATATTTCCCACACACTCTCCTCACTTGGCATGAAATCAAGGAACAGGAGGCACAACTTTGCAAGCACCGGCAACCACTTCAAATGCAACCTACCAAATCCATATACTTTAAGCTTTAAGCTGTGCCATAAGAAGCTGATGCTCTGGCACATACTTTGTTTGTACATTTGCATAAACTGCCTAGAACTGATCAGGATGCCCACGACTACATAAGTGCTTATTACACACACACGCACGCGCGGGACGACTACCAAGGCCCGGGGCGAGCGGCAGCAGCTAAGCAGCCCGGTAACGGCCGAGCGCAGCGCGGGGAAAGAGTCTCCCCAGGTTTATTAGGTTCCCCCGTAATCAAGCATTAGCCCAAGAGGATCAGCCCAGCTCTCCATTTTGTCCCCTCCTCTCGAGTCTCTCCTCCCCCTACCAAGCCTTGAGTTCACTGGTAAGCGACAGCCTACAGCAACTGTAGGTACAGGGTCTACCTGAAACTAAGGCCCTATTCAGCTCATTTTCAGTTGCTCTTGCTGGGTGGCTTTGGTTCAGGTCGCCCGTCATTGGCCGGACATGAGTAAGTGATGTGCAGCTGCAGCGCGACGTCAGCCCATCGATCGGGAATTTCGCTGTCTCCATCGTCTCCTTTGGTCGTCTAACGTCCCAAGAAGCCTGGACTGTCCGGCACACCACCCAATAACCCGCCCAAGCAAAGCACGTACTACTCCTACCACACCACATCTTAAAAGGCGACCATAACCGAGATTTCCCACACACGTATAGATCCCGGGACAAGCGACATAATAGCGCATACATACTTTGGAAGCAACTTGTCGAGAAAATCAAATAACGAGACGACAGTTCAAAGGGTAAACGACTCTTTAAACCTCGAGGAGAGCAAGCCACTCGCTGTGCACGCCCCTGGCCCCGTAACCAGATCGATCACCTGGACGATTGTACGGAGATCCTCGGGTCGACGGAGCTTGCGATCACAAGCCGCGGACCAGCGACAGGAGAGGAAGACATTTGCAACAACGACCAACAACGTACGCTTTAGCGACCCTCTCTATATCGCATACAAAGGGATCTCCTTTGAAAAAAGTCGGCCAAGTAGTGCAAAGAGATCTTCGGCGATTAATCACATTTCGCAACCCCTAAAGGAGTCATAGACTTTCAACTTGAGCGAACAAGCCAAAGCGAGAGAAGGTGGAAGATTACAAAATAATAACGACGATGCCGTCGTCACAACGCCCCTTTTTACTCTCCTCCTTCTTCGCCGTCTTCAGGCAACAACCGCCATCCGCGCTATCAGCCTCATCACAACCCAACAAGACGACGCATCACTCCCACCTACAGACCTCGACAGGGGGCACGGCTGCAACTTCTAGTGCCTGCGCCCGGCCGATCTCGACATCAACTGCAGCGGCGGCAGCAGCAGCGGCATCGTCCTCTTCTGCAGATCACTGCCCACCGCCGACATCCACGACGCCGCAACGGTCCAGCGTCATCAATCAAATCCCCATCCACAGCCCCCGCGCGCATCACCACCACCATCATCACCACGGCGGAGTACCGATACCCGGGGCCGCTACTGGCAGTCCAGGTGGACGGCGCCGCGGCAGCGATAGCAGCAGCGAGGGCTTCCGGGATGTCATCGGCGGCGACAAGTGGTATATCGGCGGCCGGACCGCGGGCGGCGAGGAAAAGTTCTTCAAGCTGGGTGTCGTAAGGAGGATTAAGAGTAATGACCGGCTGAGTTTGGATCGTCTAAGTCTATGATGAAACAGCCCGAACGTGGATCTCGGGGAAAGGGGAAGCATGCAGAATTAAAACGGAACGAGGCCAGAGGATGGGTCATCTTCAACTCAAAGGAACAGGGGTCCCTTTGACAACGGCGTTTAGAAAGAACATCTACCATGGTGTCACGAGAGACAAACTTTGCTGCTTTTGATTATGGGCGTTTTGGGCGGGACTTTTGGTTAGGGACGGCGCTTTGCATTCAGGCCTGTGAGCCAGAATGGACCTCAAACTGGGACAGAGGACGACGATCAGGGAATGATCGTACACTCGATGAACCAAGAAAAGTACCACCTCGCTTCGTGCCTCGTGTGCTACTGCTGTTGTTTTTGTTGCTTTTGGGTCATGATGAGAAACGACTAGGAAAACAAAAACAAAGTATCTTGGGGGTACCAATATCGATATTATATATGGATAGTACATATTTTACCTAACAAACAAATATATGAAAATATACTGAGATAATTCAAGATAACGAGCTCAGATTGGTACATAAAGCTCAGGCGCAAAGGTACTATGATGACCCGATATGGCGATATCAACTGTACGTGTAAAACAACGGAGCAACTTCATATCGTAAAATGCTTAGTTAGCTAGAAGAACTGTACGTATCAATCTGAGCTCGTTATCTTGAATGATCTAAAGACGCCATTTTGGCAGAATCAATCATTTTTACAGAAGTACAAGTACGCTTCAACCATCATGGTGAGTCAACCAAGATCAAAAGAAACACAACATTTTCAATTAATCCACTTTATTTCATTGCCTTTAATCTTGATAAAAGCACATCATCATGCCTGGTCGAGTTAACCTCCGTAAACCCGTGGCCTTTTCCAGGTAGCTTTTTTTGCCATAAAAAAACAAAATATGTCAATAGTTATGGTCCAACGCCATTTACTCTTCGTCTTCCTCAGCAGCCTCTTCCTCCTCTTCAGCAGCTTCGGCTTCAGCTTCAGCTTCCGCTTCGGCCTCCTCTTCGACTTCCATTGCTGCGACACCATTGGTCTCATCGCTGACGGCACCACCTTCTTGCTCCAGCTTCAGCCACTCTTCCCATTCTGGGAACAGCTCTTCATCTTCAACCGGCACACCAATCGTCTTGGCAACTCTGGCCTTCTTGTTCTTCTCGAGGCTCTCCTTCCAGCCTTGTACCGTTTCAGGAGCAAGACTTGGCTTGTATGTTTGGGCAGTGAAGACAGCTTCGGTGTAGCGGTTGGTCTTGGTCATGATCTTGATGGCACCCTCGACATCGCCGAGACTCCACTTGGCCAAGTGAGCCAGATTGTTCACGCCCGCCTCTTCGGCGAGTTCGGCCAGCTTGGCAAGACCCTCGCGGTCGCAAGTACTGGTGTAAATAAGAAGCAGGTTGCCAAGATCCTTGCCACTGATAAAACATTCTGTGGCGAGAGGAATGTTCCAGTTGGTCAAGGCAGCATCACCAACAGCCTTCCACTTGTGCTCAACGTCGGCTTCCCTTGCCAGCTCAAGCGCAATCTCGAGTTGGTGGAGAGAAAGAGCCAAGTCAAACTTGTGCTCAGGATCCGTGGCTACTTCCAAGGCCAACTCCTTGTGACCCTGGCCCTCAAGGAACCGAGCAATCTTGTTCAGTTGATCTTGGGGAATGGACGGCAGAAGCTCAGCCGCCGTCTCCATGTCGTCTCTTAGCACAAGAGTCTGGTACTCCAGCACAGGCAGAGAAAGACCGAAGGAGGTGACATTGACGTCCTTGTCAGCCAAGTAGACTCTAGAATCGCGCTGGATGTAGCCAAGAATGTACAAGGGGTTGTCCGAGTGTGAGACGGTATATGTCTGGTCGCCCACCAAGTAGTTGAGGCGGTTGGTGTTGTTTGTGTATACAAACACGTCGCCGACCCACTCTCCAGTTCGTACACTCTCGGCAATATCGGTGATCACCTCGAAAGCAGCCTCGACACCATCCTCATCGACGTCTCCAGCTTGGACAGCCTCGACGTATGCGTCTCTGGAAAAGCGGAGGACATAGAAAGTATCCTCGCAAGCCAGAGCAACCAGCTCTCCGCTGTCAGACCAGTACACCTGCTTGGGTTCCACCTCAATGCGACGCACAAGGCCACCAGTGGCCCAATCGTAGAAACTCACACCACCAGCACCCTTGACACCAAGCAGAAGGCCTCCAGTGAGACCGTCGGCCTGGAAGGGAATGTCAAGTCCGCCCGTCTTCTCAACAAAGTTTTTGAAAACCTTGACGCTGGTGGGCGATTCTCGAATAGCAAAGTCGTTGCTGTTATCTTTGGATGCCCACACAAAATCCAGCGCGCTACCAAAGGCCTTGTTTCTCCATGCCAGAGCAGTGTAGATAATATATTCGTTGTCTCCGCAGACAGCAACAAATCTGCCATTGGGCGAGTGGACCAGCGTGGTGGGAAAGATTTCGCATGTGCCAAGCTCCTTGGTTGGCAGCGTAATAGGCGTGTTGTCCTTGATAGAAGCATCTCCTCCCCTAATGACCGAGGACAGAACCTCGTTGTGGCGTGCCCAAATGATCTTGCCTGAGCCGTCCATGGAAACAGAGGGCTCCTCCTTTCCGAGCTTGACAACAACGGCGCCATCGTCGAAACCAACAGCAACACCTTGCTTGCCCTTTTGCGATGACACACACCAAGCACGCTCTAGGCCATAGTTGAGCGACTGCTCGAAGCGATATGTGTTGGCATTCCAGCTATCATTTCTGTCAGCATTCACGTTTTGTAAGCAAGTTCCCAAGCCAACCTACAGTCTAAGTGTGCCGTCCTCGGAACCCGAAAGGATAATGGGGAGTTCTGGGTGGTATATGGCAAAGGAGACATTGTTTGTGTGTCCCTCGAGTGTGGCGATCAGCGACTTTGTAGTGTAGTCCCAGACCTTGATCGTCCGATCATCGGAACAAGTCAGGATGTGCGGTCGGTCGGAATGAGGGTAGTAATCAACGGCGTTGACACCCTTAGCCTCGTGAGCCTCGATGGTAAAGTTGGCAGTCGAGGAGCCCAGACTCCAGATCTTAACCGTCCGGTCCAAACAGGCAGACGCAAAGGTATTTGTGTCTTTGGGGTTTATGCTGAGGTCCATGACATAGTGGGAATGTCCTTCGAATCTGTGAAACAGAAATACGTCAGCATATGATTTTGTGTGGTCTGGCGATTCTCATATCACGTACGTCCTGATGCATTTCCATCCCTGGCTCCAGTCGAAGCACTTTATCGTCATGTCATCGGAAGCTGTCAGAACGAAAGGCTGTGTGGGGTGGACGGCAATGGCTCGAATGTAATCAGGGTGAGCTTCGAAGCTGGTGATCTTCTCCGAGGTGTTGTAGTTGTAGACTCGCGCCTGAAAGTCATCGGAACCGCAAATGAAGTAGTTCTTGCGCGCAATGAAGCGACCAGCTCGCACCGGGACATCTGTGACTTCAAAGCTCTTGACGATCTGCTGTGTCTCGTAGCTCCAAATGTGGACATGACCAGAGTAGAGTGTGGTCAGAATCCATGGCTCTGTAGGATGAAAGTCACAGCCCTTTACTCGCTCGCTGCGAGCAAACAGCTGTCGCTTAACGTCGAGCTTCATGTTGGCGAACTCAATGGCAAGGAGTCGGAATTAGACAGGTGTTTGTTCTGTGTCCTCAGAAAGTGGTCGGTCGCATGAATGGGGGGGTACACGAGGTAGAGGACCACGAGGTCCCTTTCAAGTATCTTGTCGGCCGGCAACAGAACTTCTTTCCAGAGACTGTTGCGGATTGGCGAATGGGCGGAGATGTGGATGTCGTGGTGTTTCTCCTAATGCCCGAAAGCTGCCTGTATGTAGGTAATTCGAAGTGGCTCGTAGTCAATCCCTGGGTAAGGTCCGCAGCCCACAGCCATCAATGAATGAATGGGCTGGATTGGAATAGGACACCTCACTGAGCAATTGTGCCCCACAAATTTTGTCTGTCGCAGACAGCCTTCCCAGCTGCGCCAGGGGTCTGCCCATTGAGCTTGAAAAGGCCATTGGTTCTTCCAATGGCCTAGAGGTGGGGGTGCACAGAGCTGCCCCTTATTGATGGCTGACAGCTGCCAGGTCAAGCTTGACGGAAAGCCACCACTTGGTGCAGAGTACTCTGTAAAATATGACTTTCTCAAGCACTCGAGGTGCTCCTTCGATTAATACATGGCATATGTTTCTATGAAATTTTTTTTTTTGGGAGGGATATAAAACATTTGAATGGAAAGTTGGTTCTCATTCGAGTTTCTGATAATAAAGTAATTATTATAAATCATCCTTATTGACCTAATAAGAAAGCACATAGAACATTGCAATCGAAACTAGTTATCACCAATACTCCTTGCAACAGCTAGCAGCCAGGGAATGACAAGCCGCTCTGGACTATAAATAATAATACATCATTGCAACTAGAACACAATGCTGGACCATTTCAATGGATAGACATGGAAAGTATTTGACTGAAACCATGGAATCTACAGACTTGTTTAGTTGTCTCGATTCGGAAATTGATAATTAATTCACAAATCCAACCATCACCATTGCATTGAGGTGAGGGCTGCTCACAAAAGCGAACTGGATTGAACCAAGATTGACCGCTCCTAGGAAGTCTGGGGTCCATTCATGCTATGTTTGTTTTGTTGTACATACTTCACGTTGGCTAACCGAGTTCAATCTTGATACTGGAGGCTTAATCAAAGAGTGCACAACGATCACAACGCCAGTCTCATTACATGGCACTTTAAGACATTTACTACATGCAGCGCTATGGGACAAGTCACAATCACAAATGTTAAAAAGCGTAGAGTTGTTCTGAAAGTCTTTTTTCTCATTCATCAAGTGTCGCCAACCCTATAGTGGGGGCTTTATCTCACTTGTATCTATGGCCTTTTTACTTGGTAGGCACTGTACCAAGCAACCCAAATGCAATCCATTGACCCTTGTCCGGTATCATACACGAACGCCTTTATCCGATACGCCTTGCTGATCATGTCTCATGCGAAAAGAAAAGTCGAGAAAGTTGAAAAGAGCAGTGCAGTGAAGGAGCACTACAGTTTGGCCGCGATTCAATCGCGGCTGTCAGCCTGGACTCTCTTCACAACGTCGACGACCTGAGGGTAGAGCTTGTCAGAGGTCTGAAGACCGCAGACCTGGCTGACAACCTCCTCTGCATTGTGCTCGGCCATGATCTTGGCGAGCTCCTTGCTCTCATCGTCGCCCTCGACATTCTGGAAGCGGAAAGCCATCTCGGCGGCAAACAGTAGGGCCTGGACGCTGTGGCCTTTCTCTGCAAGCTCGACAGCCGGGGAGATGAAACGCTCCTTTCGGCTCAACTTGCGAAGAGGAGCACGGCCAACACGCTCGACGGCATCAGCCAAGTGAGGGTTGCTGATACGCTGGATGATCTTCTGCTTGTACTGCTCCTGCTCCTCGGCAGAGATGCCGTGCTTCTCGACAATGAGCTTGCTGGTCTCGGCGAGAGCGGCGGAAACCTCCTCCTTGATCTCCTTGTCGCGGAGGGCATCATCGACAGTCTTCTTCTGACGGTTGTAGCCGTGGTAGGCGGCAGTTGCATGGCCAGTGTTGACAGTGAAGAGCTTGCGCTCAATGTAGGGCAGAAGGTTGTCGACCCACTTGATGCCATCGATGGAGGGGATCTCACTGTTCTGGAAGGGAGTTCTGTCGACAACCCACTCGTAGAACTTCTCGAGGGTAACGTCAAGACCGGCGTCGGGATCCTGGGCGGGGACAATTCGGTCAATAGCCGAGTTGGCGTAGGCAGCACGCTCGTGGTGGTCGGCAAGACGGTGCTCTGGGGTGTTCTTGGGATCCTTGATGAATCCAGCAAGTGTGTCTGTGGCGCCGATGGCGTTCTCGCAGGCAATAACGGCAAGGGGCTTGAGATCTTGCGATCGCTTGTCGATACCCTTGGCAATGACGGGGGCAATGAACTTCAGAATGTTGGGACCGACGGAGCAGGTGACAACGTCAGCGGTAGCAATCTCGTCAACCAACTCAGCCTCGTGTGTTCTAGAGTTGATGGCGCGGTAGTTGGTGATGGTCTTCTTGTCAACACCCTCGGTGCCAACCTCGATGACATGGTACTCCTTGGTGCTGTTGAGAGAGTCAACGAGCTTGTCGACGACATCAGCAAAGATGACCTCGTAGCCGGACTCGTGGAGAAAGCAGGCAACAAAGCCACGGCCAATGTTGCCAGAGCCGAAGTGAACAGCCTTCTTGCCCATTGTGAAAGTGGTGTGTGGTGTAGATGTGAGTAGGTACAAGTTGTAGGTGAAGTGGGGCAGGCAAGTACTATAGGTGCTTGCTTGTAGTATAGTGTTTGTTGGTTGGCCTAAGGTGGAGAAGGCACTGAATGTGGGTATCAAGAGAAATGAAGTTTTTGATGTGAAGATGGAATGATGAAAACAAAAAGATCGTGAGATTGGGAGGAAGTCGTCAGCTTTATATGGAAGCTGAGTCGCAGGTCCGCGCAAAGTATGGAGGGGTGACCCGGGAAGGAGTGGTCGGTATCGTGGTTGGAGTGCTTGCCTATGACATGCGGGTGCCCAGATGAGGTGAAAGTGGAAACGGTTCGCTCACGCACAGCCCACTTTCGTTTTTAAGGCTTGGCGTCATAAACGGAAGCGTGCTAATTGTACCCTGGCTGATGATCCCTGGCAGGGCAGACGTGAAGTGATGCACTAGCAGTAACACCAATCAGAGAGGATCTTGGGGTCTGATATGGAACAGGTGTGAGCGGGGTCCTTTGATCGTGGAACTGATGAGTAGCCGGTTGACCGGTAACTTGACGTTGGTATGACCTTTGATGTTGGGTTGATTGAGAGAACAAGTCAAAATTGACTTGACAGAATGACCAGATATCTAGTCTTACAACTGGCGGTCTGGATTCAAGTGCTGGTAGCCGAGGTTTTCAAACGGTCAAAAAAAGAAATTTTATTGTTCTGCTCTCTGCTCGGCGTTTGCTTTGTTGTGCCTGCTGCTTCCACTGATTGCACTGAGGAAACTGGCAACTGCCCCCGAAGCAAGCCCAGCCCAAACTGTAAAGCTCGTGCCCCACTAAGATAGCGTCAATTGGACAGTACTCACAGGTGGGGCATCGCTCCGTTACATCCCTCCTCACATCACAGCTCAAGGGTCCGTCATCAACATTCAAATGGCATCATGCGAAAACGGAATTCCTCAGACGCTGGGTGCTAATAGTAGCAGTGCAAGTAAGTTCCCTTTTTGCAGCTAACCCCTGGAATCCAACCCCTCCAATGTGCCGCCGCGCCTTGGTGGCTTGCTTCCTTGCTCCTGTAAGGTATGTATCAAGACATACGCTATGCTTGGAGTTGTTGCTACACTGCATGGTGATTCGTGTCTTCTTTGTCGTATACAATACACCTACAAATTGACTTCCCTCGTTTTGAGACAGCGTTGCAAATCCCTCGATAACCACCGGTCAGTGTCTGAGCAGTCGAAGCGGTGTCACCACACCAACAGCGGCTGCTATTTTCCGGTTCTGCCGTCGTAAGAGCCTCGGATCTGCAAGGACAAACTGTACTACTACTCGCATAAGATTCACAGCGGCTAGCATGGCCACCATGGTTCTATTATTGCACTGGATTCTTGTGTACTTGAGGTGCGACCTCTTCTCTAAAGATCGCTGGCTGCTCGCTTGGTGTATGCACATGTGTAAGACGCCCATGGGGGATCGAAAACGCACGCATACAATTACTCCGGACTGCAGACTGGCTTCCCCATACTCTCCCCCGCCTGGCTGGCGGCCGCCCATGGGCGATTAATGGGCCATTTTGTCACTACCGCTGCAAGCTTCATGCGGTCGAGACGCAGACCCTCTGTTTATTACGCCAACCATGCAGGAAAGTGACCAGATCCCTCTCATATCTGACACAAAAGACAAGCAGACGAAAGAGAGAAAACGGACTGCAGGTCGGGTCCCGAAAAAGGCGCGCTTCATTGGGCCAGATCTCAAGTTGTCGCAGAAAGAAAAAGGCGCAGCAGTAGTACTCGTCAACGGTCAGACAACACATCGTACTTTGGGTTTTATCGAGCGCGTAGCACCCACAACCAACCTCATCGATCTAGGTACCGGCCCGGACCCGAGTGTTTCTAAAAGAAGATGAACGTTGCGACTTGGAAATAATGTTTCCTTCGCATCCCTGAAAAATGGTAGTAAACTTTGCATGGTATTTGCCTTCACAATGGAAAACCCTTTTTCATCTTGCCCTGACTTGGTGCTGTTCCTGAAAATCACCAAACGTTTCCTGCCACTCCACCAGGATGGCCGTCCACATTCTGACCGTTCCCAAAAACGGTGGGATGCTACCCCTGGGGAAGTGGATTGCCCCTCATCTGTTACCATCCGTTCCAAGGGCCCCCCGCTAATCCTTGGCTATGACCTCACAGCGCAGCCCAACGTAACCAACCAAAGACCCTGCCAGAATTTGGTCGATTGTTCGATCAACCATTCGCCCGTCAAGCAAAGGCGTGCGGCCACGGATCGTCGTGATTCGGCTCGTTCCTCTAGTCAAGTTTGTCAAGTGTACAGTTTAGTATGAATGCGCCCAACGAGCAATGTTGTACTATATATCAAGATATCTCAAGTATCCACCTCCCTATCCCGTGCATTATGATCCATCTTGATTGTTTGGCTCCGGATAGTCATCTGGCGCTTCTCTTTCAATGGCTTGTGATAACTCTGCCACCGAACGTGCAAGTAATCAGGTTCAATAAACAGGATGAATATCGCTGCACGCGGCTGCAGTTCACTTTCCATGGTAGTCGGACCTCTGGACTATCATAGCGTCATGTCAAGTCAAGGACTCGCGGCCTGTGCGATCGATCCGTACGATGTCATATTGCTGATACATGGGCCCATTTGTGAGATGACTAAAGCAGACGTAGGAACGTCAGTTATCGTCATTCCCGAAGGCCTGGTTTGCGCGACTCAATCCGGTCTGGACTAGGGCTGAATGATTTCCATGACGAAATGCTCTGCAAACAGTTGCATTTCCGACCCCTAAAAGCTCCGGGCAACAACACCATTTGGCTGGACGGCTTTTTATGGGTCATTCAGACCCGAGAGCCCTTCATCGTTTGTGGGCCCCAGTCTCGTGGCTTGAGGCGTCGCTGATCCCCTCATCCAGTTCCGAACTTTCTGGAGGACAGTACCCACTGCCGCACAGCACCTCACTCAGCCATAACGTTTCTATCAACGTCGTCCGAAGCCGTCTTGCCTTGACTCGGCCTGCACGGCCATCCAAGGCAGCGTACGTATCCCGTCATCTTCCACGGGAGATTTGGTTCATCGGTGCCGCATCGCCGAACCTCTTTTCCCCGGCTCCGTCGGCCTCTCGAGGAAGCCTCCGTATCCATGCACGGGGGTTTGAACCCACATCGCTGTTGGTTGCAAAGCCCACAATGGTCCAGACCCCTTTGCTGCTGCTGCCGGCCCAAATCAGTTGCTCAGTTGTATCCGCACCAATTCCAAAGGCGCGCTACTCCAGGTCTTCCGCCGTCTCCGTATCTCCCTATCTCTTCCCCCAAAGAACAACGGATCCGGATTTATAGCTCTCTAATGACCAGACTACGGCACGCCCGTAATGGTATCGCTATGATATATCAGCTAATTAACTGGGAAACTTGTAATTAGGAAAAGCCTTGACCATACTGGACTGCACGTGTGGTCTGGCTGCATTCTAGTCGCGTCAGAGCATCATCATTGTTACTAGCCACCATCGTCGTGACTCCGACTCCTGATCCGCCCCAACGTCTTACGATTAAACAGTACAGACAGACATAGCCGACGAAAACTCCACAACGTCAATTATACGGAACGGCTCCACCCACCCACACACACTTTTCCACCCATATATCACATGTTGGACGTTATCTGGTGGATCGTGCAGGACGAAACGCCATCAAGCGCAATCATGAGAACATGTCGGGATCAGCGTTAGTTCCCTCCTTATCGTGAGAACGTTGTGGCATCGGGCGGCTAGAGTTGATGCTCGGCGACCTCTTGGGGTTCAACTTGTCACTCCGTTTCTCTCAAGCAAGACAAAATGCCTCAGAAAGATGCGTTTTATAAAAGGTTACTGCTCATACATCGGCTCTTTCGGGCCGCAACTAGGTAAGCGAATTAGACGTACCCCGTAATACTACTATTCTGCTTCTGCGCTGCGACAAGATAGTTTATTGCCTCAAGCAATATCGTTCTTCAATGATACACTTCCAGGGGTAATTGCCCGAGTGCAACCATTGGGCAATTCGTGGCTCCTGTTTCTAAATCCTGCATGAAGACTATTTGTTGCCAGCAAGACGACTGGGTCTTGGCCCCATACTCTCCGCAATCCCATAAACCAACAGCACAACCACCCCCCTGTAGAGAACCTCTCGGGTTGCCCAAAAGAGAATATATATCTCACAAACCTCGGAAGCTGTATCCCCTCCGTTTTGAAATAAACCACCCCCCGAGCGACTTTGGACGGTCCACCGGCGTATCTGCCGGATGTCCTGGCGACGCCAAGTGGGGCCGGTTCGTTCCGAGCGTCTTGTGTCACTGCCGAAGTCTGAAAGAGTATTGGCTGGCTACCAGTTGTTGTCATGTTTGGCTGTGTGCCCGTCGTGTTCGCTCAAAGGGTAAAGACTGGGGAGGCCTCTGCGGGCGAAAGTTGTTAGAGACGAAGATTGTGGGTTCTGTTGTTCCCAAGTTCATCACCGTTTTCGCAAGTGCTGGGTCATGATGTTGGCTACGGCATGTTCACGTAGAATTTCACCCGTTTAATAGAGGAAACGAGAGGAATCCCGTTTCGAAATTATGTTTCCTGGTTGGATTGCTTATAGAAACCCATATCTTGACGCAGTTGTTCGTGGCTAAGGCATCGTACGGCGGATGTCCTCAAGAGTCAATGCTATGCGTTTGTCTCACAGGCTACAGCCAAGTCACGGAGACGTGACATGCATCGAGTGGTTACTTTCTGTTTTATTTCGCTATCCTCTCCTGCTTTTCTCCCGCCCTTGCTCATATGAGAGAAAACATGGCCGCGCCGAGGAGACCAAGCAGATACATATCTCAGTTCTGCACATCCTATGCTTCCAGAATGAATCATGAGTCCGGGTTCAATGAACTGTTTCCTTTTCCAGCGCAATTTGAAGTATTTGTTCTGCTGTGTACATCTGCTTGATTGATATCCGCTTTGACCCAATCATTCCTTTCATCGCGTTACAAGCACCACGAGAATCAAGTTCAATACCTGAATCAGCGCCATGTTGCAACAGCAAATCGTACACATCTTTGCCTCGAGACCCGCATAGTGCCGCAGCATGAAGTGCTGTGCCAAAATCACGGGATATATCATTGACGCGAGCATTGCTATTAAGAAGCAACTTGACAGCTTCAACATCTGAATGATATGCCAGATCTTGCAATGGGGGGCATTCTGCCGCTCCCCCGAGGTTGGGGTCAGCTCCACTGTCGAGTAAAAGCCTCAATGTCTCGATATTCCTATCCACATATGCTACAAGATGCAGCGGCGTGTCATCATCCTCATCCATTGAATTGACCTCTGCACCATACTGCAATAGTAGCTTCGTCATTTCAATATTGTCATCGCCGCAGTTGGCTGCATGCATCAAAGGAGTTGTCTTCTTGTCATCATGTACATTTGGATCGCCACCGCGTTCCAACAAGATTCGTGCAACTTCCAATGGATAAGTGCCGTCGTAAACGTCGCGATCGCTTGGGCAAAAGTTTGTGGGCGCACCATCGTCAAAAAGTCGATTCATCAGCCTGATCAACGTACTGGATGAATCCTTTTTGAATTCCTCTTCGGGGCGGAAAAGCTGTCTCAGACGCCTCTCCAACGATTCGCTTGATTCGCCCTTGAAATTGGTTCCAGCATCGAGAAGTAGGTCGCAGATAGCGGTTTCTCCGCGAATGTATACTCTGAGAAGAAGTTCTCTGGCTGTCTCATAGTCGACCTTAGGACTGAAAATTCCATTCTCAATCCAAAACTTAACTGGTACTTGATTTCCTAGCAATGCACAACAGCCTATTGGGGTCATGATAGCTCTCATCTCGTCTTCTCGCATTGAGAGGTGACCTTTGATGACCTTATCTCTGGTGTACTGAATAACGTATTCATGAAGATTCCTCCAGAGTGGGCTACCAAGTACTACATCATGGCCATCCTTAGATTGCAGGAGCTGGTCCCAAATACCTTGGTTCACCTGGCTCATGTCGGCAAACGCGAGAAAACCCTCGATGGGTATTGTGGTCAAACGTTTCAAGTGTTTATAATTTTGTGTCTTGATCGACAGACGGTCTTCACGATTCTTCTCTTTCTGATCATCCATAGTGCTCACGCGTTGCCATAACTTGATTGAGATTTCGAGTGTTGTACGATCTGCCTCGACGCGGCGTAGATGATTTGTCTCCAAATACTCCTGAACTGATAAATGGGCAAACCTGCAGGTCTTGGAGGCCTCATCATCATCCGGGTCGTAGATATCGACGTAACTGTCATCAGAGCTATCGCCATCAGAGCTATCGCCATCAGAGTTATCAAACTTTTTATTGTCGTCAACTTTGATCAAGTTCCGACAGGCGGAGAGAAGGCTGTCGGAACTGAGCGTCGCATCAAAATCAAACTCCTTGCTTGCGTCTTGGCAAACCAAGACGCAAAGCAACTCGGGTGTGATTCGCTTTAAGCTGATTGCCATGAGCCACATGAATGCACGATCAGCGTACATACGCCATTTCGCCCCGAGGCCGTTGTATATCCTATCGTAGGCAGCTTTGAGTCCTTCAGGAAGGCTGTGTAGCCAATCCAATATAGCCTGATTAGACTCAAATTCGAGAAGCTCATCAATGTGAAGGGAAGCCCACTGAAACCTAATAGCAGTGTCAGTATCAAGAGAGTGCCAGGTCTTGTTTCATTGCTCGGGGAAGAATCACATACATTCCCTGGCTTTTTTCACGGAAGAGGCGCACGACAGCGTCTCGGACATGAGCAGACATCTCCTCTGTTGCCCATTGACTCTGAGAGATTCTGTCCATGACGAGCTTCTCAATATCATCCTGATTATGCGCAGCTTCGATTTCCAAATTTGGTGAGCTACTGTAGTGCTTTATCAGGTCCTTGTCGTTTCGACTAGCCACGAACACCTTCACAACACTGCTAGAATATTGAACGAGGTGATCGAGTGTATCGAGTATGCACTTTCGACTCCCCTCGTCACATTCATCTAACCCATCGATAATTATGATGCTTCGAGGGTTTTCATTTGCCAATTCAAGGAGGAGTTCTCGGGTTTCTTCGTTTGTGAGATTATTGGATGCAAAGCTCTGTTCTTTCTTTTTGTTGTAGGCGTCTACCGTACACCTTTGGATGCGCTGTGGTCCGGGAACTCGAGAGAGTTGTCTCGTTATGCTGTGCAAGACAGCCCAGGGATCTCTTCGATTCTCCTGGTTCCGATCACAGAAAAAGTATGCCAAAGGAATGTCCATTGGGGTGACATCATCGACAACTTTTGTTGACAGTTTTGTCTTCCCTGCTCCAGCTATGAAGGAAGAACAGAACATTTAGTAATTGTGGATCGCTAGATGTGTTGGGAGTGGAGGTTTGCTCACGAATGCCATGAAGCCACAGGGTTGTGGATTCCGATGATGCTTTCCATTGTCCGTAGGTTTCGTGGACAATCAGCCACTCGCACGTGCCCTCCAACCGCCCTCTCCGCGCGTTGTACAAATCGGACTCATAGGGTATCCCAGAGATCCATAAGAAAATATTGTGGACTTCTTCATCGGAGAGTGCTTCCATGAGCAGACCAATTCCGGCTTCGACATTCGCGAGCCCACCTTGAAGACTATCAAAGCGATAGGTGTGAGCCTCCAGCATGTCAATAAGCTTGTCATGGCGTAATCCTTGCCTTTGGTGAGCGACCGCATCCAGAATGGCTTTACAAGCCAGAGCATTCTTTTCGACCTGCATCTCTGTTTCTGCGATTCTCCCGATGCATCTAGCCAGGCTCTCGGGGTTCAAAAGCCCTCGCGTGGTATTCGCTACGGAACCGGACGAAAAGTATTTCACCGCCAGCCCCAGGAAACCACAGATGGCCCCAAGTAATTCCAGTATGCTATTCTTGAGGGCATCTGCAACATCTTGGCGACCCGGCAAGCCAAGATATAGAACCTGGTAGATCCTCGCCCGCAAGTATGCTTGGGTGGCCGCATCAATGCCAGTCCAAAGCTGGCCTGCCTGCTCCTTGTTCATGGTAGCGGCTTGCAGAAGGAGACGAAAAGCTGCCCACGGGAGTGCAGCATGAACAGGATCGTACTGTACTGCGAGGTCACCAATCTCCTTGAACTTGTCCAAACAGTCGATGATTCTCGCCATCACATCACGCAAAATAATAGTGCGTCTCCCGACTTTTACTCTCCAAGCTTTCTGTTCTGCTTCCACGCGCTTGAGCTCTGCCTCGCGTTTCACATTTTCAATGAGATCATTGCTGCCACTTGATACACTCCCATATTGTGTGCTAGGGCTGATCTTTTGCGCCTGAGCGAACTCCCGCAACGCACGAGCATGGCTTCGATCTTCCGTTGAGGGGCTTTGTTCCAACCTAGACAACGCATCCTCCCATAAGCTATCTTGAGCAAATGCTCTTACCATTTGCACCTTGTCATTGCCATTATCATCGCCATTGATCGAAGGATCAAGTGTAGCAGTCGGAGTCAATACGCCTCGGTGCTGACTGTCTGATCTTCGGTATTCTTGTGGCACGCTCGGCGGGGATGTTGGCTGACTTGCTGGATCCAGGGACGAAGCCGGACTGACGCTACGATCAAGTCGATTGCGGAAGACAGCCTTCAGTCTATCCCGCTTCCTCGGCCTTGGTGTTTCTGACATCATGAGAGTCGCACAGGGAGCATGGAGATCTCGTCAAGCATAGGATGATGGATGAGTGATCAGCTTGAAATCACTTTGCATGGAATTGGCTGAATCGGGTAGAGAAGGTTATCTTTTCTCGCTGCAGCCTTACGTTCGCCATCAGCTCTCGACGAGAGGGGAACAGCCACAGCCCCCTCATGTTGTGATTGGCTCGCCTGTTGTGGGACGTTTACGACTACAATGTGTACTCGCTGAAAATATTCACAAATTTCTGGAATACTGAAGAACATTATGTATCACAGTATTTACATGGACTATCATGAAATCAACACCATGCGATGGAGCTTTGGGCTGCGCCTCTAGAAAGAGTATGGTACCTAGTATCTTTGAAAAGTCCTTGCATTGACCTACCTAGGTTACTTATGTAGGTTAGGTCAATTGAATCAGCAAAAGTCTCCGCACCAAGCTTAATTCTATTTTCTTCTTTTTCTCTTCCCCATGAAGTAAATTTGAGTTGTCCTTTCAAATGACACCAGCGACAACGCCAGTATAGTCCTCTTAAAGGAATAGAAGACCCATGCTGACTCATGTATACCGGCATATCGCACGTTTCAGTTCATCAAGCCCGACAAGCTTTCCCAAAACATCATGTTGAGACTGGCAGGGGTTTAGGGCCTGCACTTGTTTGCCAACTGCCGTCCTTGGGGTAACCAACTGCCCTTCTGGGCCAAACTGAAGTCTACAATCAGAGTATCAAACTTGTCGCAAGATTCGACTTGCATTGCGCTAGGTCACATATTAATATACAATTATACAAGCCTTTGCTCGACACCAAGATTGGACGGTTTCATTGTCCAATCGGTGCACATCACGTACAATTCTCAATACTGACATTTTACTTTATTCGCCCTTGGCATGCACAAACCTCCTCTATCAGAAAGCTTACATTGTGCGCAGATACTGTGTCTTGATGTCGCATTTTCTAGAGTACCACTTCTGAGGAATGATGGCGTGCCTGACACTCAGATTGTCTGCACTCATACTTTAAATTGAACTAAAGGAGCAGGCGGGATCATTTCCACACAAGTAGTGGTTGTCCGACATGAACTATGGCATCTGCCAGGCACAACAATATGGAGCAGGTGAGCTGTATACCTGATCGACCCGGCATCCGAACTCAGCCCCGGTTGACAACGCCCAATCGGGAATGTAGGTCTTGTGCTTGTGAAAAAGCTTAATCTTTCGACCTCCACAGATTGCATCAGAAATTATGATGTATATAACAGATCCAAATGTCTTGGCATTGGTTAAAGTTCCGACGACTTGCACGATCATGTTTGTCGAGACACGGTCACGACTCGTCCCTAGTCCTCAAATTGTATGAAGCTGTTAGCTTCTCTCTTCACTCGTTTTGCCTAACATGAGGATGACTCGGGCTCTTCGTGCTCTTCCCTTCATTTCAGTCTTTTCTCGTGCTTTCAGTTTGGCAGTGACCAATTCGACTGGTGCATTTCCAAACACGACGTCGCCCGACCCAGCAGCAACATCTCTTCCATATAATCCAATTCTGGCAAATGGCGCAGGTGAGTTCCCTACTATACGCGCCACTTGTAGTGATAATGTCAAGGTTTTTGGTACTAATTTCCGTCGCAGTTGATCTTGGTATCGCTCAAGCCGCGTACGACAAGGCCACTGCCTTCGTCGCTGGTCTGAGCAATGATCAGAAAATCACAATCATTGGCGGCGGTAGTCTGGAAGGCAATGCAACTTGGACCACGCTGCAGCTCAGAGATGGAGAATCTGGAGTGAACCTCCAATTCTACGTCTCTGGTTTTAGCATGGTCAATGCCCTGACCATGACCTGGAACCGGGACCTCTACGCCGCGCAATTCAAAGCAGTGGGAGAAGAGTTTTATGCCTGTAAGTCGTCTCAGAAGAATCCCTGTCAGACATGATAATGACATCGATGCAGTGGGTTTTCAAGTTGTTGACGGCCCATTACCCGGAGCACTGGGCAGAGTTCCTTGGGGTGGTAGACAACCCGAGGGCTTCTCCCCAGACCCTTACCTGACGGGTATTGCTCTTGGTCAAGGAATAGCCGCCATGAACTCGGCAGGAGTAATAGCAGGTAAGTCTGGCTGTCCCCATGTACTGCGACAACTACAATGTAACTCCGACTAATCTACGTCGACGATTATAGGAGCCCGTCACTTGCTTCTCAACGAACAGGAGACGCACCGCATGTCTCAAGGACCAATCATTCCTAATTATTCTTCCAACGCCGACGACAAAACCATCATGGAACTCTACCTCTGGCCATGGGGAGACGGTGTCCAGGCAGGCTTGATGGCCGCCATGTGTGGCATGAACCGCGTAAATGGGACGCAATCTTGCGAGAACAATGACGTGCCCGCTGGGTATCTCAAGACTAAGCTAGGCTTTGCCGGTTTCGTGTACCCAGATGTCAACTCCCAATTCACCGCATTCGGTTCGGCCAATGCTGGTGTCGACTTGGGATCTTCTCGACTTTGGAGCCAACGTGTCATTACTGAAGGACTTGCCAATGGTGACCTGACCCAGGAGCGCCTCGACGACATGGCCGTGCGCAACGTCCTGGGGTACTTCTTCGTCGGTCTGGACAATGGCCTGCAACCGTCAACGGTGTCTTCAGAGACGGAGTGGCGTGGCAACATTCGCGGTAATCATTCTGCTATTATCAGACAAGTGGGCGACGAGGCAATCGTTCTACTGAAGAACAGCAACGCGACTGGGCTTGGACTGCCTTTGAAGAAGCCAAAGACCATGTCTCTCTATGGATCCCATGCTGGCCCTGCCTTGGCCGGACCGAATGTCGCCTTCAACCCCATTTCGGGACCAGCCGAGGTTTTCGAGGGTCACCTTGCTGGCAGCACTGGATCCGGTCAACTTTCACTTCCATATTTGGTGACTCCTCTCCACGCTCTGACTGAACGCGCCATCAAGGATAACAGCATGAGTAAGTGTTTGCCTGCTTGAGTTCTGTGTGTTCATCTACTCATCGATTCTACAGTTTGGTGGATTCTGAACAACACTTACACCTCCAGGGATCCTTTTGGTCCTTTTGTATCTAATGTCACCGATGCTGATCCTCCGGGCGGCGGCGGCGACGGTGACGGAGGCGGTGTCGGCGTACCGGGAGCTGGCCACTTTGGCGGCGGAACAGGCAATACCCCGTCCTTCAAGAGCTACGCAGAGAACTCGGAGGTGTGCCTCGTCTTTGTCAATGCGGATTCTGGCGAGGGAACAGATCGCACAACACTCACCAACCCCGTGCCGGACAAGATGGTCACAACCATTGCAGACAATTGCAACAACACTGTCGTGGTCGTCAATACGGCCGGTCCGCGAATCCTTGAGGCGTGGATCGACCACCCCAACGTCACTGCCGTCCTCTACTCTGGCCTCCTAGGACAAAACTCGGGTCAATCGATTGCTGGTAAGTCGAGTGTCGCCCACGATATGGTCCTCGTCGGCACAAATATTGAGACTGACGCTTGAATAGACGTTCTTTATGGTGATGTCAACCCAAGCGGCAAACTTGCACACACCATTGCCCTAAAAGAAGAAGATTACCCAGCACGCGTATGCGAAGCCGCCGCTTGCAATTTTACCGAGGGCGTATACATTGATTACCGTTGGTTTGACCAAAATAACCTCTCGGTCCGGTACCCCTTTGGGTACGGCCTCAGCTACACCGAGTTCGACTACAGTGTCGCCTCGGCCGAGATCACCAACGGGACCGCGTTCCTCTACAAGTACCCCACGGGCAGCTTTGGACTCGGCGGCGAAGTCGACCTGTGGGACGAGGTCATCAGTATCAGCACCACCATCCAAAATGTTGGCGCCGTCGACGGAGCCGAGGTCGCGCAGCTCTACGTGAGCTTCCCCGCCGAGGCAGAGCAGCCCATTCAAGTCTTGAGAGGATTCGAAAAGCCCGTGATTGCGGCCGGGGAAAGTGCTGAAGTCTTTTTCGGCATTCGCCGGCGGGATCTTAGCTATTGGGATGTCGTGGCCCAAAAGTGGGCTCTGGCGGCAGGAGAGTATACCTTTTCGGTAGGGGCGAGTTCGAGGGACATTCGGGCCACTACGACGGTGACTTTGACGGCGATTGAGTACGACAGTGATCTACTACAGATTGTACAATAATGTCTGAGATTATTGGGTCTGGGGATGCAGAGGAAGGGTGTAATCTAGTACTGCCATTTTGTGCTTGCCTTGGATATATAACCTAGAAGGAGGTGAGGATTTACTTCTCATACTGTAATTCATTCACTCTTTGAAACCTGACTCTTGGGAAGAAAACAAAACGACATTGGCGCACAAAACATATGCGAGTTCATTCCATGTCTTCTCAATTTTATTCGTGCTTTTCTCATGCTTTAGCTTTTAACACTGGACCCGTGAGTGCAAATCGCAAAGCGAGAAGGCAGCTCGCACAAATCAGAATGACACACCCCGCCCATAATTGGATGCCTATGTATTTGCCAGTCGCATTTAGAATTGCTCCTCCAATCGGCGCGCCAATCAAGGATCCCAGGGCGTTCAATACCGAAGACATGCCTAGCCGGGTTCCCAGACGGCCCAAGTCGGACGTGAAGCTGGTCAAGACAACCGCAGGAAGCGCGACAATGCCGCCGGAAAAGAAGCCAAAGAAGACGGCAAACGCGATGTTGCCCCAGCCGTGAGTCGTGCCAATCCACCCAAAGACAGTTATGGCCGTACACGTCACGGTGCAAAAGAGGGTCTGGACGGGTCCGAGTCGATTCGCTATGAGCGAGGGCGAAAGCCGACCCAGAATGGAGCTGGCATTCATGATGGCGACAAGATACAAGCCAATAGTCTGCCCGCCCAGGCCGTGGGCTAGTGCGAATGGCTGCATGTAGAATACGGGCGTGAAAAAGGCAATATTGCTCGAGCACAGGGCTGCGCAGTACAGGACATATGGACGCTCTCTAAAGGCCTTGAGATCGAGAAGGGAGCGTATCTTGTCCGACGGGGGTTCGCGGCGCCGCAGTACGACTACACTGATTGACAGTGTTAGGAGTGCAATGAGTCCCTTGACTCTCACGGTCCAAGCGAATCCTATCTTTGGCTGTAGCTGGGTGAAAATGACCGAGTACACGACGCCGCCAAAGCTCGAACCAGACACGACGACACCAAGAGCCAAGGCCTTGCGGTGGAAGAAATACTGCGGTATAATGGCCAGAGCGGGTATATAGAGCATCCCAGTTCCGAGCCCCGAGGTGACTGCCTGTGCCAATATCAACTGCCAGAACTGCGTACATAGACTCGTCATCATCAAGCCGAAAATGACGAAAAAGCTGCCGCATAGTATCAGGGAGCGCAGGTATCCCTTGTCATACAACGGCCCTGAAATCACGCCGATGAAGAGCAGCAGGAATGACTGAATCGACCCAAGCCATGATATGGCAGACGGGGACATGCTTTGTAATAATTCGGTCTGATAATATGTTTGATATACACCGAATGCATTCACAAGGCCCCTAGAAGCGACGAATCAGTACGAGCGTCTCAATGATAGAGATGTATGAGATATTTGCCTACCATGAGTTCCAGTACAGGAAGAACGAGCCGACGACCTGCAGCCATGCTGTCAAACCACCATCAGGCGGTCCATCGCCCTTGACAGTTTCGTCTGTCAACTGGGGCTCTGTCTTTTGCACCTCGGATATGATACCGTCATTGAGGTCTGCAATATGAACAGCCGGAACCTCTTCATCATTGTTTCGGCTTCGTGTGCGGTTCATTGCATTACCCCAGACTCACGGCTTCTGTTTTTCAGAGGCAAGTCTCTGTGGTAGCCATGGGTAGGCGAAGGGGCGCCATGTTATATACCGGCAATAAAGTGGATATGAGCAACGCCATGGCTTTCTCCATTAGAAATACGGAAATTTTACCTGCAGTTTCGGGCTGGATGCAGGCAAAAGCGAGCGAGTGAGTGTGGGGATAATTGGGATATTGAAATGAGCCGGAATGACCTTGCCGACAAACACAAGTAGGAACCAGTGGAACTCACATTTCTTCTCTCGCTGAAAGAGATGGGAAAAAGGCCACCAGTAAACCAGGACTCCATTTACCCCAGATTCGTTAAAAGGTTTCCCCCCCAAAAAGCACCAACCAACCCCACCCGCGACGCCGTTGCATTTCTCTGCGATGCCGAGGTCGGCGGGCATTGACAAAAAGTATTCGCTTAGATGCTGTCATAATTACTCGATTCAGTAGCCATCAACTGACCGGTGAGTCAACTAGTAATACGAAATTGCCGACTAGAATTGTATCATTGAAAGAGGCCAATGCAGGAAAAATAATCGGCGGAGAGAGCCGAAGCCGACTTAAAGAGGCAACTAGAACCCGGTAAAGAATCACATGATCCGAACGTGCATTTACATGGGAAAAGTCCGAGAGATCCCACCTAGTGTTCGTTCAATATTGTTCCACAATGTTGCTAAGACAATTTGAGGTCTAGGTTTCTGAAAAACGAGGCAAGTAACCGCGGGACCATGGCAGCGACCGATATTGAATTCCGCCGGCGCTCAAAAGACGATCTGCCGGCCCTGGTCGAGGCGCTAGAAGACGTCTACAGCACGGACGGCTACCCCATAGAGGGCACAGCGACCGCGGTCTCCTTTCTCTCGCCGCCGGGTCTCGTCGCAGCATGGGTCGCCGTCCACCGCGGCCTGGTTGTGGGTCAGATAGCTGTCGTTGCCGGCGGACAGGGACACCACGCTGCAGTGCGGGCGTGGGTTGATTCCGTCGGAAGCGGCGGTGATGCCGGGGCTACAGTCGTGGCGGCGCGGTTCTTTATACGCAAATATGCCAGGGGATTCGGCCTCGGTCGTGCGCTGGTCGAAAAGACGTGCCAGTGGGCCAAGGACAATGGCAAGAGAATCGTCATTAATGTGCTCGCCAAGGATCAAGACGCCATGAAGCTCTATGAAAAGCTTGGGTTTAGACGTTTCGGCGAGGGCGAATATGAATATCATGAAGGGAAAAAAGCTACCCAATACTTTTACGTGTATTAAAACTCGACTAGATAAATCACAACCGGCCATATTTCTACCTGTAAAATCCGTAATCTCGTAGTACCTCGTGACGTCGTATGCTCATACCTCTGTCCCATTTGTAGCTTGTTCGTCTCCAACCGAACGCCACATGATGCATTGCCTGCTCGACTCCAATCTTTTCTATTGTAATTGGTCACCAACTCTTTGCAAGAGAGGCGCGCGCTCTCTTGCCTCCTCGCTTCCGTCTAGGAGAACGTCACCGTACGGCATGCTCTTCCATTCGCCCTCCTTGATCTTGGCGACAGACCAGCTGCCGACCTTTCTTGCCTCGGTAAAGAATTGTACGTTTTCTTCAAAACTTCGGTTGCCGCTCTCGGGCAGGTAGTAATAGGTCCAGATTCCAGCAAGGGCATTCGTACCCGCAAAGACGAGGTAAATGTAGTATGCCAAGTTGTTAAACATGATGGGCGTAAGGAACGTAATCGCAAAGTTTGCCAAGCCCCAGATAATGACACTGACAGCTGCGGCTTGCGCGCGAGCAGTTGTAGGGAAGATTTCGGTCTAGAGAACAGGTCAGTCTTAATAAAAGGTTGTATTCTGAGATACGATGCAAGAAATGTCTGCACTTACCGGTACCAGCCAGACAGTGGCCAACCATCCAATGCCAAAGGCTCCCGTGGCTACAAATAGAGAAACAATGCCAGGAATGGCAATGAGCGTCTGATCAACATGGAGATGGTCTGCGTTCATGGCCAAACCTCCAAAGAGTGCAAGCATCAAGAAACATAACGTCAAGACCACACTTCCCCAAAGTAGAAGGACTCGACGGCCCATGGCATCAATCAAGACCCATGCAAAGGTCATAAGAACAAAGTACGACAAGTAATTCGCCATGGTCAGGTTTTCAGAGGTAGCCGTGTCAAAACCGAGCAGAGAGAAAATTTGGGGTCTGCAGATCATGTTAGCAATATACAAAACTGGCGCAATAGGAAGGCATACCCATAGACACTGACAGCACCGTAACCTGTCAGAGCTTGACAGATCTGAACCATGATGGTAATAAAAGTAGGGTGAAACTGGTCGTGGCTCGGTGTGAACATGTCCCAATAACTGACAGACTCGCCCACCTCCTCGTCGTGGCGCTTCTTTAGATCCTCGAACTGCCGATCTCCCTCCCCTTCCTCGCCATCCCCGTACTTTCCTCCGTATATCATCTCCAGTGCTTTCCTCGCATCATCGTCACGGCCGTGGTAAATGAACCAGCGAGGCGATTCGGGGAGGCTCTCGACGCAGGCCATGAGCGCAATGGGATATACTTGCATGACGATAATGGGTATGCGCCACGCCCACTCGTTGTGCTTGCCCAGACCGCGCGTCACGCCGAGGTTGATGGCAAAGGCCATGTTGAGCCCGAAAATGTTCATCTGAAACTCTTGCGCGAGCGCCTTGCCGCGCGCCTCGTCTCGGGCGAGCTCACTGGAGTAAATGGGGATCACGGCGTCTACGCCGCCCACCCCGAGACCCATGATGACACGGCCAACAAACATGACGTAGAGGGCGCCCTGCATGCCCTGAAGACTGGCGAGGAACATGATGAGATTGCCCAGACTCGCCGTGGCCAGACACCCAAAGATGGACTTTTTGCGGCCCCAGCGGTCGGCAATCTTGGAAAAGAGCACGGCGCCGACGGCGCAGCCCAGATAGTAGATGGACACGATCCAGCCGACGAGGGGACTGTCGGCGGAGATGCCCATGGTATCGAGGTAGTTGAAGTTGGTGTTGATGAGTGACATCATGCCCTGGTCGTACCCGTACAGCGCAATGGCCGTCGACGAGAAGAGGACAACCTGGGCGCGCTTATTGTGCCATAGCGACAGGATCTTACTCTTGGCTGTAGACATCTTGGCGACAGTGTTGTGTGTGTAAACTTTGAGAGTCACTGCTCGCAACTTGTATAATTATGTCAGACTTGATACAAGTCGACCAACCCGTTGTGCTGTAGGCTCAAGACGCCGTGAACGACAAGATCTTCAATGCCAATTGAGTTCCTCCCGTAAAACTCCAAGATGACCTAAAGACCAAAACCTTTTCCCACTGCAATTTTCTGGGCAATTGCAAAATATAGTACTCGCATAGCATGGCGCGAACCATGGCACAAGTAAAGAAAAACCATGGTGCATATCGATGAGTTCACGTGGACACTATGACGGCATCAGTGGGGGTGTAGCCGTACCCAAAGTTGCCGAATCGCGTCTAGCGCCACTGCATAACATCGCGATACACGATTATAAGAAGGCATGTCGGAGATATTCAGATCGCCCGAGAACAAGATGGGTGGGTGAGGGATGAGCTTATGTGGTCAGCAACATGCTTATATAGTTGGTGCCAACTCTCTTTTCAGGCTGCCTTTTCGTTTGCCACTTACAATCGCGGGCCTGGAATGAATCTATTTAGAGTTTCAACGCGCATTTGAATCCCGGGTGCACGCTTGAACACCTGATCCCGACCAAGTGTAGGACATTTCCAGCACGTTGGTTTTGAATGGCATTCTTGGGCGTATCTTGAATTCGAGTCTCTAAGCATAGAAATGGACTTTATACTTTGAAACGGCATTACCTACACAATTGCCATTTCAGATGCACGGTAACGCCGGCACTGCTATACCACCCATTGTTAGGTTATGTTATACGACGAAGCAAACTCAAACAAGAAAAGGATTTTATATCCTCTTGTGTATTGCAACGTCTTGAGAAATCACTCTTTGAAATTTTGCGTGTTATATACCTGTATATTCCTGTTCTCATTCTATGCGCCAAGTAAGTTGTGCCCGTGTCGAATCAAGGCAATCGCCCAGAAACATCTGATAGGATCCTTTGGAATTTTCAGGCTGGCGTATCCTCGGGGCAATTGCTAATTTCAGTGATTGATTTCTTGTGAGCCACGATTTGTTTGCTTTGTGGCTCCCATGGCCACGAGTAGGGAACTAGAGACCTCGCAGATATGTGCGCTTCGTTGTGAAAAAGGTCACCTCGAGCCCTGAGAATCGAAATATTTTCTTATTCTTGTAATAAATAGTGGGATATGAGCCAGAAGCCGATGATTCTTCGACCATGGTCTTATTGCTTTGAGGTCGACGTTCTCGCTTGCACATTTCGGCTTCAATTGCAGGCTCAATTTGGTATCAACAAAACCAAAGACTTCAACAGAAGACCTATTGACGAAGTAGGACCAAAGAAAGACAACGTTTATTCAGATCCTGATAGATACGATTGAACTCTTGTCAAAAAAAGTATAAGAAGATCAAGTAATGCCTATAAGAATGCAACTTTGCATTCAGTGAAATATCACACTACCCTCCAGGGTCGTCTTAAATTCTGTTAACGTAGGCTTTGTCTCAAGAACATGCCGAGTTCTCAACAACAATCTTTTACTATACTATTTCAATTGCTCTGTGCTCCATCTCTCTCTCTCTC